AATAATTTTATTAAATTTAATACTATTATTAGTTTATTATAAAGCTTGAAATTAGTTAGAACTAGTAATTAAGAATCTAGAGACTCCGGTATTAATTATAATTCTATAAAAGTAATAAGTATTATATTTTAATATATTATTAATTATAAATATCTAAGTATTCTCTATTTATTTAATAGGCTCTAAAATATAGTTTTTATTTATTATCTAGTATATAAAAGAAAAAGAAATAAGATTATTTATAAAAGTATTAGTTATAGGAATAATAAGAGCAGGAGCTATAGAAGTAGCTAGAAAGCTTTTAATAAAAGTAAAATAGAAATTAGAATAATATTTCTTTCTTTTATTTATTTCTATTAATAAGGCTTTAAAAGTATTATTTATTAGTTTATTCTTATTATTCTTATTATTTTCTTTTTTTTTAAATTTAGTAATATATTATATATAAGTATTACTAAAGTATTTATTAAAATTACGAGTATTTCGGAATCTAAATTAGTAAATATTTCTATTCTTAAATTAAGTTTTTTTAGTTTCTTATTTCTCTAATATATATTTTTATAAGTAGTATTTAGGTTTCTTATATATAAAATATAATTTCGAAATATAATTATTATAATTATAAGACTTAAAATAGTTATTATAAGTTCTAAAGTTATAATTAGATTTATATTAATAATTTCCGAATAAATAATAGTTTAGATAATTTTAAAAATAGTATTATTAATTAGTAAAATAGGTTTTAGTAATAATTTATTACTTTTTCTTATAAATAGTAATAAATAATTAGAGCTTATTAATAAGCTAGCCGAGATTATTAGAAAGATTCAAGATTATATATTAGTATACTAATAAGCCTTAATAAGTAATAATAATCTTATTATATACGAATTTAGTAGTTTATAAAATAGAAATAAAGCTATATTATAATTTATATAAGTTATTAATTAGTATTTAGATAAGTTTAAATATTGTCTTTTTAAGATTTTTTATTATTATAATTATTAAGGTAATAGTATTTTATTTATCTAAATTTTAATAATAGTAACTAGAGCTTTTAAAGAAACTATAAATATTTATATAGGCTTTTTTATATATATATTTAGAAAGCTAGTTATTATAGAAATAGTCTTATACTAGTCTCTTTAATATAGTAGGAAAAGCTCTTACTAATATCTCTTTTAAGAGCTTTATATATTAGTAAATATTAAGAAAAATAATAAGTTTTTAATTAAAACTATTATTAGTTTTATTATATTTTTATATTTTAGTATATATTTTTATTATTTCTTTAATTACTTTTATAGTAAAAGAACTAATTAAAGAATTATTTAGAAATAATAGAAATAATAGTAAATTATTAGCTTTAGCTTTTTATAGTCTAATACTAGTAAAAGCAGTTATAAATAATAAAGAAATAATAAGTAATAAAGAAATATAAATAATAATTAATTTAATATATTAATTTCTTATAATACTATTATTTAAGGAAATATATAATAAGGTAATAAAGCCTATTTTAAGGTCTTATCTAGTAATAATAATATTATTAGTAATCTAGATATATTATTTTTTTCTCTAAATAATATTAATTAAGAATTATATAATAATAAAATAATTATAATTATATTTAATATAAATATTACTATATTATAAAATAATTTATAATTAGTATAATATATATTAATCTAGTTAATTAAATATTTCGAGATTAAAATTACTAAAATCTTTTTTAAATAATTTCTAGAAATTCTTATTAGTTAATTTCTTTATTTTATACTAGAATAATCTAGTATTAAAATAATTCAGGATTTCCTTATTATTAGAACTAGCTAGGTTAATACTATTCTTTTATTTCTTTATTTATTTATATCTATTTTAAAGATTTATTATTCCGGACTTTTAGGGCTAATTCTCGATATATATATATAATTTATAATAAGAGAAATTTAAGAATAAGGTAATTTATAATAGAGTTTAATAATAAAGATATTTAGATACCTAGTTTAGATACTAGATATCTAGTTTAGATACTAGATATCTAGTTTAGATATCTAATTAAGATACTAGATATTTTAGATATCTAAAGATATTATAGGTATTAAAGTAAATATTTTATTCTTAAATATTTTATTTATAATAAGAAATTTAGGAAATAAAATATTATAATTCCGAAAGAATCTAAAGCTTAAAGAACTCGATTTAATAATAAAATTAAAGTAATAATTAAAAAGCTTTAAGAATATATATAATATATATATTTTAGAGAAAATATCTTATAAATATAAGTATTATATAAATAGAAAAGATAATTCCTAAAAAGATAATTTTAGAACTAAAAAAAATTAATTTTAAAAAATAATAGAAATTAAATAAATAAATAATTAAATAGCTAATTACTTATTAATTAATAAGAACTAGAATCTTTTTTTTTAGGCTATTAAATACTTTTTTATAAAATTAATAAGTAATTCTTTTTTTTAATATAATTAGATTAATATTACTAAAAGCTATTAAATATTTCTTTTAGTATAATTATTTTATTTCTAATTTATATATATAAACTAATTAGTATTAGTTTACTAGTAATATATAATACTATTATATAGTTATAGAATACTAATTATATAAATTAGTAAAGTTATTATTTTTTATTTAGAAATAGGAATTATAATATTATAATATTAATATATAATTCCTAAATTTACTAAGCCTAAAGAAGTCTAGTTTACTAGTTAAGTTATTAATAGGATATAAGATTATATAATTATATCTTATATTTTATATCCTATATTTTATATTTTATAATTTCTAAAAAAATAGCTATACTAATAAAAATAATTTAATTTTTCTAATTTATATATAATAATAAATAAATTAATAAATAATTAATTAATTATAAAATTAAATTATATATAATATTAAATATATATATAAACTAATTAAAAAATCTTAATTAATAAAATCTAATTATATTAAAATAAAAATATTTATTATTAAAATAAAAAAATAAAGTTTTTTTAATTTTAAAATTAAAATTAAAATTATATAATTATAATAATAAATTATTTTTTATTTTTTTTATTTTTTAAAATATTTTTTTTTTATTATTTAATTTTTATAATATATTTTTAATTTTTATAAAAAAAAATTATATTTATTTTTAATTAGTTTTTTAAACTAAAAATATTATATTATTTTTTATTTTATTTTATTTTATATTTATTTTTTATTTTAATTTATTATATTATAATATTTAATTTTAGTTTATTATTATATTTAATTTTAGTTTATTTTATATTTAATTTTAGTTTATTTTTAATTTTTAATTTTTATAATTTTTTTTTTATAAAATATATTAGTTTTAAATTTTATTTTTTATTTTTTAATAAATTTAATTTAAATTATTATCTCAGTACTCCGGTTTACTCCCCCGGGTTTAGCGACCCTCTGCTTCGGGAAAGGTGCGTGCACGGGCCAACCGCCGCTTTCAATGTCTATAAAAGTTCGCAATCCCCGCTGCTCGACCGTCTTCTTCTTCAATCCTTTCCCAACACCCCTTCGCTTGGCCGTCTGACCTTGTCATGCGCCATTGATCCCCCTTCTCCGAGACCCACTCAGAACGCCCTGTCGCAGCTGAAAAGCCTTGACGGCACGGCCGGTTTGAAGCTAGAATCCTCGACCCTCCTCGATCTGCCACTCTGGATTCGATGCTTGTGATTGTCGCGACGGCGATCATTCCTCTGGATGGCATCGCATTGTCCGAGATACGAGCGTGAGTTCAGCTCACTGCCCTCTTCTCTCTGCCGCACCATTACAATCCTCGCCGCAATGCCTCCCTCGGTGACCGCGACAGTGGAGCTTGCCCTTGGCATTCCCTTCATGCAATATAACCTGGCCAATGGAAGAAATGCCTTACGGCGACGTGGCCAGCTTCTGCCTGGCTGCGCCGTAGCATTGCGCGTCGGGAAAGGATCTCGGTGAGCTCCATTGGGCCGGTCAGATGACGACATGCACTCTATGCCTTGGTCTGGGCTGATCTGTGACGAGAAGGGCCGATTTCTGGCAACCGTAGCTGTGGCAGATGACCATCTGCATAATGATGGCAGCATCGAAGCTTCTGCTGAGCAGCCTACGGACCGAATACGAAACGCCGGCGGTGGGAGAATGGGTCACAAGCAGGCAGACTGACGTGGACGGTTGCACGGAGGCAGGTCATACGACCTCGGAAGGAGCTCGATCCGTAGTTGTTGCGCTGCCAGAATGGGTACGGCACAATCTACGCTGCGGGTTCTCAATTCTGCAAAGAGAAGGTCGATCGGGCTCAGCTACGCAGAGATGGCCGCAAGCTTTACGGGATGGGTATAGTGGGTTGGATTTCGAGCAGGATTGGACTGATCACAAGTCGATTTCTCGATCTTCGGTGAAGCCGAGAGATACTGGGGATTGCATGATGAATGAGTCCTGGCAGCAGCCTGGAGGGGCTGGGATTTCATGCGCAAGATCAGGTTAATTTCAGGACAGTATACGGCAGTTGCAAGCGGCAAACTGATGTATGGGCGAGACCAGGCCAATTCCGACAAGTAGGCGCTCACAGATGACCACTTAAGCCGCTCAATTCCCCTCGCTGAATATTCCACACATGCTTAGACCGGTGTTCTCTCTGCCTACTTCGTTTCGTAATGGCTGCTCTCGGGAATACGCAATTTGATCGATTTGCATTTCCCCTATCAAACCCGCCATTCTGCAATAGTAATGTTCTCTGGCCTTCTGAACCCAGCTATTCTATCCCCTCACTCAATACTAGCAGCAGCCAGAAAATACGCAGACCTGCAGCTGCTCCTTCCTGTTCAAGTCAAATCGAGGCAGATGAAAATACTGCAGCGAGAGCTGAAGGTACGTGGAAGAGCTATACTGAAAGTGAAATTGTTCTGATCTGTTTAATCTAGATTATGAGGGCGCTTTTGCTAATAATAATAATAAATCAGACAATGATTTTCCATCCCTCGAGAAGCTCTCTCGGGTTACTCTGTGTCCGAAGGTCTTGACTGTGGCCTCGAAGACTGGGCCCACCCTTCAGCGTCTAGAACAGCCAGCTCTTCAGAGGGCTGGACTGCAAGTCGACCGAGTACAGCTCGGGCCGGGTGGATATCAAGGTGGGAATCGAGGTAGGTGCACCATCTGTCCTCTGTATTCAGGAGCGCTCTGCTAATTGTATGCAGATCAACCAGTAATTCTCGATAACGACAACAACCTAGATGAAGCAGATGCTGAGGATGAGGCCGAAGGCGATGTTGATACTAGGCGTATTGAACGGAACGCGAGTTTGCATAACATTTTCGCAATCTCAGAACTCGCCTCAGCACCGACAGAGTCTATCGATGTATCCGGTCCATGGTATGACGTCGAGGAGGGGCACTATATCGACGAGCCAGCTCCGGAACTTGGGCCTCGCAAGCAGCGCAGTATACCTTCTGCTCCCGCACAAGCCCAACCCCAGACTCTCCTCCAATCCTCCAAGCCACTACAAGATCAGACCAGCCGGCAGAGTGTCGGCAGTATCGCTCAGAGCGCGTCAGTGGAATCTACGCTTCACTCCCTCCCCAAGCCTTTCGATAGCGGCGATGACGGATGGACTGATAAGGAGACGGCTGAACTGGAGAAAGAACTAGGGTTGGCTTGGGAAAAGCAACAAGTGGAGCCATTATCGGCCTGCACACCTCCATCCCCAAGTCCTCGCTCGGTCGAGGAACCACAGAACGAGATCCAGAGTCGAGAACGCAGCGGAACCACCGGTGGCATACTAGAAGAGCTACAAGGTGCTTCTCGACATAGTAGCCCAGCTCAGGACCTTGAATGGTGGGAGCAGCAGGATACTCAGGTGGGGGTGGAAGGGGGAGCGGTAGCAGTGCAGCAGCAGGAAGAGCTTGGGCAGCCAGCTGTGGGTGATCAGCAGGACCTGGTCGAGGTTAATGTTGCAGACGACCCTGAAGACAAGGAAGCCACCGAGGATCCGCCAGCCACGCAACCTGAGCACCATTTTCGACTGCGCGGTATACGAGCCCGGCAGCTTCCTGGACACCAGACAAAGACAACTCAGTACCAAGTCGTATGGGGGCAACGTCCAAACAGGTCGGATTCTTGGCTCAATGAAGACGATGTACGAATGTCAATACCATGGCCGCCTTGCGAACTATACTCTCAAAACTTGGCTCGATGGACAGACATTTTCCGAGTTTGCGAGATGCGCTTTAGCCGGTACAAAGGCAGAAAAGTTTTCGAGTACCTGGTCGATGCGTTCGGTCTCGATGACAGCACCTGGATCACTGAAGATCAATTGAGAATCTCACTCAGCCCTATATTGGTCCTTGAGCTCAAAGGTAACCAGTTGCTTTATGAGTGCCCCGTTTTGGAAACCTTGAGGAATAGGTTGCTGACAGAACACATCTCGAACAGGGTCTTCTCCCCATCCCTTGAGCGAAGCACAGCGTGACGTTCTTCTCAGACATTCAGCAACTCCGATCAGAGACGAGTACGGCCATGCGTCACGAGCCTCTCGAAGCTCTTCTGCCTCAGCCGACCCGGCGCTGGAGGGCAAGCCTGCGACGCGGAAGCGAGGGCACCAAGATGCGCATACAGAGATCAGCAGCGACACCCACCATTCCACGAACACCGATGACAATTACGACGCCTACGATACAAGCGACGAGGCCCCACGACCTGCAAAGCGACGAAAGCCACGCCCAGCGCCTGCCGCGACTCCAACCACCTCCCGCAGACATACCCCAGAGCTCCACGTCGGACAGCGTGGCCCCCTTGTGACATTGTCGACCGCCACACCTGAGATTAACGACGCGCAACCTCAGATTGATCACGAATGCCTGTCGACCTTCGTCGATAATAGCCGCCACCATATCTCGCGAGCCTCTCGAAGCCCGTCTGCGGCATCAGAGGCGGCCCCAGTTGCTGAGTATCAGGAGTGGCCCTTCCAAGGCTTCCTCAAATGCACCAGGATCGGTAATGATGTGACGTATAATCTTGAGTTCAAACTGCCATTGACCTTGGAACATCTTCACTTACCGATTGATTCTAATGCATTGGATATCAATCACGATGCTACTAAACATTCTCAGATACACCAAGCGCCGTTGAAGCCAAAGAAGAGCAAGGTTTCATGGGTAGAAGACGATATAAAGCTGGCCCAGATGTGGAACGAAGGCCGTTCGTGGGAATACATCTTTGCTGCCCTCCCTAACCGGAGTAAAGGGTCCATCCGGGTGCGCTGTTCGACAAAATTCGAAAAGCGACCTCGTACAGGGGCTGGTCGTTCTTGAACTGGAGGGCCAATTGCTTCGTTGACGTTGGGGCTCCTGCATTGGAGAAGGTCGAGCCGTCAAGCAGCGATGATGATGACGAGTCAAGTTATGGCGATCCGGACTTCAGCAGCAACAGGCAGCGATAGTGAGACTCTAGCGAGGCCGAGCAGGGCCGTTTGAGCACGAGCTTGCTAGATGATTCGAATTAAGCGGGGCCATTTCGTACTCTGTGAGCAGTACTGCCTTTGGGGTCACCTTGGAGTCGGGACACGCTATTATCTTGAGCATGATGAGTTGGCAGCTGCAGGATGGGTTCAGGAGATCATGGCAGAACCGATAAAAGCGGATCATGTGACATAGAAGTAGTGCCCTTTAGGCTTAGAGCCGGAGCCCCACAAGCATCTATTTTTGTTGGTCCGACCGATGCCGACTGCTCACCGCCTTGTGACCAAACCCATAAACTCATCCGACGTTTCGCTTTCCTCTTCGTACCAGCACCGCCTACATTTCAAATACAATGCCTGATACACCAACGCTTACCTGGTCGACCCACGAGAGAGAGTACAGTCGCTTTCAGGATCGCTTTTTGAAAAGGAGCCTTAGACCAACCGAATATAAGTTGGACTTTCGTGGCCAACCATATGTTCCAGTTGCTAACGAGGCTCGACTTGAGAATGAGGCTGCCTGCCTGCGATTCATTAAGGCTGCAACAAATATCCCAGTGCCTGAAGTGCTTGCAGCATATGAGAAGGATGGGTCGTTCTTCCTCTGGACGGAAATCTGTCACGGTATCCCAATGAAGGAACTCTCCGTTACCGATCAGGCAGTTGTGATAAAGGAGCTCGAAGGCCACCTCCGCATACTGCAAACCCTTCGTTCAAATCGCATTGGTGGTCCCACAGGCATTATTTGTCCTCCGCCTAGAGTTTCCTTGCACTTTCCGAAGGATAAAGTATGGCCTTCGATCTCCTCATCGGACGACGAGTTTGTGTTCTGCCACGACGATCTATCACAGTTCAATGTCATAGTTGATAAAGATACTCTTACGATCTCCGGAATTATCGACTGGGAATTCGCCGGCTATTATCCAAGCTACTTCGAAAGTCCCTTTTATCGAAGCTCTAAGCCTTCAGGGGCGCAAGTGAAGGATCTCCCGGATACCTCAAAGCTGATATCCTTCTTTGCAGTGCGCTTCCTAACAGATTGTTTATATGGGTAGCTGCTAATTTAGGGGACAGTGAGGGCAGAGGCCAGTGGACCGCTTTGAGTTATGTCACGTCACGCAAGATAGGGAAGAGAGGTGGTCACATGGTTTCTTAAAGCAAGGCATTGTGATTTGTAGTTCAATCATAAAAGATCCCAAGAACTCTTCCACGTTTTGTGACACTACTTCTGTCCTGCCACCTTGACCCTTATGAAGTCCTGCAAGTGGGGGTGGCCTGTTCTCATCAGTAACAAATCTGTGATTAGCAAGCCAAAACTTACCCTAATTATGCGGATCTTTACTTCCACAACTTGGGCATTCGGATTGAGTTGCCGAGATGTTCGTGCCACACTTCTTGCACTGAACGATGTCGCCTTCGGTCGGCGATGGGGAGGATGTGTCATCGAGAATCTTGATAGGAGGCATGTTGAACTCTGGGCTGACTTTCGTGGATGTTTGTATGAAGGGCAAATTTGCAATAATGTATTTTATTGGGGAACTTGAGTTGAGAACGAAAGGAGGGAGGGACGAAGCCCCTATCTTTATAGACCAATCTTTGCTTGTTGTAGGTAACCCGGGCGTATACCAATTTGCGTGGACCACTGACCTGGCGGTTAGATGACCCCTTAAATCGCAGGGACCATGGACTCATGATCCCTGAAAGGAGCAGCTGCACAGCAGCACACCCGCATCCACCTACCGTTCTCTCGCGCCCAGAATAGATGCGATAAGGACTGCTGCATTGCATTGCATCTTAGGGGATATCAAACGTACCTTCATAGCGCAGTAAATAGTCTTGGGTCTTCTTGCATTTTGTAGGTAGGTGCAGGAGGTGCAGCGGGAAGATTTACCGGAAGCCGTTGTTTTATTTCCGTAAGTCAGTCCACTGGAATACTGAACTGAATCTCCATGCATTGACTCCTCCAATCACATTGGAGAGGCTCTGCTTGCATCACAGTAGCTTGGGCCACCCGTTCGGCCCGCAAGCACCTGCTCCATGAGCGGCTTCGCACCACGAGCACCTTGCTTTCCAAGTGGCTCACATCCATTGTCAGGGTCTTCAGCGAGTTGGCGCAACATAAGTTTAGCAAGGGACTTCCTCCCCAAGGTATGTTTGTTGCCGGCCCCATGAGCACGATGTGCGTTGACATTTGGGCAAGCTTCGTCCAGGGGATGTTTTCGTACCAGCCCTAACAAGCTCGTCAAAGTCCAGCCCGTAGATTGAAGACCGATAACTTGTGGGACGGTTTGTATTCCACGACCATACACAGGCTCCGTGTGCCATCTGCCTCCTTATATACGCAAATCTGATCGGCGTTTCGCTGTTTCGGATTCGAGCCTGAGTCGTGTCCTTTGCTTGAGATGCGGAGATCCTGCAGACTTTGCTGGACCTCTTCGTTGCTATCACTGAGGGTGTTGGCATGGTTCTCGAAAATGATGCCTTCGCCCAGATAAAACGCATGGCGAGCCTCTTCTATTCGTTGAAGGTGGGAGATGATGTGTGTTGTCGGTCGCTCAACGGCTAGGCGCTGATATGCCTCCAAATCCTTCTTGCTCGCCAATGGTCGGTCGCAGATATCCTGCCCAAGCTCTGTAAGGTATTGGGTAGAGCTGAAAAGTTCCGCGTCCGGTGGGATATATTGGTAAATTCTTTCGAAGAGCTGCTGTTGCAGTACTGGAAAGTCCGTCCAAGGTTTCAACAAAGTCGGGCACGGCTTGTTCTTGGGGCTGGCAATGGAGCCCTGTGCACTGAGACTCTTGTCTGTCTGGATAAAAAGTGGCTTCGAGAGAAGTGTATGGCAGGCACGTATGTATTCTTCGAATGATGTAGGTCTTGTCTTCCGCTGCTCGTCCTCCGCACGTCTTCGTTCCCGTTCTGCGCACTCGTTAGCTTCCTTTGCTCGCTCATCTGCTTCTCGAAGCAGTTGCTCAAGACGTTCAAAGTCTGATTCCCTCCTTGAGGACATTCTGGTAGGAGTGGGTTGTTGTTGTCGTGCTTGAATAACGATGTCAAGGCAACGGCTCATGCCGAGATAGCGGGACACTAAGTCACATGCACATTCGTCGTACCTGCGATTAGCGCATTGAAGCCTAATCAGTCAGCGTCGGATTGCTGGGGCGACTCACATGGCACCTTGAGCCCCACTACTTGCAAAGTCCTCCCTTCGAATAACCTCAACCTCTCGAATTGCAAACAAGAGAGATCAAACCCCCATCCAGGTCATTTCTTGAGCAACGACGACGATGACTCAGTTGTTCTACCCGACCAGCTCCGCCCGGCTCCGCTAATAGACTTCATTCCACCTATGCTGAGGGGCAGCCTGATGCACCCTATTTTACGTCGTACTACCTCGCAATTTTTTTCACCAAATTCATTTCTTCCTTCGCCACCGCATTATTACCTTACCTCCTTCTCCCACCGCGCTTAGCATATTCTATCAAAGGCGCAGAAGGAGTGCCCTTGACTCTGAAGGCTTAACGTCGCCACCAGCCTCTTGCGCACAGTCGCCGTTTCGCTTTTAATCCATCGCCATCCTGTACATGGCGTCAACCACGTTCGCGCTTGTGGATGCAAGGAAGTCGATTCTAGAAGATGGGTTCTTTTCTATGGATGACTCGGTGGTAGGAGAACACGTCTTGGAGATGGAGCAGAAGGACTTTCCCTTCGCATCAGAATATGGCTTGGAATTCTGCAAGCTCAACCTCCTTGACGATACGGTTGGTAAAGGGGAAAGATGTTTCTATGGTTACTAACGGTTGCAGCGTATCCGATCCATACTCGAGTCCTTCTTCCCAAGGCCTGGTCTTGGACTTTGTCTGAAATACAGCAACGATCCAGGCCATATCTTTTCCTTTAGGAAGGGTGGCGCGAAGGCTGGTTTGCGCGTTCTAATTGTTCAGTTGTGGAGCGTTGGATCGCGAGCTGGGTACTGGGGCGGTTCGCACCTACTCTCGTTGCCCGCCGTCCGCGCAGCAAATGGCTCGTGGGAAGTCCCTTCCTCTGCCTTGAAACGTGCTGGCTGTAAGGAGACAGAGATTAAGTTTGAACAAGGTGGCCTGTAAGCTACCATCTACACTTCAGTCACATCCTCTTAACAAATCTTGCAGAGCCATTCTCGATGCCAGACTCGCTTTCGAAATCAAGGACGGGTTTACAATCACATCTGCATTTGCAACGGAGGACGAAGTCAAGACATGGGCTAAGATGCTCCTTCCTAGATCGCCGGAGTTGGCAGCAAAGGTCACTGAAATGGAGAGCATATACACAAAGATTGGGGTGAACTTCGCATTTGAGGACCCAGAACCAAGGTAGAAATTCATGATTGCCCATGATATTCTTCTCCTCCATTATGTGGATGTCCGAACATATAGCCTTCTTGTACGCGCATTGCACTGTACTCACCGACTCCTAGATCAGAAGGGTCCATGATACTTGTCTGAATGTCACCTATTTCTCCACTAAATTGCTGTGCCACATGGTTTGAGGGATACGTAAGGGACCAGAATATTGCAGCACCGTATTCGTCCAATGTTTCAATTGGAACTCTGGCCGATGCTCCTATAGAATTGAGGTGCAGCGCCGACACTGGCACTGGCTGCAGAGAAGCTTCATCAGATGAGAGAGAGTTGGTACCAGTGAAACCGGGGAAATGCGATGGCGATGAGCTTGTAATCGTGTCGTCAACATCCAGCTTCCCCTTGACCCTTCGAGCGCCTGGTGTCCCTACCAGCTCCCTTGTTCTTTTCTTAGTCTCGACGCCTTGACATTTGTCAAGCCCCTCGGCGGCAATTTCCCTCAGCCGATCGCATATCTGGCGTGTATATGAATTCTTCGTCATATCCGCGTCTTTGTGGGTGTCGGCGTGCGCAATGTATTGGCTCGCCACTTTGAAAACCTTAAAACAATACACACATACTTCTTTGCATTGAACGTCTGCGGTCAAGGCATTATTAGCAATCTGCGTATCCAATGGCCGATGGTAATTTACGTAGTGCAAAGTGCCGTACAAGTCTTGTTCGTTTGGAAAATGGTCTGTCCCGGTCGCACTCTTCGTGTGGGCAGCAAAGCTGGTCGGCGGGTTTATCATTCCTCCTTACAAGTGTAGAGTCGTGGGCGTCGCCGTCCGCATAGCCATTATCGTAATCATGGGCATCGTAGGACGTATCGTGTTCATCATCAAGTGGGCTTGAGTGGGCGCGACATTGCTCAAGTTTCGCAGACAGAAGGCGTTCCTGAGACTGGACGAACGGATTAGGACTGGGACTAGAGGGCTGTGAAGTACTAACTCGGTATCCATCAAGATGATCACGTAACTCATCGTTCGTCGGAAAGCAGACCGAGCAAGTTTGGCATTGTCGCTGCTGATTGATCTCATCTAACATGCTGCTGCTGCCAAGTCGAGGTGATTGTTGAGAACACACAGGCGAGAACAAGCCAAAAGACGGGAGGAGTTAGTCATCATGCAAGGCCTGGCAGGTGCAGGTGACCACTTTCAAACCTAGAGTGCCGCTTCATTGCTACTGTAAATAATCAAAGCTGTCCTGAAATCGCATTTGCCTTCCTCCATGAGCCCTCGCGCTTCTAGATATCATTCCATCAGTGCGCAGTGCAATCGCCATTTGTCCGCTCAGTTCTCTGTATCCCTCCATTTCCTTCGCCCCACGCGAAACAATCTGATTGGAGCGCCGCCGTCCCACCACCCACCTCTCCCTCCCGCCTCATCTTTCTGTCCTCCCACTGCGAAAGAAATGATAGACGATGAGATGTAAAATAGTAATCTGTTGGACTGTCATTAAGGGCCGAGGTAGAAACGCAGGTTCCAGATGCGCTCACCTAAGTTTATCAGATGGCGTTTAGCTTGCTAATCACATGCATCTCTGCATGTTGTCTCCCTCCTCCTCCATTACCGCCGCAAGCAGGGCAGAGGACTCCATTCACGACGCCTTCGTCCTTGCAAGTTGAACATTCAGGCATCTTTTGTTTCGAAAGAGCTTTCGATAGAGTAAAGGGCGGTTGGAAAGAGGATCGACTTCAGAAGAGTCAAATCGTTCTTGACAATCACCCAAGAAACTTCGGGTATTTTAACTCGAGTGCCATGTGATTTGTTTAGCGATCCGATACTGACCGAGAAGGCCCCAGTTCAGTTAGGCTCCAATTCCTTCCAGGCTGAAACCATGCACCTAAGCTTCGGTGGGTGGTCGCCGGGCTTCTCCGATTATGCTGGCTCGGTAGTTTGTGTCGGAATACAGTCGGTCCGATCCAAAAGCGACAAAACGATCGCCCTTTTATATCCATAATAACTTTTTAACCACAACCCCGAGTAATTAATACTAAGTAATGTAATTATAGAGAAGAACCAAGCGAATAAAACCTATCAATCAGATTTTTAATGCGATTTGTGGTTAATTAGTAATCGAGTTTTGAAGTGCACGGACGTTTCTTTATATTCTCTTTAGTAGTAACTCTTAAAATTTAAGCTCTTACTAGATATACTAAGCTTATAGAAGCTTAAGGAGCCTTATAAGACCTTATAAGTTTAAGTTTAATTTATTATTTACTTAGGTACACGTGACTTTCGTGAAATATTTTGGCGTTTTGTATGGTCAGAAATCAAAAAAGTAAGTATAAAAAGTTTATGATTATAATCACGTGCAGCCTCGTATACTATACGAGATGTGATTTTTTTACTCTTACAAAACGCCAAAATTTCTATGCGAGCTCGTATAAAAATGGTCACGTGCTTTGTAACTTCTGTAATATTAAAGGTATTAAAAATCGGAGACCAAGGAAATAATTACTATAAGATATACGATAGTTCCGATTAATATGATTTATATCAATTAGTATTTTGGTAGACTTTTTTTTTTGGGTCGCTTTTGGATCGGATCGACTGTACGGTGTTTTGCGCCTTCTTGGTGTCAGTCACGGGACAGTCACATGATGACTGGCACATCTGCCTATTCGCAAGGGTGGCTGCAGAAGCCACGTGCCCAGTTATCCAGGGTGGCACGGGTTTGGGACATCAAGCAGTTGTTCCTCCTTCCGTGTCGATCTCCCCGAATAGGCAAAGAAGATTTCTTCCTCGCAAGCAGATGACGAAGGAAGCTTCACATTTGACGCCACTACCATATATACATCTGGTCCCGCATATCTAAGTACAGCCAAAATGTGAACAGAGGAAATAACACACAGCCCTTTGCTTGATATATGCACATGAAACTAGCCCTGACCATGCAGCTCGAGATCTCCTATCGGTGCACAATTATCTACCGACTCGGTACGTCAAAGACCGGGGTCAACACATCGGTTGATTTGTTTTCGTCACCTTCACTTGTAGTTCGTAGAGAGAAGTCAGTGTCTTGCATCCCCTGTTCGCGATCAGAGCCGGTATTATACGCTACCGCCCCTTTCTTCTCGAAATGGTAAATCATCAGGGAAATCCAAAGTGTATTAGAGAATAAGGAGATGACAGTTTGCCCCTAGAGACATTAGCAGTATTCGATGAAGAGTAACCATAACACTCACTAAGAGGACTTCTGTAACTCCTGGAAGTAGTAGGGCTGCCACCGAGGCAGGCAATGTAGCTAGATTCAAGCTAAGAACGAAGGTTGAAACTTTGGCTGTCTTGAGGACGTTTCCTTCATGGATTTGACGAAGCGAGAAGCAAGCGGGAAAGCAATGAGCGGTAATAGTTGCAACAGCGACAAATATAAGACTTCTTTCCTCGTGATCGCCACGCAGGATAAAGGCAAAGGCCAACCAGAACAAGGCTAACACAGCGAGACTCATGAAGAAGAACACCCATGGGAAATATCTCCGAAAGTCCAAGAGGGGTGCACGACCAAGGTATAGCCTCGAAGACATCATAGCCTGTATCTATGGTTAGTACGTGGGGATTTGCTTCTGGGAAAACACGCACGTGAATTGTGAGGCTTAGTAGAAGAGACAGGGCTTGTAGACCATGCAATATTGCCGGCTTGACCTCCTTCTCGTTATAAACAACAAGTATAACCTCGCCTGTAAAGATGCATATGATAAGAATTACTTGGACAGAGAAGTACTTCCAAGACTTCCCCCGAGGGTGACGCCATTGGACGATAGCGTCTATAATATAAAGAAAAAGTATGAGAAATGCGAACAAGTACACTACGGTAGCAACTAGAGCGGCCATGACTGGAATGAGTGTAAGGCAATGATTGGTGAGAAGGTAAGCAGGTGCAATGGGGAACGAGGGGGGCGCATGCAGATTGCCTCGTTCTGTAGGTTCTTCTTATACATCGAATTAGATCCCCACATTGGCTCGCTATCATGGCTTGATGTCGTTGCCGTAGGAGGCCTAGCCACATGGGGATCAGAAATCTCAATTTCTGCAGGGACCATGGCTTCGTGGTCCCTACTCCGTGCCTCATTCTTTCCAGGATCATGAGTCCATGGTCCCTGCGATTTCCAGAAATCATGGCTTTTTGCGGCCCTTTCGTTTTCCTTTCATGGATCATTACTCTGCGACCCTTTCCCTTTACCTTCCGGGACTAGCGGGACCATGAGGCCATGGTCCCTGCGATTCCAGGGATCATTACTCTGCGGGCCCTTTCCCTTTACCTTCCGGGACTAGCGGGACCATGAGTCCATGGTCCCTACGATTTTAGGGATCATAACCCGATTGGCAAATGTTGTGACCTATCTTCGCAGTTCAGTCTCGTGTTCAAGGCTCCAGTCCAATTGCATAGCACTATCGTTCATGGACCATGTTGTCTACGTGGGGTATCTTGATTGTTTCCCATGGCCAGTGCAACATGCGGAGCTGTGCATCCAGTTCAAAGCGTCATCTCTCCCACGCTCTTCGCACAATCCATCCATGATTGTTGAGGGGCTAGTGTACCGTTCTTTGGGGATAAGAATCCTATATACGATCCCCGATGTCTCCGCAATATTGCCTTAACTCAATTCAGATCTTAAGAAATTCAAGCCCTAGTGCCTCCCCAACATTGCCTTAGCGTTCCATTATTGCAGAACTGCAGTACATTGCTGCATGATGAGTTGACGAAACCGTCTTGATTATTCAAGGATACTGCAAGCATGAGCTGCAGGTTCGATGAGCCACATCGATTGGCGAAGATGCCAGCTACAATCATGGACATATTCGTCCTGCAGATATGTGCTTCTCTCCGCGTTGTCCGCACGAGGGTACCATACGGAGAGAGGTCAATTGGTGGGACCCAGGGTCCTCCTTGCAAGCTATGAAAGACATCAACGGAATTTCATCCAGTTCAATGTATCGTTTCTCCCCGCGTTATCCGCGGGGAGAAGTGACGAAGCCATCATGATTATCCAGGGGCGTACATCATACCTCAATCGTGGGCCGCCAGCCGCCTCGGGGATGAGGATCCTGTTGGAGAAAGAGTTCATGGCGTATCGATTCTGCGGTTCCCAAAAATGGAACGTCTCCGTGTGGTACCCTCTTCATTGTTGGTGCCTCCAATTGGTTAAGGCAATGCTGTAAAACATCGAAGCTCGTATGCAATATCCAGGTCCAAACGCTCCACATCAATGTCTTACTTCCCCCACATTGCTGTATGGAGAATCGGCGAAGCCATCTTGATTATCCAGGCGCCAACGCATCATGCTGCGGCCGTGGGCTACAAGTGTATCCAAGGGATGAAGGAATCAGCGTCCCTAATCGACCGTCCCGCGCTGGCCGCGGAAGAATGGACTTCCGTTGCGGACAATGAGACGGAAACGAACGAATATAACATATCCCCTCATTGCCTCAACTCAATCGAGACGGAAAGTGGTGGCTTCCTCCACTTCCATGCTTTCCCCAGAATAGCATTACCTCAACTGAGTTGAGCTCTCAAAGACGGAGAGGTCCTACCGAGTAGTTGGGACTGCAACATGCGTACCAGCACTCCGCTTCCATCTCCCCCACGCTGCCCGCATCGTAAACCAATAATTATTCAGGGGCAAGTGCACCGTGTCTCAGTTGTGTGCCTCGAGCTGCTTCGGGGATGGATCCTGCATACGAGCCCTGGTGTCTTTCCACATTGCAGCATGAATCGGCGGGGTCATCTTGATTATCAAGGCGCTAACGCATAGTACTGCAGCCGCGGGCCGTCAGTTCATCCAGGGGGTGAAGGAGTCAGCTTTCTTAATCAACGGTCCGGCGTTGGCCGCGCATGAATGGACCTCCAAATGAAGATATAAGGGCATAGATCCTCGCTGAGGTTTTGATCATCGCCTTCTGTGTTCCCCAACATCCAGCTCTTCAGACATCTTTCCGAACCTTCTCACTCCGTATACATCTTGTCCAGTACGTACCTAATAGCATCTATCATCCCAACGTTGACAATGGCCCCAACAGAAATGGTTCACAACGGTCCCCCATTGTTCCCACCAGAGTCCACTACGCCACCGGATAGTCCACGTCTATTGCCTGTTATCGCATTGAGCGATGACCAGGCCATGGAGATGGCAATTGCGACCGCCGCCATAAAGGTGGCTCCCCCGAACCCACCACCCTCGCCCGAAGCATCCGTTGTCAAGTGTCTCGAGCGTCTCGAGCGTCTCGAACAGCTCATCATTGAAGCAAAACTCTCGACCCCGGCTGGGAAATCCGAGGATCCCGTGCCTGTCGCCCCTGGAGGCAATCAGCCAGAGGACGTGGCAGCTGAAGCATCGAGGCTGGGATTCAAGACGGTGGACGAACGGTACGTCTCTAGCAATGTGCAAGTTCCAATCAGCTAACAAGCTACTCTCATCTAGTTGGGACGGGAAGGCTCACACGTATGCGATTGTGGAATCTCTAAAACCAGCAGACCAGGTAACTGGACTAGACCTATACATTTTTGTAGTTCGTCGTCGAGTCGGTCAGTATATCAATGCTGCCTCATCTTCACTGGCTAACTGTAAATCTCCAGACAAGAAGACAAAGGTGACGACCTGTTATGTCGATGTCAAATCAGAGCTTCTGCGAGATATTTTGAGAGATGTCCTGAATGATATCAAGGGGATTAGCCTGAACGAAAGCAAGCTTTCTGTAAGCTATGCCTGCCCTGTATTGAGACCGGCTACTTACTCTAGACAAGGTCGAGCAGAACCTACTCTATACCACCCTTCCCGAGCTCGAGTTGTGCAAAAGCCGGAATGAAATCGCTCCTCTCGATCAAGAAGGAACATTACATCTCGGATTGCTTGTGGACTACCTGAGAAGCGCATATGCAGATACGACCCAGAGTATACAGTCTCTACTACCCACCGGCGACATTACGTACGACCTGCTCTGGGCCCTCTTCAAGCCGAATGCCTTGGTCTATACCACATGCTCCGGAACACATAAGCCTCGATGTGTCAGATACAACTTTGGCGGGGAGAAGAAAACCATGGCGGGCACGAAATACTGGAGTCTCGACTGCAGCTATCTGGGTTTCAATGGCGAAGACCTCGGCTTGTTCCCGATTGAATTGAAGATCGCCAAGTTCCGTGGGGCAAAGTATATCAAAGCCCTTGAGGCTTTCCCACTCCAATATCATGCGGAGGCCAGAACGGTTCGGGCCGACCTCCTTGGATGCGGACGGAAGTTCATGTCCTTGAGGGGCACTTACCATCGTTGCTACAATGGCAGTGCCTTTTACGTGCGTGATGGACAACAGGTGGAAGTACGTATCGATGGTCGGATTATGGTTGATGCTGCCTGCTTTCGAAAGATGAATCCAAACTATTTCAGGCCGACAGTCATTAATCTAGACCACGATTTTGACATTTCGGCCTTCCTTGAACCGTTTTGGGACACATACTCTGACGAGGCCTCCAGTGAAGCATCTTCTGACGATGGCTCGATTGTAACATCTTTTGACCTGGCAAGTGAAACATCCCCTGACCAATGCGAAGGCAGCGTTGTGGGGCAGGCAGAGACGACAGACGAATTCCTCCTCATTTGCTGTCCCACAGTGCCAGGGTTTAGCCTCAGACACAAGCTGTGGGGTAAGATTCTTCTCTCCTAGTAGCGCAAGGCGGTCAGGCTGATCTGCTTGGTGTATAGTTGAATTCGCAGTTGCCGATATAAAGGAGATCGAGTGGTCCTCGGCGCCTTTCGACTGCCTAACCCTACCCGATGAGCAAAAAGAAACTATAATGGCTGTGACAGAGACCGAGGCCAGTCGCGATCCAGATCACGAATTTGACGACTTCGTTAATGGGAAGGGGCGTGGCGTCATTGTTCTTTTGCAGTACGATACCCCGATTATCGTCTTCTGATAAATACTGACATATAATTCAAGCGGCAATCCTGGGGTGGGAAAGACGTTGACCGCGGAGGCGATAGCAGAACATCGCCAGAAGCCGATATACTCTGTATGAGGACATGTCTCGCATTTCGATAGAATACACCTCGTCTAACATTTCTAGATATCTGCCGGAGACCTGCCGACCGATACAAGTCAGCTCGAGAGCCAGCTCTTTAAGATCTTTCAGGTTGCAAGACATTGGGATGCAATCCTGCTGCTCGATGAGGCAGACGTATTTCTCGAGAAGCGTGCACCCAAGGATATAGTCCGCAATGGCGTCGTCTCAGTGTTCCTCCGCACGATGGAATATTGCCAAGGGATCATGCTCCTTACAACAAACCGTGTAACTGAGTTCGATCCAGCAGCTCTTTCTAGAATTCATCTGAAGATGAAATATGACGACCTGAAGAGTAGTGCGAAAGGCGAGGTATGGAGGATTTTCCTCAGTCGGGCGTGTACCGCCTACGGAGATCCAATCATTTCCGATGGCGATTTGAAACGCCTGAGTAACGCTCATTTCAACGGTCGGGAGGTAAGGCCACTCGCTGCAGACCTCAAAGGGCATTGCTGACCGAGGAAACAGATCAGGAATACAATTGCTATAGCTCGTAAAATAGCTATTAAGCAGAAGAGTATTGTACTTTTCTCACACCTGGAGAAGGCTGTGGCCGCGAGCAAGGAGTTTCTGATCGAGTTCAATGGGCCAGACCATGTCAGTAGCGTTTTTCTCTAGTGGGGGCATGGTATTATGGATGCGAAGGCTTTGGAGGATTGGTGTAGATTGTACAAATGGGCTTGTAGTCATGTTTCGGTGGGAAGGCGGTGTATAGACTCAGGGAAAGTGTACCAGATTGCAGATATAGGTGGTGTGTCTTTCTTTCTTTCGGCCACTTGTAGCCAGGGAGGAAAGCACGTTGATGAGGAATGCATAGGCAGGCACTGGTGCCATCCCCACATCAATTTTCTGCTTTTGTAAGACTGCAGGCTGCGTGAGTGCAATGTTGACCCGTATGTGACTTAGGGGTATTGGCGTCTCTGATCCCATTATATATATGAGCCTTCTTCCCTCGTGTAAAATCTTCAAACGAGAGTCCTACCTCGACTCTGGTTCTAGCCGGCTTCTTTATCATGTGGTCTACCGGTTTCGGAGTCGATTATCCAGGTTTGATGGGGTGTTGGTATTTCAAGTCCCTTACCCAGCCAAAATGGCGGTTTATCATCCTGTTGTGAGTGTTGCCATCCAAGTCTCGGCCGGAAGAATATTGACATATTATTAAAGCATTGCACGCTACTTGGGGCTCGTCGTCAACACTATCGCTCACTGGCGATACAAGTCAATCCCCATCCCAAAAAGCCCGACTTATTCCTGCAAAGATGTCACGATTATCCTTCCCACTATCTCTACCGATGTCGACGAGCTTCGACAGACGATACAGAGCATATTGACCTGTAACCCGTTCCAGATATTACTCGTCACTACAGAGCTTCAATACACCACTCTTCGGAAGTTTTCCAAATCAATAAACGCAAATAATCTCAAAGTCCTCAAAGCCCGGGATGCCAATAAACGCCTCCAAGTCTGCAAAGCCATCCCTCTCGTCAAGACCCGTATTACAGTCATGGCTGATGATGATGTTACATGGCCGAGTACTATCCTTCCTTGGCTATTAGCACCCTTCGAGAATGAGAAGATGGGCGGAGTCGGGACATGTCAACGAGTAAGACGTCTCGAAACCGGGACATTTATGGAGTGGTGTTATAATTGGCTAGGTGCTGTATACATCGAACGACGCAACTTCGAAATATCGGCAACGCACTATATCGACGGAGGCACTTCATGCATGTCTGGAAGGACATGTTCTTTCCGAACTGAGATCTTACAGGATAAGAACTTCCTGTTAGGATTCACAACGGAGACATGGAGAGGGCATCTCCTCAATGCTGACGACGATAACTTTGTCACACGCTGGCTAGTTGCAAAGAAATGGAAAACCTGGATTCAGTATAACCGGGAATGCGAGATTGAGACAACTCTTGAGAACAATCCCAAATTTCGCTGTCAGTGTAGCAGATGGGCAAGAAGTAATTGGAGAAGCAATTACACAAGTCTATTTATAGAAAGACATATCTGGCGGTAAGTCAAAACTCTACAGGAATGACATTAGCAACTTAACTATTATATAGGCAACAGCCTTGGTCTACTTATGTTCTACATCTCTCTATGTTTACAAATTTTGCTATTATCCGCGATCCTTTGCTTCTTTGGTCATGCTATAATAGTACTTCATCCTTTGAAGATCGTGCAAAGATATCTTTACGCGTTGCTTTCTTAATCTGGTGGCTGGTTACTAAAAACATCAAATTGATCGGGCTTTATAAGCGCAATATTCGGGACCTCCGATTTATACCAGTATCCATTTTCTTTACCTACTTCCATAGTTATATTAAGGCCCAGGCACTTTTTACTCTGAGCGAGGTATGATTTATCCTATTAATTAGGATATCTAGAATCTAATCTGTATTACAGATAAGCTGGGGAAGTCGATAGAGGCGGAGAGTAAAGACTGAAGATTTAAGGTATTATGATTGTCAATAAAGGAACGGAAAAGCTGGTGAATATTGGGCATCGTTTTTGTATCTAGGCTTCTAATTGTAGCTTTCATGGACATTCAAATTTTCCAGTATGTGGTCGGAGGGATTGCGAGGGGACGGTAGATAATTCAGCCCTGGTATCGTGCGTCTTCTATGGTAGTGCAGATCCGTCACCGCCCACGTGACCATTTCCTCGCTTAAATTTGAAAAAGGGGGGTTGCAGCTTCAATGGGAGTTTATTTTTGTGCCCTTCAGTCTTTGTAAAGGTCAAAATAGCCGCTTAGAATCGAGCACGCGGGATGTTGGAGGCGCTCTGTAGTGATCCGGCACAGCTGTGCCGAGCGAGGAGTCTCTTCAGCGAGCTTGGCCGACTTATCGCAAGCATCGGCCATGTGGGGAAGATTGACGACTTCACCATCAAGCCGATGGAGCAACATTCGTTCCTCGTGACTGGTCTCAGCCGACATACCTCGTCCCAACCCTCGTCCGGCGGAGGGACTGTATCGACTACAGAGGGAGGCCGTATCCACAGAAATACGACGTGTACCCGACCCCAGGATGGCAGAGCCGTTGATGCCGGGGCTCTTGCACCGCGAAGCGAGCCGTCAAGCAGCGACGACGGTGGTGGATTGAGCGACAGCGATTCCGAGTCTAGCAGCGACGATGACGAATATTCGAGCAAGGGCAAGCAGGGCCGTTCGAGCACGAGCAAGCACAGCCAATGGTCAGACCTAGACGAGTAGCGCTTGCTAGCATACAAGAAAGAGGACAAGTCTTGGGAATGGATCTTCCGCAAATTCCCAGGCAGGATTCGGCCCGCAATATGTATACGCTGGAACATGATACGGCCCGGAGGCGAGTAGGCTTCCTCCCGCAGGTAAACAGGCGGTAGCTCAAGCTTTGTATGCCTACTTGTCCCTTGGCGTCTGCTGGGACGAACGTCTGATATCCTTCTGCCTGCTAGTCTCAATGTGGGAGCAGGTATGGTCGAGGGAGGCGGTATTCAAGGCAAGGAGGATAGGGGATCAGATATATGGGTGAGATAATACAAAAGAAATAAAGAGGTTAATATTGGAAGGAGACATGAGGCGCTACGCCTTTACTGGAAACAATTAATATACTATCCATATTCATTGGTATCCTGGTATCACTGTCTCATACAGGACTCCTTGGAACCCATTTAATTAACTCGTTCTTTTCTGTAGTAGTTACGCTACTGGAGAACAAGCCTTGAGAACATATCCCAGGAGGTCGGGATAAGCTATAGACGCATTCCCACTAGACTTTGGAACGACTTGCTTGACCTTATCTCACAAGTTCCGTTAGTAAAACCTGTGAATAAACTGGGTTGGGAGTCGCCTGTATCGCCCCAGGAACTAATTAAGGTACTGCAACACTTCCACCGACGCCTTGTACCTACTACTCCGCCAGGTATCAAACCCCCAACGCCCGCGCCATCACCATTCGGCAGGCTTCCCCTCCACCTTATTCCGACTCAAGAAATCGAAAAACTCCTCAACCGACTCGAACATTACATCCAAGAAAGTAGACGCAGAAGAAAAATGCTGTTACTCATGGGCGGGTTCAGAAGCGGGACACTGGGGATAGCTCGAAGGGGAAGAAAGCGTCACCAAGGAAGATCCGCACATGTGAAGAAGTACCGACTTGAGACGACACAGTCTATGCCGATTATACTTGGGGCGGCTGGAGACGAGGTCGATTAAACATCAAAGCAGCATATCATTTCTGACCTGCAGTACGTCCGTGAACCTTATATCCATTTTCTTGTTCACTCTCGCTGACTTTCGTCCATAGCTCCTTCTTCTCTCCCTTCACATCATACAATCCCTCCACCAACACCCGGTATAGAGGATTCTCGAGCTTGCTCTGCTGCTTTTCTTGGGAGAACTCTCAGACTTTAGGGTAATGAAAGACGGACTGGCACCCAAAATCAGATGTGGTCCGGTGTAGAAGTGAGAGTACAAATCTGCGACTCTCAGTTGAAGAAATTCAAAGGGTGAAAAATGGACCGTCTTCTTTCTCTCCAAGGCAGTACCTGCGCTTCAATCTTGTTTCTGTCCCTAGATCCTTCCACGTGGAACTCAGCTAGACAGGTTATTGAGATAGCATTTATGTTGATCGCTATTTATTCGTGGGCAAATCGCATGACTGTTTGCTTCAAATACAAAATGGGCCTTCGATCAACACCCTGCCGCCGTCCGAGCCCCACGCAGACCAGACCAGATGAGATGCTCCCTCAATGCTGCGTCACCTACTGTCACGTCGAGGCAATGTGAGCTCAGGTTATGCCTTGGTTAGAATCACCTCAGTCCCAAACACTTCTCTTAATCGGTCCTTGTACCTTTCCTCTTCCTCGATCTTCCTCTCAATCACCTGTGCTGCGCCAACACCCCAATACGGGGCCATAACTTGATCAAAGATCCGCATTTCACAGTGTTGTGGACAAAACAGCCGTTGGATATGCTCGGTAAAGACTCGACACAATCCTTTGGGGCTATTTATCGCATGAAAGTACCAAAAGCTTCCAGTCTCCCAACACTTCCTCATTATTGGTGCTTGATATAACGCCTCTCCAACCATGCCCCTTTCTTCTTGTTCGAAAGCTTCGAGGTATTCCAAAACGAGTTGATGAAATGTCTCAAGATGTTCACCCGGTTCCATCTCATCTATAGCCCGCCCAGAAAGCCAGTATGGAGGGCATTGTAGTTGAATCGGTAGGGAACATGCCCATTCCAAGTCGATTAGAGAGGTAATATGCCAGTCATCATCAACAAAGATATTGCTCTGATGGAGATCTGTAAGGGTGAAAACAAAAGGCCCGTAACGAGAATTGCGCGGCGAAAAGTGATGAAGGACTGCACGCATCGCAGTTAAAGCGGCCATTTGCTGCTGACCGTCATCTTGGTCGTGGATAGAATTTGGCTGAAAGGAAATACGGTTATCGTGACAACTCAAAAGATCAAGAAGGTAAGGTTCCACAGTTGAATAGGTAGAGCTTCTGCTGATGGCAGTCGGGACACCTTCATTCTCCAATGATTGAAGTTGTAGGGTTAGAGGACGGTTGGTCAAGGTTATAAATCCTTGATTGTTCAAAGTCAGAGACCCAATCGCTGCCAAAGGAGATTTGTTCAGCGACAGGATGATCCGAGCCAAGCCATGGAAAAGGTTTGAACGGCGAGTCTTGTCGTGGCGGAAGGCCTCCCAGGTGTTGGAGAGCATTTTCCCCTGCGAAACCCTACCTATGATGATATAGCCGGTATTCAGGGTGTCTTGATATCTTCGGCTGATGTACTGGCATGGAGTTGGAAATCGAAGCCACGAAAGCAGGGTCCTTCTCGTATGCCACATTAATCGAGCGAAGAGAGGTGTTTGTTCTGGAGCCGTGAACTAACATGATAGATGGTTAGCAGACATCCGAATAGAAATGGATATTGGCTCCATTGAACGTACGGTCTGGCCATTCGGAAACCCAAATCCAAACAAATACGGTATCGAAATGTCTGGACAGTTTTCTTGAATCCATAGATACGAAGCAACCTCGCAACGAAGCTTCTCGTCCACATTGCCTGGAGACTTTGCTTCTCCAACTTTGTAAGGCAGTGGAATCCGAACGAGTACCGAACGCACATTGGAGGGTGGGCTGATGTAGACAGGTATGCAAACGTTGTAGCTGCCAGATAACCAGGTCTGTACGTCACTAACTCGGCACTTCTTCGCACGGAGGTGGAATGAGACAATAGCTTCGATCTCGGCCTTATGGGCGGACAAGTAACTAAAGAATTCTTGTCTTTGTCGAGGATATCCGATTTGAGCGAGCATGTTGTCGTCGTCATTCAGAGCCCGGTCTAGCGTGATTCTCCCGTTCAGAAGTGGTAGTGTGTTCGACATGGTGGGGTTGATCTGCAATGGCTATCGGGAGACGGCGTTGGCTATTGAGGAAAGGATTTGTTTGGATGAAGATTGCTTCATGTAGCTGGATTTTGGCCCCTGAATTGGACTGGACTCCTGTCGTGGGGTAGCCGCGTTCCTGAATTTCAGCACCCGCTTCGGCTACCGTAGCTAGCCCTACTGGTTTCCAGAGCCCCATGATGCGAACATTTCCAAAGTTGCAGGGCTCCAATTGACCACGTTGACGGCGCGGAAGGTCCGATTCGATTCGGGATGCTGTCTCGCATCACGTCAGAATTATTAAGCTGGATATATGCACTTACCCCTCCATACTCCCCTCCCCCCCGGTTTAAAGGTTAGCGTGCGGGTCCGAAAGACTTCCTCTGATTTGCTTTCGAGAAGATTCCAGCTATCTGATTAGCTGGATCACCTTGTTTGCCACTGTATTTTGAGCACAATGCAATGCAGTGTAACACCATCGTACTACCGCATAGACAGACCCGCATCCAGAGCGGGGGGTACTGTTCCTTCTACAGTACGTGTATATTTGTTATTTGAGGCTTACGGCGCATATTGGGGCTCGGAGGCTCGGCTCGACCCTTCCTACCGGGGAGATCGTGGGGGCCCACTACTTTAACCGGGCGTCGATATCACCCACCACGAGTAGCTCTGGCCACCCCACTGGAAAGGATGACTGATTGAAGTTATACGCAATTACCAGATCAAACCAAATCTTCCACAGACACAGAACAAATGTCTTTTTCGTATGCCATTTGGCAGATCGACGATGCGAACTTGAGCTACTATTACAGACCTGAAGAAACAGCTTATGGAATCTACTATAGGTTGAAGCAGCCGGCGGAAGGCTTTCCTGAAGGTTTCTATGCATCTGAGCGGTAAGCTAAGGTGTTTAACCCATAACAGACGAGCTAAATCTAAACCTCTTCTAGAGCTCAAGAAATGGCAGATCACAATCAACAGTTGCAGATGGCACAAACCTCTGGTGACTCGGCTAAGAGGGAAAGAGGAAAAAGGGTGGATGACGACACCACTCTCCCTTCAGAGAGGATAAAAGCTGGTGCGAAAGAAGCCGGCGGACAAATCCTATCTTCTGGTGATATGGCGAGGGGATCTCGCAGGAAAAAGACGAAGTGATGAGAGGAAGGAGGCTGAGAGATCACCGCCCTGGGAATATCCAGAGAAATATTAAAACACTCGTGGATCCCGCAAATAGCTATATTAAATTAAAGTGATTGATGATTTTGCTACCGTCAGCTACTCAGAGTGGTACACAAACTGGTCCACTTGATCGGTTGGTATTGTGATCCGATGTATGACATCCTCCAAGCTTCCAAGAGTTCCGATTTGCGCAAGGGTTCCTTATCTTTCCCCACCTGTTCTGCAGATTATTTACGCTAATTCCAGAAACTTTTCCATTCATCGCCCGTCGCGTCTTTGCCCATCCCAATCTCCCATTACTGTACAATTTCCAAAGTTCCAAACTGCTGCTGGTGCTCATGGCTGGGCTCTCTGAGCGCCAACTCAAAGCAATCAACGATAATCCTATCAACAATGCCCTTGATTCGTTAATATTAGCGCAAGGCTTAGATGCCCACTTTGGGAGAGCTGACCACGGCAAACGCAGGAGGTCAGTAGACGGTGACCTGCCCGCGAGAAAGAGGGTGCGGATTTGAACTTATCTTATTATTATTTTAAGCTCTTTCGAAAAGCTGCTGCTGCAGTACTGGAAAGTCCATCCAAGGTTTTAACAGGGTCGGGCAGGGCTTGTTTTTGGGACTGGTGATGGAACCCTGTGTGCTGAGGAACGGGACGACGATAACGTGCCGAGCCGTGGTTGATGCGGCAGAACAATTTCGCCGCTTTGACTCCTAGGATTCTTTTTGGAAGCTGGTTAGCGCAATCTACGCCCTACGCGGCTGAGGTGCGGCTCCAGTTACGGAGAAAAGGAAGGGGAGGGCACGAACCGTGCCACCATCAAATGAAAACTCTGAGCTGTGCCCTTCCTACGAATAGGTTGATTGGATCAGACGGCGTACATTGCAATGCACGGTAAACGCTTGGTAATGGACGTGAGACATTGGCCACATTTCTCATGTCGAATGCAGAGATGCATAGTCGATCTCTGCCAATCAATTCTGTGGGCAATATTGTGATGTGCCTGGGCTGCATCGTATTGTTGGTCTTCCCAGCAAGGGCGATAGTTGGTTCAAAGGAGAGAAGCAAATGAGTCACAGAGCCTTGTGCGACGTTCACAATCTGTTTGGGGCGGCATGCGGCTCAAACGAGTTCACGTTGGCGGCAAAACACGCTCTCGCGACCACCATTGGCTCGTAGCCAAGGCTTCAAGGGAAGAACAACTGGCTTCTGCCTAATGCGAGCCGAAGATAAAGCACAATGTTCTCCCACTACTTGGTCAGGACATCTCAAAACGACCTCCATATCCATTCAGCACAGCCAGAAGTACGTCTATCTTCTATCACACTAAAGCGTGCCCAGTCCCGAGCACGACCTTTAGATTCTATCATTCCAAAACTCCAGCTGGCACAAGCTAACTTCCAATCAGGTAAATTGCAATCCTATCAAGCTCCGTTCGAAACTACATCGATCTACCTTCGTTCAGTAAGGAGTCATCACCCCAAACACTTGTAGGATATTAACCGAGTTATCAAAGAGCACTACAATGCATAACACAACCTCAACCCAAACCTTCGTCAATATGGCTGCGGGCCTGGCGCCTGAGCTGGTCGATTCCGTTGAAAGTGCTTACACGACCTGCGCCAAGCTAGGCTGTGGCAAAGAAGTCAAGCGTGGAACGGTGTGTGAATGCGGGTGGCAGAATTAGCTCTGCGTAACAGCAGGAGAGATTGAAGGCCGGAAAAGAAACTCGCTACGAAGCGGCATAGAGTCTGTCATTACTACGTGTATTTCGTAATCCTATCTGCGAGGCGGTCTGAGAGATTATCGAGGAATATCTTTAAATCCACTAGCATTCCTGAGCTGGCTTGAACACTCTGAGCTAGCCATGGCAATATTGACCAAGCCAATCCTGCCCATTACAACCACGCTGACAAGGTATAAAATGGTGTTGATAAGATTTCGGCCCACAGTCTATTGCGCGTGCAATGGAAATGAGTTCCCTCTATCCAACAGATTTTAGGAGATTACCTATGAGAGAAACTCATCGATCAGTTTGGAGTACCATCCAACCTTTCCATTCTGATACAGCCTCATCGCAGTTGCCAATTGCTGTCTTCTTGAATCCCCTAGCGCTTCCGATAGACAACAGCTATTTCCATCGCTTCTATTCTCCTCCTGTCTCACAGCCGCCACATAGTCTATCTGGTCCGCAAATTTTCGTATTAGATCAGGGCTCTTGGGAGAGCCTTCTTCATCGTAGTTCCATGGTGCATCCATAGCAGGTGGAACTGTTGAAAGAGTCAAAGGGAAATCTCCAAATACCTCCCACGGCCCAGCGAAGGCTGTTTCCCAGTCAATTACGCCGAGGACGTGATATTTGTCATCAACAATGACATTGTTGTGGCCAAAGTCACCATGGCAGAGAGGAAACGGGCCGTAATCGCGGACAGACAGTCTACCAGCTAGCTTGTTGATGGATTTTGTGAAGGAGGCGACCGAGGGAATGATTTCGGCAGCGTATGGGCCGGATGCTGCTCGTAGTTGCTCGTCTAACATACCAAATTCAACTTTGGCCGCCCATGCTTTGAAGAACTCAGTTGCTGTGTCAAAGGGGCCTCCCAGCCCTGGTATTGGGCCTTGTTGGTACGTGCCGTTCCCGTTCATAGAGACAATTGTCCCGATCTTAGGCAGCTGTACCGCGGATAGCTGGACCTAGGGCAGAGAACAATTCAATTAGTTATCCCTATGTGCTCCGAATACAAGTCGCTTTACCTACATGGATCTTTGCTAGACTGCTCAAAAAGGCTTGCTTATACTCAGGTGGTATCTTCATGCCCAAATCCATTCCTACATTACCCTCCAAACAGTCCATTAACATGAATGGTGCTTTCATGCTGCAACCACTTTTCACCTCAAATGCGTGGATTTGGGGGACAGGTATTCTGGTCTTTCGTCGCACAAGAGAAATTGCGTTGAATTCACAATTCATTATGGTCTTCAGAGCCTCTTCATCGGAACCAGATTTTGCTAGAGGAGGCATTCGGAGCCGCGCCACCCATCGGGTTTCATCTGCAAATTCGATAATTCGAACCATGTGGTTGTAGCCAAGGCCAATATCCGGGAGTAGCATGCAGTTAATGCCATTCCGCTTCTTGGCTGCGTAATCTAGGAGTGCAGGCCAATCCATGGATGCTAAAAACAGCTCGGCCCGTGAGCGAAGCGGACCTTCTTGTAGAGAAGAGAAATAAGTCCACTGATACCCGGAAAAGGCCTTGTCATTTTCTAGACTGCTGTCAGTGTGCGCCGACGACCAAATTTGAAGGCGGCTTAGGGCGGACTTACGAGAAATGTTGTCAGAGGAGGATTTCAGCTCCAAGGCTTTACTCTCCATTGCGTAAAATAGGAGGGGAAGACCGACTTCAAAAGCTAAAAGAACCTATGGCTTCGACTTGATATCCACACGTTTTTAGGTGTTTAGGAGGAAGAGTAAAAACTCTGACGTGGTAAACGCTTGTACTGCAGGCAGATGCAGGGTTTATAGTTAATCCGTGCCGGTTCCTCAATCACGTGAATTATACCCTCAGGCATTTATTCAGCGGATGGGTGCCGCACTTAGTCGAGCGGGGTTACATCTGTGCCAGCGAATAGCTGTAACAAATACTAAGCGTAATAAAACAATCTGACGCTGCAAAGGTTGATGTAAGGTTATTACTTGAGAACGGAGATATGAACAGGATAGCGGTTTGTAAGCAAAAGGCTATTCTTACAAACTGCTATAAAGATACAAAGCAAATTTCGGCTAAGAGTATTAAAGAGAGACAAGGCGTGGCTAGGAAAGACGAGCAGTCAATTTTGCGATTAAATTAAAGAGATATATAAATGGTGCAAGTGAGACAGCCTTACGTTTGCTGATACGTATAACACAGCCTCAACATTTCCTATTTCAGCATTCTGCTTCAACTCATACCACGCGTGCACACCTTTATCCACCAACTCCCAATCATCTTCGAGGGCCGGAATTCACTTATATATATAACTTATAAACTATTAGCAGCTATTGTGGGAGGGAAACTGCGACAAGACAAAAACCCACATAAAGTACACCAGAGCGCAAAACGTGACTTGACAGCAAAACAACAAATCAAAAGCGTAAACAGTAAAGCATAAACAGTGTACAGTGTGCAAAAGCTCAATTGATTGAATACTCAGGAGGGATTGTTCTCTAGGACTACAGAAAAACCAGCTTTCTTATGTGATTTCCGCAAGTCACGTGCAAAAGGCCGCGGCCTTTTCCATGTGACCAAAACCTCAAAACCGCCAAAACAACATGATTTTTGGAAAGTACGGCCTGCCGTACCACACTATCCTTATACTTCTAATTTTAGAATATAGTACGGATTGCTTTTTCCTTTAGTAATAACTACTATTATACTATTATAACCTTTACCTTTGGTATTACTCCCTTGATTCGATCTCAATACTCCCTAGCAACTTAGCATATTAATTTCTTCTTATTTTGGTCGAGATAATGGTTATAAGCTATTTAAAGCCTCACTACTTTAGGGAGCTTATCGGGATTGCCCTTGCATTCAGGATAATAATTTTTCTTAACAGGCATTTCGGCAAGTAGCAAAAGATTCAGAAATAATTTATTTGGTAGTGAAGTGAGTTGTGGTGGTTGAATAATCATTATTTAAGTGGCAGTTAAATTTTTTTGGGGCTGTTGGGGGGTATGGGCGGTTGGCTAGTGGATACTTCTACTAAGCGAGCCACATTTAGCGATTCTGCCATAAAGGCGGTATTAGGCCTATATCGCTAAAAAAAAAAAAAATTACAGCGCAATAGCCCTGTAACCATCGCTAAAAAAATAAGTCCGAAATTTTAATTAAGGTTTCTTAACAAATAATAGATAAGACTTTTAATTGAAAGGGATAGTTTTTACAAACTATCTATAGCTATACTTACTTAGAATGGCCTTTTATATTATATTTGCACCCTTATTGTGTCATCCACTTGTACTATCCCTTCGTCCGGTGAGACATTGCCACATTAGCGGCCGCACATGAATATCCCTAATTTAGCCAGAACATAATCCAAATTAGGGATATTCATGTGCGGCCGCTAATGTGGCAATGTCTCACCGGACGAAGGGATACAGTCGCTTAAGGAAGCACAATCACGTGTACTATTGGTTATATAAGCTGCCCGCCTAAAATACCTGTGACGTGCTAAGATCTCCTTCGATTCCAACAATCGTCCTTATCTTCTAACTCGTCTCGCAACTCAGTCTTTCAACTCGTCTCGCACAATTGACCAGCGCGCCCTCGATGGACCCTCCCAATTTCGCTTGTTTCAATAAGCTACCCATCGAAGTAAGGCAGAAAATATGGAAGCTGCTTGCTCCAGAGCGATTATTTGAACTCTGTATTGAATATGTTCCACGGATAAAGAACCAGCAGACGGGCATATATGAGCGCAACCCAGGGGCAGTTGTACTTCGAGGAAGAGTATCTCTATCTGCTAATTACAAAAGTCTATCTGCTGATTGTGATTTGTTGAACAGGACGGAGAGACAGACACTCAACTTCAAATCGCAAAACGAGTTGTGCCTAGCATTCCAACACTTGGTATTTTTCTGGCCTGTAAAGAATCGCGCGAGGTGGCCACGAAATTTAATACCACGAAATTTAATGCAGAAAAGGACAAAGTGATTGTGGTCGATGCAAGGCTCGATCGCCCACCGACTGGGTGGGTTCCGGGGTCTGGCTCTTACAGGCCCAAGGTACGAGAACTTCTGGACGGGGGTCTAGACCATGGAGCATTCAAGGAGGCCCTCAGATCTCCCAGGCACATCGCAGATTTCGTGTCGGAGGCTACGGTAGATGGCATACGAAACAAAGCCGAGGCATGTTACGACCGAGCTTGGAGCCGATTTCCTGAGATGGAGACTTTCACGGCTATTTTACCTCGCAAAATAGAACCACATTTATGGAGCGCCTTTACAGAAGAATGGCGCAAGTGTGATACGAATTTAGCGCCACGGATGTCTCCAATTAAGTTGCTCGTCGCGCAAGATGAGTTTCTTTTCTCTAGTTGGATCATTCTAGATAGAAGGGAGCGGTATTTTCAAAACAAGAGCGAGTGGGAGATTGAGTGGAAAACTATACAACCTTGGGGACCGGAGGAGGGACAAAGAACCCCGGCGAAGATGGAGGTGGTTAAACGCGGAGGGAGGGCTGAAAGGAGACACTTCTTGCAAAGGTTCCTGGGTAGTGAGGTGGGGGCGAGGGAGGAGAGGATCGAATGGGAGGCAGAGGTCAAGTGGTGGGGAGAGGCAGAGAAAGCGCTAGCAGGCGACCTCCGTTATTCTGTTAGGCGCCAAATATATTAAATGTGCGGACTCCCTTCCCTCCCAACTACTTAACCTTCCTCCCCTTCTTGCCTCGCACAATATTAGCGGCACCCGTCTTGTCCACGTGGGAATATATCCCGAACAAGGATACGGTATATTACTAACGCTGGAAAGGCTATGGGTCTCAGTTAGCCATTCCCCGACAATTCATATGCAGAGTGCCACGTATACCTGATCACCTCTAATCACGACACTTGTTCGGCGCTTCCCACCTCCAACTCACGCAATAAGCAAATCTGAGATTTTTGGTAGCACCCCACCAAAATCTCCCCTTTTCGCCCTTTAAATTCTCTTGTAAAACTTGCTCCAAGACTTTGATCTCTTCCGCCAACGGAGTCCTCCTGCGGTCAAGGCTTCCATTAAAGTTCGGAAGAATCAGGGCGGTCTCGAGGTGCTTTTTGCAGAAAGAGAGAAAAGTCAAAAATCATCTCAAATACTAGAGTTAGCTATCTTACGCCTTGTAACAAATCCTTATTAATTAATTTCTCGCTTAGTCTAATATAATAAACAATATATATTGGATAGAGAAGGTTAGTATTAATCCTAGGTAGTATAGTTAAATAATCTTTGGATAAATTTTGGTCGAGACTTACTGCTTTCCAGAAGCCTTGGGCTGCTTTCACTAGATATTATACTCGTTTGTCGCGTTCGGTGACTTTATTTGGAACCTTCTTACGAAAGTATTCAAGGATAAAATCATTTGAGGATGGCGGAGAGTCAGTCGGTGGGGTGCATATTGAAGTCAAGGCTGGTGAGGAGAGACATTTTGCAATTAGCACCTTCTCAGACATCCCAGCCATTATTCAAAAAGCCAAGAAGCAAGCGATCATAAACAAGATAGGAAATACCTAATTATGGCGGACCTTGCAGGCCTGGACAATGTGCCAAACAGAGCCAGCAATCAGACTAGTACACTGCAATTCATGGCAATCGACCGCGAGTCGTTTTCTACATCCTTATATGGATGCGCATTCGTTATGGTCACGATAGACGACGGGCAAACCAGCAAGAAGACAAGGACTTGGGCAAGTGAATTGCGGCGATATAGGCAAATACACGAGGCCGGGGCTGGGTAGCAAGATTGTTTGCTACAAAGGGCTTCAGGAACGATACAATGAAGCTATTGAATCAAATGAACACACGAGTTATTGTATAATCTACCTAGTTATGTCTAATAAAGATATCGCTTGAAGGCCGGTTCCTGTCCGTCCCCTGCTTTTGCATCGTATTGACGTTTTGCCACAAACACATCCACTAACTCTGTCGCCCCCAGCAAGGTGGGCATTCGCTCCACCCATATGGAAAACTAATGAACAGGCAGACTTGGACAAATGGCGGGTCTGTTTCTAATGAAATTCCACACAGCACGATTTGTGAGCGCATCTCTCACTTTGTTATGCACTGAATTCGAGAGCAACTTATCAGTTTGAGTAGTTGAGGATAAAAAGGTAATGGAGGAATGGGAGCAGTTAGATTGAGTATTACTATTATGGAAAGTCTTGGCAAGGTCGTGAATGGTAGGCTACACTTTATATTTTATAAAACTCGATTTTTTTGGTATTCTAATTACAAGCACTTTTATAAACGGAACATATTGCGAAACATACAAGCATATAAACATGCAAACATGCAAACAAATAAACAAACATATAGATCGCACTACGTAACACTAGGAAAGAAAGTACTGGAAGGAAACAAATAACCTCTTATAAGTAACAATATTCTTCCTGATCCTTTTGCGTAATATGCTAGTAAACCATTAGAAGCGAGAGGGAAAGAAGGAGTATTATATATATACCTCAAAGTAAGTAAATTTCTCCTCCACGCTTCTGGAAAATTTCCACTCTCTTAAGAGACCTATTGCGTCTTATCCTCCCACATATCGAGAAACTTTTCCTGTTGTTTTTTATTCATAGCTCCATCCTTAATTCCATTAAGTGCACACCACCGTTTTCGATATCTTAGCATCTTCTCAATATCGTCATCCTCTTCCTGTTCGGAATTCTCTTCCTGTTCAGTATCCTCTTCCTGTTCGGCATCCTTACTCTTCCCCTTTTTCGTCTCCTTCCCTTTCCCTTTTTTGGTCTCCTTCCCTTTCCCTTTTTTGGTCTCCTTCCCTTTCCCTTTTTTGGCCTCCTTCCCTTTCCCTTTTTTGACCTCCTTCCCTTTCCCCTTTTTTGTATCTTTGCTATCTTCCCCCTTCCCCTTCCTAACGCCATTGCCTTCCTTTTGAGGTGGCTGGTTGCCGTCATCCCCTTCATCGCAACTAAAGAACTCGCCATCGCTGCCGTCATCGCTGCCGTCTTCGCTGCCGTCGTCGCTGCCGTCATCGCTGCCGTCGTCGCTGCCGTCGTCGCTGCTGTCGTCGCTGCTGTCGTCGCTCGCTTGGTTTTGAGTCTTTAACCACATGCTATGTTCCGCGGCATGGGTTCTCGCAGCCTTATAGATTCTTTTGTCACAATCTTTAGCGCTAGGGAAGAGGTGCTTGATCGACGATCGTGTCTCCCACGTCCTCCAGACCTTGTTGTCAATCACCCATTTAACGTAAACCTCCGTCACTGGGAATCTTCTGGCCTCAGTTACCTTTTCCCCTTCGGAGTCTACCCACGTCCTCTTCGGTTCCAAGTCCGCTAAGTCACCCCGGTAAGTCACAGCCAGGATCCCATCAAATTCGTCAAAGGTCCGCACGTAGTTGTCGTATTCGTCCTTCTCGTCTCCATACCTGTATTGGGGGCCAAACCATGGGGTATTGCGTTTATCGAATTTTTTGAGTGGTCTTGTAGTATGAAGGTACCTGGCAGCCCCCGGAGGCCCATATCGAATCATTATGTGAGTTGAGAATCCTTTCTTCCTCCAGTGAGTAACCACCCCGTTACGGCTGTTGTTTTTGATCAAACCTGCATCCTCAGGCTCTTCTCCGTTAACGTCTGTTTCTTCTGGATTCAACTGGCCCGGCTGGCCCGGCTGGTTCGGCTGAGGAGGCGGGTTCGACTGAGGAGGCGAGGGAGTCCGAGGAGGCTGGTTCGACTGAGGAGGCGAGGGAGTCTGAGGAGGCTGGTTCGACTGAGGAGGCGAGGGAGTCTGAGGAGGCTGGTTCGACTGAGGAGGCTGGTTCGACTGAGGAGGCTGGTTCGACTGAGGAGGCGAGGGAGTCTGAGGAGGCCGGTTCGGCCGAGGAGACTGAGAAGACGGGGTACTACCCAATGCGGAATCACCAAGTCCGCTATTGTCTGCTGGCTCATCCACAGTTTCGCCATTTCCGGTGTTTTGGTCGGAATTGGGAGTATGTTTTTTACTATCGCTGAGGCCAGATATATCAGCAATTCCGGAGTCGTGAAATTCTGTATCCTTACCCTTGCCCGGGCTTGAGGTAGGACCTTTATCCTTACCCTTGCCCGGGGTCGAGGGAGGATCGGAACCGGAAGGACCTGCCACCGACATATTGATTTTCTCCTTTAGCCGCTCGTATTCTTCTTTAACATTGGAACTCTCGCCGTTACTAGAAGAGTCGAGAAGTCTCGATAGTTGTTTTAGTGTCGTCTGGATCTCGACTTGCTTGTGTTCTTCTTTAACGTTAGAACTCTCGCCGTTTCTAGAAGAGTCGAGAAGTCTCGATAGTTGTTTTAGTGTCGTCTGGGTCTCGACTTGCTTGTGTTCTTCTTTAACGTTAGAACTCTCGCCGTTTCTAGAAGAGTCGAGAAGTCTCGATAGTTGTTTTAGTGTCGTCTGGGTCTCGTCTTGCTTGTGTTCTTCTTTAACGTTAGAACTCTCGCCGTTATTAGAAGAGTTGAGAACTCTCGATAGTTGTTTCAGTGTCGTCTCGTTCTGCTGTCTGAAAGCAGTTGCAGCGGCACGCGCCCTGCGAGCACGCTCACGATGATTGACTCCCGACCTACTAGCTTTTTCTTCCCTCTCGGCTATAGCCTTGCGATTCTTTCGGAAAAGTTCTTCAAGTTCGCGATGGGGTGTGGAATCTAATTCGGGGAATGAGTTTTCCATAAGGCAATTTTTCAACTTGGAGGTTAGGGAAATCCAGCTCTTTATACGTCGAGTCTCACGCCATCTATATTATTATGAGATGATCCTTCTCAGAAACTGGATGGTGGAGAACCAGAGGTCACCTCGAGCAGAAACATATGGATGGCTCCACCATTCTTTCCTGGACATGGGATCATCTGGGAGGCAACAAATGAGGGGTCTTCTTTGTTATGTAGTGGATCCCGTCCGTTTCTTGATGGCTATGATTAGCCCATCTAACAAACCCATGAGTTTCATACAAGCCCGATCTTTATTTCCCCCAAACATATATTGTGGGCGGTGCACAGAACTCTCTTATGTCTAACTTACTCACGGGCTAGAAGAATCATGCGATTTGTCTGGAAAACCGCCATACTTCAGAGACAACAGAATGAAGAGTCCACTTGCCATAGCTTTGGCATTCATCCTTGTCCTGTGCTCGTTGGGAGCGGTAGAAACATCACGCCAACGTTATTGTGAGTGAATCGAGGTCGCAGTATTCGCATTTTCTAACATTTCCACTCAGCCTCCCATCGCAGACGGTCACGCACGCCATCGCCAAGAAGGACTCGATCTACACGCTGACGATCGAAATTCCATCCACACTCCCTTCTAGTCTGGTTTTCGATACAAGTGAGCTTCCGTCGATCTTCGCACCTACCACCATACCTTCCAGTAGCTACGCAACTCACACCACCTTACCAATGCTTGCTGTCATTGCTGCACCAGTGGCCATATTTCTACCTTAATTAAATGCGTGAGGAGGATTCTGGGGATTTGAGAAGCTCCTGTTCTGTTTTAGTGAGAGGCGTAGACAATGCTAAATTGAATCGAAATAAATTATAACCGGGAAATAGCTCTGCCATTGCATCCTTGTTGCGAGTTTAGTACGATTAAATCTCCTTGCATTACTCATGTTCTATACCCTGACTTCAGATGAGATTTAGGAAAATTTTTAGGTTGCCTGAAACTTTCATTCGTCTTGGTTCAATAATACACCATTCTCAGCCACTTCCTCCACCCTCCTAACTATTGCTGAGTAAAGTCCAGCCGTGGCACCGTTGGGGCCTTGATACCGAGTATAGAGAGAGCAGAATCTTTGTCGTGTTGAGCTGGAGAAGTCTCGATCTTCCCCTTTCGCCTTCGCGCCAATTCGAAATCCGCCGCAGTTTTTGCTATAGTTCCACCACGATCCTTGGACTGTCAGATTGGGATGCGATCTTATCAACCCGTTTACCTACCATTTCTACCTGGGATGGCCAGAATGGGCGGTCCGTGTTCGTGAATGTGTAAAATTTGCCATTCCTTTTCATCGAGATGAACATCTCCACGTCAGACTTGATACCAATTGTATAAGCCCTGTAAAATAAATTCTTTTTCGATTTGCGAAATTGTTCCGCCTTTTTCCTCTTTTCCATCATGGTCGCGTTCCGTGAATCGGTTTGCTGAAAGTAAGCCTGTGTCACCTATTATATGGTGTCAGCAGCTATTAGATGATCCCTGTAGTAGATGATCCCTGTAGTAGATGATCTCTGTAGTAGATGATCTCTGCAGTAGATGATCCCTGTAGTAGATGATCTCTGTAGTAGATGATCCCTGCCGGGTACGACTGAGTCACCCTCCCCATCTTCCAAGCCCTCAAAAATTGGATGGCTGTAATGCCGCGTATTCTCATTCTTGGACACGTATTTTACAGTTCCATTCACTCTCATTGAAAGTTCTTCTTCCTCTCAAACATTATATAATCATGTCGCTCACATCGTTTTTGCACTGGCTGCTTTCGAAGTTTGGCAGCATGGATGTCCCATCACGGTATTCATTTATTTCTGGATGTATCTTTGTAGCGCGGTTATTGGGTTATGGTATCTGTCGTGTTCTCAACGTTAGGTGGCCATTAACCACATCCTTTGTCAACAGACACCTCATCTATCCGCACATCCTTCCCCGTAACTCGTTCATAGGGACAGCGACGCGATTTCAGGTCTTAATTGTATCTCTCTACCTCGTCGCCAACACTCTCATTGTTGTCATCGGGGGGCCAAGAGCCCAGATGAGCTCACGCGCGTCTACCATGTCAATCATCAACCTAATTCCGCTCCTCTGTGGCTCGCGACTTAGCCTTGTGACAAAATTGGCCGGAATTTCACTTCGTGCCAGTATTGGCTCTCATCAGTGGTTCGGCAGGACCGCGATCGCACAGATGTTGTTGCATACGGCCATCTCATTGACAGGAAGTTCTCCGTTCACATGGACAGCGAGTAATATCAATGGGGCTGTGGTGTGTTCTGCTCCTGCTCCAGTGAGACGCCGGTTGATGTGTTGCAATAGGCAAGCTCTGCTTCCGGATTCATATTTCTCCTCTCGATTTGCATTGTGAGGCGTGTGCTGTATGAATGGTTCTTGAATTCGCATCTGCTCTTATCTGTGGTGGTTTTGATAGCCATCTGGCGCCACATATCTTCGAAGAAACCGGCGGAGTTGTTCTTAAGGATTGGCATGTATCTGTGGACCATCGTGACGACCGTTCACTGGATTTTGTTTGCAAAGAGGAACTTTGTCTTTGGTCGACCATTCGCAACAGCCGTGGCGGTGAGGCATTACGGCAAGTCGAATCGGTTACTAGTTGATCCGTCACACGTATTGCAGGTGGACATTACCGTCCCGAGGCCGTGGCGTGTTGAGGCTGGCCAGTCCGTTTTCCTCTCAATCCCCAAACTTGGCATTTTCACCGGGCTTCGCGGCCACCCTTTCACGATTTGCTGGTGGGAGCGGGACCGGAAAGGCTTGACAATATCTCTCTTGGTGAAGCCGAGGGCGGGTTTTACTGCGGAGCTCGACAGACATGCGAATAGAAAACTCCTCGCGTTCATTGATGGGCCGTATGGCGTCCGATATGACTTCGGACAGTACGGGACGGTAATTATGTTTGCGACGGGGATCGGCATTGCGGGCCTCATACCATATATCAAGGATCTGATTAGTGGATATAATAACTGCGCGGTGAAGACGCATCGCATCCGACTAGTTTGGGAGATCAAAGAGCAATGTGAGTGACATTATTGCTCGATCCGTGCCGATATCTTACCGATATTAGGTCAAGAGGATTGGGTGAAACATTGGATGGACGAGCTCTTGGCCAGCGACACAGGATACGTACAACATCCCGTGTCCAATGCATGATGCCGCTGACCCTCCGTTGATCCTCGACATTTCTATCCATGCGCCGGATGCGGAGAAAGACAAACCGTATGGTAGTCACTCTAGGATCCTGGAGACCTCAGTTCCACCAAACGTAGTGAAGATTCTTGATGCCGAATTCGAAGACCGGAGAGGACGGATCATGGTATCCCGTAAGCGCCGACTCTAAAAAATCATGCCCTGCTCGATGCACTGACCATTGTGTAACCTTGAAAGTTTGCGCGGACACGGCCATCACCGACAAAGCCCGAAAACATGTACGGGAGAAGAAGAATAAGTGGGTACGGCTTGTTGAGTTGGACTTCCAGCCGTCTTTGTGGGAGACGGGTCGGCTGTTCTCTTCGGATATGGATTTTCAGTGCGAAGGATAATCCTTGCACAATATTGGACAGCAATTAGAGGATTGGATGGGGGGTTTAACTAAAAGCGTCTAGTTGCAAAATTAAACTTTGGTTCCCACTATTTGAGTTTGATAGTAGGCAGCGCACGTGGCCTTTTAAATGTGGGTCGCAATTAACCGCTGGACCTTGTGCCAGCCTCTGTTCCGGCCTCTGCAGAAATGAGCTTGTAAGCTTTGGCGCAGCACTATGCTGCGTCTACAAACGGATCCCCTAGGCGCCGCTTAAGTTAATTCAGACGTCCCTGAAGACAAACCAATAAGTGTGGGAACAACGTGAATTAAGAGAAAAGAAAAATAGAATGAATATGCGACTCTAATCTAGATCCGAGATTGACCGGGTTCTCCCTCCCATTTCCGATCACAGTCACTTTAGTGAAACCCTCCACGGCGCCAAACACTACGCGGCAAGCAGAACGGTTAGCCTATATCCTGGTTTGTGACGGGCGAGCTAATCTCGGCCCTGACGTTGAGGCAGTTCAAAAACTCGGGCCAAGGTGATCACCTTTCTTTTAGTGCGCACATTAAGACGGGGGAAGTATGGCCGAAGGTCGTCCACTTCGGGACGAAAGCCGCAGGTGGTCCTTTGAGGCAGCCCACTTTGGATGACCCCTTTTAGATGAGGGTGGTGTTGAAGATGATCCTCTTCGGATAGTGTTTTTGGACCGCCGTTTTAGATCATCTATTGAGTCAAGGAATAAGCCACATGAAAGATCACCTCTTGGATGGTACCAAACTTCGAGCCTGCTTATTTCCCGTAGTTTATGAATATGACAGGAGAGTATTTTAACGCACACAACCTTGCTGAAACTTCCTATACAAACTATATTCCACTCGAGACTACCGATTTATCAAAAGTGAGACCTCTCGCTGAATATATAGCTCACTAGTAAACTCAAGAGAAATCCAGGACAACACCACCACTGTAGTAATGCCTTGGCGTTGGCGTTGTTGTTCTTGCGACAATTCGCAAACCGTCGATTTCGAAAACAATACCTGCAAGCTCTCTAAATGCTATCACGCTAGATGTTCGGAATGCGAAACCCGATTTCTCGACTACACACTTACCACAGCTTGTGTTCCTGTCGATGCTGCACAGAGATCCGTAACTATTCTACTAATCTTGGATGGTATGTACAACGCAAAACAGAATATCAGAAGGACTTTCCTTAACACTCTTTAGACTGACTCACCGAGACGATGACTGGATGTTAAAGGATCTTCAAATAAGACGTCGGATTTCGGATGCTCTACTGGAAGATGCAGTTTCCGATGTAAAAGTCAATCTCAATTTTATTCCAATCCTATTCCGAATGCCTAAATCCGTGTTCTTAGATCAACAACTCCCCTTCGAATTCCTTTTCATTATATTCTATCCCCCAAAATTCCATCCAGGCCTTCTCTGCCTTCACCTCACGCCGCACCGAATCCTGTAGGCCCTGGTGAAGTTGAATCATAATTTCATGCAAGCGGTCAGAGTTGTGATCAAGGTAAAGCACCAGGAAAAGCTGCTGATAGACATCATAGCCTGTTTCACGGAGCCTTTGTAGGTTCTCAAAGCTCTGGCGGTAGAACTGGACCTCTTGACGCAAATGACCCAGATCCTTGGTGAGCTCTTCGACCCTAGCATAGAGGTTTGGGAATTGACTGTGCTTTGCGAGTTGAATCCTTTGTGAAGAAAATTCAAGTACTGATGTTGACCCGTTTTGAAGACGAATTAGGTGATCAAGCCTGTTAACTTCTGGCGGCTTCGCAGGTGGTGGGACAAGAGGGGCAGAGTTTTTGAGGGGATTACGTGGAATCGATAGCAGGGGCATCACTGAGCATTTGCTGCAGCGTGTCAATGTGAGTGAAAACGAATGCGGCATGAGAGAGGACTGTTCGGCGTACTATTATACACTGCTCATGGAGAGCCTCATTCAACAACCTTGATATTGGTGGCCTATTAAGAAGTGATGGTCACCCACTCACCATGGCATAACGAAGTTGATGGTGGGTCAAGTCTGCCCTGAGTCATTGACGGTGAAGAAATAGATATCCGGCAGATTCTGCCAGACCTGGATAAAAACGCTTGCAATTTACTTTATTTGTTGTGAAGGTTTTAATCATGCGTTGCATTTCTAATTGCGTATTTAAACCTAATAGCAACCTCTACTAAGAACCCTCATCGAGTCGAAGAAATTAAGACTTGCCACTTAAGGTCAAGCGACATTCCTTAGCTGCAGGGCGACTTGTTCTTTTCTTCGTCGCTTTGCTTCTCTTGTGTCCACCAGCCCCTTCTATGGCTGACCCTGCAATGCTCGACTGGGTTTCGGCGTCATGAAGAGGATGAGCTACCAGTTGTCTCTCGTCCTGGTCTGAATGCTTCGGCCGGGATGAACGGCTGGCACATGTTTCCGGCGATGCTTCCGACGGTATTGAACTCTCTTTGCCCAGAGAAGCCTTCTCTGATGCCATGGCCTGCGGGAACACCTGGATGACTCCAGAGTTCGAAGCTGCTTGCATTGTGGCAACCTGACTACTGAGACTGTCTGCAATCTCACCACTGCGCACTGCCTCTCTGAATACTTGCTCGAGCAGCTCCATTGTTTCATTGTGCCTCTCACGCTCGAAAGTAAGTGCTTCTTGAGATGCTCGATGATCCAGACGTTCTTGGTTAATTGTTTCCCAGCTAGCGGCGAGAGAAGCTTCACACTGAGTCAAAGCATGGTAGAACCGCGATGCGAGATCCTTGGCTTCTTCTACATTATGCTCTAGCCTCCGAGCGTACCCATCCGCTGATTCCACTCTCAAGTAGAAGTCATGCAAGAAATCCCACGTAGATCTCTCGTGACATATTCTACATTGAGTGGTGTTTGCGACCGTTAATTTGAATGTTAGCAGCTTCTCTTCTCTACGAGCGGGAGCTTACTGGAAGGTCCGGTTGAGACATTAAGAAAAACCCTGTGTAAAGTAACTCGAGAACGATATCTGTTGGCTATTGAACAACTAGATTAACCCTACTTATAATACGAAGAGTTCTTAGCACGGCTTACAAAATGTGGACTGCCTTAAAATTGGGAGACCATCTCGGCTGCCCTCTTGAATCGTACGGTGGATAATGAATGATTCATCTAGTGGGGCTATAGGACACAGGAGATGATCGTGATCGCAATGCAAGCACCATTCATGGAGGGGTCTAACGGAAACACAAAATAAATATTGCGGTACATCATCAAACTTATTGAAATTAGAGCTTCCCGTATCCTCGCCAGCTCGCTGAGCCCCCTCTGAGTCTGTGCTTATTGGCCTCGAGTTTCACCTCTTAAGTAATCCAAATAATTCCTCAACGCCACTCTATCCTCTTCCGCACATTGCACACCGGAAATATCTGCCCCTCCTACTATCGATGACCATTTGGAGGTCTCAAAGACGCCGCTGGCATGTCGTCGTGCCTCTGCGATTAAGGGATGAAGGGGAATGAAGATGCCCAGCTCCGGCATGCTCCAGGCGTATCTCATCTAGGAGGATCAGCAGAGTTTTAGAACTATGCTATGCTGGCAAACTTACTTCGTCAAACTGAGGAGAAGGAATCGAGGGACGCTCTTCCGATGGCGCCGACGTTGTGTCTCTGTCGCGACCTTTTTGAACTTAGCGTAACATACACAAGAGTACAGGTTTACCTACCACGCGTTGCGTTTAGACCAAGGTCTTTTAATTTGGCTTTTATGCCATTAATTGTACGGCTTTGATGATTCCTTTTGCCAAACTCTTCAGCAATTTGTGCGAGCTGCGCACTCGGCATCTCGGATCGTATTTGTCTCAATAGTGATAGCTCTGATTCATCCCATATGGATCGGTTTGCAGACATGTTTGACGCAGAATGAGCTTGATGGGCGGCGGGTGTTTGCGGGTCGTCAAAAGCTATGGAGGAACTGTACAAGAATCTCCCACTGGATATGCCGGCTAGATTGGAGGTAGTTTGTCAGTTACTTCACTTCTGCTTGTTCATCGTAGCAGCGTAGGACGGATCCGCCCCCGGCATATTACCAGGGTAAAGTTCACCCTAACCAAAGCTCCACTCCCAACCGCCGACGAGTTTGCCGCCCAGTAGTCAGGCCTGCAGAATTATGGCGATCGCAAGCAGACGCCGAGCCGTCACCGTTATACAGGGGGTTAACGGAGAAATGTGATGCGCGGCGGCCGATTATTGCGGGGCACTTTCGTCACCCGAGATGATCCAGGATCATCTCATTAAAAGGGGGGTCATCCACATGACTCGCTGGATGGTATATATAGGAGCCTGATTTCATCACCGATCACGACACTCGCATCTACAACCAAATTCTACGAACCTGGCGAATTCTACAAACATGGCGAATTCTACAAACATGGCGAATTCTACAACCATGGCGAATTCTACAAACGACAGGGCTTGGGATGATTTTATTCGAAGCATGCCATCTCCCACCGCAATACTCGAAGAACCATTCGCACCGGATTCTCAACCTTTGAGCGACATCGCCTTCCCGGAAGCGGGGGACTTATCTAACGCTCGAGATTGGTTCTCAAGCAACCTGGCCCTGGCATCCTCTCCACGCCCTCCAAAGGTGCCATCGAGAGCAACCAATGACTCTTTCCCGGCTCGACGAAGCAATCAACTTTACGTATCGCGTCCAGAGTTCTACAAAGTGGTTGGGCGTCTTGCTGACAAGTTAACCAAGCTCCAAGAGAGGTGAGTTACGGCGATTTATGTTTGAGGAGACTTGCTGATCCATGACAAGCGTTCAAGAATTGCTTGGGGAACACAAGACAGTATTGGCGAACCACCAAAAGCTTTCTGTTTGGTCGATGGATATGAATGGCGCGATTGCATCTGTTGCCCAACAAATTGTAAGATTGAGAGTGCCTGTTGCCGAGTGGGATATGCCTGAGCAGAGAGAGCAGGCCTGAATCTGCGAAGGGCTAAAGTAGGGACGGACACAGCTGGCGGAGACTAATGGGAAATAATTTGAACTCCTTTCAATCTTAATCGGAATCTTCTTCGCCCTGACTGTGACATTATCTGGACCCAATCTTGGCAGGTGTAGACGTACCGGCATGGTGTTTATTGCTTGTTGGTGTGCGTAGGAATTGTACGAGAATGAACTTCACTCGATGGCTTTGCATTGATAATGCCTAGCAGATAAACCACGCTCTAGATGGTACCAATCGAGTCTGCCTTTAATGGGTGAAAGCGGATGATCGAGGATGGCAGTCAAAAGCTAGATGGCCAGCAGGAAGGCGATGGTAGCTCAAGAAAATCAGCAGTCTTTTTTAGGCTGATCCACTTGGACGACCTGAATTCATTTATATCAAGGACGGCTTCCCCTAATGAGGTCAAAGCTACACTCACTCATCTTTCCAAATCACAACAATGCTTTGGGCCGTTATCCTCGTGCTCTTATCAGCGACGACCGAGCTGGCCACTTGTCATGGCCCCTCGCCAAGGAACGGGTCTGACGTAAGCAGCAACGCTGCCTACATCTCCGTAGCATATTATGTCAACTGGTATTATGGCCCTCGGCATTTTTTTTGTGATCTTCTCTAACACAAAGAGATAGGGCTATTTACGACAGAAAGTTCAACCCGCAAGATCTTCCAGCTGACAAGTTGACGCATGTGCTCTATGCTTTTGCCAATATTTCACCTAACACAGGCGGGGTGTAAGTTTTCATTCAAGCCACTGATGGTGACCCTGCTGTGCCGCTGTTGCTATTCCCACGAATTCCGTTGCTGCCTTTCTCGTTTCTAACTCTATATTACAACTAGATACTTGTCCGATATCTGGGCAGATACAGAGATTCGCCTCTCTGGTGACTCCCGGAACCAGACTGGGCTCAACCTCTATGGCTGCTTCGAGCAATTCTATCTCCTCAAGAAAGCGAACCGAAACCTTAAGGTCCTACTTTCAATAGGAGGTTCCAGTTACTCCTCGAACTTTGCTGCCCCAGCATCCACTAGTTCAGGTCGTTCGACATTTGCCTCAACCGCCGTCTCGCTCGTTGCAAACCTCGGCCTTGATGGCCTGGATATTAATTGGGAAAATATAGCAAGTGATGCAGAGGCAGCGAATATGGTTTTGCTTCTCCAGGCTGTCAGGGAAGCTCTTGACACTTACGGAAACTCGCTGAGCGTGCCATATAATTTTACGCTTACAGTGGCCTCTCCTGCGGGACCTTCAAACTATCAAGCTCTGCATCTTACCGACATGGACCAGTATATTGATTTTTGGAATCTCATGGCCTACGATTATGCTGGAAGCTGGAGTACATTGGCTGCTAATCAAGCAAATCTCTTCTCTTCTGGAAGCAACGCGGCCACTACTCCATTTGACACACGGACGGCAATTGATCACTATACCTCACAGGGAATTGCAGCAAACAAGATCGTGCTTGGCATGCCCGTTTATGGTCGGTCTTTTGAGGCTACTGAGGGTCTTGGGAAACCATTTAATGGTGTGGGAAATGGCACTTGGGAGGCTGGAGTTTATGACTTCAAGTCGCTGCCACTCAGTGGGGCTATAGAGTTTAACGACAACACAACGGGATCCAGCTATAGCTATGATTGTACAAAGGCAGAATTGGTCAGTTATGACACTGTGCTAGTGGCAAAGCAGAAGGCAGCTTGGATCCAGCGGATGGGACTAGGTGGCGCGATGTGGTGGGAAAGCAGCGCGGATGGAATGGGCAATAATAGCTTGATTCTGAACGCCGTTGAGGTTCTTGGTGGGGTTAATGGTTCTGGCCTTCGGAGTTCCCCAAATCAACTGCTTTACCCAAATAGTACCTACGATAATCTTCGAGCTGGAATGCCGGGCTCCAGCTCTGTTCGTACAATGCTAACCTCTACCGGCAAGACGTCCAAAGCATGTACATGTGTCTCCTTATCGACATCTGGCACACTTGCTGCTTTCTTGCCATCAAGGGAGGTACCGACGAGCTATGTTACTTCGGGCCCTAATTCAGCTTCGACTCCAACAGTGGCAACAAGCGGTACAACGGAGAGCACTGCCATCGCCATTAACAGCGAATCCACGTCAAGCACGACAGGGTCTTCATTCTCTTCAGAAGTCACCTCAACCACCATGACAGCAGTGGCTTCTGACAAATCTCGTCAAAGCAGTACGACGACTACTCTCATCGTCCCTGGAAAGAATGGCGTGGCGGGCTGCGCTTACGTTGTGGCCAGTGAATTGGGTGCTGGCGCTATGTGCTCGTCAGACTATTGCAACTGTGGCGGCACCGTTGCTCCTCTACTCACATCGTCTGTCTCAGGCACATTGACTACCAACTGCAACTACGGGACACAACCAGCAGTCAACTCTTGCCCACCGCCCGTCACCCTGGCCACGGTAACCGAAGTTGTTGTCGTTACTTGTACGACATTGAAGCCTGCTCCAGGGAGCTGCAGAGTGGTCACGACACTTTCGTCGTGAACAATATTTAAAGCTCACTCTAATCCAGTCCAGCATTACTACTTGAATTTTTCTGTCAACTGCATTATCCAGCTAAGCGACCCCTCTTCTCTACCAGCTGCACGGCCGCTCGTATTCTAGTTTACCATGTCTTTGTTATTAAGAGATATTTATAGAAATTATTTATTTCAAGTCAATCGCCGCCCTATTTTCTCAAATTGCATCCCTTCATGTTCTAGTTTGGTTATCGGTGACTCCTCCCTTTTAACAAGTTCAAAATTAGCGTTTTTTACCAGCTTTATGTATCAAGGCCGTTAATGTTAAAGATTAGCATATAAACTAAGCGGGTGGAGGTCATCTCAGCAAAGACCAAGTCCAAGGGGATTACGCAGGATCATCCATACAGGATCATCCATACGGGGTCATCCATACAAGATCATCCATACAAGATCATCCATACAGGTTCATCCATACAAGATCATCCATACAAGATCATCCATACAAGATCATCCATATAGGTTCATCCATACTAGTCCAGACTATAGCTCGGGAATGAGTAGAACTGCACCCTGGCCTCATTCTTTTGCGAGTTTTGTGCACTTTCAAGCGGTTATCATTTTCTCGTATCCATTGTTTGCAGTTACAAAGTAACGATGACTAGTAATATCGCCGACATACTAGATAATGCTGCGGGAAAGGCTCAGAAGGCACAGGGCGAGTCCTTAAACACCTTTCTTGCATCTCTCACAACATCAGGAATTACTCTGGGATTCGGGTTCATCTCATACGTATTTCTTAAATACAGGTGCCCAGAACAGTAGTAAGCACAACTGCCTTTGGCAGAAGCATGCGGCTAACCCCCAGTTCGCAACAAACACGCCGGACGTCTAATTCGGGATGGAAACCGGCTTCGCTGTCGCCGCGGATGCTCTTCTTCCAAATGCCAGACCTCCCCTTGAGGCATGCGCCCGGTCTCGATAATTACTTCTTCGATCGTTATTTACAGACAATAACAACAATTTTCCTCCTTCTAGGGCTAACAATACCACCGATCCTCATTCCATTAAATGTGGTTGGCGGCAAGAACGAGGCTGGAGGAGTAAAAGGGCTCGATCGTCTGAGTTTTTCAAATGTTGGCCGCTCGCACACAGACAGGTACTGGGTTCACCTTATAATTGCTATCCTCGTAGTTGCGTTAGTTTGCCGCATACTTCAGCGCGAATTGCAAGAGTACACAAGAATCGAGAGCAGCTTCAGCGTTTCTCGCACATCATCCCTCCTTATCTCGAGCTCGATGCAACATCTCTCTTCCAAGGCCATTCAGCGACACTTTCATAAAACTGCTGGTGGTGTACGCTTTATAACGGCGAATCGGGACTACAGCACCTTACGCGCCAAAGTACGCCGACGTGATGCTTTAATTACAAAGTTAGAGATCGCCGAAACCACTCTTATCATGAAAGCGAACTATAACCAAAAGCTCGGTCGCACGAAGGACGACAGATACAGCCACCCCATTCCGCTATGGACAAAATACCTAGATCAGAAGGACCGCCCATCAATTCGGCTCTCTATAGTTCCATGGCTGCCCCCTTTGCCATTTATTGGAGTGCGGGTCGATGCAATCCGTCATTTCCGTACGGAGTTTGCCAGATCAAACGCCGAGATTGAGTGGGACCAAGAGCACCCATACACATTCCCTCCAACTAACTCCTCCTTTGTTCATTTCAACCAGAGAATCTCAAAGCAGCTTGCGACCATAGCGCTCAAAGCACGAATCCCCCCTTCCTGGACGCTAAAACATGGTACCACTCCAAGCGACACGATATGGGCTCACGTCTCGATCAGTTGGTGGCAGCAGTGTATTCGGACAGCTATCGTCTATATTCTGGTCACGGTGCTTATACTTGGCTTCGCAGTCCCGGTCACAGCCATTGGGTCGCTTTCTCAGATCAAATACCTCGCCAATGCGGTCTCTTGGTTACGATGGGTAGGGACTCTTCCAAACTGGCTTTTAGCGGCTATCCAAGGAGTGCTGCCTCCGTTGCTCGTGGCTGTTATTACAGCCACAGTTCCACTCGTGGTCCGCCTGCTCACAAACATAGAGGGACTTCATTCGCGCCAAGCCACTGAAAACCACATTCAAATCTACTACTTCGCCTTCCTCTTTATCCAGGGGTTTCTTACAATCTCCTTATCAGCAGGTATTACAACCATTATTGGACAATTGGCAAACACGATTCAAGCCGTTCCTGCAGTCCTCGCACAGAATTTGCCCAAGGCGTGTAATTACTTTTTTTCTTATATCATTATGAGTACCTCTACAGCGGCGGTCTCCACTCTTATACATGCCGACCAGCTTCTCAACTTGTTCGTACTTTCCCCGGTGTTCGACAAAACAGCTAGACAGAAGTGGATGAGAGGAGAGAATATAGGCCTACGAAAATGGGGGACATTCATACCGGTCTTTACAAATATTGCATGTATAGGTGGGTTTCTCTTTAGCTATTTTCAAGGCCACTACTAATATAAGAACACTCTAGGTCTCATCTATTCAGTAATCGCTCCACTTATTCTAGTTTTTAGTGTCGTTTATTTTGGAGCGCTCTGGATACTATATCGGTCCTATCCTCCGAAACTCACGGAGTTAGATCTTGGCACCGGCGGCCTGTTTTATCCCACAGCAATACGCCAATTGTTTACCGGCATATATTTCATGGAGTTTTGCTTGGCTGGCTTATTCTTTCTTGTCCGCGACGCCGATGACAGAGCGACATGCACCGCGCAGGCAGTAATTATGGTAGTAGTTACGGCCTTAACTGCATTGTTTCATTATACTCTATATTATAGTTATTGGATACCTTTTTTGCCTCTTCTCGATATTTTCAAGCGGAAAATTAATCCAATTAGCAGTCAAGGCAATGGCCAGCAAGATTGGAGAAGCAGAAAAGAGGTTAAAGAGCTCTCGACTCAAAAGCCAAGGATATTGCAAGCGGATCTTGTTCAAGACGAGGCTCTGAGGTCTTCTCGTCCAGTTATCTGGATTCCGAAGGACGAGTTGGGGATTGCGGATGATGAGATCTCTCATGTAAGGAGAACCCATGATATGTGGATTAGCAATGAAAGTGCATCTCTAGATGAGCGAGGAAATCTGAAATTATGGGGTCCGCCTCCAACTAGAGGATGACGGATGGATGTGGGGGTGAGCAGTGAACCCAGTAGTCGAATAATTGAGTAATAAATCGATTTGAACCTGCTTCCTAAAATTATTTCCTCCTCTTCTTTTCGCGATATCGCCTTTTCCTCCACTCTAGCCCCTACGCCTGTCCGCCCCAAGACTAGAATCCTAGGCAACTGCAACGGGGATCAGTCAACGAGCACTAGCATCGAATTTTTGCAATCATTTCAAACCGAAATCATATTTCCTGTTACTCCGTGCCTAAGCCATCGACGCTGAGTTAGATGTCCCCCGCTCCGGGGAGCTCAGGATACCTGCGCGTACTAGTCAGTGCTTTTGAGAGAAGCCTTAGCCGTGACATCTAACTCTACATTTTGAGTCAATAAAGGATATCACGAATTTGACTAGTAAACTAGACCCCATTAGGCTTAGCAGATTTAGGGGTTATATATTAATATTATAATATTATAATTCTTACTTTTAAATATTAATTACTTTATTAATTTGATATATTAAGTATTTTATATATATTACATAATAATATTATATATTACTAGTAAACTAATACTAATTAGTACTTATAAATTAAAGAAAATTTTAAATTAGTTTTAAAAGCATTTAATGGCCTAAAATAAATCTAGTTTATTTTATATTAAAAAGGGAAATTACTTATTAACTTTATAAAAGTATTTAGTAACTTTGTGACGGCGGGATCGAGGCAATAGCCAGGGCTCAAAGATCCAAGAATCTCATGTATTGAAAATACTAAGCTAAAGAGAAGAAGGAGAGAGAGAGGGAAGAAGGAGGGGATAAAAGGAGGGAAGTACTAGCTAAAACCACTGAAACGCCGGCTAGCTAGGTGAAACTAGTCATGTGACAGCCACCCCCCTTTGGCCCCAGCCAGCGCCGTTACAAACTTATAAAGAAGATATTTAGTTCTTACTAATTAATAAGCGATTAGCCATTTAATTAATTAATTATTTAACTTCTATTATCTTTTAAAACTAACTTCTTTTAGTTCCAAAACTATTTTCTTAGTAATTATTCTTTTTACTTATATAATACCCGAACTTATAAGTGTGATGGGCACACGTGATGGCGCATGGACAGGTGTCAGATGTCGTGGATCTAGTTTCCTATTTTGGGTACAGCTTGCGATCGGAATCGTATGGATCGCATGGGATTTCCTAATTAAGTAAAGGGCTTCGCATGCCTGGCTAAGCACTAGGGAATATATAGGGAGACGCTCCTAGCTTTGGAAGGGGCATCGATTAGTCTCTTGTTGGAATCAATTCTTGGAATCAGTTACACTTGCAAGCGTCACTCCGCAGCTTACTTACCTTGACTACTTGTGCATCACCCTGCTATTACGTGCCTCACAATAAGGCCCTTTTTCCGAAATATATATATCTTACTTTTAAAGCTCTTTAATTACAACTTCGATTTTTTTATTAAGTCAAACCCTTTAAACTTTAGACCCTCTCGAAATTATAATATTTTACTGAGACTAGTAGAACCATATGCGATAGTATCCCGAACCAAACTCGTCGGTCCGATTTTGGTCAAAAATTGTTACACGTGACAACGGCACCTCGCTTCGGCGTGTTGGAACTGAGTGTACGCTGGTACACTGTAGTTTATATACCAGATGTATATATAGAGTGCTTACCCCGCGTGAGCTGAAAAATCAAGTCGTCAACCTCCAAAACATTGCAACACGGCGCTAGACGCTGCCCTACCAAATGTGCCCTTTGCCTCTAATGTCGCTAATATAGTTTTCCACGCTCTCTATTATTGACTCTCTACTATATATTACTTTATCTATACTAGTACTTGTTATATTAGCTTTATATTTCCGTTAATCGAGCATTTTATTATCCGCTAATTATGAGATAAGGTCCTGCTATCCTCTACGAGTTAGCCGTCTCGTAAACGAAGTTCAAAATATTATAAAGTCAGGATAAGTTATAGCAATAATAGGGAATAGGAAAAGGTACTAGCTTGAAAATTCGCGAAGATATAAGCAAGGATAAGAAGGGGAAGCCTGTTATGTGAGCTTATAGCACGTTTAGGTAATAGTTATATCTATCTTACTAATTATGATTCCAAAGAAGGGCGAAGAATTTCCGAGGCTCGAGAGAGTTTAGCGGGGCAACTCGTGCAAATTCAATATTACTAGAAGAGAATTAATAAACTTGAGATTATAGAGAGAAATTGCATGCGGGAAGAGTTACGATAATAGTTAGAATTAGCTAAAAAGCTTTATTAGAGTTAGCAGATAATAGAGACTCTTGAAAGGATAATTACAGATTACAAATCTGCTCGCAAAATGCAAGTTATATTCGCAAAGCAGTACCAAGATTAACGAGGGATAATAGATAAATTAGAGAAATATTACTTAATAATTACAGAATTCGAGTATAGGATCTCGGAATATAAGTCTGAGAGTAATAGGCAAGCATTAGCGGCAGAGTTATTATAATAGTAGCTTGCTATATATTTATAATAAGTAATAATAGAATTAGAAGTACTATAGTCGAGAATTACTTAATAAGAAAAGGGTAACTTATAAAGGCCAGAAGATATTAATACCGGAGTAATGTCTTAAGGCTTCTAAGAAAGAGTTACCAAATTAGAACTCGTTAGTTAATAGCAGGCCAAAGACCTAAGGAATTCCAAAGAAGTAGCCACTATTAAGGGTAGGACCTTGGATATAATACTTGCAAAGATCAAGGAGACTAGAGAAGGAGTGGAGAAGATAAGTATAGCCTTCTCAGGACGACTCCAGCTTGAGCCCAACTATAAAGACGGTGATTGCGAGACGATCCATTCGGATGAACTTCAATTTGAAGATATTCCTTCGGCGGAGGCGCAATTTAATGAGATTAAAGACCTGAAAAAGTCGATTGCCAAGTTCATTGCTCTCTATAGCCAGAATAACCTAGCGCATGATGAAAATGCTCGCGTGAAGATTCTCGAGTGGCAGAAGCTGGTCCCGGGCGAGCGGCTCGCTATTCACGGATGGAACAGGCGCTGGAGTCGAAACAGGGACCCCGGATCTCAAGCAAATGCTCGCAGTCGTGAGCAGACGGGCAGGAGTCTTGGAACAAGAAGGTCGGGCTGTCCATGACCTCCAAGCAGAACTGGACATGGTAAGGGCAGCCGCCGAGAGCCAACGGCAAAAGGCGGAACGTGTCGAATGGCTCGAGGGGGAGCTCGCGGAGGTGAAGAAGCAGTTGTAGCAAGAACAAGTGGCTACTAGGGACCTCGGAGAAAGCCTGAAGACAGCGCGCGACGCCATGCAGAGAGATATAGAGCTTACAAGCGTCCTTAAAGGATAACTAGATACAGCTAAGGCAGAGAATAAAGCACTACTCCAGCAAGGGAAGGCAGCTGTTACAGAGCTTACAGCAGAGTTGGCGACGGTCAAGGCAGACGCTGAAATCTTACAGAAAGAAGCAGAACGAGTTCATGGCCTGGAGACAGAATTAAATGATTTAAGAACAGTATTGCAAGCTATAGGCAAGGCGCAAGAGGAACTGGAGAAGACGAGACAGGACCTAGGAGACTTGAGGCAACTATCAGGCTCGTATATCAAGAAACTGAAATTAGCAAAAGCCGATGCTGAAAAGAGGCTAGAAGCCTCTAAGAGTCGAGTGACAGGCCTGGAAGAAGACCTGGAAGTAGCGCGGCAATCTATTAAGGAGAGAGAAACAGAGTTAGTAGGCCTGAAGCTTGATATCAATAATAATAACGAGCGCATAAGGTTATTAAAGGCATAACAGTTTGAGACGAGCTGTCTGATATAGCTGGAGAGAGAGAAGAAGAAACTCGAGGCCGAGCAGAAGGAGATTCAAGCTGCGGTGGCCGAGGCAAAAGCCTCAAGCAGCCAGGATCTTGGGGAACTCATGCAGCAGGAAGCGCATGTCGATGCCAGTCTCTCATAGGTCGAAGAGAAAATGGTGATAACGGGATTGGATGTTATGAGATATGCGAAGTATAAAGTACGCTTCGAAAGTTCCAAAACCGGCCGCCAGACAGGCGTTGACTATGTTCTCGTGGAAGACCTAGGGAAGAAGTTTGAGGAATTGCGTAATCAGGTCATTTATTGTTTCGTAAACGATACCATGACAGTGGTAGAGCTCGGGAAATACAAAGACTTCCTAGCAAATCAAAAGCATCTCGCTGACCACGGGGAATTCTTCTACTGTGGCTATAATCCACCTCGGAAGAGACATCGCGGTCTGGATAATGCGGGAGAAGATTTGAAGAGTACTGCAGGACCCAGAGCACAGGGACTAGCAAGACTTCGCGCCAAGTCCAAAGAACCTCGCCGCTGATCTCGAGTTCATCGTCTTTTGTATGTGTTTCGAGGTAGGAGGGAGGATAGGCCGTAGCGATGGCGATACGACCATTAAGGGGTACTTTTTCCGTTGTATCAAGTAGAAGGTGGCCTGTTTTGTGGTTCGTGTGCTGTACTTGTTCTTTGACCGGTTATCGCGTTCGAGCTCGTGGCGAAAGAAGTCTGCGAGATGGAAGTGTTGGCTGGAATGTAATACTGTTATAAACTGGCCCCTGGCCCTCGGAGGATCGTTTATGGAGGCTGTTGTGAAGCTGATCTGACGATTAACTTGATTCAAGGGATGTGTGGCTGTCCCATCACCATGCGCTAACCAAATTAGGTTAGGTGCCGCATGGATTTTCGGCGGGGTCGACAAGTGACAGATTTCTTGATGTAACATGATCAATTCGTCGTAAACGGCCGTTACCGTGCTGGGGCTGGGGAGGCTCCCTTCGTCTGACTGGCTGTTGATGCTCCAACAACGCATTGCGCGTTTGCCAGCGGCGTCCGATTCGACACAATGATTCACAACTTCTTATCATGCATGCTCTTCAGCAACCAGTTGTTTGGGGCCTCAAAGCTGCCCCAAGGTGAAGTGGGAGGCTGATGAGGCTTCCCAAAGCATTTCCTCCGCAGATTAATTCTTGTTCTGCTATGTACCACTGTCAAGTCATCTGTGTTGCTACTGTGTTCTACCCTCTACATCCTTCAATCATAGCCTTCTCACGCCGCAACCTCTAGCTACTAGCAACATTGCTTGCTTTGCTCGTTTGCTTACAATCTTTAGTCAATCATCCAACACACCTTCCAGAATGCCGTAAGTACTCGATGCTCTACCTTGTCTATGAGAACAACCACTGACTTCAAGACACAATAGACCAGGTCCCTGCTTCGACTTCCAACGCGGCCGTTGCCGTCGCGGCACCTACTGTCGATTCAGCCATGACACATCAACGAGCACCGCAAGCTCACCAAGCACCACAAATCAACAGCTTCGCGAGGAGACTGAAACCGAAGCAGCCTGCCGAAAATGGACATACATGATTCCCAGACCCAACACGATTTCCTCACGTTTCGAAGCTGCTGTGGACACCAAAAAGTTCTTCCAGATGGGCTGGAATCTCATTGAAAGCGAGGATGCGGGAACACGCCAGCACGTCATCACAAAACTCGGTGCAGAGACGGGACTTGCAATCATCAAGACCCTAACGGACATTATGGATGCCAGCCAAAAGCATGAAACCACCGTCTCGATATTTAGAAATAGAACTCTTCCTTTCTACAGGATCATCTCTCACCCCGATGTGCTATCCTCCCTAATTCTGGAAACTCCTGTTGATACCATCTACACCTTTCTCTTCGGTCCTAGCGGTCGGCGTGGTCTCAGAGTGTTCCGCTCTACAGCAGCTGCCCTAAGTAGAATGATTTTGGGACATTCTTCAAGCGATGAGGAAGTCTCTACCGTTGCTATATCATCAAGTCTCGCAGTTCTAGACCGGCTGATCGAGATCAACCAGAGTGCCCAAGTCATCGAAGGCTTTACCGCTATTATAGAGACAATCTCTGCCTGCATTCCAGAGAATTTCATGGTACCGAATGCACAGCAGAGCCTCACTCGAATTAGACGTCGTCTCAACATCGGCTCTTCGTTGCCTCTTGCACTAACCCAATCAACTCCGCAAAACCTCCTATCTGCAGCTTTCGAGTTGGCTCAAGACTTGCCCGGAAATCTTTCCAGCAAGGGCGCTCGACACGATAACGACCATGCGAGTATCGCCGATATCCAGATCCTCCCCACAGCGCGAGAGATCGCTTCCCCACGACAAGAATATCTCCCATTAATCGACTCAACACAAAACCACCTGTCAGGTCTCGCCGGACTCCTGGACAGACAATTTCGGCTCCTCCGCGAAGATACAGTGGGACAACTACGAGACGCAGTGCGCGAAGAGGTTACAAGGCTAGAACATCCCAATCGTAAGGTACCAACAACACACCAAGGTCAGCAAGGCGTTCGGAAGCTCATCTATCACAACGTCCGCTTCTCCCGTATGAGTGTAGATCGCAGAAAAGGTCTGCAGGTTGTAGCAGAATTTGACCAACCTCCCCAAATCAATAACAAATCCACCAAGCAGCGAGAAGAATGGTGGAAAGGAAGCAAGCTTCTGCAAGTCGATTCACTAGTCTGCTTCGTCTCTTCAAATGGCAAAATCATTTTCCTCTGCGTCTGCGATCCAATATTGCCATCCCGCGCAAGAAAGGACTCCAATGCAGACGACAAGACAAAATTAGATGATATTCCCAGCCTTTTCAGAGAAGCGAAGCGTGCGTCTGTGCTACTGAGCCTGGCTGAATATAAAACTCAAGATGTAGTTTGGATCAGCACTCATACTGCAGCTTCCAAAACTCGACAATCACTCGTTGAGTTTCCGGGGGTGCTTCTACCTTCTTTTCAGCCCACTCTGCAAGCGTTGCAGGAAATGAGCCGGAAGCTGAGCCTTCCATTCACGGAGATCGTAGCACTAGACTCGCAAGCTTCTGCTGCCGTCGTAAAACCTCCAGCATACGCGACCAAAAGAGGATTCAGTTTCAACCTTGACGTTCTCGCCGACGTACCGCTGACTCTAAAGCCCGGACAAGCATTCGACTTCACCAAGCTGGACGGAGGATCCACGCTCGACGAAGCCCAACAGTTCGCCGTCATCCAAGCTCTCAGTACAGGGCTAGCTCTCATCCAAGGCCCGCCAGGTACAGGAAAGAGTTATACCGGTGTGGCAATCATCAAGGCTTTACTCCACAACCGAAAGGCAGCCGACCTAGGTCCCATCATCTGTGTATGCTACACGAATCATGCTCTCGACCAGTTGTTAGAACATTTAGTGAAGGATGGCGTGAGGCAAGTCATCCGTGTAGGCTCACGATCCAAATCCGATTTGCTTCAAAATCTCACTCTCCATCATGTACGGGAAGGAGCCAAACCCACGAGGACAGAAAAACATGATACGTGGGAACACAATCGGGATATTGACGAGACACTGCGAGAATTTGAAGATATATTGTCTGGGTTGAATAATCCAAAGTCTTGGACAAATATCCAAGCCCATCTCATGAGGACCCATAATCGGCATTTTAAGGAATTGTTTGGGAAGGGGGTAGATGACGAGGGGTTTCAGGAAGTGAAAGGGAAGAAGTTTAGGGTTGTAGAGAGTTGGCTCAGAGGAGCGCCAAAGAAACTCACTTCGAATCATCCTGTTGCTCAGCTCTCGGCCATTTCTCTGAGAGAGATGTCGGAGTTGGAGCGTGGTGTTCTTCACAAGCATTGGATTGAGCAAAGGAGTGCGCAACTCACCAATGATCTCATTCATGCACTGGATTCCTACCATGGTTCCAAATCCGCGCTGGATAGATGTTACAGGGAACTGGATCTTCGATGTCTTCGAGAAGCCCACGTTATCGGCGTGACGACGTCTGGGCTGGCAAGGAACATCGAGTTGCTCCAGCGCGTGCGAGCAAAAGTCATGCTTTGCGAAGAAGCTGGAGAAGTTCTCGAGGCACATACCCTCACTGCATTCCTACCCGGGGTTGAACATGCAATCTTGATCGGCGATCACGAACAACTCCGGCCCCAGATCAACAACTACGAGCTTCAACATGACAATCCCCGAGGCAAGAGATATTCCCTCGACATCTCGCTATTTGAGCGTCTCGTCAGGCCGCAGATGGGGAATCTCCAGGTGCCATTGAGTACATTGAAGACTCAGCGACGAATGCATCCTTCCATCTCAGAGCTAGTCAGAGTCCCGCTCTATCAGGACTTACAAGATCATCCCTCAGTGTTAGAATATCCGGAAGTCGATGGGATGCGAGATCGCTTATATTGGCTTGACCATCAAGAGAAAGAAGACCCGCGACCTACCCAAGCTGTCTCCTTATCCAGAACCAACACTTTCGAAGTGGATATGATCGCTGCTCTTGTCTCGCATCTTGTAAGGCAAGGAACGTATGGGAGTGAGGATATTGCAGTTATTACTCCATATCTGGGACAATTGCAGAAAATCAAGAAGCGACTCGCGAATTCCTTCGAGATCGTTGTTGGGGATCGAGATCAAGAAGAGTTGGAAGCTCAGGGACTTCAAGACGACCCGGAAACTTCCACAGATGGCCAAGTCCAAGTCCAGAAAACGACACTACTCAGTGCTTTGAGGATTGCTACCGTGGACAACTTCCAAGGCGAAGAGGCAAAAGTTATTGTCGTCTCCTTAGTTCGGAGCAACGATGAGCGGAAATGTGGATTCTTAAAGACTTCCAATCGCATTAATGTGCTGCTGAGTCGTGCTCGACATGGGATGTACATCATCGGCAACTCCGCTACCTCGAGGCCTGTTCCCATGTGGGCTGAAGTACTCTCCATTTTGGAACACTCAAACAACATCGGTCCAAGCCTCGCACTATGCTGTCCTCGACATAAAGAAACACCCATTGAAGTCTCAGAGCCGGACGATTTCGCTATGTTCGCCCCTGAAGGCGGTTGTGCTAGGAGATGCTCGTCGAGACTACTCTGTGGGCATTCCTGTCCTAATATGTGCCATTCTACATCTTTGCACAATGCAGTTCGTTGCCTTGAACGCTGCCCAAGAACAAAGAAAGGTTGCGAGCATGAGTGTCCGAGACCTTGCGGAGATCTATGCGAGCCAAAATGCCAAGTCGTATTATTCGACATCCCTTTACCATGTGGACACATCGCCAGGCAGCTGAGATGTCATGAAGCGCAGATACCAGAGGAAGTTCGCTGTCAGGTCCAGATGGAACAAGTCATGGAGCATTGCAAACATAAAATCCGAGTCCGTTGTCACGAACTGCCTTTGGATGTTGATTACCCCTGTTTAGCAACCTGCGGAGCAGCGCTGACTTGTGGACACAACTGCACGCATACTTGCAAAGATTGCAATACCAGGATTGACGGTATGATTGTTAAGAAGATACATGGAGTTTGCAACACCCAGTGTAGAAGACCATACACGACCTGCAGTCATAGCTGCAAAGCTCCATGCCATGGCGACATGCCCTGTTCTCTTTGCACGGAACCCTGCGAAGTCAGCTGCAATCATTCGAAATGCAGCAAGCTATGTCATGAGCCTTGCGCACCATGTGCTGAGGATTGTTCCTGGTCTTGTCCACATCGCGGACGGTGCCCGTTACCATGTGCAGTGCCCTGTGATCTACTACCATGCTCAGAGCGCTGTGCAAAGATGTTGGCTTGTGGGCATCGATGTCCGTCTATTTGTGGGGAGGTCTGTCCAGGTGTTGCGTATTGTCAGATTTGTGCGCACCCAATAATCAAGGGAATAGTCGTTGACTTTATTTTGTCATCCACTTTCGAGGAGGTCGATCTTGATGAGAATCCTTGCATCGTGCCATCATGTGGACACATCCTCACCCTGGAGAGCATGGATGGACACATGAGCATGTCAGATTTCTATACTACGAATGGCGAAGGCTCAATCGTGGACCTGAAGAATAGCGCCGAACCATTCTCTGCCTCCGGGATGAAAAGCTGCCCAACTTGCCGCGGCCCTTTACGAAACCTCAACCGCTACAGCCGTATCGTTCGTCGAGCATTGATCGACGAGGCGACAAAGAAATTCATCGTCTGGGCCAACATGGAATTCATCCCTCTAGTCACCAGGATGCATGCAATTGAAGCAGAGCTCCGTGAAAGTATTGGAGGCAGCCAAAAGGCTTCCGATACGGCATCGCCAGAAACTCCTTTGTCAGGACCTCTTCAGTTAAAGGGGAGTCGTGACCAACAAATCTCCCAGATCGGAACACTTACGCGAAAAGAGAACCGATATAAAAGGATCATCGGTCTTCGAAGAGAGATCAAGAAATTTCTGCAACAGGTCAATGAAAAAGAACAACCCTTTGGCCGCATCTACGACCTCGTTCAAGACGCCCGCAGACATCGTGGAATCAATATCGATTTACACTCCAAAGTCGATATTCTTCAGGTGCGCAACCGACTTCTTACCACAGTGCTGCTCATTAGATGCGACTACACCATCCTCCTAACTTTCCTCAATGATCGGAAAGGCGAGACCAGCGCAAGTTCTCCTAGCGTCCAGGTCGATTTGAGCATTAACAGAAAGGAATGCGAAAAACTGATAGCAGAATCCGACTCGAGAAATCAACCAGGAAACTACGTCGAGGGCCTCCTATACTGGGCACGGTTTCTCGCCCTCGAGCGGAGCCTCGCAGAGCCTGGATCAGAGCTCACACAGCTCTTGGACAAGGCCAGGGGACATCTTCAATTCGCACACGAAATATGTGATGAATATCCCGGCCAAACAGCAGGCATGAGAAGCGAAGTTGAGGACGTTGAGAAGATGCTGCGCGATTCGACATTCTATATACCAGTGAGCAATGAGGAAAAAGCTGCTGTGTATGCGGCCATGGCACATGACTTTAGAGGCACTGGGCATTGGTATTACTGTGAGAATGGCCACCCATTTACGATTGGAGAGTGTGGTATGCCGATGGAAACCTCTCAATGCCCACAATGTGGTTCTCCGGTTGGTGGACATGATCATCAGGCTATTGGTGGTGTCAGACCTGCGACGGACTTGGAGCGTCAATTCGGCGGAGTCAGAATTTGATATTAGAGACATGGAGTTTAATGAGAAGAGAGATGGGAACGATGAAGACGAACACGGGAACGTTATCGAGACTGGAATTTTGTTACTTTGGATGTTGCACATTATTTATTTGACAGAGGCAATTGGCGTTGAGATTTTTTTGCTCGATATACATAGTCAATAGCCCCCCTAATGACGTTCGCCATCTCGTCAGCCTTGGCTAGCCCCATCCTACCCAGCTTTCCCATCACCATGGAATAATCTAGCCAAAGATTTGGAACTGGTCCTGGGATAGATCTCGGTGGCTTCTGATCCGTATAGCGAAGTCTCCCGGAAAAGATACCCAGGAAGTCTCCAGGAAGAATTGGGCTAGTGGAGTAACTGCAAGAAGTTCGGTCGAGCCACTACGGGCACCCAGAGTCCTTTTCCCAGATTCCCCTTCGTACGGCACTAGACTAACGAAGCGAGATTTATTACGGTCAGATTGACCCTTGAGGCCATGGCGGAGAACGTGGACATTTGATTTTCCAGAGGTCGGTTTAATATTGTGATCCGCTATGAAATTCTCATACTCCGTTAAGTCATGGTCCCAGACACTATTGATATGATGAGTCTCGGAAGGTGGATAGCTTGTTGGATTCGTAGATAAAGATCCAGGTAATCCGGTCCTCGAGCCAGACTCAGATATCTCAGCACTTACTACCGCTGGGTCAGGGTCGACGTCCAAGGCTTCTGAGGAGGAGGAGTTAATCTCGGCATTTGGAGGATGCCGAGGTTCAGTCGAGGCCCCAGGAGTATTCGGCCGAGTGGGTTCAACAGACTCGGCCATGAACGTCGGCGATTTGCCCAGCTCTCCTGTGTTCCCCACAGACCCTGAACCGATGGCAGATTCTTCAAAATACTCATCCAAGATCGTCAGTCCATCACCATGAGTCACTGGGAACATGTCACCTTCCGGCGACAAACCCATAGTTCCACCACCCTCGATTGGAATATGTGTGGGAGAAGCTGGCAAATTGGCCGCGCCAAAAGACTTCGGAGTCTCAACTGTATTTGGACTTTCGATGTACGATTTGTCAATAGTAGGCTCGCTCGTGGCAGGTTTACCGGTGGCAGAGATGTTCGTGGAGGTTTCGCCGGGCGGCTCGCTCATAGACTCATCAGTGACAGGCTCTTCGCGAGTCCCATCCTTGGGCAGAGCGTCAGTGGCAAGGTTATCAACTGCAAGCTTCGATTTTTTCGCCAGTCCGCCAGTTCTATTGCTCGTGCCCTGCATCTTCTCGTAGGTTCTTTTCGTTGGGGCAAGTCGACGAGATCTGCGGAGGTGTTAAATTCAACACAAATCGGACGAGAAATATCCTCTCCATCTCCCCCATCTATCTCGACATGATAATTTTGAACTATTATAACCTTAGCTCGGACATTGAGATGGAACTCTAACTTACTAGGTCTTTCCCACCAGTTCTGTTGAAATTGGTACGCTACCATAGCTAGCTTACCAGTCCTTCCAGCACCAGGTTCAACCACTAATTTAGGGTTCTCCACTCTCATTTGTCATGCGTCACTCGCCGAGCTTACCAAGCTTACTAGTATATCGTCATTTTGATTACCTTTGATTTATCAGCTGATTGATAATGTATCGGAGAAAGCGGGCTCGGCATCACCGGTATCGCCGAAGGGTAATGGGAATAAATCCCTTACTTTGGACACTTTTCCTCTGTTTCTAGAACTCACTCTCCTGTATCTAGTCATTTTACAGATTGTCAACCTCCAATATATCGATTTATCACCAATATATCGATCACTTTCCAATAAGTTCGTTCAACTCGCGCAAATTCCTACCTTTGACATCAAGCACAATACGTAAAATCTCATGGACGTACGGCCTGATCTGTTCGATAATATCATCAGCCATTATAGCCTCGTGATATCGGTATCGATAATATACAAGTGATGGACTGAACCAAGAGGTCAATAAACTGTTAAGCAACACAGATTCACTTCACAGATCTGGCTCTCGCTTATTTCACCAATGATATACGTATATTTCAAAGCAGATGTCCGAATGTCTACAACGTAACTGAGTTAGACAATGACTAAGCGAATCACATGGCATTTCCGAAGAATTGACGCGAGCCACCTCACCCCACAGGTGCGTATTCCCCAACTCTCAACCTTTGTCCTATCAGCGGCTTGAGCCGCAATTCTTTCACCGCTTTTATGCCCACCGGAAGTCATTGGTGCCAACTCATACTGATTATCCCACATGGATGCCATTCGGGAAGCATCCGTCGGCCACAGGCGCAATTGACAGCCTTACCAGCGGCATCCGCAGGCCGAGGACCACTCACTGTTAGCATCTCAAGCTTATCGGTCACATCTCAGATTTAAAATAGTCGAGCTGCAGAATGGAGCCTCCCTTCAGCTGTCCTTGGGCAACGATATGTCCTCCAACCATGCATCTTCAGACAAAAGACAACGCCGTGTCTTGAACATAATGAGTAGATCGTCTTCTCATCCTTAGTGGGTTACCCCAGAGATACCATGCGTACTGCGGGCTAATGTGCCCTGCAGGAGTTGGCGGCTGAAAGTTTCTTTTCATATCAGCATGCCCTGTGGCCGATATTCGACCCTACACATCCCACCGTACTCCTCAATGCGGCCTGGAAAACGTCAAAAGATGGCATCATCTTCAAATTTGGAATACATTATCACCCATGTCTTCCTCCCGCCAAAGTTACCTCAAGAGGACGACCGCGATCCCAAGCAGGATTTGGCTCTGATAGAGGAATGCAGGGCAGCGTTGAGGTTATTTCGAGCACGCCTCTCTGGCAGAGAGCGTTGGCGATGGGTGGCTCCGATATTGATGCTGAGTAAGATGCTTGAGCTAAGGGATGCATCTGGAGATATGCTCTCTGAAAAGGTTGAATTATTCCTGGAGGCAATGCAGGGTACAGGTATGCGGGAAATAATGTATTGCTTGGAAGATGAATGTGCTGATCCTCTCCACCAGGCGTGCTCGCCTTTCACATCCGCAGCCAGAATGCGGGTCTCATCGTCCGAAGATTACCGCAACAAGTCTCGTTCGAGTCTTTCGAACTCTCCCCAACAACCCATGCCGTTATGACGACGAAGGGCCGGCTGCGGCGATGTTTTCCAGGCCCGGTAGTTGCAGTAGGGCAGGACAGGTTCGCCGATCCCTCCTTCCGCAAAGCGCTTGCACAACTCCTCGCAGAATTGGATGCCAACACGCCAAAGGAGGCTTGGCCGGTTGTCGTAAAAGCACACTCCCGGACCCCTGAGGTTCGAGACTCATTGCATCCGAAATTCCTTACTGAGATGCTCACCGGCATCTTGCGCGGTATTGGACAGCCAGTCGATGCGGCTCGGATTCACAAGCGCACACGCGACGACGTCTTGTGGAACAATGCCCTGAAGCCCTGGCGCCGATCACCCCTCTGGCTCCTGCTTCGCGTTGCACTCCAAACAAGCCTTCGGACAGATTCAGATGATCTTCACAAGTGGTACAAATCGTTCATGATCTTCTTCATGACCCATATCTTACAGCGGTCTTTGCAGGCGTCTCTGCCAAGCGAGATTCTGTTCGTCATGGCGGCCAAGATTAGCCGGCGGATTCTCAAACTCGGCATTGAAGATAAGGCGTCCTGGATGCCGTATGTGCATGAAACGATTGAAGCTGCGCATCTGGAGCTGGCCAAAAGATGGAGGATGATAGAGCAGAACCTAGACCCTCTCGGAACACAAGGAGCTTGGAATCCTGCAGAGCTGTCTTTCTACCGTGACACCCGGTTGACTATTTCAACGCTGCGCCCTTACCTGGCGGGCATCGCGACTCGCGAGATGACACTCTCAGGCCATGGCAGCTTTACGTCTGGCTGTCATCTACGTATCAAGCAATATAGCTCAACTTTCCCACAGTTCCAGCTCCTGGTGGCGGGTGCCGCCCGCTTGTTCCTCGCGGACCTGGAACTCTGGGTGCAAGACTGGCTTGATGGTTGGCTGGGAGCGAATTGGGACTCGCCGTCAACCTGCACGTGTCTGGCAGAGTTGATCGAAAACTACACTACAACGGCGACTTCTATCTATGCCGGGAACCCGGAGGACATCTCATTAATGCTGCTTACCTCCATGGATCTATGGGTCGCCCTAGACAAGTGTGCAACTCTTCACGAGTCGTTACTGAGCAGGTATGATCCTGGGTTTCCGCCGTCACTGTTTACCCCGCTGTTGCTGCCCAAGAAGTCGCAGATGGAGCGATTGGCACGTGTGGAGCAGTATCTCGCGCGAAGGAAAAACGGATCTGTTCATGAGTCCTCTTTGATCTTCCAAGATATCAACGCGCGGGGTAGTTTTGCAGTGCAGTACTTCGGCCGGTCCCAGCGCCATCAAGACTTACGACGGGAGATTGAGGCCGCGGCAGAGATTGAGCGGGACCAGAAGAAGCGAGAGCTTAGGGAGCAACGTCAACTGTATAATCGCCTGAAGCGACAGTCCGACGCCATGAGCTGTGAATACATCACTCAATGGTCTGGCCGCCGCCAGACTTCTTACCACGACCCGCATTGCCAAAAATGCCGGGTGAAGAGGAGTGCTGAGAGTCTGGAAATTGTTGTTCATGAGTGGCCGCTTCCAAACGGTGAGTTGGAGGCGAAGTCGGCAGTGTTCGAACTTGACGTCCCAACTGTGATAGCCAAGTGGCGGGACATAACATACACTCTTCTTGTCGATGTCTTCTCTCCACCGACCCTCGACAATTCTCAGCGAGTCAATATGATATACTGCCTCCACGGGTTCAGCGGCTTAAGCAGATACGTTCGATCCCAGACTGGAAGGCTCCAACTCGCATCTATAGCAAAGCCATTCGTCGTGGCCCACTACGGCACCAAGAAGATCCCTCTAGCCACCGAAGAGAATATTTGTGTTCACCACGGCTTGCGCTATTCTATGTATGACTCAACATTAATGCGGTGGACAGCGGATCTCCTTGATCGGTGCGATGTACGGAGATTATGCACTTTTCAGCTCCCATCCGGACATTATGGAACGCTGCAATACGCGTTAGATGGAACCACTCATACCTCTAATGAAGTTCTTGCAACCCAAGCGGAGTGCCCGAAGGGGCTGAACTTGCATGAGTTCTATGCCTTTGCCACTTTGCGATCCGGTAATCGACTACAATGGCGCAATATGGCACGTGAGCTTGTCGCCCGGATCCTTAACTTCAACCATGAGGAGACCTACTTGTTAGTAGTACAAGCAGCGTGGCAGGCTGGCCGGTCTCGAGACGGGCGCTATCTCCGAGAATCGCACGTCGACTTAGACGAAGAAGAGTTTGGAAGTTCTCTACTCTCCGTGTTGGGAGAAGCGCTCGGGACCGTTGAGGGTAACTGGCAGGGTGCTGTAGCAGTCCGCACTTTCGTTGCTCTTGCGACTCGATTGCTCTCTATGTCCTCTCGCGGCATAGTTCGCACTGGTTGCTATCTCTTTCTCCGGCGAGCACGGCAAGTCACGCTTGAGTGGACCCGAGATGTGGGCCAGCTGCTTCATGAAGCGGGCGATGCCGAGGAATTGAAGACCTTGAATCTCCGGGTGCTCGAAATGGCTCTGACTTGCCATAGCACTTTGAATGTGGACAAGGATCATCTCTCTGCGTTACTGAATTCCGAAGAGGATATTGCAGTCGTGACTGAATGCTCTATCGTTGTCCACGATCGCTGTCCCGCTGTGACAGCGCGCCTGCCTCGGGCAGTGAAGACCATGCTAGAGCGACATGAGAAGCTCTGTCACCTCCTGGAACCGATCCTGCGTGAAAAGATACTCGCGGAAAGAGGTGGCATCGACAGCACGTTACGTCGCGTTTGGGCGGGATATCGTCCAGGGCGCCCCTGGGCCACCGTGGAGAGTCCAAGTGAAAGGTGGCTGGTGACTGAGACGTCCACTGAGGGAGGCTTCTCTCGGATGATTGTTTACTACAATGTCTTGGATGGGAGTTTGCTTGTCAACGGATTGCCACTTACCCGACTTCCCGGACATTATGAATTGCACAGTACTTACCGTCGGCTGTTTGGCGAGGTACGATGACTTCACTTTCAGATGAGCGTAATGGCGCTGACTTATAAATCGTGTAGAAAGTTCTGGAGGTCATCCCTTCAACAATGACAGGAATGGCTTTTGAGACGCGGAAGGAGGTTTGCGGGCAACAAGTACTGCTCACAGCATCCTTCTCCCCTATATTAGCAGTGGTAAAGAATTGAAACTGATATTATGGCAGATGCACTTCCGCATGTGCGGCCCAGAGCTCATCATCCGGACTCGCCAACTGAAAAAGGTCTGCGAGTTGCTCCCTATACACGCTTTGCACGACAATTTCCCAGCAGCCTTTGTGCAGGACTACGCACACTGGTTGGACATCGACACCGGGGTAATTGAATGGCGTCCATTGGGGCATGCATGGACGTCGTGGCCAGACAACTGGCAGATGAGGGCCGATGGCCAAGAGGTTGCTCTGAGCTGCGGCGCAAAACGGTTAATAGACATTCGCAGTCCCACGGCCAAGGCCATCTCCCGGATCCTGGGTCCGCTGGAATATGCAACCCACATCCATGTGATACTGGACTGCGGGACGGAAACGTTGGAGGTGAACTTGCCGCGAGTGAGGCTTGATTTCTCCCTCCAGAATCACGGGAACTTGCTTGTGTCGAAGCAATTCCGGGGAATGGCAGTGGACGAGTGCCAATCCTTTGGCGCATTGACAGGACTCGTTAACAAGCTCGTCTTACGCGAGGTTGAAGGATCATCGCGGTCCGTCATTGTCCCACACGGCCACGTTTCCTTCTCGCGAGATGGTCATCACGTGCGGGTGAATATTGACACAACCTCGGTCGCTCACGTCAAGTATCACTCATACCACATTGATAGTCAACTCGGACGACTCATCGATAATGGCAACCTGAGGAGCAGGCTCTTCAGATTGTACCTTCATGCTACGACGGCGCACTGTCTGGTCGACCACCTTACCGGGAGGACAGGCACCGAGGAAGCCCTCTACGGTCTCGCAAGTGCTGCCACCCGATCATTTGTCGAACTCGAGCCTGAGGATGCTGAGCTTCTGAGAATGCTTGCACGATTGACTCCGCGGCGTCAATATTACCCAGAGTATCTGCGGGTAATGCAGCAAGTAGATTGGGAGACGTTATCTCCCCTCTCGCAACACTGCGCTTTCTCTGTACAGGTAGCATCGATCTTTAGCCAAGCCAAGGCGTCCTATGTGTTCCGAGAACAGCCTGCCGAACTGCCGATCTCTGAGACCCGTGGCGAGCATGACCTGCTGGAAAGGGCCGCTATCCGAGATTCATCATTCCAAACATACGGCTTTGGCGCCGAGGCGTACACTACAGACCACGATACCAGATACCCCTCCCGAGATCAGGTCTTTAATGGCGCCCGAGAGCTTCAGACTTGTCGCACTGCGAAGCTTGTAGACAACTGGTCTACAAACCTCACAATCTGCCCACGGTTGCTCTCTGAAATAGAGTCGTGGGGCGAGCCGATTCTAGGTCCTGGCCTGGCAAACAACTTAACACTAGGCTTTGACGTCAAGTGGCTCGGTCCGCCTGCCAAGTTTCTCCCGGACGACTGGTGCACTCTCCACAGCATCCTCTCCGGAAGTGTGGTCGAACAAGACAAGTACAAAATTATGATCTTCCTGAGTACCTTATCATACTCACAACACGCAAATCAAGAGCTTGTCCAGACACTCTTAGCTCTTGCGACTATCCCAGGACTCCGAACTCTCCGGCCGCCTGACTGCTCGGTTTTTCGGCTTGGGGATGGTTACAGACCAGAGCGGGAGAGATTGACCAAGGTGACAGGAGGACACGTGCGGCAGTTTCATGAATGTCCTGAATCCGATCTGCCCAACCTCCCATTTGAGATGCAGCACATTGCTGATCAGCGCCGAAGAGAGGAACACGAGGTGGCAAAAGGAGAGAAGATCCGGAGGTTTGTGGAGGATCTCATCACGCAGTGGCCTCGAGCCAACATCTCTACTCCTCCAGATCCCAATCACAGAACCTATATCTTGGTGGATGATGCAACGGCGAGTGCGCGGGCCTGGTTCCAGAGCTGGCACCGCAATGCTCAATTTCAAAGATACGTCCAACGAGCACAAAATATTCTAAACGACCTGGCTCCCGAGTCCCAAAACCTGGAGCATTACTCATTTTCGCCGCCGGTTGATGGATACGTCTCTATGCGGGCCCATATTAACTTTGAGGACCTCACAAGCAACCCCGCTCCGTGGCTCCCGACAGCTGACCAAGGCGACTTTGATGGATGGATTGTTCCGAGTAATAAAGAGAATACGGATCATGCCAAGCTCAGAGAACTCCTGGCTCATGTGTCTGCCCAATGTTCTTCTGGGCATGAGCAACGATACGCCAGTGACCTGTTCAAGAGTTTCGAAGCGTTGCGTGAGGATACGTCTGTCGAATTGAGCTTACCACAAGAATCGACTGAGTTATTGGAAGCACACCTTATGCGAGCTCATCGCTACGTTAAAACTATCTATCAGAGTATCTGCAGCCAGTTGCAAATTGGCCATGATCTCGTTCGGAAAGCACAGATGTTACCCCGCATATCCCAGACTTCAATCCTCTCACACTTGGCGAGCGACAAAGTTGCAGCTCTCCCCGATGGCTGGAAGAGGTGCTTAGTAGCGTATGGACTCGCCATCGCGGCCCTTCAACGTGCAGAACGACTTGTCGCGTCTCACGCAAACTTGGCAGAGCTCCTGACTGAACTCGAGAACCCTGGCCATCAAGACTGGGATCCAATGAGGTACCCTGAATGGCTTCTCCTTGAAGTCGAAAACAACATCCAAATACGGCAAGAACAGGCCCAGATTGCGAGGGAAATGATGTCGCCATCTTCCGGGTGCAATTCTGTTATGCAGCTGAACATGGGACTTGGCAAGTCGTCCGTCATCGTTCCCATAACCGCGGTAGCTCTTGCAGACAGGACACGGCTTGTCAGGGTTATTGTCCTCAAGCCTCTAGCGATGCAGATGTTTCAACTATTGGTGAAGAAGCTTGGCGGCATGCTGAACCGACGCATCTTCTATATGCCAATCTCGCGGTCTCTCAAGTTGGATGCGTTCCAAGCCCGCCAGATGTTCGAATTATATCAAGAATGCATGCGGGCTGGCGGCGTTCTTCTCATCCAGCCAGAGCACATCCTTTCGTTTGGGCTGATGGGATTTGAGCAAGTCCTGTCTAGCAAGCCAGAGCTAGGCAACATTATAATTCGGACACAGGACTGGTTGCGGGTAAATTCACGGGATATCCTTGATGAGAGTGATGAGATTCTGAGCGTGCGGTTTGAGCTGATCTATACTATGGGCATGCAACGCGCTATCGAGTTTAGTCCAGATCGTTGGGCTATTATCCAGCACGTCCTGGGGCTCTTGGGCCCCTCCGCGCACCAGGTACATGAACGCTTCCCGCACGGCTTGGAAGTGGTACCGGCGCAGCCCGGCGGCTTCCCAAGGATCCGTATCCTTCAAACCCCGGCCGGCGATGAGCTGTTGGGAATTGTCGCCAGGCAGCTTTGTAAAGCTGGTTTGCCCGGAGTGCCTGTGCAAAACCTCCCCCCAAGAGTTCGAAATGTCTTGTTCCAATATCTCACAGATCCGGGGTTCAGCACTACGGCCACCCAGTCGCCCCAGGAAGCCGCATTTGGTTCCGACACGGTGAGGAACGGTCTCCTCCTTCTGAAGGGCCTATTCGCTGGTGGGATCCTCAGGTTTGCCTTCGAGCAGAAGCGGTGGCGCGTCAACTACGGACTCGATTATTCGCGGACGATGCTTGCGGTTCCGTATCATGCCAAAGACAGTCCAGCAACACGGGCTGAATTCAGTCACCCTGATGCCACGATCGTCCTCACTTGCCTTTCGTATTACTATGGTGGCCTGTCAGACCAGCAGATACATGCTAGTTTCGAAGCGTTGTTGCAGTTCGACCACGCCCCAGAAGAGTACGCTCGATGGGTGCAAGACGCTCCAGAACTGCCCACTGCGTTCAGACAAATAACTGGTATCAACCTCAGCAACGCGGGACAGTGCTCTCGAGAAGTGTTCCCACCGTTGCGGTTCGCAAGAGGCCTCATCAATTTCTACATGTCAACCATCGTCTTCCCGGCAGAGATGAAGGAGTTCCCTCACAAGCTCTCGTCATCCGGCTGGGACATTGCGCGGGAGAAAGCGCACCCCACCACGGGTTTTAGTGGGACGAATGACAGCAGATACATCTTACCGTTATCCATCACTCAATGCGATCTGCCGCCGCAGCTCTCAACAAATGCCAAAGTACTCGATTGCCTGTTGAGATCCGAGAACTCCTTCGCAGACGTTAAGCAGTCATCTGACACCGGAGTCCTGGACGCTGGCGTGCTGTTGAAGATGGCCCTGGCATTAGATCCTCCTGTCCGCGTCATTCTCGATGTTGGTGCGCAGGTGTTGGAACTGGAGAACAAAGAGATGGCGCGCACATGGCTCTCCAACGTATCAGAATCTGCCGCCCAAGCTGTCATCTTCTTTGACAACCGTAACGAGATCTGCGTCTTGAGCCGCGATGGGACGACAGAGCCGTTATTAATCTCCCCCTTCGCAAAGCAGATGGATCAGTGCTTGGTATATCTCGACGAGGTTCACACGAGAGGGACGGACCTCAGGATGCCGGCGAATTATCGAGCAATTGTGACATTGGGCCCCGGACTTACCAAGGACCGACTTGTGCAAGGTGAACTTTTCCTTTTCTTTCCCCTTCTTTTGATTGTGAGAATCTGAGTTGCACGCTGATCATTGGAAGCTTGTATGCGAATGCGAAAACTTGGAAAGGGACAGTCTGTCGTATTTTGCGCTTCTATGGAAGTTCAACGCAAGATCCTCAAGTCCAGAGGCAGGAGCCGGGGCCCTATCGAGGTTGCCGACGTCTTGAAATGGTGCATCGCAGGCACATGCACCCACACGAGAAAGTGTATCCCCTTGTGGGCGACTCAGGGGGTCCGACATCAGCGTCGACACGTAGCGTGCGCTCAATCTTGGGGCGCAGAAGGGGCTTTTCCGAGACACCTAGCTGCGTCACTGCTCGAAAAAGAGGCACAAAGCCTCCAAGAACGATACGGAGTTAAAGGGACACAGCGGGAGGAACAGATATTGTTAGAGAACGTGGCGGAGGAGCTACTCGCTGCGCGTGGGAAACAGCTAGCGGATATCCGAGCCAAGTGCCGAGAATTCGGCGTTGCATCATTTAGCACGGCGGCGCTGCAAGAGGAACAAGAGCGCGAACTCTCTCCGGAAAATGAACGGGAGCAGCAGGTCGAGCTTCCGCCAGCCGCAACGCCATGTAAGCACAGTGTCCACCGGGATGTACGGCATTTGATCACACATGGCGTCCTTGAACGGTCTTCGAATGCATTTCGACCAGCCTTTCAGACTCTTTGCAATACCACCGCATTCGACTGTTGCGAAAAAAATGCGTGGCCAGATGATCTACTTGTCACAGCCGACTTCGCCCAGACGGTGCAGGCTTCGGCTGACGAACTGCTAGACTCGTTCTTGAGGCCGGTGCATTGGGTCGTTAGCTGCAAGAAAGGAGATAGGATCGAATCCGTGGTTCTGAGCCCATACGAGGCTCAAGAGCTTCTACCGTCCGTAAGGCAGTACAAGCACGTGATCCTTCACGTGTATTCTCCGCGCCTCAGTGTGTCTGTGCGGACGTTGGAGGACCTCTCATTCTGTACTGTTCCGACCGTCCCCGAATCCTGGTCAACCCCCGCTATCGTCAAACAACTTAATTTATTCGCTGGTCAGCTGTACATTCGAACTTACGAGGAGTACGAATTGCTATGTGGCTTCTTAGGACTCTGCTCTCAACCCCCCGATAATCATATGGAGGTCGCATATGATGGGTTCATTACCCCGCCGAATAGATTCCGGTCGGGCGTTATCATGGCCCCAATATGTCCGTTCATGATCAGCCCAGTGGCATTCCTAAGAACTTTTATGGCATTGAGGAGGAAAGGGCAGAGTTTTACTGCTTCACACTTTGGAAGGATTCTGAATGGAGAGTTGATTTCAAGGGAGCACTTTCAGGGTGAGCTCCTTTTGTCAAGACCCGTACCGATAAGGCGGCATGAGTTTCGGTGAATGCTGAGAGGCCAACAAAGACAGGAAGACTGGACTGAGATTGTGTGAACACTCCGAGTATTTTAGCTGGGATGGTATGTGCCTACTGTAAAGAGTCAGGTTGCCTCGAACTTCCGCTACGAGTAATCTTCAAAGAGATGTTACTGTATCTCCCCCCTCGTCATCCCCTCTTCCCAGTGCTTGATCACGCCTCCAACTCAAAGTATCCTCTTAGAAGCCTCCGACATCTGGGCAGTATCATCCTGGAGTTGAGGAGGACCATAGATGGAAACGGGTGGCGCAGCGAGACAGGAAGGGCGAAGAGGATCGAGTTCTCGACCAGCAATTCAGCATCAGTCTGCCGGGTGTATGTACATCTTTGCTAAGGTGATTTCATAACAGCTTCACACATTTCCCCGTTCCATTCCTTCGTGGTTTAGCTTTCCAGCACCAGGTCTACTAAAGATTGGCGGTGCCACCCTAGCTCAACAGCACGCGAGCATTGACTTCTACATCACATTATGTTGTTTCCCTTTCCAAAAGTGGCCCATCGCCCCTAAAGAACTAGTGAGCATGCCAATTCCCGCAAATGCTATAACACCCATATATTTTCCAAGCCCATACATCCCGTCAACTAAACCTGCTTCATCCACGACTAAGAATCCGCCCGCCAAACCACCAATCACATTTCCGATGCCCCTTTGAAACTCGAAAATAGAATAAAGCCACAATCCTGTTGCTCTATTATCCGTCAAGTGTGTAGCAAATCTACTATATAATACGCTATATCCTCCTGCTGAGATGCCATATAGAACAGCGAATACATATAATAGTGCAAGGCAATTGCTAAAACCCCACAAGACAAGGATACACAAAGATGAAAGAAAGGTAGAGAGGAAAAGTAAGAGATAAGGGTTGTAATTATCGGAGAGCTGGCCTATAACCACTTGGCTGAGGGTTTGAGAGAGAGTTAAAAAGGAGAGTAATAAAGGGGCATTTGTTCGGGGCGACGCAAAAGAAGTCGCGTATGCTACTAGAACGTTAGAAGTTTAGTAAGACCAACGAATAGTAACTCCTGAATACCTACAAGGCAAGTAGATACCTGGCAAGAAGAAAACGAGGCCCTGGAAGACGTTGGATAGCGTCATACTAAGAAAAGGCACTTTAGCGAAGATTGCGGTATCTGGGTTCGTTTCTTCAAAGCAAGAAATATCTGGTGAGAGGCGATTCTGTAAAAGAGGGAGAGCTGGACCGACGAGGACAAACTAGATTACTTTCTGAGCAATATCCCTTTAATTCCCATAGCAGGAGTTAACGTACAATAGCGACCGCATATATCCTGAGAGTCATCACATATCCATATGTGTGAAGCAATTTATCGATAGCAAAGGGAAGACCAAGGCCACATAACCCTGCTGCTCCGAACCTGAATGCTATTAGTAGAAATAATCGAGTTGTACAAGATAAGAGCCTTACAAAATCCCATAAGCAAGGCCCCGGCGTTTAACGAACCACTCGTTGAGCATGCTCAAGAGGGGGTAGTAGATCACCACAAACCCAAGTCCATATAGAAGCCCTTGTGTAATTATTAAATGGGATAACTTGGTAGCAAAGCTACTTCCAATGAGCGCTATGATACAGGTGAGCCATCCGAACCAAATCATGTACTTTCGATACATGGGATATCTGATCGTAAAAGGTGTGATGAGTGGCGTCGCAAGATATGAGATACCCTAAGGAGAGGTTAGCTATTAACGACTAGGGTTTTAAAGGCTCTTTACTGTAGCCAGCGTTCCGACCACTGGCAGGTACTTGTTGCTTTCAAAAGGTGGATGAGTGAAATAAAAGGTTTGAAAGATTCCAAATGTCAATGGAAATCCTGAATTAAAGTTAGAACGATCTCTAGCAAGAAAACTTCAAGGAATACTTGCCCCACATTAGACCCTCAATCATTGCGGCTCCAACTAAAAATGTCCATGCATGGCCTCCTCTGTCACATGGAGGAATCTGGCTCCCTTGGCCTCTTTCTGTAAAGGTAGCCGACATGTTTCTCTCGGAACTGCATCTAAGCTAACTTCGTTATTTTGTTTCTTGGAGCGAGGCGGGTGTATATTTGACGGGAAGTCCGGCATAAGCAAGAGCTCTACTAAAGAATACGCTGAGGAGCGACCAAGAGATCCATTTTGGACCTATCCTTATTACTGCTAACCGAGAAGCTACGGCCAATTTTCGCGCATTCGTCATCTGGAGTTGGCTTTGCCAAAAAAAAAAAAAAAATTGCAAGTCTGGTAGCCAACAATGGAGAGTCATCTGTTCCCCCCCGTTCGTCAATACGAGCGATTGATCAATCGCCCCCTCCCATTGATCAATCGCCCTCCCGATTGATCAATCGTAGCGCCCGATTAATCAATGGGGGGGGGGATTACGATTCGGGCTCCACAGTGGGTCCCGATTAATCAATCGATGTCCCGATTGATCAATCGCATAATATTGGGGTTTCGGGGCTAATGGGGCTAAGGGAGCTGAAAGCTTTTACTTACTAGTTCATACTAAATATATCCTCAATTCTATGTTCTTCACTTCGCTTAAGCCTTACTCTTTATGCTATAATATAGATTTCTAATATTTAATACTAAGTATATCCTCAAGTCTAATTTTCTTATTTCGCTTATACCTCACTTATTTATGCTATACCTATAGCATTACATAGTTTATTTAATTTTTTTCTAGGCATTAAGGGAAGTAATAATAGGGGTAAAGACACTTCTCCAGAGCTTCTAGATATGTATAGGGCCTTTACTCCCTTATTTTCTAGATACAGTTCACACTACAAGTACTACAAGCACCAATTTACCAAGCACAACCACTGATTTTTATACCTCTCAATTAATCAATTACCTTACTTCCAATATGTCTCTTTCAACCCTTCGTTCATCCCCAACCCCGTATACGCCTCGTCAGCGTATTTATGGGCGAGCAGAGCAATATTTTGATATTACTGCTCCAGGAGCTCGTTCGTCTGGCACCCAGTTTTTGCCCTCCCCAATTACTGAAGAGCCTACTGATAATTGGTCTGCCGAAGACGAAGCTGCATGGGATCAGAGGCTTGCTAAGGGGGGTAGTAGGAAAATTCTTACTGCTAGGAAACGTATGGATATTAGATGGTGGCTTCAAAATCCTAATGCTCCGCTTCCTGGTGGAACTAAGGCAGAGAAGCACTACCAGGCTAATATTAAGCACGAATCCCACTTGTACGAGCTTCAGGATAATCAAGTATATCGTAAGGAGTACCACGATACTCGCCGCGATGAGATCCTTCCAGCCCGGTATACTCTTTGCTATAACGATGCCTTTGAGATTTTGACTACTGTTCATGAGAAATTAATGCATACAGGTAAGTATTCCCTTAAAGCTACTAATTTTTATACTAATTATATAATAGCTTCTGATACTGTATTTGAGTATACAAGACGACTTTGGCATGGCCCATCCCGTGACGATCACGCTTGGATAAGTGCCCATTGTGCTCATTGCAATAAGGAGAAGGCTCAAAAGAACAATACAGGGGTAATACCCATTCAATCTCATTATCCTGGTCAGCGTATGGTTCTGGATTTAATGGATTTCCGTGTAAGTGTTCCCTAAGTCATATGATTTACCCCTATTTTAGCCTTTCCTGCATTTCCTGCATTTCCTGCATTTTTGAGCTTTTCCTGCGATTTTCGCGAAAATCATAAAAATCGCGATTTTTATCTATACCACTTACTAATATTATTATAGCATGATCCGGATGGAGAATATACGTGGATCTGGCAATTGAAATGCCATTTTTCCAAGTTCGTTTGGATCCGTGGGCTTAAGGCTAAGACTGCGGACGAAGCTGCGGACGAGCTTATCAAATGGCTAAATGATAATGGGTATATTGCCATTCTAGCCTGTGATAATGGGGGCGAGTTTAAGGGGAAAGTAATTGAGGTTTGCAAGAAGAGAGGGATAAAGATTGTTCGCGGACGAGCTTATCACCCCCAATCTCAGGGCTCTATTGAGGTTGCTAATCGAATCTTCAAGAAACGACTGCGGGCCGTACGAGCGGATACTGGTATCCAATCTTGGATACAATTACTTCCTTTGATTGCATGGGTAATTAATACTACGGCTACATCTGCCCTTCCTAAGGGTAATACGCCGTACGAGGTCTGGTTTGGACGAAAGCCACCTACTGATTTCCTGAATCATAAGGAGAGTGCTTGCCGTGCACGTACAGCCTTAGGAGAGAGGGAAATCGATATTGATGAGAGTGGTACTTCTGAACAATCATCTACCATTGAGGTTCAAGGAGAAGAAGAGAATGGAGAGGATAGCTTATTCGTTAATGAGGAAGCAGAATAGGAGGAAGCAGCAGAGGAGATGATTTTATCTGAACTAACTAAGAGGGTTGCGGAGCATATGAAGAAACAGCAAGAGAAGATGGTAAAGAGGGCTAGTACTAAAGCTCTTGAATATGATATTCAGGAGATCGCAACCCTACAGATCCCAAAGCAATATCGATTCAGTACAGAAATGGCTCGGATTCCAGTGAGAGTTCTGGAAAAGACTTCAAAGGTATGTAACTTATGAGGATATACTTTTGGCTAAAGCTAATTAAAAACAGGGCTACCGGTTGACTACTAAGCATGGTGAGCTTACAACCCTCTGGCCGCACAATACTCTCAATAAAGTTGCTTTACAATCAACTTATCCTGATTTGCCTATTACTGGTACGGCCCACAAGAAAGACAAAATTACCCTCCCCAAAGCAGTGGCAAAGGAGAATAACCGGGGTTCAATTTCGTCAGTTCAGAAGGCTGGAAGGGTATCTGAGAGAGCAAAGAAGAGAGTAGCTATTGAGCAAGCACGTGAGGATGGAGCTAGAGAAGGGGAATCAGGTGAACAAGTGGGTGTGAGGGTACCAAAAAGGGCTAGGGTAGCTATGAAAGCACCTAGACGAAGTGGGAGGCATGTATAATAAAGCTTGATTTGGGTGAAGTATACTAATATATACTGCTTTTGCCATTCCCGAAACCTCAATATTACCCGATTGGGCAATCGGGACCCACTGTGGAGCCCGAATTGTAATCCCCCCCCCCATTGATCAATCGGGCGCTACGATTGATCAATCGGGAGGGCGATTGATCAATCGCTCGTATTGACGAACGGGGGGTATCACATCCAGTGAATAACTGAAGATCGACTTGTGCAGACTAATCGAGCTAGTCTACCGGGGAGTCTTTTCATTATCCACATATGAAATTTAATAGACTGTGAAATCCTCATCTTTGGCTATAGCTTAACCACTTAATTGTGGGTCATCCACTTGATTTGTGGGTCATCCACTTGATTTGTGGGTCATCCATTTTGATTTGTGGGTCATCCATATGATTTGTGGGTCATCCATTTGATATGTGGGTCATTCATTTGATACCTCACTTAATAAGGGTCAAGATGCGCTTTTTGTTAATAGGAATGATCCATTCGAGCGGTGAGTGTTAGTCGGTAAAAAGGGATCACCCCTCACCCCAACTACCAAGACCATCTCCATTCATCTCAGAGATCGTACCGCCGTCCCCATAATTCTGGATGATTTCGATGTCCCTTTCTTTTTCGCCGCTATAATCACTGCAAATATACTAGCATAGGCTTGATAATTAGGAATGGACACGCTAATACTCAGCGGCTACCGAGGATTGTTGCATAGGCAGTGGCAAATGGAAATCACGTGCTCTTACCCTAGGACTTTATAATCCCTCGATCCCTCTACTTCTTCTACTTTAGACAACTTCTAATGCAATCCTTTCCATCCCAATTTAGGCAATTACTAAACCGACTAACAAGCAGTCCTACGGATTAAGTAGCCTACTCTTCCTCTCCCAACTATCAAATTCACGAAATTCACACCAAAGCTCCCGCTATTGTTTTGTGTCATTTTTGGATTATTTTAAAAGTGTAAATAATACCCTTTTCCTCAAAAGTAAGTTCAGATGTCCTCTCATAAAATATCCATTTTAATTATACTAAGAAAATTGTTTAGTGAGGTCACTTCGCGAGAGCCAGAGAACGGCGCAAGCTCGAAGGAATCGGCGGATGTCTCTCTCACCTTGTCAAACTATTTTTCAAATTATAGACGGATTTGAAAAAGAAGGCAGCCAGTCGCTCGAAGGAAATACACTAGCCAAATTCCACTTATTCCCAAAGTTACCTCGAGAACTTCGAAACCGAATATGGCACTATTCTCTCCCAGCCCCTCGTAACTTTAAAATACATTTTGTTGCAAAGGTTAACCACTACCCGGAGCCTATTTCTCTCGCTGGCATCGGTCCTCCCAAAGCACTCTATATCTGTAAGGAATCTCGTAAAGAGGTCTTGCTTATTTACAAGGCCCAGCTTCTGCTTTATACTTGCGGCAATGAGTCAAGACCAATGCTTTGTGGATTTCAAGATACCCTCCCTCAGGAGTCCGGACGAGGAATTCGTTATGGCATTTACACGAAGTATACGCCTGGATTAATCGATTCTCAAACACTCAACTTAGAGCCACATTTGCCAGTCCAGTCAGTTCTCGATATCTATCAGAAAATTAAAAAAACGGCCGATGGCAAATGGGTAGTAATTGAAGGAACGCTGAACGAGCTCTTGTGGGGATGGGAACGGAAATTGACTTAACAAAGAAAGCTGTGTATGTGAGGTTAAGCCCTTAAATCACGCATTCTATTATTGTATTGAAATATTTAAGAAAGCCTGTCTTACTTATTGAAGGGTTGACGGTTGTCTAAGATTCTTGAAACTGTGGTGAATCAACTGCTTCGCTAATATTATCTGGTGTTTCGACGGATTTACCCATAGAATCGATCCTTGCCGGGAGTGCCAACGAGCACACAACGGCAACGAGATAATCCCGAAATTCTTTCTCGACTCGCTTCGCCCCTCACAGGTGTAAAGCCCACGAAGTATCCACCGGTCGGGTCTTGGCTCCGCAGCACCATCTCCAATAGAATAGTCGCGAACCGTAAAGGCAGGGCCATTAGTCTCCACCTTTTCTGAAGGGCCCTCTCGCATTCTGGAGTTTAAAGAGAAAGGAAAGTAGGTGCAATGCGTGGGTGGGGCAGGTCACATTATACATCGCTCCAGCCTTCGGATTCGTGATATTGGCGAAGCAGTGCGACATGAGTTGTGATGTTGTTTGAAGAACTGTAACCGCCTTCTCGTTTCTTCCAATCAACTTTGTAAGAAGATGATAGCGTCTTCTAATTCAACCTTGGTTTTCTTCACCATGATGCATGCTTTTGGTGGCTCCTGATCAAATGAGATCCGCTACATTCAAGATATCGGTAATGTCTCTGTCTTTAGTCCCCAGCTTCCGCGGAGCGTATTCGATGCCATAGATAACAAGGGAAGGTGCCATATCGAAATAGGGTTGCTTGTTGCTTTAAAGTTATATATGCAGTTGGTTAACAAGGATTCTAGGGAGTGTCAAGAAGTTTAGCAGAAATGCTCTAGCTTTAGCAGGTAAACCTGCCAAGTTCTGGGCGTGCTATAGTCGGAGCCATTTGCGTACTGGAGGAAATAGTAAAAAGTCTATCCGTGTTATGGAATTCTTCTGTCAAGGTGAAAAGCCTGTTGTCTCCATCACAATGCGAGATGTCTACTGCGAGGAGATATTCTGGACCCTACCCTCCGACAATAGCAACCCAAAGCGGTTACTTGGCATCTTCACCTCGTTAGATTAAAGCCAAGAGTACTCTCACTACCACCTCCATGGCATTCTTGATAGATAACTACAGAATAGGTAACCTCTGTCGGTGCGTGATTCGACAGGAAGAAATAAAGACTGAGAATGTCGAGGCACCGCCCCGCCATCTTCCATTAATTGCTATATTTGATTTGGCCTCGCTCCTCGACCCGTTACTGAGGTGGGCTATTCTCACTCGATTGGAACCCGATTGTGTGAGTCCCGACTCGGTTCTGACCGGCCTCTCTGGAAGAATGAAGGCCTACAGCATCTCCGTCAGTTTTCCTACTCTACCAGGTTGGAAATATAGGCTCGTGGCGGCTTTGGACCTTCTTCAGTCAGTGACAGTGACCACCAATGGGCGGTGATTATTCGCAATTAGTGAGTGTTCACTCGTGAACTTGTTTTGAAGGAGGGCAATTGCATAGGAAAAACATATCCTATTGGACAAGGAGATGCCGGCGTTGGACTGATGAGGTAATAGCCTCCACGTGATCTGTAGCCCACTTCTGGCGTGGGGCGGGGTAACAACATAGCTATTCGCTTATTAAAAAGGGTTACCGAGCCCGCTTAGTCAGGGACCCACCAGAGTTATCCTGTTATCCGCGAACGGTTGAATAGAATACATTCTGTCAAGGTAGGTAAGGAATTACTAAATAGAACTTGCTATCTCACCCTTGAGGTTATATAGGATATAATAGAGTATTGGTTAATAAAGTAAGCTAGAAGAAGTATAATCTCTAAAGCACTGAGTATAGTTATAAGTAAATAGCTAGTATTAATTACAGTTATAATTATTATTCTCGCGAACTTCTCTTTTATTTTGAAATCCCTTAATTTATTCCCGAATTCCGAGAGAAAAATTATAATATCTCTAAAAGCCTTCTAAATCTAAAAGTTATAATTGCTCTGAAGTATATAGTAATTTATATTCTCTAATAATTATAATATATTATAACTAATAAAACTTGCACATGTCGTCCAACCCGAGTCATCCCGAGTCACTACAACTAGTTTGATAACGTTTGAGCAATTAGTGGAGATATTACCCTGACAACTTTAGGAGCACAAGTCCACCGCCTCATCTCCATTTGGACATCTACGACTTCTTTCCAGACCTCAAATGTAGGTAGCAACAATGGCTGACTCTATTGGCCTTGGCAATTACAAATTTAAGTAGGATTGCAACCAAGTTAAAGCAACTCTCTCTACTCTTGAGGATTACCACACCCGATCAATTGGTGGCGGAAGGAAGAGTAGGGGAAAGACTGCTCGGTGGTGGATTAAAACTGGGTAATTTGTGCGTTTTCTTTTTACACAAATAAGTCATTTCTTGGAATTAGAAGCCCACAGTACTTCGCAATGCCTGGATAAGTGCCTGCCCTTTGCATGAAAAGATTAGGGAGATTCAAAGGTCTTGGGCTAATCCTTCCATCGTATAACATAAATTTCGATGCAATGGACCTAGCGGGAAGGCTATCGGTTGTAATCTCTGAGATTTCGGGGTCAAGTTCTTGGTAATCGAGTTTGATCTTAGTATAGATAACCTTGGTCATGAATTTCTCTAGAGTCAGAGATAGTCGGCCTTCAAACCACTCTTTATCGACTAGCAATAACAGCTCAGGCTCTTTTGCGTATCTTAGTCGGTCTGGGAGTTGCTTCGCATTCAGAACAGAAAAATTCTTCGTGGCGCCACGACAGGACGCCGGAGAACCTTGAAATACATTTGTCATGAAAGGTACCAGCATAGCTGTTTTGCAGATCGACGAGGGTCGCGAAAGAGACGCTCTTGGACTAGATCTATATCCGTTTCGAAGGATATCCGCAACTCTTATGCTTTCCGCCGCAATACTTCTTCTGCTAAGGCAGCCCGCCGGCTGCGACTACGAGCTGTGCTTTGTACTGCTTTCCGCTTCCGGGTTTCTTTAGTTCCACGGGGGAGTTCTGCCTCGCCGGTCTGCAGTAAACTTAAAGAAGTTAGAATATTGTTATTTGAGAAAGAGCATAAGCACTTACCAACTCTCTCCCTTTATCTGAGCTTTCTGTACTGTCCTCCACTTTTGGCTCCGAGCAAAATTTGATCTTCCAATTCTTTAATATACGTCATTGTCTCACCAAAGGGTATACACCCAAATAAGCTTACGCTTTGGCTCTCTGTTTCCTTTTCTTCACCCGTTCCTTCTCCCTTTTTTATGCTTCATCGCTCGTCGTGCTATTGAGCTGGGTACCTTGAGGAAGACGGGCTTGTTTTCTATTCAAATTAGCAAAGTAATCTCAATTAATCGCTCATCTGCTTACTTCCATGCCTGTGCTAATTTATTTTGTAATCGTGTTTTCTCAGTTGTTATTATGATCGTGCGCGCTATAGGAGGTGCTGAAGGAGGTGGTGCTGAGGTGGTGCTGCTGGAGGTGCTGCTGCAGAGATGAGACGAGGTCGCGTTCCCGAGACCGTAGCGAGGGGACAGTGTTTTGCCGGCAATCGGCGTTGCACTTCGGCGTTGCAGACCATGCAACGCAACTTGTTCTGTCCCCGCCCCACCCAATACTTCAAATATTGCGTTGCGATGGCCACCGTACGCAACGGGGCGATGATTACATCAACAAATCCCTTGTTCACGCTTCTTTTGTTCTTGCTTCTCTTGATTTATTTTTTTCCTGCTCTCGTAGCTTTTGTGCCAAGCTTTCTTGCAGCTTCTCCCGCTTCTTCGATAAATATCCATGTTGGCAGCGTTGGTGCTGGGAATGTCGACTTTTATAATGGAGAGTATTGGATGCTGGTGAACGTCGTATGCTCCCACTCGAAGTACAGACCGTTCACCAAAATTGTTTGACATAATGTAAGCAGAATGTTGAGATCAATTATTATTAGTGCATTGCCAAACCCAAAAAGAAATGAAAATCAAAGCCATAACAGATCTTAGAACTATGCCCACTCCTATCCAGAAACTCGCCCTGAATTGCGTTGCTGGGGAAGCTGTTCCAGCGCATCCTGAGCTTGAACTTGATCTCGTCCATCGCTACTTCCAGGAGCCAAGAACAGGCAGCAAAAGGAAATATGCCATTTAATTCCCGAATAATAGCTTAGTATAGGACGACTATTTCTAGATAGTATTGCTGTACTTATGCCTCCCTTTGGCAAATGCAAGCTGTTTTCGTAGAGATATTCAGGGGTTCGCTTATGGTTCCGAATTGGGAGAGGGGTAAATGATTTGATTGGCCACAATGCTTCGATAACTCCTATTACAAAGGAAGAGGCATGGATTCATATCTTTAAAGTGCGTTATGGGATTTTAACGAGCAGGACGTGACAGTAAGCGAAATAAGGCAAAAGAATCCTCCAGACGATACGGAAGACACATCGATAAAACTATTGTCGCGTAAGAAGAAGATTAGCAAATTCGTAAAAAAGCGCAACAACCGTACAATACAAGACTCAAACAGATATCCCATAATACCAAGATAACAGCGGCAGTGACTATTCGGGGCTCTACAGAATTGGATCATATTGGCGACTCTGTGGATAATTCAGTCGTTGCCGCGCTGTAATGAATCACGAGTATTGCCTCGCTCTCGTATTCTTTGTATTGCGGCTGCTTCCGTTAGTATTTAGCAACTCGTTAATATTATAAATAAAACGAACCTCTAATTTTAAACGTAGATACGTATAATTTTGAACCTCATCCTTAATCAAAATTCTCAAAACAATGACAAAGCCCTCTATTACTATAAATCTCTCATCTCGCATTGTTAAGGCCTCGGGATTTACTAGGCGCCTGGGGATCATTGTCCATATTGGGCTTGACAGGATCCTCTTAGCATATCTTCGCGGGACGGCTCTCTCACGGATTGGATCTGAATCTTCGGAAAATTTCTTAGTAGGAGGACGAAGAATTCCCTTTGGTGTAACAGAATTGAGCTCTTTCCTTAGTTTTGTGAGACCCAATATGTCATTGGGAATAAAAACTTCTCCTGGTGGAGTCTGCTGTTGAGAGGGATGCGAGGTATACTCTCGGCGTTCTGAGTTAGATGGCCTGCGTTCTTGTGGGTTACGCCCGCCAAGCTCAATGGTTGAGTATTGTAAAGTGCCGTTATTGGATACTTTACGATGAGTTGGAGGATCGCGTGGAGGAATGTCTGCTTCTCCTCTAGGTGGAGCACGTCTATTGCGTTGTTCGTCTCGATTATCGTAGCCATATTGTCTGTTCCGACCTCGGTTGGCGACTTTGATTCCCACGGCAGTAGCTCCAGCAAGTCCGCGATCCTTGTCACCTGAACAATTTTTACGTGACACACTCTTTGTCCTCTCACTCCTCTCTTCAAGTCCCACACTCTCTGACCTTTCAATATTGTTGTATCTGGAACACTGAGGTCTTTCCGCTCGAAGTTGTGAACTCTCCCTCATCTCCCTCCCCTCATCTCCAACCGCATAGGAAGGCGTAGGGACTGGCGCCCTAGTTTGCGGTTGTTCCAATGTGCGTTGAATGGGCGTCCTGTCAAAACCTCTTGCCTGAGGGGGAAGTTCCCCGTCTCTGTTGCGTAGTGGGAGAGCAGCATAGCGATGCGCCCCGTAGGGAGCGATTCGTGTAGGTCGAAAAGCGTATCTATCCCCCATTTTGCTTGGTATCCTCACTTGCAAAAGGGGTGACTTGCCTGTACGCTCTCAGCAGTCAACAGATGAGGCTCCAGCGAGATGGATCTCTCGATCGTTTGCATCACGGCACATCCTCAGCCAATAAGGCGACTGGGATTTGAGCCTCATATCTGTAAGGCCAGTAGAGTGGGAAGGCAATGCATGCAAAAACCAAAGGGGAAAACAAGGACCCTACTGGTGGAATCGATTTGTACTCGGTATGGCTGAAAGGCGGTGCAAATAGTCCAATCAGTAGAGGTCACACGACAGCCCCCTATTCGGCAATGGGTCTTGAATTTGTATTGATGGTTGCGTAATTGCCACGAGCCGCCCGGGATATATGAGTATGCGGATGAAGAATACATGAGATCACCCACAGGTGATGGAATTAAGTTAGAGGGAGGAGTGGCCAGGGGCTAGTGGTGGAGGGCCGTTCTGGCTGCCGGTAGGAGGGAGAGCGGTCGGTGTGGGATCCACCAGCGCGGGTCCACCCTGACAAAAACCACAGCCATGAGTGTTAGCCCCAACATGCCTGAAATACAACACCCGCCAATGAGCTCAATGGGCAGTTCTCGACTTGCTCAAAGGAAAAGGGACGCCCATTGCCCATCGCTAATTGTCCCCCACTTCCCCGGCTGCCACCAAAGAGTTGCCCCCAATAAAGATCGGTGCTTGAAAAGGGGCGTCCAGCCTATGAGAAGCTGATGCTTCCAGCTACTGCTCCTTCTCCTGCCTTTGCCCTCCACAGTTCCTCGCCGAAGTTCATACTGTTCACATCTTCCAATATGTGCGACTATACAAGTCGAATTCCGTTGCGGTCACGCCCGCTACACAGTTCATGCGCGGTGTCCAAACTACGAATACCATTCACAAACGATGCCCTCCTAGTGTTGTCGCGATAGTTTACGCGAATGGTGAGGGTTTGGGGTTCAATGGCTGAGGGGCTGCAGTTAGGTTTTTGGGGGGAAGCAGCAACGTAGAAAATGTTATAGTAGTTCAAGAAGGCCACTTGTTGATATTTTGAGCTTATATAAACACCATCCGCTCCGTCAACCATATCCATTTTATCAACCCGCTCTCGCAAATCATGCCCCCAGCCAACAGGATAAACTAACCACTAGCTCAGAAAAACCACAGCCGCAGGTTTTCAGTCAGCTCAGGGATCTAGATGGAATGGATCTATTTGGAATGATCATGTCGGCTGTTAGAGCAGTTATCAGGTGGTGCATTGGGGAGAATGTGGACTTGTGACTTTGTTTGGCAATCTCTTGAGCCTGGTCACAAGGTTGAATAACCACAGTCTTCGCAAAATCCATACAGTCGTGAATCAATTGAACCAAATCAATACGACATTACAAATCGGAGTTCAAGAACCAGCATTATCAAGTGCGGCGGGACTCAACATCCCCAGTATCAGTAATGACAGAATTGAGTTTTTGGAAGAACAGAAAGGCAGACACAACACATCTCCAAGCTCTCAATGACACAAAGAAAGAAAGGAAGAAAGAAACATAGCCTTGTAACCAGCCTCCTACCATTCAACCCTCCAATTTGGTCCATGAGACCACCAATTCCCTGGCGGGATTCTCCCAATCAGGCAATATCTTAAAGTGTGGTTCTTTGGTATATATAGGGGTTTTATTCGCCGGCGTGGGTGAGAAATGGGGCGCTGGTTTGGGGGAGAAAGTGGGCGCTGGTTTGGGAGGAGACCAGGCCTGAATAAAACCCTCCTTCATTTGAGAATCGTCTCGCAAAGTCTTCTTGAGAAATACGATCATTTCGTCCTTCAAAGGAGCAATCGAGTGGCAAGACCAATGGTAAAGAGCCTTATGGGGGTCAGTCCTGTCTATTCGCGCCATTAAAGTATCGACCAGCTGCCTTTGGGTGGAAGATGGAGTTGATTTCCAGCAAACGAGCAGTTTGCGCCATTCAGCCTTAGGATGACTACGGTGTGTGTACTTCGTGCAGAACCACTTCTCATATCCAGGACGGGGGTCAGGCCAAAAGCGGAAGACGTGGTAAGAAGTCGTAGCCTTGCAAAGACTAGCCTTGGTAAATCTCAAAGTGTTAAAGTCAGGTGGTTCGGGCCATATTTGGATCCATTGCCCGATATGTTTCTGATGAGAGAGTGCGTCGACGAAAAGAGCCTCTCCAAGGTTAAGTGTTCCTATGTTCGCAACCGGGCAAAGGGGAGGTATAGTTGGTAGGTCGACAGAACGGACACTACGGAATATTGTAAGAATCGACTTCAGCTTCTGGTGAATGTCTCTAGTAGTCTCTGGCAAAGCCTCAGAATTTGAAAGAGTTATCTCGGAGCCACTCTTTAAACTTTGGACGGCTGGGGAGGGTTTACTGGCGTCGACCGGATAGTCAGAGTCAGGGTCGACGTCAGGGTCAGAGCCAGAGTTGTTAGGAAGTTGGGCGACAAAATCCTTTGCGATTTGTATGTTGTTCTCGCGGGACTTGCGGGCACTCCTCGTAATAATTTTTTCGAGTTTTTCGCGCTCCCTACTATCTTTCTCTCTCGCGAACCTCAATACACTTATAAACAAGTACCAATCGTCAAGCTTGGTTTGCAAATAGTGTATGTCGTTCCAAGTTTTGTAATTGGCGCCTGCCAATGTAGCTCCCGTAACCTCAGAAAGCTGACCTGAGTAATTACATAAGAGATTCATGAACTCAGTAAGTACAAAGGAGGTATTGTGAGAAAGTTCATGGAGATATTCGAAGCCATGGTTGCTGATGAGGTGCCAGTGTTGGAGAATGCCGAAGATGACCTGGGCAAATTCAGGGAAGATGGTTCGGTTCCCGGCATAAAGTAGATTGTTCTTCAAAAGTAGAGCTTTTGAAATGGACTGGGTATTGTTGAAGAGTTCAACGGTCTACAACATGGTAGGTTAACCAGAGACCTCACAAATGGCAAGACAATAGAGACTCACTTTTGTCCTGGCGACGACAGCCAATGGAGGGATGACTGGATCAGTATTGTTGGGAGAGTTGACTGGACCAGTATTGCTGGGAGAGTTGGTAACCCCCGTGTGTTGGCGGGCTGTAATTGAAGGTGGTGGCATTGTGCGGTTTGCTGTATTGTTGGTGACTGAAGGCCAAAGATATTCTGGAGACGTGGGAGTATTGGCGGTTTGAAGAGCTGGGAGTGTTGACACTTGGGAGTGTTGGAGACTTGGCGGAGTTGAGGACTCGGGTTTGTATGTGTCCGAGGATCGGGCGCTGTTGTGATCTATTGAGTGACTGAACACCTGGGAGAGCTGAAGACACTTCGGAGAGTTGGACTCTTGTGAACACTTGGGAGAGTGGGTGACTTGGGTGTGTTTGTTTTCCGGGTAGGGAAGGGTGGTCCATTCCACTAAAAAGTGAGGCGTGCGAGATCCATGGAGGTGTGGTACCGGCGATGGCAGCTGCATGTTACCAGGCATTAGCAGGTATCCCATTATCAAACTTAGGGCCGCGAGCGGGGATGAAAGCCCACTCCCCCGATTGCTTGGAGATGCAAGCCGGCATGATGCGCGTTATGTGCGAGGTGAAACACGTCACATCGAGGCACTGCCTCCCCCTAGCACGAATGGAATAGCGGCCGGTGCGGAAATGCAAGATTCCTCAAGGGGAGAAGCTTTGCTCCAGTTACAAGGCCGGCTGGATATGGCGTAAATATCATACTTGAGGGTGCGGCTGCGAAAAGCCCCAAATAGCAGTTCGTCTTGGGATTCAAGATCGCCCATTCGGCGTGATAGGGCGAGCATGCGGTAACATGACTTCACTCCTCGAGAGCATCCAGAGCGGATCGCTTTTGCCCTATACTTATAGAGAGAGAGAGAAGAATTTAAAGAGAGTAAATATTTTAAGTAGTAATAGAGGCACAGGGAGGGGGCGTGGATATGGGCGTGGATGTGGGCGTGGCGTGTGGGTGGGGTGAGCACGTCCTGCTGAGTCCATAGTTTTCCGTAGAGGGGATCACGCCGAAATTTTTAGTCCCGGTGTCCTGCCGTTACCAACGCCGAGACCCAACTCCCAACGCCCTTTGACCCTTGACGCCATGTTCTGCATCAATGAATTGCTGATCAAAGCCACAATGTGATATAGGGATTACAGCAGTGAAATCATGTCTACAAACACTTGATTTCTAGACTCTCTCAGAATTTTGATCGCTCCAGATTTCAAATATATAAATATTCTTCATATCAGTGGTTATGGCCAAGCCCTCAGGCACCAAAGTAGGAAGCATCCAACAAATACCGAAAATACAGCCGTCTAAGGAAAGACCAACTCTTTCGCTATTGAAGACTGATTTCGGCAAAAAGGTAATACCACCAATTACTGCTTGGTCAGTCACTGTCAACTGACTTAGTCCAGGTAGAGACTATGGAATTTGCAGCCGCAAGTCACCAAAAGAGTATGTACACTGTGGGGAGAGAATTGATTCGGTGTGGCAGAGACAAAATCGAGGATGAAAGTCTAAAGCCAGCTTAATAAGGGCGTGAGTGGCAGGGAGCCCGACCAACGGGATCCTGAGTTTGAAAATCGAAAGAGTAATGAGTGTGGCGGATTGCAGGCGTTTGTTGTGGGCAAGAAAAGGAGGAGAAGCACGTGGCAGCCGCAAGATGGCTAGAATTGTGAGGGTGTTGGTGACAGACTTGGCCACGATTATGCACAAATTTTTACTAGGCAGAAACCTGTCGCGGCGATTTCTGCTGGGGATGCAGAGAGGAATCCGATCAAGATGAAAAAATGGAGGTGCGGAAAGATCGCTGTTCTCAAAGAATGGCCTGGAGGCTTTCAGTGTCTCTGCCTGATGAGCCATACGATAATAATGTTAGTGGCGCATAAATAAATCCGGGTGCCAGTCTCCCATTTTAGCCGCAGATTTGACGGTAATTCAGACTTGGGTGGCAGGCTTGCATCATCCCGGCTTTCTGCTGGTGACTCCAAGCGCTCGCACACACAACAACATCCCTGCTCCGGGGTTCACTGAGCTGCACCCGGGCACGCGCATCCAACCCATACACTGCAATCTAAGAATCCTAACCCCAAATCAGTCACGGAAGCACGAGGCCCTGCCTTTTACGCTGAGAATAACACCTCGTCATTCGTGGGCTCAGATTAGGGAGGCTCAGCCGGTCGCAGCTTCACAAGGCAAAAAAGGTGCCACACGCAGATTTCCCATCTGACTTATTCCACAATCTTCCCCAGGCAGTCCTTCTCTCAGCGTGTCCTAAACTTTAAATCTATCCTACCACCACTGCCAATTGGGTGTTACTCAGGTTCCAATTTTCATTCTATTTCCCTAAAGATTGTGCTATCCGGTCTGATTTCCAACATACTCCCGAATCCAAACTTCCGCCTCAAGTGGACCACTAGTCGACTACTTCGTACAGAAGATCAGCATATAACAAACATCCCAATTTGGAGGTCCCTGGTGTCTTCTGCAACCCCTTTCACCCCGAAATACACACGGTCCAGCTACTTCGTACAACGTCTCCTGACCCTCTGAATTATGTCCGCTTCTTCAAGCAGAACCGCAGTCACTTCGCGAGGGCAGATGTCGTCTGCCAATGGGTCTCGACCGGCAACAAAAAATCGTCACGGGCAACGGAGGAAAGATCCAAGCTGCGATGCCTGCAAAGAGCGGAAAGTCAAGTGTAATGCAACAGGAACAAACAGCTGCTCAGAATGCTCGATCCACATGGTCAAGTGTCAATTTACAAAAGAGACCAACCGGCGGATGTCATCTATCAAGCAAGTACAGGATTTGGAGAAGCAGATTGCACAGATCAAACAGGAGAATTTACAGCTACGGTCGATGATTCGAGAGTGCCAGATGGATATCGATAGCGAGGGGCCTCAGCAAATGCAGATACAACTACCAGAAATCGGTTCACATCCCAAGAGGAGGCAGAGACCGCCCCCTCCCCAGGAACTCTTACGGGTACGGTCGAATATCCGAAACTTCGGCCGGGGTATCTTCAAACCGCCTGCACCGTACCGGCAAATAGGGTCGCAAGCACATTTCAATCCTCCTCGTCCGGATCTTCCCCCGAAGCACATGGCTGACCATCTTCTTGGCTCCTACTACGCTTCAGTACATATGATAATACCCATTCTGCACTGGCCTACGTTCGAGAGGGAGTACGAAGCTGTCTACAAAGCGGAAAGTCTACATGGTGTTCCACCGGTGTGGAGCTCCGTCTTCTTTTCTGTCTTGGCAGTTGGCGTTCTGTTTAGTACGGAACCCAGTATTCACAGGCCAAACAAAGGCAAGGAATATATCGAAACGTCCCGGATGCTCATAGACATGTGGAACGACGAATTTGTTATCGATTACGCCAGAGCAGCAATCTTGACCAGCGTTTTTCTTACGGAGATAAACCTGAAATCGGCGGCGTGGACGTGGCTTGCCTCTGCGGTTCAAATAGCCCAAGATATTAGTCTACATTGTGAGACAGGACCATGGCCCATAATTGAAGGGGAAATGAGGCGCAGAGTGTGGTGGGGAATCTACGTTTGGGACCGGCATATGTCTCTTGAACTTGGACGGCCCCTACTAATCGAAGACGCAGATTGCGATATCAGTCTCCCGGCGGCCATCGATGACCACTATATTTACGATACGGGGATAGTGGTCCCTAGTGGTGTTTCTCCGCTAACTAACTTCATCTTGCCTATTATACACGTTGTCCGCTCTGTTTCCCAGCTCATTAAGACATTGAAATCACCCATAATCTCACCTTCAACCCTTCAGACCTTCGATACACACTTCAGCTCTTGCATAGCAGCATTCCCTTTATCTTGCCAACTTACCGCATACGAGCCTCTAGATCCTCGCATGTTAGCTCCCGTATGCCATCTCATGAACGCTCGCCTAATACTCCACCGTCACAATCTCACTACGTCTTGTCCACCGGAAGTCAGGGGAAATGCAATTGAGCAGTGTATTCGAGCAGCACTTGACTCGACGAATTTGGTTGCAAGAGCAATGGCATCATCGACTCCCTCGAATCCATTAACACCTCCATTTGGCCCTACCGCAAATGCTATGACATGTACGCACATCTGGAGATGCACTCTATTCCTGCTATTCGGTGGCCATTTCGACGCTGCACTCACTTGCATCCGCGCTTCTGCGAGCATCGCTACTCTTCGGGACGTTAATGTGGCATGCGGTCGAAATGTGGCATTCTTTTTAGGAGTATTGATTGAGAAACGACGGGCGGGAGGATTGGTTGGAAGCAAAGGGTATCGCGGGGAGCAGGAAATAGACGAGGAGTTGATGGCATATGTATCCGGGGACCTGCAAGCTAGTCCAGATAGCAGTTGGATTTGGACAGGCAGCGAGACGGGCATGAATATCGTGGGGAGCAGCGGAGCCGCAAAGATAGGGGCAAGCCTGACACTACTCGGCGGTGGGAGGGAGGAGGGCACGAACGTCCCTACGGACGTAGAGGCTCGAGACTGGGGAGTCTGGGAGCGAGTGGAGTACTTGGTTGGCGTCCTGGCACGGGAACAAGGCGATTACGTACAGCCTGTGCACACGAAGGACAGATCTGGTTCAAGCGGAGGGGGCATGGGTTCCGACAGGAACCAAAATCGAGATCGGAATAGGGGGGATGAGCGGATGAACATTACGAATATCATTTGAGCAGTGCCAGAGCCGTACATTCTGACTCGGCTGCCTGGCTAGACAAAATTTAAGATTTTCAGCGGACAGGAATTGGGTGAGTATTTGTAATCGGGAAGGCGTCACGGTTCGGCCCCGGTCTTAGATTGAGAGGCCTACACTCTTTGAAAGGAATTTTCACAAAACGATTAAGCTGTTCAGGTGCATTACTCCCTCCTTCCACGTTCCGTGCGGCCAAAGTCTAGGAAATGCAAATGCAAATGCAAGATCTCTCGCCATTGCCCCGTTAACAAGACGCTGCCTCCCATGGCAGACCCGCCCACGCTCGCCACAAACTCCTGACACCAGGACTAACAGCATATCCCGTAAGAAGAGAGAGGATTACAACAGCTTGTCACTCCCGCTCGTAATGCTCTTTTCAATAGCATCAATAATCCCCCCTCCTCGAACATCGGCCATTGTCTATCGCACCTAGCAACCCTCTTCAACCTCTCGCTCATGTCCCCAATATTTACCCGTCCGCGTGTAGATAGCGGATGCGTAAAAATGCAGTCCCACGCCGCACTGGGAGCCAGCAACCGCTCCCTGGCATTAGAAGTCACAATCCTATGGCTCAGCGTCTTGTTCTCGTGCGCGTGCAGCATCTCTGAGTAGGAATATGTCGTCGGATAGCACATTCCAAGGCAACGGGTAGCGGCTTTGAACCTCCACGGTGCCAATGTGCAGCTCTCTCCTTTAGAATCGTGTTCTCGATGGTTATTTTTTGCAACTGCAACTTAATGCGCTCGTTACCTTCGAATACGGAGTCGGAGTCCTTTTGCAAGGGCGGCGATCTTAGCTTCGAGGTCTTTAACGTACTGTTCCTATGTCCGCGGAAGGCTCGTTGTCTGGGGATTTATGTTAGCAATTGGGGGGAGAAAAGTAGAGTGATTATAAAGCAGAGTTGAGGATCCCTTACGCTACTCGATTCTGAGCCTTCCGCCGGGACCCTGGCGTCATGTTGTCATTGTTAGAACTATTGCTCCCCCTCCGGTCGGAAGCATTATTCTGGTTCCCATCACTCATCGCATAGTTGTGGTTCGAGTTGCTGATCGATGGCTGCGGGAGCAAGAGCGGGGCCGGCGGCTTGACTCTGATGGGGTAGTGCTGGGTAGATGCTTCGAAGTGCTGGAACTCGAACACATCCTGCTTGGGTAACAGGAAGGACTGTGATTGGGGCCACACGGGTGGAGAGTTGCTAGAGTCATCTGAGTTCACGGATCCGGTGTGGGCGGGTGTTGGTGGAGACCCAGGAACTGGTAGTGGGGCTGCGAGGCCGCGGTGAAGCACAGATAATCCATTGGAGCTGGTCAGCGGAGGAGGAGGTATTATTAATGATTTGGAGATAGATGCTGGGGCTTATAAAGCGCTTACTTTGGCACAGGGCAGGTTGAGGATTTTCGTCGAAACTTCAGTTCCTGCATGCCCTTCAACCGTCTGTGACGGTTGTGCTCATCGATGAAGCTGTCTGGATCCCAAGTTCGAGATTGCTTGTGGCTGGGTGACTTCAAGGAATCGCACTCTTCGGGGTTTTCTCTTTTCCCAGAGTCGTTGGGTGTGAATGTCAAGCTCTGAATTTGTGAGCTTGAGGGAGAGGTCTCCGAAGGCTTGTGTCATCGGTGTGGGGGTGCGACTAAAATATAGCCCCATTTTCAATCTGATGCCCAAGGTGGTAGATGACAGAGGGGCTCTTCTTTTGGCTTCCGGTTTCCAAGGAGTTCAATGAGATTTGCGTTCGTAGAAGAGGAGTCGGGGTATGGCTGTGATAGAGACCCTTGTGGGTATGGAAAACTGTGGCTGAATAATTGTCATAAGTCACTACCCCTCGAGAAGATGCTATCGATAAGGAGGTCCGGAGGCGCACTCTTTGGAGCTGTTTCATTATGGACCGTATGCTCGCGGCCGGAAAATACACGCCAACCATGATGGCCGTGAATAACCTTCGGGTTCAGCTTCCGTGCTCAGACGACCAGTTCTTGTTTGTCCACAATGTTCAAACGCCTTTCTTGAACTCAGATTGGTTAAAGCCCAAATATGCAGAGCAACATCCATCTATCAATGACGACGGAGTATTGAGTAGATACATTCGACTGGCTGAAATCTTTGGGAGACTATCTAAGTGGAGTTATGCTGGAGGCCGGAGGACCGAGAAACATCCTCCTTGGGATGAGGCTACTGAATTCTTCAGGCTGCGCCATGAGTTGCAGAAATTCCATGACGCATTGCCATCAAATCTCACATTGACGGAGGCCAATCTGTCCGCCCACATCGAGAAACGGAATGCAACTACATATGCTTCTCTGCACACTCTCTATTCCCTCTGCCTCATCATGTTACACCGGGAGTACATACCATTCATACCGCTTCGCTGCAATAAGCCTTCTGGTCCATTGGATGAGCCCACATTCCCCGGAGAAAAGTTTGATATCCCATTTGGATTCTGGGAAGAAAGCGCCGATCAAATAATGAAGGCATCGAGAGACATTATCGACATTGTCTCTACTTGCCAAGACAATAATTTCCTTCCCGAATCACCTCAACTCGGCTTCGCAGTATGGCAAGCAGCCTTCGTCTGTCTTTATGCGACATATTTCCCCCAGATGGACGAGCAGCATCATTTTATTCCGAGAGACACCCTCTCTCCTAGCCCCGATATCAATGTCAATTCGAATAAAGGCCTGGCAGGCCGCACTAAGAAGATTCTTAGTGACATGGTGCCACGACTAAGGATGGTAAAAAGGTATCTCAAGTCCATTGACAAGATGAATATCTACTTCCATGATGTTCACCGTACCTACTGTGTCAAGTGGAGACGCAAGCCATACCCCGGCGGTGGCTTGGAATAATACAACCAATTCGAGAAAGAGTTGAAGGAATTCGGCCCCAGGGATCCGGATCAGACCAGCGTATCTGATGGCTCCGACACGGTCAATGAGGCACCCTCTCGAGCCAGCACGAATGATATCCCAGGAAACAGTATCAACGGAGAGCCAATGCAAGTTGTGGAGGCCGCTCGCCAGAGACTGAATGGCGTTTGTACTGCCGTCGAGGCAGACGAACTACCAAAATACGGTCATGGGCCTTACCCATATGGGCCTCCTTACCAGCAGTTCCCCAACCAACTCTCCAACGCACCGTCTCTCATTTCTGCATCCAACGGCGACTAAACTCCCGGTCTCAACTCCCCTTACGGCAACAATCAATCTCAGTCACAGCAACACTACCAGACCAACTCCAGACTCCTAACATCAGCGTACTTCAAGAGGAGATCCCCTAATCTCGTCAGTACAGAACCGGAGAAGCAATATTAGAAATCGTTGATCAAACAGTAGTCTTTGATTTTGACTTCAATTTCCTTCGTTAAATTCCTTTGCTCGGGATCACACCCGTCATAGAATTCGGTACTATGGAGTCGGTACCTCGTCTCTGAATTTTCGACGTCTTCGTTGTCGAGTTCATTCAACCTTGTTACAAGTTGGCCAAGCTCAATTTGTTTTTCTATAAGAATTCGAGCAGTAACTGGCCCAAATTTGCGGAAGATGCAAAAGCTATCGTTACTATCTTGCAACGCGGCAAGTCGTGGCAGACCTGCGACATGATCCTTCTCGACTGCAAAATATATCGTCAGTAGCCTGATCCGAGGAGTAACTTCAACTTCTGGACGCACGCATATGAGGTCGAATCTTGTCGTACTCAACCTTTCGTTGGGCGGCCATTGGGGCTTCCTCTCTCTCAAGCGACGGCGGTGGCATTTGAAGCGCCTTTCTTCCAGATCCACTTTTGAGAACCCAAAAATAGTTCCGGGTCGTTTTACAATAAATGGGGAGGCTGAGGAAGTCCTTGGGTACAGACAATGCTCAGATTAAGAGTAGAATGCTTCGCAATGCCGGCTGGTATTTAAGGCTTACGAAACCCGTGGACTTTATCTTACCTGGGGCTATGCAAGTCCATGCGGAAGGGCAGAGGATTACCCTAAGTAAGCATGGATCGAGCACTTATCTGCCCATGTAGTCTGTTTAGCATCCTGGGTATTGGTGACTTGGCATATGCAGACCGGTTGCTCTGTTGGCAAAATGCACTTACTGTGCATATTGGTAAAACAGCGGGGACCTATCATGCATGGAATTTTTTCCTTTGCAGCAACTGCACCGAACACATTCTCTTAATTTCTAAGTGCAGGGCATGCGCTAGCGGGAAAAGTATCCCATTGAATCGGGTCTTTGGGGCATGCTTGTGCGACACACCTTGAATCCCATTGGCTGCCTCATTCTCTTTTTGGGGGCGAGGATGTGGGCCTCCTTCCATGCGACCAATTTGGAGGTGCACATGCTAAAATTGGAATCGTACCAAGAGTCTATAGTATATATCACACACGGTGAATCTCTTTTTGAAAGTAGTAACTGTGTCATCCGGTGCTTCACACTTTGCACGCTGCCGCGATCGAACCACAGCGTGCCAAGCGTCCTCCAGAAGCTTACATTTGCAGCCCTAACAGACCCGAGACAGCTGTTTTAGCAATAATACCAGAGACCCACGAAATGACTCAACTTCGACAGGCGGAACAATTACCAGCGGCTATAACCTTGGGTGAGGAGAGCTCGCCAAGCCCCGAGAATTCTGGCTTGCTGTCCATAGTCAAGACAGTGCTCAAGACAGTGTTATGCCTCCTCAAACTCACCCCATCGTCTCGTCCCAACCCGGAAGAGGTTCAAGAGCTGAACAAATCGCGTGGGTTTGACAAGTTAAACTATGAAAAAGGTATGCCGTGTGGCTTCCCAGATCCTGGCTCTTGGCTAATACTTCAAACACAGTGGATGACTATCCCGAAGGCTACCCGCAGCTTGCTGCTTTTGCTAATAGCTGTGACACCTTTGCAAGTGTTCGCCGATTCGGTCGACTGTCGTATCGACTTCTCGCACATCTCCAGAATGACTTGATAGACATGGAGAAAGTGCTCGACAAGCTTGACAAGAAAGACGCTGCAGATAATACGATGGAGAAGAGACTCAGGGGATATGAAAACTATAATGGGTGGGATGACGAGCAACGGAAACTGGTATCGAAAATCTCGACGGCCTATTCTCAATATGGCATGCTCTACCCATTAAGATTCGAGGAGGAGAAAATTAACGTTGTTACTAGCTGACATTGTCTTGAAGGACGCAGGCCTTCGTGCTCTTGGCAAATGTCCACCAAGAAATGCAAAAGCTCTGTTTACATGGGTTTGGGACGAGAAGCCACTTGCTATAGGAGCGGGGAAAAGTGACTTTATCTTCTATCCCGACGACCTTGTGTCCCTGGCTGGGCAATCTCAACATGACCGTCCCTTTGAGAACCTCGTAGAGTCTTTTCTCGACTCTTATCCGCTTCCTTGGATTAAGGTACGCGTACTCCTCGATATGAAAATCTGGAAGGAATTAAAGAACTAATATACCAAAGAGGTTCCTCCAGCATGACACTGAGACGCGTCGAAAGACAGATAACGAGTTCGTCCACCTTTATTCTGCGGACAGGCTTAAGATCGTCGCCAACATTTTGGAGGTATCCGTTATCGTGATCCTCCTTATTCCTGTGTTCCTTCTCTTCTTGGTCCCAATGAGCAAGCCTATAATAGCAACTATAGCCTCGCTATATGTCACATTGTTCTCGGTAGTAGTCTCGAGTCTTACTGGTGCTAAGGTGCAAGTGGTCTTCTTCGGTAGTATCGCGTGAGTATTCACTCTCGCAGGAGGGAATCCCAATTACTAACGAGGAAAAGCTATGCGGTGATTATTATGTTCCTCGGTAATCTGAATTCCAACTCCTCGTCTACTGGCACGTCTTGAAGTGGCTTTTGCGTGGCAAAGGGCTATTGAGAAAAGATGACGAGTTCATTCGTCTTTGTTATACTGAGAGGTTGAAGATCCTTGCCAATATTCTCGAAGGATTCTTCACTGTGATTATACCTAGCATTTTTACAAGTGTGGTGTTTCTGTTCGTGCTTTATTCTCGGTTTAGTCAAGTGTTGCAAATGGTTTTCCTTAAGACTAGAGCGCAAGTATTCCTTTGTGAATGGATTCAAATTACTAACGAGGTCCTAGCCAAGGCAAGACTTCCTGAGACTGACTATATCGAAAATGGGAGGAGGCCGTGGAAAGTTCGGCGAGTTTGAAATAAAAATAGTTCGGGGAGGCTACCTTTTTACTCATAGTTAGCAAAAAGCCTGCTTTTAGTAATGTGGGTTAAGTTTCTACAACAGCATTCCTTTGCAAAGCACACCTAGCCTCGTTCATGAATGTGCAGAAGACGGAATGAGTTTCAACCTCAGCCCTCCCGTTTCGTCTCCCCCAGGATTTGCGGAAGACTTCGAATCCGCTGGTGCTCATGGCAGTGTCTCACCGAATAGCAAAGACGCTATCGGTTCAGATGCCCTACTCCAACATTCTCATGAACAACAAGCCGAATTTCCATCCAATTCCAACCTTTTCAGCTACGAGCATGACATTAATGGAAATGGTGGGAACCCTGGCAAAAAGCGTAACGGGGAGCCTCTCCGCTACCGCTGTGTGGTGCGTCCCGCGGGTGGCTCCGAATGCTCACCAGTTTTTGTGGACAGTAACAAGAGGCGTATGACTAGATCTGGAATACCGGCTCATGTGGAAAGCCCGCCTCAAACTGCAAAAGAGAAGTTAGAGCACTACAAAGCACATTTAGAAACCTTCCTCGATCAGCATACTCACCAGTATTTGCCCCAGACTCAATATAACGGCTCAACTCGGACGGGGAAGACGACGCGGCATCTTGACAGCACCGGCTTGAGTACTTAATAGCGGGCAACCCCCAATAGCCATGCCTCAACCATTCTCTTCAGTTCACGCACAGCGTTCCACTTCGTATGGAACATTCGCAATGTTCCTTGGCTTTCACTCAGGTTAATGAAGCCAAGTGAGGCTCAAGGACAATCTCTTTGTGATTAAGCTTGCGAGCTCCAAGTTACCAGCAAACATCCGGACTTCGGTTTGCTAGACTGTCTGGGGACTGCAGGAGAGGTGATAGAGAACTTGATCTGCCTGGGAGCCTTCTGATAGCGTAGAAAGGGTTGGGACTTCAAAGTGCTTTCATTTGCAAGATAATATTGGTTCTCCATATTTGAAATGTCGACGTTTTTGAACCATCAAATTTCCCCTCCTGTATCTTGTAGGCGTATTTTCGCTGTCCACGTTTTTCCCTTCGTAAGGCTCAGCAAGTCCAGTCTCATCATTGAACCCTGACCTTCTCTGTCCTGCAAAAGGGGCATCTTGATGCACCACAATCGGGGCAGGCCTCGGTCATGATTCCTATACCAGCCTTCCCACACGCACACTAGTCGGGCATGTTAGGCTCTCACATAGAGTTATAGGGTACGAGGTAGACAACTCACGCAGTGCCAAATATAGACATATCTCTTGCCTCTACTGCGTCCGTCCGGCTACAGAAAGTCAGTATGTAAAATATTACACTCCGAGCAACAAGACAGAGGGGCCTTACCCGCGGAGTCATTCTCGTAGGCTCGGCGAATTAGTTTTAGTGAGCGGGTTGGTGGGCTTTCCTTTTCCGTCAATCGTGGGACTGTTTGTTCTTTGGGTTCGTCGAGATGTTCATTCAATTTAGAGTGTTCGGGTTTCTAATGCCGAAAGTGTTACCATTCTAATTGTTGGGAACCGGTAGGACTTGGAACGGCGGAGATAGAATAGAATTTCAAAGTAATTTAATTCTCTAGATAATTTTAGAGGTGCGGTAGATCATCGGGGAAGTTTGGCGTGGGATGTTCTGACATGATCTGATCGAAGTTTCAGGGCAGGCGGTTTGGCCCAGGTAAACCCTAGCCTTTGCGCTGTGGATCACACGCTAACTGATCTGAGGCGTGGTTAGGGGCAAGCATCAGCGGGCAGTGCGGATTGTGGGCGGCTTTGCCGTGCCAAACCGACACTTGCAACACGCTGGGGTGCAGGAGGGCGTTAATCTGTGCGATACTGCTGGATACAGCGTGCAAGGTTCTGGCTGCAGTGGAACCCCCTAATTTCTAGTGAAGTTGATCTACTGCCAGAACATGAATTCACCAACTGAACAATTTTCCTCCACGTCCTTGCTCTCAACATCTCTTCCCTACAATGACATCTCATTCTAGCTCTTATATGGACTAGAACCCATAGAGCCGCAAGCATAAATCCCCACCAGTCATCAGCAGTCGTCGGGCAATTCTCCAAGGACAGCAGCCTGCCTTGCCATCCCCAACATCGAATACGATCCCAAGACATATGGATGTCCCCTCCCTGGTAAGGTAAATTATTACTAACCTGGCGACATTGCGCTAAGAGAATCCTGCCTGAAAGGCTGCTGGCACAGGCATTCTAGTCTCGGGGCAAGATCAACCACCTCCTCTCCTCCATTCACTCCTTTAACGCACAATGCCGCAGACAAAGGATTGTAGCAAAGCGGGCTGCCGTTGTTTCTACCAACTTCTTGATTAGACCCTCACCCTAGGAAGAGAGGTGAGTTTAGTTCATGTGCTCGTCTCCTGCCGCTACCAACTGTTGCTCCATGACTGACGAAGTCAACTTTTATTAGCATTCCATCCCCCAACCACCATCGACCACGGAGTTCCCGTAAGCTACAATGGAAGTGGCGCGTACACAGTAATAGCAGGGAAGATAGAGAGGTGGTGACGCGAGAGCTACGGGAAATAGTCCAAAGAAGCTGCAAGGCGATGCAAGAGCTTTCCAGACCTTGGATGTAACCGTCCGAAGATGGAGGTTGGCTTATTTCTTTTAGCTCTGCCGTTTTGGCTCAAGGGCTCGAGAGCCACAAGCTTCAACATGGGGAAGCAACAGTATAGCGGGAACATATCTGGTTCGGCACTTGGTTACTTTCTTTCCTTTACAAAAAAACGCTATCCTCCCTTTAGTTTTTGCAAAGCACTAAAAAGAATCTTAAATGTCTACTTATATAACTATCAACGACGATATTAACCGTCAAACACCACATCATCCCATTTATTGGCTACTGCTGCTTAAATTGACGACCGGCATTCCTTCTCCAGTATTCGTCACCTATGCTCATTCACAGGCAGTCCTTGAGCAATGTCATTGCGTGCCAGCATACCTCCGAAAAGTTCCGACACACCATGAATGCTCGCATTGCTGCATTCTCCTCAGCCATCGGATTCGTAGGAGAGATCTGTTTCATACTCTCGCTCATTTAATAATTACCAGACAAGTATAGCCTGACGAGCTCCTGTACTTATGCCCCACCCCGGCAAATGCAAGCTGCTTTCGGAGCGATATTCAAGGGCTCGTTTATGGTTCCGAATTGGGAAAGGGGCATCGGATTTGAGTAGTCACAATGCTTCGATGACTCCTGCCTTGGTTCCGTGCATTGAAGATGTTTGTATATCTTTATTATACAAGGTTATTTCAAACATCGATTCAGATGGACTCCTACAATACGAGGCGGTGCCGTTTGGCGTTCAAATACGGCTCTGCTTGATGTAGATAGGCCTTGTACCATTGCCTCCAGCCTGTCTCAGCGCCGCCAATCCGCCTCAAGCTACCCCTATCTTCAGACTTGTGAATTGGAAGACGGCGTGGAGGAGGGAGATCATCGTTTTGGTGTCGTCTCTCCTTACGGTCTCTGCCACTCAAGGTTACTAACAGTCTATCATCTCCTTGCGGTCTAGCTGGCAAGAAGAATGTAGCGCATCATTTGACTCGGTGATCGTTGCTGCGGGTTACACGAATGGTAGAAAACATAATATGCAGGCCATGTAGGCTTCGGATTGGGATCGCGTCATTTGCGCTGGGGCTTCTCAACTCTTTCCACAAACTACATTCGCATGAGGATCACCATAATCAAGGCTAACTATTGAAGAAGGCACATCATGTCTCTAAGCGGCCTTATTCGTAGATGGTTCGAAGGCCTCGAGAGGGACAGTGGAGAGAGGTGCGAGGTAGCCCTCGAAGACCAGCAATAACAGATGGTTATGTGGCAACTTGACTTAATGTTTCGTACACATCTCCTGCTTCTAGACCGCCTGTCCAAGGGTTCATTGACATTGTTGTGGGGAAGTAGTCTAGTGCTATTGCGGGCATTGCTTCGTTAGGTCGGCTATAGGGGTTGTGAATTGAGTTCCGTATTCGGGACAAGGAATATTCGAAGGTAATTCGGGGGGTGCTGCGTGCCGTGGTGATTTTGCTGGTCTAGGGTTGCTGTCTATGAATCGAAGGGATTTCCCTGTTGCTGGTGCAGGCATAGGAGGGTGGTAATAAGCACACTGCTGCCGAATTGGGGTGGCAAAAGACCAGTACGCGGTCAGGTATCGGGCTCCCATCTGGCCTCGGTGTACAACTCATCAGCTCTTCCAATGTTCGGAAGTGCTTAAAGAGACCCTTGTGCAGTGCGAGAATGACAAGCATCCTGCAGGTGTCTTGAAAAGCGAAGTTTGGTGACAGCGGAAAGATCGTGAACTTTTTGAATCCATGGATATTGTGACTTTGATTCTTGAGCCATTTGCAAGTCACGATGATGAAGATCGTCATGGCGTCGCTTCCTTCGTCGGGTAACGCGAAGAATTCGAGATGCTGCCACTGGAGGAACTTTTGCTGGTCGTGTGCTAGAGAGTCCTTGGGTAGAAACTCTCCAATGCGTGACGCACCGTCGATGAGGAGGTTGATTAAAAGTGTACAGTTGAACATCGCGCGTATGGATTTGATTGCAGCTAGAGCTTTGAAATCCCAGATAGCGGAGATCATTTGCTCTACGTCAATACAGGTCATGTTTTCTTCAAATTACTACTCACTTCTCAAGAAATCCAATTAATGTTGGTTTGAATATGTGTTATAAATACAGGGTTTATCATAATTTCGTCTGGTACTAGACCATCTGATTATCAAATGATATTAACAGTATAAACGAAAACTATTTCAAAATCACGGTCCTCAATGAGATAGATTGGATAAAAAAAGCTAAAGAAAAGCAAATCAAAACAAGAACTCCTGAGCCTTGCAGGCCGCCCTCCACTGACTAATTCCTCCTTAGATGTAAGATTTCTGAAAATTGGCCTTGGCTAACATCCCTCACTCAACATCTCACACTCTCCTTTTACTCAATCATTATCAGTATCCTCGTCTGAATGATCGCATCGTACAGTGCAACTAGGGCAGTACCACTTCTCCCTTCTTGGTTCGGTAGTACGCCCTACACAGCGGGCATGGAGCCACTTGTATTTGCAATCCACTTGGCTACACTCTATCATCAATGCACCATCATATTCTCCCGAACAAATGCACCAGGTCTTACGCTCGTTATCGGTGCCTTCGTTGTCGGTGCTGATTCTTTGCTCGACGCCACCAGCTATTCCTGGGCTAGCAGTTTCGTGTGCAGAATTGTGTTCGGGAGATGGTTGCATAGGTGACTGAACGCTTTGTACCCGGGGATCTGACCCATTAGGTGAAGGTTTTGCGTAGCGCTTTGGTTTTATTTGGCGGTTGGGTTCTGGGTGCCGCTTGAATTTCGGCTTGCGACAAATTTCCGAACCGCACAAACAATCTACTATATTGCCGTCCTTGTCGTCTCTGCCTTTTGCGGGTGTGTTCTTGGGCATAACCGTGTGGTAATCGATTGTAAGCTCTTCCGTTGCAGAGATATCCCCCTCCGCGAAAACCATTAGACGGGCGTACCCAGCTACAACCCACTGTTCTACACGACAATTTGGATCACAAGAATGGTTTATCCCGCCTACCAATTGTCCCTTAGTATTAATATAGACTTTCTTCCCCTTGAGGCCCATGGTATATTCGTTCTATGGCTATTAGCAAAACGTTAATTTAGGAGGCAGGGACTCACCTTCCACTCAAAGACAATCCCGCCTGTGACTTCGATAATAGCTTGGTCTTTGGTGATATCACAGCTAGTTTCAACTCCGTACCCGCGACCGTCGTTTTTTTTGACTTTATGAAGAGGTATGTCCTTGGGACGAGTGATAGCTTGGTTGCTGCACTCGAAAGCATGTGGACATTCATAAAGCATAGACTTATTTTCCTGGCACGGGTTTTTGGATTGTGTAGTCTCGAATTGATCCAACTCATCTTTTGTCCATATACGGAGGTGCTTGGATGGCCAACTACCTAAACATTTACCGTTAGATATAGTCTAAAGCAAGCAACGAGTGGATATCACTAACCGGCAACTTTTTTAAAGTTTCCCACCTTCCCATCTTTCGGCATCGCTACTTGTTTCGACCTTTGGGCAGTCTCCAGCTTTCTCTTTCTGACAAGTTTATTCAAGTTTCTGAGGAGAGTTTGAGATCGAGGCTTGAATCGGAATACTTCTTCGCTGGGGATGCGTTCCAGCTTTAAAATACGTTTAAAAACCTCACGGATCTTTGTTGCTCGAATAATGCCAACCTCGAGGTTTTCATAACCTTCGAGTTCGAGAAAGATTTCAGACATCCTCTCCATCTTATCTTTTTTTAGGTTTTGATCTCGAGGCAAGAAGACCTTTTGAAGCTGGCGTCGTAGGGAGAGAACCTTTTCCTAGAGAAATGTTAGAACTTGTCTCTAAATTAAAATTTGTGATATCTTACCTCCTTCATAGCTCGCTTTTCCTTACCTGTGAGTCTTCGTTCATCAGGGTCAGCTTGACCGTTTACGGCACCCATGGCTGGGTTGTCTGCAGCCTCGACAGGATTGGATTGGTTATTTGCTTCATCGCCGCAAAAGGCAGGTTCGCAATCCTGCACATCTTGGGGAGTAGTATCGGGGAATTGAGAGCTGTGGACTGTGATTTTCTTTAGTGCGTGTGTAGCCTTTGGCTTTGCATCTGAGCGGTCGACGACCGGCGTAGGAGACTTAGCGGACTGTTGAAATCGCTTGAAGAGCTGATACATTATGACGTAGATAAAGTAGCAAAGTACGAAAACAATTTACAATCCTCAAAAGTAAGATGAGATGAAAAAAAAGATGTAGAGGGCATACAGATATTGAAAAGCTACAGAAGACCCGCGTATATAAGTATGAAAAGCCATAGGGGGTTCAAGGAGTGATCACTTCCAAAACTCCGTTTTACTAGAAAGCCACGGTGGTCTCACCAGGGGATGTGCCCAGATAATTGAAATTAATGGACGGGCGTAGGGAGCAATCGCCGTCTCACCTGGAGGGCGTAGGCAGCGATCGCCGTCTCACTAGAAAGCCACAGTGGGCGTACCTAGAGATATTGAAACAGAGAACGCGCCTAGATAATTGAAATGAAGAGAGAGCCCAGGGAGTGATCACTGTCTCAGAAAGCCACGGAAAGATACAACTAGGTGCATAAAACTTTACCCTCGCTGGTGATAGTCCCAACAGCCGGGCGTAAATGAACTGGGAGTCGATTCAAGCTCAGATATAGTGGTGTTTCTTCAACAGAGCTAGAAGACAGTGAATGATATTCTAAGCTTGTCTTTATGTTATTAGGGAATTGGGGATTAAACAATCTACCCCTGAATTTGTTTAGCGAGAGGTCATTGTAAAGGGGCTGAGTTTGCCTAAGCGAGGTTCTTGAACGCTGATACTGGGACCAGATATTCTACTAAATGAAGACTACGGCCCTGTAACCCACGTGCAATGTGTCTTCGGTCGAGCCCATTTTTGATAATCTCAGTTTTATCGATCAATTCGCATGCAGGCTCAACCACCAAAAATTCCCATGAAAGGACCAATTCATTGCCACTAAGCTTGCATTAGCTCAGAGAGAAATTATCAAAAAGATAGCAAATCGCTGATCTCGTGGCGTTTGAACCGCATCATTCGCGAAAAAACAACCATGGACCCTACTTCTTGGGCTTTGGCTCCTTGAACTTGGGTCTATAATTCGCCCTGCTGAAAATTTCGTAATACTCGGAGCGGTTATCGGGCAACGTTTTCGGCGCACATTTCTAATACTGAATGGAGGAGGCTCGTGCCGGTTGTGTTGGCTGGGACAAGCCTAATTCGGAGCCATAAGCGAGCCCCTGAATATCGCTACGAAGGCAGCCTGCATTTACCAACGTACAGGAGCTCGTTAGGCTATACTTGTCTGGTACTCGTTAATGGTCAAACAGATCTCTCTTACGAATCTGATGGACTGGCTCAAGAGGAACGCAGTAATGCGAGTACACTACAGGGCTGAGATGTTATCTGGAAATCAGCGCCAGAGCCTGCAGCGAACGAGACTGAACTTATAGTGAGAGCCTGCATTTCTAGCGCCCCAAAGCCTATACTTACGAGCCCGCTCTCACTAGTCTGCGCGTACAGGCTTGTTTTCAGGCCACACTTCACCCCGCACCCACACCAATTTCCTAAATTACCACCAAAATGACTACTACTCCTCCACCACTTGATTTTCAGCACCTTCCTGGCTATGAAATCCCTACAAAACACAAGGAAGCGATACGCCAATTACACTGGTTTGGCCATGTCCCAGTTTTAATGATTCAGGAGCGATATCACCTCAACGAGAGCTCAGTTCGTCGCATTCTGAGCTTTGATTATCCTGAGGGAAGACGTCCAAATCGCACCGGCCCTGCCTTCCTTCTCTCGGACGCAAAGGTCGACGAAATTATCAATTACCTCTCCGAATCGTGGGAGCATCGAATCCTTAAGTACGACGTCCTTCATGCGGAGCTTGGGCTTAAATGCTCTGTCCCAACTTTGGAGCGGAGGCTCAAACAACGAGGCTATTTCCGGTATACCGCTTGCCAAAAGCCCTACCTCACGCGCAATATCTTTGGGCAATGGCACATATATTCTGGCATACGGAGTGGCTAAAGGTACTCTGGTCAGACGAGGTTACCTTCTTAATAGGTGGGAGGACTGCAAAGGAGAAGGTGACGAGGAAGAGGGGGGAGCGTCAGTGCGAGACGTGTATACTTGTGGAAGAAGAATAAAAAGTATAACTTTAGTCCTGACACCATGCCATGTGACCTGTCATTTGCATTAAAAAAATCATAAATTACATATAAAATTATGCATATAATAATGGCAAGCCCATTAAATATAATCTAATTATGTAATTTTTTTCCATCCCTAGTTAGGCTGGCCTCGAATAAACCCCGTTAAAGCCCACCAATGAGAAAATGCAACCTCGGAGATGGGCTTGGAGGAATGGTCCCGGCGCTAGTGCGCACGGAGCCTAACAGCGCGAAGTCACAGGTGGCGATCCCCGTATGCACCTGTGGCCCAAATCACAGTGTGTGTAACACTTCACGTTTGCCAACCAAATCTTGCCAGCATTCCACCGCCGGAAGCCGCGGCTTCAAAACCGTGCGTGGGGGGTGGGGAAGGCGTGCATTTAAACGAACCAAAAAGTCGCTCTGAGGCATTTGTTGAAAATCTTGGATTTTACTGGCTACCTTCAACCCTTTCGGCCATGGGAAGTCGGCAGGGATTTTCTGGTAGGGATATCCTGGACTGCATGGAGCCGTGCTTCGGATGTGATTAGGTGCAGGGAGCTGAAGCCAAGGAGCTAAATTCCAGCCCCAAATTCCAACCCCAAATTCCAGCCCCAAATTTCAACCCCAAATTCCAGCTCCAAATTGCATCGCTAAATTCCAGTCCCAAATTCCAACCCCAAATTCCAGCTCCAAATTGCATCGCGAAATTCCAACTCCAAATTTCGTGTCATCTTCGCGTCGACCCTATGGCCGATCCGGACCTTGCTCACTTCAATGTTGCCAGTCTTATCACGTCTACTGATACGCAAATTTCCAAGGAAGCCCCTTTCTTTAAGGACATCAAGAATCTCCGTCTCATTTATAGAAGCATCGATGGCAAGTATCCCACAACATTCTCGAAAGACACACGTTTCAACATTCGAACCGGCCTCCGTTTTCGCTATGAAAGCACTGCCGTCAAGGAGGAGGATATATATCGCGACCGTGTCTCTGCTCTTGGATTTGTCCTTTTTTGGGTTATAATACCACGCCTTGACCGGAACCAGGTATCTGCAACATCAGGTTACTTGTGGACCATTCTGATACAATGCCTATCATCACAATTCGAAGCCAAGCAACCACCTGGCGAAGATCTTCTTACTGCCTGTGGCAAGAGCACTGACAAGGATGCCGTGTTTTATCGCCTACCGACAATAGCAAAACACGCCCAGAAGGAGCTCGAGGCAGAACACATTAAATATGCTTTCAACAAACGGCTGGAGCAAGACACGGCACGTATCGAGAGCGCGGCCGCGAGGGAGGTCACCAAGGCAACTCAACAGATCCGAGAGAAGTGCAAGAAAGATCTCGAGGAGGCAAGAGCATTGCTCACGGAAGAGTTCCGAGAACAACTCGGAAAGGCGGCTGAGTTGGAGCGGACTTACAAGAAACCAACGAATACCTTAACACCTCAGGGAGATGGAGGAGGGTCTGACTACATGCTTCAGGCGGGACAGGCAGAGGTGCGCGGGATCGGGTGCCGCCAGACTGAGGACGATCCATCCGTCCCAAAATCGTTGAATACTACAGGCGTATCTTCAGGTTGGTAGGATATAGCTTCTCCGGTGTACCTATTACTGACATGCTACCAGCGTCGAACGCAACTGAGAGAATCCATCCCTTATCTTCAACCAAATCCTCGAATACCCCTCCTGCGAACCCCCCACAAATCCCGAAAGAGGACAATGTTAATCCATCATCGGGAAATAACGCTCTGCCGAACGGGATCGGTCAGTCAGCATCGATTGTCGCTCCAGATATACCTCAAGTAGCAGCACATCAGGGAGCGGATGAGCTGCGTGCGGCCAAGCGCCAGCGGATTGAAGAAACATCTTCGGGTTCGTATGTATTGCTTCTTCGGTCTACGATTTGCTAAAATTTCATCAGTGCCAGAACCGGTTCCCCAGATCCATGCCTCGTCTGCAATGCCCTCTACACTTGATGCGCAGTCAGTCCATCAATGCGTGATGAGGCTCCTGGATTTGGCTACAACGCTCGCAAAAACACTGGAAGATGGAGGAGAATCTGGCCAGTTGCGTCAGGGAGGATGGGATGGCGCACACCATCCCCCACCCCCGATGTCAATGAGACCTTCCAATACCTCTTCTGCGAACTCCTCACGACTTTTGACCGAGAACGATGTCAATTCACCACCAGCAAATAACCTCCGGCCGGACGAGCCAGCATCGATTAATACACCGGTCTCAGAGCAAGTGGATGAAAGGTCTGACACAACGGTGGGAGGGGACGGTCAACATTTGAAAAAGCGCCGCCGGGTTGATGAAGTCGGATCATCCCAATTGAACCCACGCGCACACTCAAATTTTTCAAGTTCGTGGGATCCAGCCTCTCTGGCATACTTATTGCTAATGTTTCACCAGTTCTGCACGCAAATGATTACTTCTCACCTGAGACCTCGAACCCACTCACGGAGGGCCATGGTGATTCGCCATTTTCAAGCACGCAAGTGTCAGCCAAACATCCATCCTCTCAGGAAAAGAGCGGGATCAAGCGCCGTCCGAAAGAGGAAAAAGAACCCATAAGGGCCGTAAATAAGTACTTGGAGACAGTTCTGGAAAACTGCGGTCCAGGGGACAGAACACAAGATAAAGCGCAGCCGACAACATCCAAGGGTATATATTCTCATTGCTTGATAGTATTTGAACTGACTTCCTCTAGATGTGAACTTTGCTGCATCCACTAACGAGATCATTGCGGTAATGCGGATACAGATGAACAAATGGTATCCATTACTGGGATCCAACGAAGCAGATGACGGGCCAATAAAGATCTTGCCTGCTAATCAGCCTTTCCACGTGTATTTAACGCAACAGTTACCGCTTAGACTAAGAATGTGGCTGAACGGCAAAGGAAACGAGGTTGAGAATCTGCCGGATTACGAGATACAGGGGTCTACTCTTTGTGATTATCTTGACCATTGGCTGTCAGGAGGGCATTTCAATGTGAAGTGGGAAGGTTGTGCGCAGACGAACATATGCGTAACTATAGAAAAGCAGAAGCAAGAAATGACGATTTTTTTTGGTTGGAAAAGAGGCAGGGAAGCATTACGGCGGATCTACGAATCCCGTCCGAAACCTAAGGATAAGCGGTAAAGGGGCTGGAATTTTATATAGCACAATCTACGCTTTTTTAACAATCCATTTTATGTCTACTTTCCCGCACATATATCCTTCCCCAAAAAACCATCCTATTTCACCCGCTCCGACGCCATAGCGAGAGTCCTTGGGTATTTCAACCCAACCGTCAACCTTACCTGCCTTAGCACAAGCTCCTTCTGTTCTATCTGGTGCTGGGACATCGTTCTCCTCATCTTGGGCATAGTCTGTAATAATTTCGTAATCGCCGACCTCTACATCCTAAACAGGAGTCGGCACGACAGTCATAGACCACGGAAACCTGCAACGCACCTTGTAACTTGCAAACTCCTTTAGTATAGCATCATCATCGCCCCAATCCAAACCCATAATCAAGAAGTGTTTCGATGTGAAATCGTATTGAAGAAGTGATGCTAGCTCTGCAAAATACAGATAAGGTTCATATAGTGGGCAAGTCCGCAATCTGCTGCTGATTGCCCCTTCGCCGTGTAGAGTTGATAGCGTTTGCAAGGTCGAATACTTTCGAGATTACCGGACGGTATAAGAGGAATATGATGTGGGATGGAGATGGCGATTTAGGCTGATTTGTCTATCTGCCCTGGCGCCCAACCTATACTTTGGTGGTGTCGAACCGGTTCGTCAAGCCGTCCACTCTTTCCTGCTTCGACTGCCGTAGAGACTCCTGGAAGCTCCTTAGTTTCCCACTGGATCACTCACTTAAAGCTTGCAGCTCTGGGTGGGGTGCTCCGGTGTATCTAACGGGTCGCAAATGCTGAATAGGTAAGGGGTGCTGGCACCGAACCTTCCTTGTATTTCTGCACGATATATTCGACAACTAGGCTGTCTGCCCTCTACAGCCTCGTCTTTCCAAGTATTCCATGTCTCCGCGTACATTGTGGTGTGAAGAACGACGAGAATTTAGGAGATAATCTTTCGCGTGAAGAATTCAATGATCCGCTGATTGCCGAGGCGGGGACTCACCAAGGATATTATGGAAACATCTCCATAGCCGATCGCCGCTTGATCCCAAGACAAGCGCCATTAACAATACGATTTTGGTAATGGGGCAATCCAGCGAATACACTGCCAATAATAAGCTGGCAACCATCACGATAAATGCGGCCGGTCGTGGGGGCAGCGCGTGACCTGCCGACGATGAGGGCCTGATGTTGTTCAACACCTGCCTCACGTCATTGGCAGCGACGAGACTGCGAGACAGGGCAAACGAAGAGCAACAACATAATCAAGTATAAAGAGGTCTTGCCAGTTGGCAATGATGACATATGGCCTTTTCAACCACTGGGCTGCTTGGTATAATCTGCTGTGAAGCGGGGGGAGAACTTGGGTCTGAACGGCTTTAACCAGCTTTGATAGATGACTGGAAGATAGTGGGTACGATGGGAAGTCCCCTCCTTGGGCGAGAAGATATGCGAAAGAGAGCTAACTGCTAATAGGAGACGTCCTTACCAATATCGACCTTGGGATGAACTCGGGGGTTCGTGAAGAAACCTGGCGTTCGATATCGCGATCGACTATTCGAAGACGCAATACGGGATGGATGAGGTCTGCCAGAGTCTTTGGTAGAGGTGTTATGAATACCGGAATAAAGTGAAAGATGGAGGAATGCGGGGATGGAGCCTCACTTGTAGGTTGTCGTCTCAGACCGCCACAGGGGCTTGCCTCGGTCAAGCGAGAGGGAAGTCATCGAGGCTGAATACATTCTCCCCCGACAGGCCAATAACCTTGGGGTATGCACTGTCGCGGTGTATCATCAGTGCATGAATGCAACGGCGTCGGGTCCAATACACCCCTTGGCTAGGGATCGAGGCGTTCTCGTGCTGAAGTCACCCCTCAGGCTGCGGACCCAGTTCTTGTCATCTTCGAGGGTCTCATTTGCTGCCTCAGTCTTCCCGCGAGTCAGTGGGACTTCCGTCGAGCGAATGCTGCAGTGGGCTGTGGGTAAGATTGCTTGCTGGCTGCCCGGGACTCCGCACATCAAGGCTGTTCCCCGCGAATTGACTGGCGCCATGGGACAGAACTCCGATTTTCAGAACAAGGCAGTTGTACCTGGCTTGACTTTGTTTTACGGGCAGATGGGCGAGGCGAGCTGCATAAGAGTACCTCCCCAGTTTATTTCGATATGTCTTTGATATCTGCGAGTGTTGCCGAGTTTATCCACCGCCATATGCTTTTATACAAAGTCCTGCCATAAATGCGGAGCGTACCAAGTCGATGAACGAAGCATTACTTTTGGGAGATTGAAGGTCGAACGTGGCAGGTGTCGCGGCTGCCGATGGAACCCCCGGTGTTTGTGAGGATGTGCGGAAGGCAGATGGGGAATTTGGCAAGCATGGCGGACCTCCATCTTTTTTTCTTTTGCTTGCAATATACGGCAATTGCGGAATGAAGACGTATCACGGGTTGAAAGACTCTCTGTTACTCCAAATAAATCAAGCTCTCTAGTAGTCCAGGTGTTCGAGTGAATTTCTTGCTCGTTTCGATGAGATTTCGATTTTGGGGGGCGATGGATGTCCAGTGCTTCGGTGGCGCTCTCGAATGCAGGGTGGAATATCCGTCCGGCTTCGTCTGCAGTCACATTCACAGTTGGCCAGGGGCCCTTGCGCATGCCGATCAAATACTTTTGCCAACATTCACGCATCAAGCCAACCCGGGTCTTCAAACCGTGCCCCCCGCGCGTGGGGGCGGGCGTTTGCTTAGGCGAACCGACACATCACGGCAGGCCGTCCCGAGTTCGTTGCCGCGTCACGTGGTGTCTGCCCGAGGGACCGAGTCGATTGAGCCGCAAACGTCCCTTCCAACATTCGCTTCGGCACCCATCCCTGCAGGAGTTTCGTACTTGCTCTCGCACGTAAAAAAATCCACTACGTCTTCATAAGTAAGTCAGTTTCTCTCTCTCTCGCCTTAGCATGAGGCCTGAGAAGTTGACCACGGGGAAGCTTGGTTTCAACGGTGGGTGGGAGGCTGATGCAACGGCCAGCGCACAAAGAAACGCCAGGTCGCCCCTCAACACCAATGAGCATATCGCCCACATCACGCCACTGCCGAGGGGACATGGATTTGTGCAGCGCATCTGGTTAAGAGATTTACAACATTAAAAGCTTGTCGGGAAACATAGAGGATAAGGCGAGATGTCATCTCAGACTCTCAGTCTCGGCTCTTGTTATTTCCAAGCCCCTACAAACAGAATTCAAGGTCAAAATCACGCCCGCAATGGAGCCTTTCATCTGGAAGTTTTCTCTGCATAGGCGCAGTCGCAACCCTGCCGAGACCCTGGAGCCCAAAGTCCTAAATTCGCCGAGGAATGCATCGCTGCCCCGTCTTCGGTCTGCAGCAAGGGTTGAAGCAGCTCTGTAGGTAGTAACCGCGCGGATGCTCAGTGAGGTAGGCTGAGCTGCTGGGGCATTCAGATCCTTTCCTGCTGAGTTGCATTCTGAAGCCAACAATATGTCATCCTGTTCGTGTGTCGCGGTTGACCTCTGACGAACTATTATTGGAGCATGGGCAGGATGGCGGCTTTGTTTCGCCAACGGGCTCGTAGGGGAGTGTCCGTTTGCGGGGGTAAGTGTGGGTAGATGCAGATGTACGGGCTACTCCGCCGGCATCCAACCCTTTCTGGCTGGATCCTGCATAACGCCGGCAGGCTTCGTCCCCTGCTCACACAAATCATCCTACCTGCATCCACAATCACAGCTCTCATGCTCGATTTCCCAATGAAATGGTCTCTTCCGCATTATGCCTTACCCAGGTGAAGGGAGGGATGCCCTGAGAGCCGCACCGTGCCCCTCCCATGGCATATAAGTATGTGACAATTCCAGTGAGAGAACTGTTGATCTTCATATTCGAATCCTCATATTCAAAGCTCCTCTTGATTCTTTGCAGCTTTCAGTCGATACCTGAGCCTCAACACCTAGCGTTCCGGAAATGTCAGGTCTCAGAGTAATAATACCTTCCAAGTCCGAAAATGGTAGTCCTATTTGGCTGCGGCTTCATAAATATTTCGATTCTCAAGAGTATGTATACAGCCTTTCCAATTTTTCGGATCTCCCCTAATGGCCATAATTACAGATTTTGCCGTCTTACGCGGCCAGCGAAGCTTAGCATCGCGAGGTCACACCTTGCGAAAGCAAGAGCTCTACTTCCGCCAGTCCCAAGAAAATCCGCCAGTCCCAAGAAAAGGAATGTGAACAAGAGGGCTGCTGTTCTTTGACCCTTTGTCCAAGCCAGCAGTATAGATCCACGGCATTCTCATCTATTTCAGTATGTCGTTGTTGGAGTTTAAGATTGGTTCGTGCCAAATAAAATGCTCAGAGGGAGAATGGAACATTCATATTTCAGCAAAGAACCTATTCTAAATGTGATTTCATGAGACATATGGACATGGGGAAGCGCACCCTTTGCGGCTGAGATTATCTTTTCAACTCGAAAGCCAAACAAACAATGGGGGAGGTGTTGAAGCTATACCGTCAAGTTGCTGTGTGGACTTCAGATCGTCGTGCTCTGATGCAGCGAATCAAGCACCAAGCCCGCGCGTAGATCTACGCTTTTCTCATCTAAACTAGGTTCATTAAAGAGAACAAAATAGTCCGTATCAATTATGAGGCATGTCAATTTAGTTAGATGTGGATTGTAATCCACATTTGTGGCACACTGGCAGCGGATCTTTTGGCGAAGAGCATCTCCACGCACCTTTTACGAGCAGAGATTGCGACTGAGATTATTTTTTCGACTCGACATGCACAGCGATGGTCATGCGTACCAAGCCCTCACAGTAACCTCATTTCAGCACAAAACATGGGATGGTGAACAATAATATACAGCAAGGCAATCTTCCATGACGTTTATCACGAGGACGAAAGGATAAACAGCTATCTAGGTCTCAATTTCTGTCTCCGAACTGAGAAATCGGATAAGCCCAAGATCCTTCACCGTTGTTCCCTTTTCGCCCTCCGTGAGGGAATCACCTTTCGTAAAATCCTGCGCATGTCCTTCGCTGCTGACTTTCGCGTTGGCATGGGCACTGCACATCTCGATTTGACAAGCCCGCGGTTTGTCCCCCACCGATCTCCACAGTTCCGAGACACAGTAGTCCGCCACGGCTATCCTGATCTTGAAGAATGAACCAATTCCACGGCATTTTGGAGGTATCCTAGTCAATCAGAATGGCACTTCATTGCACAATGTCCAACCGGGAAGTGACACCGTCGATGATACAAGCCGAGGGCGCACCTTTACGGAGGATGAGGTGCCTGACTAATAGTCTTCCTTATTCCGAACATCGTCTGATGCGTGGGTGGGCAGAGCCCCTGCTGCAAAATTAATTGGGTTATCGTCCATGGATCAAGGCAGCAAAAGCAACAATCACGAATTGGCTAATTAGAATTATTCTTCTTTATTCTAGGTCAATTTTGATATTATGATCAAGGCATTAACCTAGCAAGGAGGATAAGCATCACTACGCTAAAGTTGGTGCCCCTGAGAATCCGGCGCCCCTGAGCACGCGTCCGATAAGGATCGCTTACGAGCCGGTGGGCAGTAGTCTGTGCGTTCAGGCCAGTTTTCGGGCATTTTCAGGCTTTGCAAATTCGCTTACAGGCCTTGGAAAACTAAAGTCTGCTTAAATACTTAAAAGTTATAAGATAGCAAGGAATAGTCACGACTTAATATTTAGGGTGAGAGAAGTAAAGTAACTAAAGCATAATTTGATTAATTAATTTTTAAAGATTTGATTGTTTGAAAATTTTATTTGTTAGTAAAATGCCCTGAGCGCACAGACTACTGTCGGGAGGCTCGTTAACTCGTAAAGCCTGAACCCTGCACATCGCCTTGTTGAACTTTATTCACGATCATGCAGCTGCGACACATGTCAGAACCGTGTGGCTGGGGGCACAGACGAAGACTCCAATCGGGTGCTTTTTGACACGGCCCGGAAGGAAGCTTGCGCTCCATTGATTTTCTGGCCGTTCAGCCCCTGCCACTTTTGATCACAAAGTTCCAAGAATTTTGCGAGCAATTATCTAGATTGTTAATTGTAGCCTTCTTTGATTTTCTGGCAAAATCAAGGTCCGTAATCGTCTGTGGAAATATTTAAGATAATTTCCTCTTACAGTTCGACGCCGAACGCTGCGTCACATTGGAAAGAACAGCCCGGAACCGGTCCGTGGGTCGCTCGGCCGGGGTAAGACTCTTGGAGTTTTTTTTGTTGTTTTTTTTGGACCTATTGTTTTTGACACGCACACCCCGCACGCAGCACAGGTAGCTATGCGCCACGATTGATTCGGGTCATGCACTTCCCCATATTTGTATTCAGCACATCTTGCACAAGCCGCGGTAGGCGTCGCCGCAGGTCATGCGTGCCAGCGAAGCAAGCAGCCTCGAGAAATGAGCCCTCATCTATCTGGTTCTTGTTTTCTCGCTTCGTTTTGTTTCTTCGACTTGGAGAACTTTCCTCGGTCTTAAAAGCAATGGTCGATAACATAAACAAAATGGAACTGGAGGGTTCAGACGACTCGAGGGGATCAACTGCTGAGGCTGAGATTCCAGCTCCTCAACAAAAGAGGGGGGGTGGCCGGAAGCCCGTATGTCCATGTTCTGCCTTACCCTTCTTAGTTGCATTACTGATGGTTACAGCTATCTGCCGAGGAACGCAAAAAACGCAATCGTCAGGTACAGGCTGCTTTCAAAAAACGTCGGACAGAGTACATAAAACAACTTGAGGAAACCATTCGAGTTCATGAAACCAGCCTTCATAATTTACAAACTGCCCATCGGGGTGTTATGGATGAATGCCTCATATTGAGATACAAGATGTCTCTCCTCGAAAGGATCCTGTTGGAGAAAGGTAACCAAAACAGCGTCACGAATATCGTTGGAAAGTGTATATTGACTGATTCTTCTCATAGGTATCGATGTCCAAGCTGAATTGCAACGAAAAACCGGTCCACGAGTTGACATGGCACATATGCCAGCATTACAAACGCCAACGTCAAGCGCCATCGTCAAGATAGATCCAGAGTCGCCTCAATCGCGGCCAACGTCATCCCCCCACACCTCGCCGGCAATGCCGGGTACTGTAGGCTTCAGTGATCCTATGGTGGAATCGCCTACTGCTTCAAAATTTCCAGGAAGCCCCATACTTTGCACTGGTGGAGAAGTGGGGAAAGAAAAGGGAACTGGTGATACAAATGCCATACCTATAGCTGCCGAAGACTCTCTTCGGAGTCATTTTAATCAATTGGGTATGTTGACCCTCCTAAGTTCTCTTGAAAGAGCCTAGATTGATTTCGTCATTACAGAACTAGAGTATAATGAAGGAGCCGACATGGTCGACAATGAAGAACTATCCGAATCGTATAGCCTAGGCCCTTACCCTGGACCCCTTTCAATAACATGCCTGCAGCAAGAAACCCCTAACCTGCAGCAACCGTTTATTCTACAGAGCCAAGGTTCGCAGATGGATGGCAACTCCCTAGGCAGCTCTGTGAGCCTATCTCTGGAACTGTATGATCCGATGCCGGACGTGGTTTGGCCTCTCAGCCAGCATGCAGCTCCCGATGCCATTTTCCTATGATACGAGTTCGATGAGATGAAAGCCACTTGACTTTGACGCCAATCTTAATTCCAATCTGCTTGAGAATGCGATGATTGGCTGTGCGGCGGATTTTGGTTCCACATTTCGACTAAGTGACGGAATCGAACGAATTGGCATCTCTGCCGCAGAGGAGTGTGGGCACTGCAGCCTATTCCCGCGGCTTCAACATTCATTCCAATCCAATCCAATCCAATTCACCTTCAAGCTGACCAGAGCGGCCAAAGATCAGTCCCAATGATCTCGACTGCGGATTCACACACAGAACGGAGTCGCATCTTCCAGTCGTCCGAGAACAGTACCAGCTTCATGTGCCATCATGGCAACGGCGAGCGATCGCCCTTCGCGTTCGAGCATGCACGTAGCACCTTTGTCTATACGCAAGGTGCTTCGTGGCAGTAATGCAGGTATATACGAAACGAATACTCCTACTCAGAGAAGTAGCCAGGCAGATGGCAGTCATTCGCAGATAACGCCTCCTGCAATACCCAGCAAAACAGGCCCATCAGTCTTCCACAACTTCCTCCGAGCCATCTGTCCCTTCCACCCCGCACACGCCATATCGGATACCACAGTCAAGTTACCTTTGAATAGGAGGACATAATTCTGGTGCACTCAATCGATACAAACGGTTGGGCTGATGTGTACACTGCTTGTCTCTGGTGCTCGGGGCTGGTCAACGAATTCTGCGAAGCCTATAACCCAAGACCGATGGAGATGACCGGCCTTACTGGACTTCTGGAACCTCTTGCAGGGTATTTTGACTAGCAACAAGAGAGTGCTTGCAAACCAAGAAATCACGCCAGGGATCTTTGAGAGCGATAGCAACGATTTTCGGTGCCGGCGTAAGCCTTTATTCCTCTGTGCTATTGTCGATTCCCGGGTCAAGCAATGTGATTTTCCCTAAGACGGCCGAACGACTACAAGAATACACTGGAGGTCAAACGTCGCAAACATACACAGATGACGTCAGTAACATCATTCACGAGATGATCCGGGCATTTAGGATCGTCATCAAAAGTGTCAGATTCCATGATGTTTTCGAGGAGGGCATAAGGTTGCGTCAATCCGTTCACAAAGTTATGGTGACCATTGTGAAGGAAGCATACAATCATCCGACCCCTCTCAGCATCATTTGAAGAAACACAGAATAAAAGCAACATCCCGCAGAAGCCCGAGCCACAGTTCGGCAGGCTGCGTATGCTCGAAACGACAGCCACTCAGGCCAATGTCGAGCACATACTCTTCACCGGCACCATCCTCTCGCACAATGCCTACGACAAGACTGTCTTCTGTGCAAGAAGTATCTCATCGTCTACCCTCTACAGCATCAACACCTTCCCCTCAGTATCAGAACCTCTTTTCTGAGCGACTTAACTCCAGCCACGACACCTTCCTCTCATGTTTGGGATCATTCATTGGCCGTTTGCATCTCCAATCCCCATATTCGATCGATGGTCTCTTGACGATCCAGCAACCGGTCAATGCTTTGCGGGAGCTTCTTGTGGTGGTAGAAGCAGCCCCAGCAGAATGATCGCTTGATGGCTGCGACAGGATGTGTTATTGAGCGAATCGGCGATTTCGAGCTAGAGCCGCAGCACGAAGGCCCCGGCACTGATGCAGCCCCAACCAAACTAGATGCTGAGAGTTTATACTTGAAGAGCCGATGAGTCGAATCTTGAATGGACGAAGGGGCCTAGTTCTATTGCTGTGAGCGTAAGAGCCATGTCAACACTCTCGACAGACTTGTTCAACTTCGTGATCGATACCTTGTCCAGAATGAAATCATCAGTCATTGGATCATGATAGCACACAAGTGTTTGGAACTGAACAATTAAAATTCGCTGATAATCATCATTTCCTCGTTCTACCACTGCAGTATGGAACATTGTCTCGCAAAAGCGAAAGGACATGTTAAAGGATCTGCAAGCCATTGGCAAACCAGGTCGGAATTTTGCACTTCTGCGAGACAGACTTCGCAATCTCGTGGCAATCCAGCTACAAAACAACTTCCCGGGATCGGCGAGAATGAGAGCAAGCAAATCATTAACTTCGACAAACATATCCAAACTGCGAAGACCATGGGCGAGCTTCAGCGATTCAGGTTCCATACCGTTTGGAGGAGGTCCCAGAAATACAGGAGGGACCCTGACGCAGATGGTCCGCGTCAACTCATCATTAGACCGTGATAGAGACTATCTCTATTGGAAGAGCTTACAGCTTGAGCCGCGTCAGCCTAGGTCGTCTCGGGCGTGCGAGGCAATGTGATGAGGTGTATAATAAGGTCTTGGGAAAATATACAATCCAATCTCTAAGGACTGGTTTGCGGAATGCAATGTTATAATTCAATGTCAAATTCCTTTTTCAGTTGTCATAAGTTTGGTTCTGTGTCAACGTGAAAATACCCGTTTTTCCGATTACCTCTGAAAACTTGAGGCCGAGGCCGAACAAACGTTTGCATCGTGAGAACACCTCCCCTTGCTTGCTGATGTTTCCAACGGGCTATGCGCCAAGGGTTTGGGAATTCTAGGAGATATTAACTCTTCTTTATTCTTATAAATTCAATGGACACACAGCGCTCATATGAAGGCATTGCTTTTATCTGATCGATCGTCTCGCGAGTCCAGCGCACAGTGATCCATGATATTACTTGTCAACCTAATTCGTTGTTCTCATCTCTGTTCTCGCCGACACACATTCGGCCATCCTGCTCAGACATGCTAATACTGTCATACTGATGAAGTTCCCGCAAGAGCAGTCACAGCGCCGCACCTCCATGCAAGTCCTGAGTAGCTGAATCGAAGACCAGCTGAGAACAAGAAATCTGAAACTTGGATCAAAGGCTGGCTGTCGATGCGGGCAACACCATTGATGCCTCCATTCCCTCCAAGCATAAGAAGAGATGTGGCCGAGTTTGTCAGAAACATGGGATTGCTTGGATATGCCACTGTTGCGCATGTGTATTTCCAGACCACAATGCCACAGACACTGATCATTTTGAGATAATTGGGAGCAGGACGAGGTAAAGTGTTTGAGAGTCATCCCCTTTGTCGATGCCAAGATATCGCAGAGTCTCTCAGTCCAAGCGTTGGAGACGAACCTTGGTCATTCTAGGAAAAGACAACACCACCTAGGTGGTAAAAAGGAGTGCAGAGATTCAAAGTAACTGAAATACTGCCGAGATAATCTGGACAACCCCGCCGAGGAGAATCCAAATAGTTCTATAAAGCACAAGCCAACACCTTCCAGCTCTATAGGCCACAAATCCCCTAATTGCCGACTTTCCCTCAATACCTCCCCTTCAGCTCCGAATTTCCACTATGCGATGTTCAGGATTCATTTCCTTGCTCTTCCGCGACATTCGTTTCCTTCGAGATGGATGGCCCCTCAAGTTCTTCCTGCGAAACTTTCAACGCGTCGGGTGCGGAGGATCTTGTACTGAAGCGGGCCAGCGGCTCCGAACTATCTTTCTTGCTCGATTGCTCGCTAATTTTGAAAGCTCTCGTAACACCGAATCCCGGAAGAGTACAGAAAGTCGATAGGGTAAGGAAGATCTGTATAAAATGCTATGTCAAAACAAGTCATATAAGAGGACTCCTGACTTACCCAGTGGAGGAGGAGCGATTCAATCCATCTCTTCCAACCGAGGCACAGCAAAATAATAGTGACAATAACTGCCACAGTCGAAATTATGCCATTCGCAAGGAAGAACACCTTACGGCGACGAAGGGGATCGAGGGAAACTTTGAAATAGTCAAGCACGTGCTCACAAGTCAACCATGTATAAATTACACAGTATTCAACCAGTTGGACTTTCAGGATCAAATTGGTAGAAACACGGTGGGAAAATACGCTATAGCCAAGTTAGATGAGCTTGACAAAGTCAGAAGTGGCTTGAACTTACCCAAAACTAAGCGCCATAGCTGATACACATAGCGCTATCAGTATTGCGAGCTCGAATTGTCGCCATGTACCCTTGCAAAGCAGATTGAAAATCCACTTAAACAGAGGCAGATTGAAAATCCACTTAAGCAGAGGCAGATTGAAAATCCACTTAAACAGAGGCAGATCATTGAAAGGAACATATTTATAGGACTTGGTGATACTCCACTTCAAGGTAATCTAATGGCTGTCAGGAAGAGTTATTTGTTTCAGAAATCGGTAAATACCTGGAAAGCTGCAGAAGCTCCAATAGCTAAAGATATTAAAACGACAAAGAATTTTGGATCCGCAGTCTTCAACCAGCAAACAAGTAAGCTGAATGAAAATACGAAGGAGGCAGAGGATATTATCGGACTCGATGAACGGTGTTTTCTGCTCGGTCTAGAGAATGACCATATACAGAACAGGATGCTGAATGTTATCTGGGCGGTACAACCAACACCCTCCGCGTACGGAAGTACATCTTCGACGGCCATGGTGGATATCGAAGGTAGGCGTAACGAACAAATAACACTTATAAGCGTTGAGCAATGAAAAATCAGAACGGTGCAGATTGGTTCCCACTTCTGCAGCATCTACTTATATTAAGCATCCCCACGTTCGAGAAGAAACAATGTCGCATTTGAGACTCCAATCCACACGGCTGAATCACCGAACCCATGGTATCACGGACACCCAATAGGAAAGAACCCATGCTGCCCACATCCAGTTTATGGGCCACCGGTTTCAGCTAGAATATGTTGACTCGAAGGCGTGGGTGGCACGGCCGCCACTGAGCCGAACCAAACGGTGGCGGCAAAGGTAAATATGGGGATTCCTTATTCAGATACGGGGATCTACAAAAAGGGGTTGAATTAGCGGTACCGAGTGACGGTACCCCATGCGATCGGAAATCACAACCCAGCCACCCCTCCCGGTAAAGTGGTCTTTGGCTATACGCAGTTCGATTTGATGGTTCGAGAATGGTTCCGAGATTTGTGCACAGGCTTCGGCCCCGAGTCCGCACTGTGTTTGCTGACTGGGGAGCGCCGGAAATGCCCCGCGAACCGAGAACAACATATACCCCTAGATGACTTCATGCAGCCTAGCCCGACTGCAATGCCTTTTACAGATGTGATGACGCTTCGTTAATATCCTTCTTCACTCTTTTCCCTATGGCACTTTTTCAGGCAGTTGGTCCCTCTGTAAGGGCCTGCTGACTTTTAGCGGACTGCCCTGAAAATACGCTATTTTGACAAGGGTGCCCCACCTTTCCCGGGCTTACCCCCTGTAATTTGAGGAGCTCACTCGCTAATAAAGCCTATAATGGCACCCATTCAGGGTCAGAAAGCGCTGTTGGGGATCGCTAACAACCTTGCAGTGGGTCAAAGTGCTGGGGGTTTTTTTGTATGACAACTCTCACAATGAGACAAATCGATATCTTTGATGTTCTTTCCCGGGATGCATTCCGGGCCGGTATTGGACGATGCTAGTGCGGCCCTGTTGCATCAAAGGTGTTGGGTCGGGTCGTGGTTTCAGAGACAGGGCTGATGGCAGTAAATTACTCTAGTTGGGGTGGTGAGTGATTTGAAATGTGCCAGAACCTTGGGACTGGCATCTTGCGAAACCCCTTGACGAACAAGAGGTTTTAGGTTTCCCAGAAATGCGCCACTGCTGCGGGTTCAAACTCCGCCGACTTCGGCTGACCACACAACATAGAAAAACTTTTCGAAGCTTCTCATGACCCAATTGATCAGTGTCAGAAACACCGAAGACATTCATGATTATGGCTACTACAAGAGCGGTGATTGTAGCAGCAAGAATATATAAGTTTAATTTGAGTATATACAAAGAATATTTATTTCTTATCTTTCGGACGCTAGCTATACCCGTATTCACCGAGAGGGCCTCTTAGGCTATACAGGCATCAATAATCACAGTTGCAATCTCAAGGTAAGCGGAAATAGTAATGGAGGAACTTAGAGTAGTGATATTTGACGAAGGTAATTGAGTAGAGGCATCCGCGACAGCTGTCGAAGAACCTCTACGAAAACAGCTTGCATTTGCCAAAGTGAGGCATAAGTACAGTAGTACTATCTAGAAATAGTCGTCCTATACTAAGCTATTATTCGGGAATTAAATGGTATGTTTCCTTTTGCTGCTTGTTCTTGGCTCCTGGAAGTGGCGATGGACGAGATCAAGTTCAAGCTCAGGATGCGCTGGAACAGCTTCCCCCAAGCAACGCAATTCAGGGCGAGTTTCTGGATAGAAGTGGGCATAGTTCTAAGATCTGTTATGGCTTTGATTTTCTTTTCTTTTTGGTTTTGGCAAAGTACTAATAATAATTGATCTCAACATTCTGCTTATATTATGTCAAACAATTTTGGTGGACAGTCTGTACGTCGAGTGGGAGCATACGACGTTCACCAGCATCCATACTCTACATTATAGTTATTGGGCTTTAGATAAAGATGGCCTTGTCCCACGATCGGTACTCCTGAAAGTCGAAAATCGAACCGGGAAGTGGGCCACCCTGGATGATACGGAGTTGGACAGCGGCCTGAAAATCCGTTCTAAGCAAGTAGTTAGTATCGACCCAAATTTCGCGCAGGTAGACGTGGAAATGGTCAGGGGAATTTGTAAAGCTGATAGCAAGATGAAAGTGGTGCATGAGTCCGGGGCTCAAGGAGTCACATTGACTACTAGGATGGAGGAAAAAGAGAAGAAGTATGAAAATTTTGGGCACGAAGTACTTGTGTGCTGGGAAGATATGTAAGCGAAAGGATAGAAAGCACTTCTACCAAATATCTTTTAGATAAAACAACTCTTGCGTTTGTTCCGATCAGTGAGATTGTCCAAGTACGAGAGTCACGATTCGCTATCTGAGTCACAACAAAGATTCCATACCTTCCAGGAGAAACATGCTGGAAAGGTCATTATTGTTACTGCCACAGAATAGGAGGAAATATTTCAAGGTAATCTCTAAGCAGCACCCGAAAAAGATCTTGACGCCTTTCGAGAATCTGAGTGACTCGACGGATGATCTGAGTGACTTGACGGATGATCTTAGTAAGCACGTCCATGTTATTCTCTTCAGATCTCCGGAGAGAAACGCATCAGTCTCACCTCAGTCATCTCGCTCGCCAAGAATTCGCCATTATTGTATTGGACTATGGAAAAGATATCGGTGTTAAAGGTTGGTTGCCATATGACCAGGTTTCCTATATCAATGACTCGGATTGGGTGATGGTGGAAGCAGATGCAAGAGGATGAAACGAGTTTCTTTTGTATTAGGTTAAATGTGAGGAAGTGGAGGTAAGGAAGTGGAAAGAGATGACGTGATGGTGATCGTTGATAGGTTGTTTACTTTTAGCTTCGAATCTCCCCAGCCAGAGCTGGTGGGGGATTGGTCAGGTTGGGAGGAGGGTTCACCAGCCAAACCCACACCACTCAATCGCTCAAACCTGAATTTAGCCACGACAGCACTACAATTTCGAAAAACTAACGTTGGAATCGGACTTTTTGGGGCATTTTCCATGTTCCAAGAAGTTCCGAGAATTTTCTAAGCACTTTGAAAAATTCATAATCTTCGGGGTTGAGTCTTCTCAGCTGCTGACTAACCGAACCAAGCCGCTGGTGCCTCGCCACGTAGTTCACCAGGCCACCAATATCGAATCTTTCTTTTGCGTTTCCATGATCTGAAATCATCAAGGAAAGCTAATGCCAAGAACGATGGCTTCGGGTTCGCATCCCCAATACAGATGCAGCCTCATTGAAGGGGTAGAGAAGGTGGAAGACTACCGGCCGGGAGGATTTTGTCCTATTATTATCGGCCAGATACTCGAAGAAAAATACGAGATCATTGCTAAGCTTGGCTACGGTGGGCACTCTACCGTTTGGTTAGCCAGATCTGTAACGTATGACTTTCTGTTCCATCTCCTATTTACCTCCTAATTTGATGTCACAGAACAGATAATATCTGGGTGGCAATCAAGGTCCTTAAAAGCGACAAAAGCGAGCAAGGCAACTCTGAACTCGCTATTCATCGATCTATTCGGCAGGCGAATATTATCCAATATCTCGATGACTTCTGGATTCAGTCACCTAATGGATTCCATCTTTGTCTAGTTATGGAAGTTACAGGCCCGTCGATTTATCTCTACGTTGAGTCATTATGGAATGGGAAGCTGGATGTAGAAACGGCAATAGATCTGAGTAGGCAGTGCGTAAAAGCGCTGATAGCCTTACACAATCTTGGATATGCTCACGGCGGTTAGTCCCTCCAGCACAAAGCCTTTTCGAGATACTAATTGTATTGGGGCATTAATAGATGTTTGCTCAGCGAATTTCGCCGTTGGCTTATCAGATATTTCTCATTTCGTAGATAAATCTATGGATTATTATACTGGCTATCAGACTGGAGCAGTCTGGTCAGAAGCTAACTCGCCTCTGCCGGCTGGCGTGCCAGAGCGTCTTTACGAATCCGTTCCGTCGTTGATGAATGTCGATTTATCGAGTGTAAAAATGATTGATTTCGGCGAAGGTTCGTCCAAACCCTTTTTCCCTAGTAAGATACCAACGCCAAATGGCAGCATTCTCTGGAATGAAGAAAGGGGTTGCAACGCACGCAAGTTACAGGGCTCCAGAGTTACTAGCAGATGAGGAAGCCACTGTGCAATCAGATATATGGAGTATGGGCTGTTTAGTAAGTGTGCCTTATTACATTCCACTTCTCCAGCGATAGCTAAACTCAATAACAGATTTTCGAGCTTATGACTTCGCAATCCCTGTTCGTTGGAAATTTGACCACCGTGGCTGGAGAGCAATTAACATTTTTTGGTACCTACGAATAAACTATCATTTTACTGATACCACCTACTAATATACGCTACTAGCTCGGCCCCCCAAGCAACGGTATGAATATCTGATTGAACTTTTATCAGAACATTCTGTTCTTGAATATGAGGAAGAAAACGATTGGTTGGCGAACTTACTTTCCGATATGCTTGTGCAGGACCGGCAAGGACGAATGAATCTTGGACTTGTGTTAGAGCACGACTTCTTCAAGTTTGCGGGCCAGATTGGGGAATAAGACATTCTACATTTGACTTTTGCTTGCAGTCCCTCAGCCGTTGGGTGATTCGAACCGCGGGCCGCATGAGCCGCGTCCGCATTCATTCCCAGCCTCCAAGCCGGGCGAAGCCTCTGTTGTCAAAAACCGGGGGTGTGCATGCATAGTGAAATCCTTGCACCCTCCAATTGTTCTTGAGGGCTGCTACTCGGTGTCGACACGTCGATGTGCAGTACCCTTGGGGCGAGCATCGACAAACCTGGCTTTTTTGTTTTGGAAGTGACAGGCGGCCCTTGTCCCAACAATTGACTCCGGTGTCACCTGGCACAGAGCCTCAATAATGAAGAGTATATGTCCGCCGGAAACCTTTTTACGCTCAGCCCCACACTTCTATCACAAGCTACAAAAAACTATTATCTGCTGTATTCCTATTATTCACTCAACCGATCACCTACCAATGCCGAGAAGAGAGAGAAAACAAGGCTGGGCAGGAGTGTCAAAACTGACACCAACTCCCGTTAGAGGGAGGCTCAATTCGGCAGAGTGGCCAGTACATGTGATTGGAAATGTCACCTTTCATTGGAATCACAAGCCAAGAAGTAGGACGGATGAAGAGAGAACTGCCGCAAGTCTTGCAGCATACATTGCAAACCCTAATGACCGTCCCGGGATTCCAGCGAATTTCAAAAATTACCAACCAGTGTGGGGTATTGTCAAGTAAGCCCACAAAACTTGGACAGACACACGCAAATTCAAAAGACAGTGCACTTTTGGCTGATACATTGCTTCTTTAGACGTGGGCCACATACGACGGATTCCAGCACCAGCGCCACTCCAGATGAATACTTGCATACTACGGTTAAGTTTAGCAACCAGGAAGACCGAGACAATTACCGAGGGTATACTGTTCACATTTACAACGACATTAACTGGAAATACGATCCATCTAAGTGTTGCAGCTGGGGCGAGAGAACCCCGGACCAGCATCAAGACCAACGTGTATACTATAAGCGGACAGAGTATCCCAAAACAAAATACACTTCTCTTCCTGCCAACAACTCTATCCAGCCAGGTGCTTCAGGCCCATACTCTTCAGGTTCAGACAACCAGGGCACGACTTACTCTTCAGCACCATACTCATACCCTTCAGCTTCAACTAGCCAGGACATGACTTGCTCTTCAGCTCCAACTTCGGGTTCATACCTTTCAGTTCCAGGCAACCAGGGCGCGACTTACTCTTCAGCACCATACTTATACCCTTCAGGTTCAGACAACCAGGGCACGACTTACTCTTCAGCTCCAACTTCGAGTTCATACCTTTCAGCTTCAGGCAACCAGGGCGCGACTTACTCTTCAGCACCATACTTATACCCTTCAGGTTCAGACAACCAGGGCACGACTTACTCTTCAGCTCCAACTTCGAGTTCATACCTTTCAGCTTCAGGCAACCAGGGCGCGACTTACTATTCAGCACCATACTTATACCCTTCAGCTTCAACCAGCCAGGACATGACTTGCTCATTGAAAATCGTAGTTGAGGAACCGCGGGCGGGAGGTTATTGGTTTTGTACGAATTCGGATGTTGATGGTGCTCACTATCGCTAGTCGTTAGCATACGACTCCTCCGCGAAGGGTGACTACCTCATGGCTCCTCTGAATTATCATCCTCCATACAGACGAGTCATTGGCGAGAGGCAGATCGTAAACGTCGCCCGCAGGAGGAGACATTGGGGAGGCAGAGCATGAACATGTTCGTAAAGGAGGGATCATCTTAAGGCAGAGCGTGCCCGTATCGATCGTATTGGACTAAGGTCTCGAAAGACTCGAAGGAAATGTACCAGGAGAGATGATTGTTTTTCTTGTGTAGGAGAGGGGTTGTCTTTATTTAACAGATTGTTCAAGGACTGCTCGTCTATTAGAAAGCCTGGGTAATCAAACGTCGCTTGGTCACGCTCTCGCAAGAAGCTCTCGATCTCACGGGATTATAGTTTTGCCTGGGCAAAAGCAGCCGCTTGTGAACTGGAGCCGGGGCCATTTCAAGGACAACTTGTTGTCAAATTCTACAAACGCCTAGTCGAAGCAGAACATACGGCTCGACCTAGCTTTCATTGGTACCACGATTACCTCATCAATATCCACAGCCTTCTCCGCGTGTTGCAATATGCACCTGCCAGCCAAGCTCTATATAGACTCCAAATCAAAATTCAGAATCGGGTGTGGAGCCTGGGAATTCATTCCTTCCTTGAAGCTCTTAGGGCTGGTTTGCCCGCTTCTCGAGACAGCATTTCACATATCTTGCATACTCAATAATAATCTTACTTCTGGAGGAATTCTCCAGTTTCGGAGATACATGGCATAAATATCTTGGCCATATTTCTCGCTACAGATGGCATATCGACACCAATACGAGGGATGCGGAGCACTGGGGGAATATAGCACACGACTGGTATCTCAAAGCCTACGGCAGATATCCAACGGCTGGCTTCCCCAACTTCAATCTCGGCCTCACTTCATCAAATTTTCTTCAACAACTCTTCTACTACTCAAAAGCTCTCTCTGCAGAAGTTCCATGCCCACACTCGCTTCAACCATCCTTCAATGTTTTTTTCGATGCCATTCTCATGTCACTCCTCAATATGCCTCTGGTCAAGGCACATGCGAGTCTCTTTACCGGCAAAGAGGAGGATTGTGGACTCTTTTCCAAAGAATTCCTGGATCGACTACGCAATACTCGAATTGGGAAAGTCGCATCTCGTATTGCTATTATCAATATCACGGCAATGCTCGGTTATGGGAATACGATACCGGAAAATGAAGAGAAAGTTGTTCTCGGAAATCAGTCTCCATCGAAACAGACGTTCGAAAACGCTCGACTCCTGAATTACTCAACTCTCGAAATCCTTTTACAGAGAGATACTGATACCGATTCCATCCTTTCATTCATTTACATCAATCTGGTTTTTATGTACGGCATGTCTCACCACCCTGGTGCAATGCATCACCTGGAATGCAAGTTTCCCTGGAAGCTATTGAGCAACCTGCTTAATTCGCTTCCGGTTGAGGATGTAAACCCAGTCGGGGTTCCTCGGCTTCAAAAGGACAGCGATTGTCCTCCCGAAGTCATGCAGGGGCCTTTTTGGGCCAAGAATTTTCTCCAAAACGCTGAACAATTTGGTAAGTCACGAAATGAGCGAATTCTCTCTCTCGCACATAAGCTTGCAGAGTTGGGCCATGGACTCACTCAGCCATAGACAGATGTATCTACGTTCAAATCAATTCTCTCGCCCATGATCTACCTAACTTTTCCGTGAGTCTCAGTGTACAATCGCGTCTGGGCTGCTGCGAGCTGGCGTAGAAACTCCACCGGAAATTCCCATTTGCCATCTTCGAAATTCTCAGGGGCTGGAGTGAGAAACCCAAGCCCATTCATCACCCAACACCATTCCCACGTGCTTCTCATGCTCTTGAGCCTCCGGATTGGGGTTTGCTCTGTATCTTGTATCGAAGCAATTGCCCAAGCTGGCGGAGAGCCAATGCCCACCAGCCTTGAGTATAGCCTCTCCTGATGATTATGAGCTCAAGTTGACCATGGCTAAACGTAGTGTCGAGAAGTGCGGAGTCCTGGTCAACCCAATAATCTCTGAAGTAGACGCAGCTAAATTCCATACTCTCCTCTTCAGCGAATTTGACTTGCTGATTCAAGTCGGAACATCCCCTCATCTTCCTCTTCATCTTCGGCGGCCAGAGTTCTCAGTCGTACAACTTCCCTAGCCGCGTGGTTCATCGGAACTTCTCCTGATGAATCCCACAAAGGCTCGTATTCAGGTCTCTTCCCCGCCCTCCTCTTCACCATAGCTTTTCCGTCCTTCGCAATAGTAGTCCGATGATTTGATTGTTGGCAGGCTGGTTGCTGTGCCTCCGACGATAGCACAGCTTTATCTGAACGTCTTCGAGATCTGCTGGAGCTGGGTTCCTCAGCATATGGTCTTCGAGATTGGTTTCCAATGCCTATGGCAGAATTCGAGACGGAAGATGTATTTAATATCATCTGGATAATTGTTTTTTCAATTCTGCAAGTATTAGGAATGGGTTGACTCTAGTAAGGAGGCAAACTTACGTCTCTTCCGAAGGAATATCAGGGGGGTGTTTCGACCAGTACTTGTCGGCCACACCATTCCGGTAGCAAAGCTCTATCATCAAATTCTTCGCCATGTCGCGGGTAATCGGCTGGTCAGATGATTTCAAGGCGCAAAATTCTCTTACTTCTTTTCCGAGCTCTTTGGTCTGGGATTCGTCAAGACGGAGGGCGTCGATGTTAAAGGCTGTCGTGCCAATCCCCATCCCCATCTCCATGTAAGGTACGGAGGTAATGCTTCATGAGCGACCGCGCCAGTAAAGCCCTGGCAGAGGCCTCCCTGCCGGGAGAGCCTCGAACATACGATGCTAGATCGAAACGCAGTGGAGTCCCTCTGACTACCCTTTACTATCGCGATCATGGGCGGCCCTCGAGAGAAGAGAAGGCCCAGGGCCAATAGTATCTCACTCCATCGGAGGAGAAAGCCCTCGAAAATTACTTGAAACTAATGGGTGACCTCGGGAATCCTGTGCGAATCAAGTGCCTACCTACCCTCGCTTTCAGTATCGCCCGTCAGCGTTCGACGAACAAAGCAGCCAAGCCTCCGAGCAAGAACTGGCCTCAGGGCTTCCAGAAGCATCATCCAGCACTCAGATCACGGCGAGTAAGGGCGATGGCCTGGGAACGCCACGAGAACAACATCTATAATAAGATAACACATTGGTTTGAGGTAATCGGAAAGGTATTACAAGATCCGGCTGAGGTCTGGAATGTGACGACGGGCGAGGTCGCTAGATGGTCCGTTGATGGAAAGCAAGACGGGCGGACTTGAGTCCCCCGCCCGCAAGTCCGCAGGGAGTTACCAAGGAAAATCCTTCACCCCGATGCAGTGCATACAATTGACACCAAATAGTTTCGTGATGGCGTGTGTCCATCCAGAGTGCAGGTAAGTGCGCAGTCAGGATGGGGCATCCCCCGGGGCTCGAGAGGAGCCGTCGGCGCGAAAGAGAGACGTACGCTAGGCGGCGGACTGCATGGGAAGGACGCTCAGAGAGACTCTACGCCAAGATGATTCTTCACAGGGTACAATCCCGGGAAGGAACGGTATATTATCGTAGGACTAGTATGTCTTGCGATGTGAGAATAGGAATGATGATCGTGGTGGATTTTGTAAATTATCAAACATATTACACATTTACATATTTAGACTGTGCGCAACGGGTCAAACAAGTTAAATAGTATGTATGCTGGGAACTCTGCAGTCCCCCACGTGTAGCATTTACATACAAGCATTACGGCCGCAGAGAAAGGATCTTTTTGTACATGGGAGGTCGCTTCCTGCCTCGACCGTCAATTCCACACCTTGGCCCTCACCGTACGTTGCTAGATATACTCAACTGCATCATGTCGAAGGCAGACTGCCAGAGGGTTGAAATAGAGCCGGGATGCCTCAGCATGACCCGGGCATCCCTAGAGACTCGCCTTAAGACTTCTTCGAACCGAAAAGTGTGGTTATAAAATCGCCGATCATCCCCAGCTGTGTCGTTGGGTTTAGGACCAACCGCCCCCCCCCCGGCTGTACCAGACGGTCCACCAGCTGCCTGGTGGCCTGCGGCGGCGCCTCCAGAACCGACTGCACCGTTGTGAAAGTCTCCAGGGAGCTGCCGTCCGTGAGAAGTGGCCGGGGCTTTGAAGACTCCAGCATTGGACCCCCAACCACAGCCCCAGCCCAACCCCTTCTTTCGATAATTTTCTTCCCGTCTTCGAGTAGCGGCACCACATCGTCCTTGAGGGCCCGCACCCCTTGGCACATGCGATGCATCTGGGTTATGTCTCTCCTGTTGTCGATCTTGATGGGCATGAACTTGTTGATATCCGTGATCATGGCCATGATGGCCGTCATGTCATGGATCACCAGGGACACGTAGTCATTGATCCGGTCCACGGCAGCCTCCAGGAAGATTGTAATATTGTCGACGGCGTCGTTCGCCTCACGCGTGCTTCCTGCTTCCATTGCTTTTTGCAGGCGCTCGTGCACACCCTCGAGAATGCGGACAAAGAGGAAGCCCTTGTTGCGCCCAAGCTGCTCGAGTATGATGTGCGCGCTGCCAAAGCTGTAGCCATTCAGCTTGGCGTTGGCCTTCCAGAGGGCGTCGTTTTCGTCCATCTTCATCCACAGTTCCTTCTGGCGCTGGGTGGCGATGCGCCGCTCCTTGTCGGCCTCGGCCGCCAGCTCGCGCTCGCTGTCGCGGAGCGCCGAGATGGTGACGCTCTGCTCGCTGATTTCGTGCGCGAGGTCGCTGCCCTCACTCTGAAGCGACTCGACCTGGCGCTGCAGGCCCTCGGCGATATCCTTGTAGCGGGCGGCCTCGCTCTCGGCCACCTTCAGGGCTGTCTTGAGCTCCTCCTGGCGCGCCATCTCAGCGTTCAACTCGCCCTCGAGCTTTTCCTGGGTCGCCTGCCGCTCCCGCACATCTTCCTCCTGCTCTTGAATCTTGCTCTCGAGGCGCTCGAGCTCCACCTTCGTTCGCTCCTGGGCTGCGGACCGCTCCTTCTTGGCCTTGGCCCGGTTCTTCTCCTTGTTCCTGGCCGTCTCCTCGTCTTTCTCCTGCATGGCCGCCATCATTTCCCTGAGCTCGTCGCGGCTGCTGGCCAGTTTCTCTGACGTACTCTTGGCAGCTTTGAGCTCTTCGTTCTTGAATGCAAGTCTCTGCCGGAGGGTGAACAGGTGCTGCTGGACGGCGATCACATCGGCACGGGCCTTTGTGAGCTGTGCAGTTGCCTCGTTGCTTTTCGACACTTCTTCGAGATTGGCCTTCCGGAAAAACTGGTAGAGCTTGCCGAGATTGGCCTGAAGTTCTTGGTTCTTTGAGCCCATGAAGCTTAGTCGGTTACGGTAGAAGGCTTCCATGTTGCTGAATGCGGCTTGGGATGCTTCTCTGCTACCGGCCGAGGTTTGCTCGAGGTAGGCGACATATCCGCGCAGGAAGGCGAGTTCTCTGTCGCGCTCGTTGACCAACCCCCATGCGCGGTTTGCGTTGACGGCCGCGTCACTGCTGTGTTTCTGCGCGTCCAGGAACTGACGATTCAGCGTGTCGTTGTCCGCCCTCAGTCTGGCGACTTCCATATTGGCAGCCCCCATTTCCCATCGCCCCTCTTCGAGCTGTCGCGTGAGCGACTCGTTCCTGAAGGCCATGGCCGCGGCGTTGTCCTGCCCCTCGGTGATGCATCTCTCGAGTTCTTTCTGTTTTTCATCGGCGTGTTTGAGATCGTCTCGCAGCCTTGCAACCTCACTCTCAAGCGCCTCCCGTGCCCGCTTGGCAGATTCAAGGTCAGCCTTCAGGTCTCCCATAGCTGGTACTGGCGAGGGCGATGGCGAGAAGAAAACAATGCCCGTGTGAGACGAAAATGTGGTTGTAGCGTAGAGGAGGGGGGTTGAATCTTGCGGGCTCTGTAGGTACACATGGAAGGGTTTATCGACCTCTGGTGCTGGCGAGAGATATTTAAAAGACAAAGGGACGTTGACACCCGACACTTGGAACAGCAGGTGCAGGTGGGATGGGCTAGGTTTTCATGAGCGACCGTATTTCTTCCCCGGTTAGGTCGGCCCGCGTGCAGAAAGGATCCGTTCGGGAAAACAGACGGCCACAGTGGTTCGCGCACGGGAGCGGCGTGTGTTGTGTGAGTAGGTGGGAGCAACCGAGTCGCAACAATCAGGCTGCAGCAAAAAGAAGGCAACAAGAAGGCGTCCGAGCTAGTGCACGCTGGAACATGTGTCGGCGGTGTTGTCTGTTTTCGGTGTCTGTTTTCGGTGTGATTGGGCAGGGTGCGAGGGGTGGTGGGTCGGGGATGTGTTGACTCACCTAGTCTATCCCTGCATGATTAGCTCATGATTTCAGGCATTGCCTCCCTGGGGGCTAGCTCCCGTCGCCGATCGATATCTTCCTGCAGCGCCTCAGAATAGTTCCTGACACCATGACCTGTATTCACAGCTTGACAATAAGTCTTGGCTCCCTTTTGGCCCCTTTTACAGGCATCCAGGCGACCGGGGGAACAGGAGAGACGCGTCCGTGTGCGTAGCCAATGAGACAAAAATACGACTGCGAGAACATTCTCATAGTAGCTAGCGGCTTCGGGATCGCAGCACATTTGCCATATCTGAATCGGCTCGTTCACGGCTATAATACGCGTGAGGTTTGTGCTCGTCGAATCCATCCTCTGCTTAGGATTCAGACGACGTACAATCTCGAGTTTCAGTTGCCACATCTCCATCTCCCCGTCCTTTCCGAAGGTCCTTCCCCGCGCCTCTCATTTCGTGTACCTTAGCTCGGACGCTCTTCGATCTTGAGTTTGGCACCCCTGCAGATTGAGACCTCGCACGACTTTTCTTTCGTTTCTGGTTTGCAGACTTGGCAGGCTTTGTGCGTGTGACATCTGGTTGCTTGTGTCGTCTGGAAACGACCCCTTTTCGTGGAGTCGGTCGAGGAATTTTCGGGAATAACCCCGTCGACCCTATCCGTGTCCATCCCATTGGAGGAAGCTCGTCGGGAAAGAAGGTGCGGACGATCTGATGCGCAGTTGGACGCTCGTCAGGACTCCTGGCGAGCATCGATGCAATAGGATGCTCATTTGCACGGATCTGGAGAAAATGGTGCCATTGCTGCCATGTAGCGGGCCGCTTTGCCAGGTCCGGAAATCCGTCCAAAGCCTCAATGACAGTCGCACCAAGCCCATATATATCAAGTTCTGTTGTCTGGTCACCTCCCTGCCAAAGCTCCGGCGCCATGTAGGAGTTTGTCCCGACTAAAGTATGCGAGTTGTCGACGGTCTTGGCGATGCCAAAATCACCGAGGAGGTATTTCCCAAGACGTCGCATTATATTCGAAGGCTTTACATCTCGATGTATGATGGGCGGATCGTACGTGTGTATGTAATGCAGTCCAAGGGAAATCTGGCGGAACATTGTCATCGTCGTGGTCTGCCTCTCCTCTTGGGATTTGAAGTTTGCAATCTGCCGGTCAAAGCTCTCTTCGCAAACTGGTTGGAAGATGTTGATATCATGTCCTGTAGACCAACCTTGGGAGCACAGGTATTGGAGGATATGATCCTAACAAGTCATTAGCGCAAACTGTAACTCAGAGACAGAATAAAGAAGCTTACGTGGTGTAGTTTCGAGAGTAAAGCCACCTCAGCTTCAATCTTCAGCTTGAAGTCTTTCTCCGTAGTGATCCCCAATTTTGGCATCGGCTTGGGCTGGATAACCTTGCAAGCATAATGGTCGCCGGTATGCATGTCAACGACCTCGTATACGTTGCCCTGAGATCCTCCGCCAAGCCGCTTCACCTTCGTATATCTGATCTCGTTACCCGGTTCGGGTTGGAAAGGAGTGTTCATCCTGGTATTATAGACACTTGACCGAGCAGATCTCAGGTCGAAAGCTAACATTTGTTGCAGAGTCCCCTCGTACGTTCCCTCGTACTCTTCGGGGACTGGTTGGTGAACGAACGACAGCCTCTCTTCTGTAAATGCTTCGGGATCTTGTGCTTTCCGTGGCTTCAGTTGAAATTCGGCACGACCAATTTGGAAATTCCACTCGCGGTCTAGTAGCACGACGCACTGCCGAGGGCTCTTCCGTATCTGCTCAGTCATGTCGTTATCCTGGAGCCGTGTGTTGTCGCGTGTCGATACGTCGTGAAGAAGAAGTTCTCCAGTTACTGGATGAAAATCAAAATAGCATTGATCAATCTTCGACCACCCGTTGCGTAGTATCACATCGTTTGTCGAGACGCACCGACCAAATTTGACAAGGTACCCAGGTGTTTTTGACGGCGGGTGAAATCCGATCCTCAAGAATCGTTTCGAAGGATCATCGGGGTCCCGCCTCATGCGCCTGGAGTTGAGATCGTCTCGGACGATGTCCTCGGCATCTCCATTTTTCGGAATAAGATCGAAGACAGTCCCAGGCTCGTCCTGGCCTGTGAAGGTACCGGCATCAAACCTGTTGAGCAGTCAGCGGTGCTAAATTTGGAGATCAGTTCGACCTGCCAGTCTTTATCCTGCAAGACCTGCAGCAGATTTTCCTGCTGAGAATCCCGCCTGACGATCTCGCAGTGGAGCCGTTCGAAGGCCTCAGCCTCCCCCTCGCCATAGATAGGCGACATGTGAATGCCGAAGATGCCCATTAGAGAATATGCCTTGTCTTCTTGGCGCCTAGTTTCTCGTTTCTTTGCCCACGAAAGCCGCGCAGGAACGGAGAAAGAAGATAGAGATTTTCCTTGGAGAGCATCGATAGGGATCCCCGTTATCTCGCGGACTTGTTGGTCGAGGGAATTCTTATCGCCCAGTCGTTCGCCCTCTCCCGAGAAGAACTCGACCGATCTTGGAGCGAGAAGCTCTTGAAGGGTCCAGCCTCGAGTAAACCATCTGCTCTTCCGAAAAGCTGATTCCCATCCGGAGCCGCGCGCCGAAACGTCTGACAAGTACACATAGCACTGAGCCGCGTCACAGTACCAGCGGAACATGGAGTTGAGAGCCTCCGAGAGTTCGGTGGAATTCGATTTGTCGATACAACAAGTGTCAATCCAGACGTGCTGAAGGCCATCTCTAGTAGCTTGTTCCCTACAGAACCGGATCTTTCCATAGCCAGCCTTGCTCTTCCCAACACCCTGCGTCAAGTCTTGAAAGGTAACCTCTTCATTATCCTCCCCCCAAGTATGTGAAAGTATCGCGTAGGGAGGAATGTTGTTGATAAGATCTTTGGTTAGGCTGACTTCGCCGTGGTTGTTGAGTTCCAAAAGACGCATGATTTGCGCGTGGATATTAGGATCTCGGGTGTCAAGGAATGGATAGGGTCATTAAAGAGAACAAAGACGCCACCAGTGAGCCCGCTCCCACGGCAGGGAACGACAGTTTTGGGAGTTGAAGATAGATAAGAAGCAGAATAGACACAGCAGATCGCAAAGGCTCAGTAGTGATGAATCCGAATTACAAGAATGGCGGGGTCGAACTTGAGCATACATCTTCGTCTAGTGCTTGACACATTAACGGAAGGCCCAACAGTGCCAGGCGTTGGATCTCCACAACAGGCAATGAATCTCTCGACCACCCTCCTATCATTTACCAGAAATGCAGGATGCACGTTGCAAATATCTAAGGACCTTGGACATGACTACAAGCCAGGGTCTGGACCGCGTTGGAGCTGAATCTAACTGAATCGTCGCCCGGTTGGGCGTAGGAGAAGAGAAGAGAAACTCGAAAGGCTAGGTTGAGCCGCATTGTGAGACAAGACACTGCATACTGATGCTTGATAGCAAAAAATGAGGCTGAATCGGCAGATTTCATTGGTTAGAAGCACCCTGCCAACGTTGAGGCCTGTGCTGAAGGCGGCGCTAAAACTCTCCATTCGACATGGATCTGCATCCTCTGCCCAGGCGTTCAAGCATGCGGCTCTGAACATGCGGCCCGCTGCCTCATCCCCCGCGTCTCCTTCAAACACAAGCAGAAATCGGGCGAAGGGACTTGAGGAGAAAATCCACTAGGCTATAACCACGTAGTAACTCCTGATGATGATTATTATTCTTGGTCACTTGACATATATTTTGTAAAGCTGCTGTCTTTCGAAGTATTTCATATTCAAGTTGCTATCGTCCACATGGGTGTTTGCCGCCCGAAATCGCATGAGACGAGAGATAGGGCACATTGCATTGCCGAGACCCCGTGCCCTGCCAGTGGCTGTTTCGGCTCCGGCAGCTATGCTTCTCCCGGCGGCAAGAAAGAACGTGCACGTGTCAGGCTTTTCGGACGGGTAGGTAGTTGCCGCTCTGTAGAGGCACCCCGAGATGACAGCCTTCACAACGTTCTAGATTGGGGACGTCCACCCTAGCATTTTACCGACAGAAAAGGATTGGTTGGAAGGAATGGGAGGGGTATAGGTTATTTATAAGCGGCAAGCGCCTATGTAATTACGAAGGGCGTTGAAAATGGTCCATCTGCCCAGTGCGCCCTGGAACACCAAAATCGCCCTGTACGGAAAGTCACACCAATCCCCACCGCAACGCTTGAATCTTTCGATTAGAGTCTTATATAATAGGAAAATAGCACGTCAATCTCTTCCGAGATTTCCATAACAATTAAATTTGGGGAGACATTACGAGACATTTACAACTGTGCAGCCCCTAGGTTGTCCCAAATCCTCGCTTAGCGAGATGGGCCATTTTCAACGCCCGCCGCCTTCGTAATTGGTTAGACGGACGAGGTGAAACTGGGCCACCAGAAAAAAGTGCTGCATGTGACCGTAGCGAGTCCGGCCTGAAAACATGATTGATGAAGACCGGGCGCACAATGTCTTTACCACTACCAACTCTCGACATCCCAACTGCCAGCTACGAAATATCAGACACATAACATCGTTTCCCGACTCTGCTTTGCATCCATAGCACCGAGCTCACTCGCACCTTGTGACATTGACATGGCTGGGACGGTCCTCCCATCAATCGAGACTGGTAGCGATCCTTTATCTGCGAATATCAGCGTGCTCAGCGACGACACCTACGTAGAAGAAGAAGGGACGCCAGAGCCAGATGATACAGAGGCACGGCTCAACTGGGGTCGAAAACACTACGGGGAGGACTGGTATCTAGAAAGAGTAGCTGGCCGTGAAGCTGCACGGAAGGCGCGATGTGAGGAGGAGGAACGCGAACGGATTGAAGATGAGAAAGTGGAGGCAATAAGGAAGCTTCGGGAGACGGAACCTTGGGAGTACGAACGTCAAATGAGGGAATACAATCTTCAGCTACAAGGACTTACCAAAGCGCAAATCGACGAATCCAACCAACCTCTTCCCGAAGAGGTAATTAAAAGCAATTGGGAAGGTTTTTCTGCTCTTCTCCAGGGCAAAGTTCTACAACCTGCCACCGCAGACGGGCATGCTGATGCTCGCTCAGAGAGCATGGAAGTGCCGCGACCACGCGCATCCCTTCGACTTCAGAAACCAACGAAGGAGGTTTCTCGCAAGATCCGCTGCGGTAGAATCGCGAAGAGCACCGCCCGAGACGGAACCGTTAGCAGTGGCAACCGATCCAAACGACCCGCGCCGACACTCGCAGGAGCTCTGGTAGATGAGGAGAACGCTTCTAATGCAACCAAGGTCAAAGTTCCTCAGTCAAAGCATGACAAGACAAGACAGCGAAAGGCATACAAGGGAGAGCGAGCAAGTCGAAGACTCGCCAATAAACCAGTCAAATATGGCATATTCGCAAATCGAAGTATGGCACCAGTCCCCAAAGACCTACAGCGCAATCCTTCGACGCGCAAGCGTAATCCTGCGGGCCCTCGCAGCAAGAAGAAGTCAATAGCAGTCGAGCCCGCAAAGCATCGAGGGGCTTTGAAATCTGGGCGAGAAGGGACACACCGTTCGAGATCCAAGAAGCAATCTGGAGGCTGAATATACGTGTTTGACGGCTATTGCAGTTTATGTAGGGTAGGATTGCGTGAAGTCTCGCAGCGGAGAATAGATTCTGGCCATCCCCGATCTACTATGAATCGAGCGACATTAGCAACAAATCCTTTGGGAAACGTGCAAACGTCTATCCGGGCAAAGCTCCATTGCAAGATATCCTTCAGGCAGAAGTTGCAGGAGTATATTGAAAAGAAGCCAGTGGATAACATCGACCGGGATGCTTCGCGGCAGCGCAACCTGGTGCTGGGACACGTTTCCACGGTTTTTTATCTGAACTATAGGACGACAAATTCTCAATCCTCCTTATACGGAAACAAATCGCTCACAATCTCCTCCATTTTCTTCTCTGCCTCCGCACTCGTCATTACCCTCCTATTTTCCACACATTACTTCATCTATACTGGTACTTGTCGCATCGGCGCATCGGCTTGGCATCTCCGTCGATCGAGAATCTCATCATCCGCCAATTATGAGACAAGGTCCTGCTATCCTCTACGAGTTGGCCGTCTCGCAAACGAAGTTCAAAATGTTATGAAGTCAGGATAAGCTGTGGCGATGATATGGAACAGGAAGAGGAGCCAGCTTGAAGATTCGCGAAGATGTAAGCAAGGATGAGAAGGGGAAGCCTGTCATGTGAGCTTATAGCACGTTTGGGTGGTGGTTGTGTCTATCTTGCTGATCACGATTCCAAAGCAGGGCGAAGAAGTGAGAGTCAAGTTCAAGCAACACCTCATCAATTGAAACCGTCGTCAACTCTCGCCAAGCGACTTGAGTCCTTCCGGAGTGCCGGCTGCGACAACATGCAATCACACATACCATGCCCTAGCGGCGTGCCTTTTCGTGCAATCTGCACGCCGAAGCCTCAGTCGAGGGTTCGACTCCGCTATCACAGGGTGCCCTGGCCGTCTTCCAAGGACTTGGGCTCAATTCAAGGCAGATTACGCACCATGTACAATGCATCAACGACGACACAGCCCACTTCATCAGCCATAGGTGATACCTGGGTACGGATGGAATGGGAAGCTAGGAAGTCTGGTCAAGAAGGAAGCCTGTGGACCTATTCAACAACATCCATTTCCTCATGGAATCGAAACAAAATTCAAGAGCTCGCAAGACTTTGGTGATCGCAAAACGACGATACGTGAGCTTCAATGGGTGCGCTGCAGGGAAACGGGCTTTCGTCCAAGTTTGAGGATTACGCCGCTTCTCCCTGGATGCTGTCAGTCGCTGCCCGCACGCATCAGCCATGGTCCATTGTCAAATCCGAGGGCGTTTGATGCAATGAGCGCTGCATGCTGTCACCGGCAAGGGGGTTCCTGATCGAGAAACCGACGGTGCAGGCCTCCGTCTGACCATTCTCCAACGAGTCGACATCTCCGAGCTGAAGGCATCCCATGAAAGGCTCATGCCACTGTGTTGGTGGGGTGGATCCTGGAGTTTGTCGCAGCTGCGCCATCGGACCCTCCGTTCAAGTATAAGAGGGCAGCACTCCCCCCTCCAAACTACTTCCCTCCCAGCTTCCTTTCCATTTTTTCTAAACATCCTTACCATTTCATGTCATTGCGAAGATGGCATCTGCAGAATCCGACTTGATGAGATGCTACGACGATGGACGCGCACTTCATGCCAACATTGGTTTGAAAAGGACTCAGAAGATATGTGACAATTTGACCGCGGCCTCCAAGTCAGGGAAGAGGCGGGCATGCCCTCAGGAGGGTTCTCGAGGTAGGAGGTCCAGACAGTATCATGAAGGCGAGTGGAGATGTATAAGTTGTTGAGACAACTTTTGAAGGTGTCGGTGGAGTTGACGGACGTGGGCCGAGTGGTGGCTCGGTTCCACGCGTCGCATTACGCTTTTGGAGCGGAAGGAGTAGAGCTGAGTGAGGTGGATGAACGAATTGACAAGGTGCGGAAAGCACTGGAAGAGAGTGAAGACTTGTCGGACAAGAGTCAGATCCGGGAACACGGACGGTTGGCGGAGCAGTTGCGAGACATTGAACGGGAGTGGAGAGGAGTGAGTGAGAATTGTGGTGATCCGGAAGGTGAGGATGAACACGGGGTGTGCGTCAGGTGTGGAGTACCAGACGGGACGTATAATTCGTTCTGTCCGAGTGCATGTAATTGCTTGGATTAGATGGTAATGGCAAACGGTTGGGATGTAGCTCCCCTGAGAGCGCATTGCGCAGAGACCATCGCGATAGCATTACCCAATTATCCAACACCGCCGCCCACCGCAAGAATGTCAACGACGATATCCTCGCCGAATCATGCTACATCTGCCTGCGAGGTTGGGAGATTGGGGAGGAGGTGACGACACTCCGCTGAGTGTCCCTCCTGGGCACACGAGGACTGTTTGGCCAAGTCCGTTTTCGAGACGGGCGGCTGTCCTACGTGCAGGAAGTCAATTTTGTTGATCGATGATGAGATTGTCCTTGGCCGTGCAATCAAGGCTCTCAACGGTGAAGAGCCGGATTTTTGTGTTATACGCTGATACCTCCTCGCTCTTGCCTCTATTGTCATCGCCCAAGGCCAAAAGCCAAGGATCTATGTTCGCGACATCTTCGCCATATAGAGTATTACCAGAGTTTGGCGGCGTTGTAGTTGCGTCTGCCGTTTTCTTGATGTTAAGAGCAGCTGAGAGTCTGAAAAAGAGCTGGACATTCCAACTCGCTTCAGTTTCTCCCTACCGTCGTCTTAACCATTCATATATGGCTTCGCTTGGCTGGTTTAAGCAGTCCCCTTATCTACCAGATCAAATGAAGTACTAATGCTTCCCGCCTCATTCTGTACTAAAAGGGTCGCAATTACGGGGTTGACGAGTCCTGGAAATTGGCAGGCCTCTGTCTCACTCTCTCGCCATCCTGTCTCATCTCCCCTAAATTCCCAATGGTTACAGATTCTCAGTGGCAGGTAACAAAGGTGACATCCTTGATAGCCCTTCTTCGGCAATTCCTTTTGTAAACGTGTGCACTTGTCCCGTACCCTTTGTATTCCCTCCTCTACGCACCCATTCATAAAATGGCCGGTATCCCCTAAGTTGTGCATGGAACAGAATGCACACCTTCTGAAGAGCGACCATTTCCTTGTCCCAGTTGTCCGGGCAGATTCAAGTCGTCCGCCGACCGGGCTTCACATCAACTTTCGCATTCTAAAGAGCGATACTGGGCTTGTCCTCACTGTGGGAAGACTTATCTTCGGTCTGGACAACTAACGATACATATACGTATACATACTAAAGAGACACCATATTATTGTCGCTATTGTCCGAAGGAATTTAGAGGGTCGGGCGAGTTGGCGAAACATGAACGCATACATTCTAAGGAGCGACCATATGCTTGTCCGATTTGTCTAGAGAGGTTTACTCAGATTTCCAATAGGAACACTCATATCCGCGGACAACACCGGGCGTATAACTGCCCCCACTGTACAATGGCATTCACTTCGTCCGATGAGTTAAAGGACCATGGTTACTCCGGATCAAAAGATTATATTTGTTTCGGCTGCAGAGCGGCATTTCCTGGTTCTGGCCTACTATCGACTCACGAGCGTCGTACCCATACAAGAGACAAGTCACAACAGAAGCACCTAGCTACCTCAGGCAGCATACGGCAAGGTGAATGGTACCGAAAGCTCGAGGAGTATCTAGGAGCATGGGAAGGAATGTGTACGTCCATGTGTCTTTAGCTCGGATCCCCGTTTAAATGCCTTCCTATAACCGGGATAAAGCCAAGTGAATGGCCGCTCTGTAGAATGTGTCTTTTGATGAGATCTCAGCCCGGATGCTCGTACAAATGCCTTCCTACAGCCGGGATAAAGACAAGCGAGTGGTCGCGCTGTAGAATGTACCTGTCGGTGCTTTGTCATATTACATTGCTGTTTGCCTGCCTACCCACAATCGGGACAAGTGAATCGTTGCGCGTTAGAGTGTGTGAGCAAGTGCTGTGTTAGGCGGGATTTCGATGGACATGGCCTACCACAATGGGGACAAATACGTTGGCCTCTGGGTATGACTAGAGCTTCGAACGGCTTCTCCTTGACAGGCGCCTTGCTCTTCGTCTCGAGCAGGCTTTTGTCCTCAAGGGCTTCTATGCTCGAATTGCTATCGTCGGCCTCTTCTTGACTCTCAGATTCAGATTCTGAAACCTGCCTTTCCAATCGTCTCCTCTTTGCCTTGCGGCGTCTGTGGCAGTCTTCCTTTTCTGCAGCTAGTCTCTCCAATCTAGCTTCGAACCGAACTATATCGAAAGGCTTCTCGATATTTTTCTCTTGTTGCTTCTTCTTTTCTTTCCAACTCTCTAATATCTTAGTACTAATATTCTTTCTCGGTTCCCATATTGACTTCTCTTTTGGATAGCCTGTCCGAGATAGCAAGTACATTTTCCTGCTATGCTTAGTCTTCTCGGCTAGAACGCTATCGGCGTTAAATCTTGAGACGAATCGTTCTCTTTGCTCTGGGTCGACGTGAGCGATATTGCATCATCCTCCAAACGCGTTCGCTTGGCTACCGTCCTTTCCGTTATGATGAAGAATTCGATGGCTCCGAACTAACCATGGTATTAAGGCTTCAATTTCGTGATCGAGATGGGTACGGAGGAAGAATTGGGGCACCGTGACAGATAATCTAACGTATCTCGATTCGAGTAACCAGACCAGGGTGGTAAAGCATGGGATGCGGCAGAGACGATGCAAGGTTTCTGGATGGTGGTCAAGCCATCTCAAAATAATCGCTGTATCTGTGGGTGAATGCGATCTGAGAGGGCCGTTGGGGAGAATGATGGTGGGAAATGATTACAGTACAGTTGTGCAGAATATCAAATTGGTCGATTTGCTCGTATCCCTTCGTGCGGTGAGACATTGCCAGCGCTAGGGGCGGGGTAGCCATGGTGGGTGCGGGGTAATATTCATAGCCCCCACCAATCCGGTACTGTTATGACTTCCCCGGTCGGCGACAGGCCGTTATTTAATCAAGTCCAGTACCGCAGAGACTAAACGCCACACTTCACGTAAGTTTCGTATAATATATAATATAATACAATTAATTTACCGTAACTATAAATATGATATTAATACACACCTCCTTCGCTTATTAAGATACTTGACATATTATATACCTCCTCCCATTTTATCCGGATAAATCCGGCATAAGCATTTCCTTCCGCTCTGTATCTTTAAACTTTAAAGCAATATTCTTTCTTAATAGAAGCTTTATAATATAGTCCCGAAATTTGAAGACAGGTTAATAATTATAATAGAGCAAGAAGGGGGGAGCTAAAAGGGCTTTTAATACTATTAATAAGACAATTAATAATATAACTATAACTATAGTGTTTTTTTACTATAAATTAAACCCTTATAAAGAAATAGCTAAAAAATAATAGTAAACTAATTATAACTTTATATATTTATATAATAGAGATTTGAGATCTTTAAGTTATAAAGTTATTCCGGTATATAGGGTTTTCTGCTATGTAGAAATAGATATTACTATTTTTATTTTATTATAGAATTGTTTTATATAAAGATATATAAAAAGCATATTTAATAAATTAACTCTCAAATGCTTTTATACCGGCTATAGGCTGGCACTTATATTATTAATATAATTTCACTTATATAATTATTTTATTAAGCTTGTAGTTATTTAAGACTATAGCTAATATAAAAAACTATATATATAATTTATTAGTATATAAATATTAGAACATTTCTTTAGAAGTATTAATTCCTACTAGATTATCTTAATCTTATTAAATTAGAAGGCTTATATCTCTAAAATACTATTTAATATTATAATATACTTTTGCTTAAGGGTTAGTAAATAAGTAAAATACTACTAATATAATTCTTGCTTAAAAATCAAGTTATACTAATAGAATACATTAAGTATATAATGAAAATAACTCCTTTATAGTCAGATAATTATAATTCTTTTCTTTCTTTACTTTAGCTTTCGAAAAATATATATTATATACAAATAATTCCTTTATTAATATATCTAAATCAAATAAATAAGATCTATTTCTGACCTTTTATAATTCAGCTATATATAAAGAATTCGAGAAGTAATTATTATAGTATTTTATATTAATTTTAATAATAATAATCCAAAATATTTAAGTAATATAAATTACTAGAAATAGATATTTAATAAAGAAATATATATAATATAGTACTAATAAGACGTATTTATATAATAAAATTAAAGGGCTTTCTACTAATTTAGAGATTATTTACTCGAAACTTGAAGTAAAGCTTATTAATAAAGAAAAAACAAGAAAGAATATATAGTTTAATATATTTAGAAATATAAAACAGAAATCGTTCTTTTTCGAGAGGCACTTAAATCTTAATAAAAGCATAATAAGATTCTCGAAAGTTTTGTAATAAATACTGAGATATTTATTAGCTATATATAACAGGATATTAAATAATTAGAGTACTAGCTTTCTACTATATATTTTTAATAAGATTATGTCTCAAAGTATATTTCTAAGATTATAATAGCTAATAAAGTACTAGTTATAAGAAATAAGGCAATTAAGAAAGAGAAGGAAAATAATAAATAAGAAATAGCCTTAACTTCTATATTTATATATAATAATATAAAATAGTCTAAAGAGAAAGCCGGGCTAGTATTAATTTAATATAATCTAGTAATTACTTAGCTTCAAATATTAAATATCTCAAGTATATTAATAGCTTTCTAGAACTATAATCTCATTTATATAATAGAGGAATATAAATTAATAATAATAGTTCTAGGCAAAAATAATAATAGTAATATAATATATTAAATATATAAATCCTTTATATTATTAGAACTAGTTTATTAAGTAATAAGTAAAATTATTATAGAACAGAAAATAGAAACTCTAGAAATATATAACCTAGTACTAATTGCTATAAATTAATATTTTATAAAGTAATATAATAGCCTCCTTTAGATAAATAAAGAGATTCTTATTAAAGTATATATTTATAAAAAAAAATATTAGAAAAATTATATTAATATCTTAGTATTAAAGTCAAGAAACTTAGAATCTAGCTAAGCTATTAACTAGTAAAATACTTCTCAAAATATAGTTATAAACTAATATTAAAAATTTGAGTTAAGAGTTTGGCCTTAATATAAATACTACTTATTAATAACTTATAAGTAAATTATAACTTTACTTTCTATTATATCGAGTATACTATAAATATTAATTATATCTGATTTCCTGCCTCTAAAAACCAAATTCGAACTAAAAGAAATAAGAAACAATTTTCTATTCTTTTATATAATAGTCTTATATTATTTATATAACTAGTATTTTTTAGAACTTATAATCTCCCAAGTAATTTCCCTTAGAAAAAAAGCATATATATATAACTTTTATTTTATAATAAATATATTAGAACTTTATAATATAGTATATACTAAACTATAGCTTATATACTAGATATATATACAGGAATTTTAGCTTACTATAGTACTAAATTAAATTATTAACCTCTATCTAAAGTATAATAGAATATACTAGTATAGAATAAAGTTTTGCCTCTATTTCCTAATACTAGTACTTTTAAAATACTAGCAAAATAAATATACTAGTGCCTTGGAACCCAATTTGGCCCTATAAGTTCTTATAATAATACTAAATATAGCTATATTAGAATACAAATTGGCTCTAGCCCATTAATAAAGAAGAAACCGAAATAGGCATTTAATACTAATTAGTATAAGAATTTCATTTTGGCTCTTTCAAATTCTTAATTTGGCTCTTATAAAAACCCCCAGATTTTTATATCTTTAAGATTTAAATTAAATACTAGAGTTCTAGAATAGCTTTCAGGAACTAATAATAATTCGAGGCTAGTATATTAACGATTTTATATATTACTAATTTGTCTTCTTTATTTTATTTATTATTTTATATACTTTAAAAATTCGATTTTCTAAATATATATTAATATTTTAATTTGTTTTATATATTATATAAATAACTTTTCTACTCAAATATTATTATTTATATATTAAGAGCTATAGCCCTATAGGAATTATATTTTACTAAAGGATAATAAATAGTAATTTATAAAAGAATTAAAGATTATAGAGCTTCTCGGAAAGGGCTTAAGCTAAAGAGAAATCTCAGAAGAATTGCCCAGAAAAAGCAGAAATAGTTATTTATATTATAATATTATATTAAAGAGAAATAAAAGTAATTAGTAAGTAAATAAAATTATAATACTATATAATTAGTATAATTTATCTTATTTCTTATTATTTTAATATAGATAATACCCTTTACTAAATATAAAGCCCAGATATAGAAGCCTATTACTAATAAGATAATACTTTCTTAAAGAATTATAAAGAAAATATATTAATAGTTTTAAAAAGAACAAATAATTATATAAAAAACTATAACAAAAAATAAGGAAAAGTCGAGCCAAATAGCTTTTTTAAGGAAGCTTACTTTACTATTATTAGTATTATATAAAGTAATAAAGATATCTATATTACTATTATAGAAAACTATTACTGGAATTATTAGTATAAATTAATAAGAATATTATATTATATATAAAAACAATTATTTCTAGTATATCTTTATTATTTATATAACTAAAAAGCAAGATTAAAGAAAACCGGGAATTCGTATTACTAGTAAAATATCTTAAATAATTAGTTCGATTTAGAAATTAATATTAAAGTATATATAATAAAAATATATTATATTATTATATTAGATACTAATATAGTTCAGGCTCTAGTATTAATCTTTAATATACTCTAAGTTTTATTATACGGAAAATTTATACTTCAAGCTAAAGTAATCTATATTACCCTACTAAAACTTGGCTTACTTTAGCTTAAAATATAAATAAGGTATATATACTATCTCATTTAATTAGAACCCAATTATATGAGTTCTGACTCGATTATAACCAGCCTCTCTAGAATAATAAAGGCCTATAGTATTTCTGTTAGTTTTTCTATTTTATCGCCATTACGCCCATGAAACCCCAACTTGTCGACGAACGATACTGCCCCAACAACCAAGCCACATCCGCTCCTCGACCTAGATCAGTAATCAGCGATATCATATCGAGAATAGCAGGTGCCGAAAGGATACTGCCTGCCCCGCGAGCTCCTCTGGTGGCTATGAATACGCGTCTTGAGGCCAAGAAGCACATATCCTATAAGTACAAAAAGGCGTCCCCAGTAAGTGAAAATAAGTTGAATCTTTACGACTTGGGAGAATCCAGTGCTTTTTGAGATCCTACGAGTACGATCAGTTACGGATCAAATTCATGACTTGTTATATCATACAAAAACCACAGCCCGATGGCTCCGAAAGGCGTAATAATGGCATTTTCACACACATACCATTGAAACCAATAGTCGCGTGTCCTGCTGAAATACCACAAATATTCAATCTACCAAATGTTTAGTACAAGATTTTACAGTGGTACAAGAAGATATACCTGAAAGGCTTCTGAGATCGCACAACTCAAGACCACACACAACATAGAAAACTTTTCGAAGCTTCTCATGACCCAATTGATCAGTGTTAGAAACACCGAAGACATTCATGATTATGGTTACCACGAGAGCGGCGATTGCAGCAGCAAGAACATATAAGTTTAATTTGAGTATATACAAAGAATATTTATTTCTTATCTTTCGGACGCCAGCCATACCCGTATTCACCGAGAGGGCCTCTTAGGCTATACAGGCATCAATAATCACAGTTGTAATCTCGAGGTGAGCGGAAATAGTGATGGAGGAACTTAGAGTAGTGATATTTGACGAAGGTAGTTGAGTAGAGACATCCGCGACAGCTGTCGAAGAACTCGCCGGCTCGTGCTGGACAGACGTAGTTACAGCTGTCTTCTGAGTTACGGACGAAGAAGAGACAATAGGGCTACCAGATAAAGGCACCGATACGTTCCAGCCGGCTACTGGTGCTGGTGCCGCTAGCCCACTTCCATCGTCTGCTCTCGCGCAGTGAGTATTGTTTATAAGAGCAGTTGGACAAGTCACTTGTGTAAACGACACGCTCGGGTTGTCGGCTCCCTTAAACCAGTCATATCGCCAGTAGCAGCCTGCTTTCAGGGCTTCGGGGAAGCTGTCGCATGAGGACCGAGAGGCAACACCGCCGTATTGAGCTCCCCAGCCTGTGCTAGGAGCTCCCCATTCGTTAGTACAGCCGTTAAAGATTCCTACGCCTCCACCTGGAATCTAAAATAAAGTATTAAACAGGATTACAACTAGATTGTGAGTAGAAAGTGACCTACACTCAGATCGAATTGGTTACTTGCTAGATCTCTACCCGTATTAGTAGCTTGTACAATCATCTTCTTCCCAATAACAGGCCCGCTTGTGAAGGTCAATTCATAACAAGCACAACACCAGCTTGCTTCTGATCCTCCAGCAATGTTCACTGCTGCATATCCATACGCTAGATTATCATTAATTGCCCACGGGGACTCGTTGGAGCATTGGTATGCTGTTCCGTTAATGCAGCCAGAGGAAGAGTTCGAGTCGAGAATAGGTTGGTTATTAATATCGCACATTTGCACTGGTTTGAATCCAGGGGCGAGGTTGAATTTTCCGGGCCAGGCGCAGGACGGTTTACAGCAATCCCAATATCGGGTTGTTGTTCCAGAGCCCGAGGCGCCGGCATTTGCTTGGAGGATGTATAGGAGAAGGACGAGAAGCGTCTTGGTTGAAGGTTGCATGTTGAGACAATCGGAAAGCAAATCTAAAAAGGCTGAGCTTGGAATGGATTGATCTGGCGAACAAGGAAATAAATTCAGCTGGGAAAGCCTAATATCACTAAATGAATGAGTCGAATAATCGAGGGTCCCGGGGGTCATTCTTATGCGAAAGGACCTCCAATAAATGACGGCCCTGGTGATAGGACCATCTAATTAATTAATCCCGATTCCCAACAACCAGCACTAAGATGGGGCCACCCGGTATCAAGAACATGAATTTAGTGGGCACATTAAACCCAGAAAGAACCAGCAAATTCGTGTGGCCCTACGGGGATGATCTAGATCATCTATATAAGGACCACCTGGTGGTGGCGCCAAATACGATAATTACCAGTGAGTCATGGATAAATGGGTGAGTCATAGATAAATGGATGGAACTATTGTGAGGAATAATTATGGATAGGCTGATAATAATCCAATACGCCTAGTGCAGTGCACGTGAAAGTTGAGATTGAAGTTCTTGACATTTTGAACTGAATCATTCATTTGAATCAATCTGCAAGTAGTGGCTTTCGACGGTCTCCCAGCGAGCATATTCCACAAATGGAATCATGACTGTTGGGGTTACATACTTTAAAAACTTATGCTAAGTGAGGTCAGAATGATTTACCACAAAGATGGGAGGTTATCTGACATCACGAATCTCTTTTAGAGTAGCCCACGAAACGATGTCTAGAAAGTTAGAGGCTTCTGGCGACCATCTACTAGGGTCCTTTAGGACTAACTTCTCCGTTATAGGAGAGATGCCATTTTGCATCATTTCGATGGCAATGATCCCGACTGAGCGAGCTAAGGCCAATTCCGTGGATTGGCAATTGCCAAAATGGGCTTGAGAATCTTGATTAGTCAATTTGCTGATGCAATCTCTTTTGACATACCTATCTTTGCGCATCCATCCCACGAAAATAAGACCTTAGAGCTATCGAGTTTCTCGTGTGCAATACCGAATCGGGACAGGTATTGCATTCCTTGGAAGACCTGTATTCACGTTAGTAAGATGCATGCTCGCGTGTGGCAAATAACGTCCCTGCTGACAGGTTGCAGATACATGAAGCTCTTCTAGTTGGAGTGGGATGGCAATAATATGTACTAGAGAAGTAGCTGTATAGTTGGTAATAGCAAATATTTGACCTTCGAATTGATACGCCTCAATTATTGCGAGTAAATTCTTATGCTGGCAACTCCTAAACTGTTTGAAATCATCGGGAGAGAGCTTCTTGATAGCTACCATCTTAATCGGGTCTATTCGCGTACAGGCTGCTGTGACTTCACCACCGCGCTGGAGTGGACGAAGAGATTTATACGTATCCCATGGACTCTTTGCTTGAAGGACTGGAGTTTGAGCTCGTTGTGTTGTCTTGGTCTTCAATTCCGGTGGTGGTCTGGTCGGTGTTGAATCGGGTGGATTGACCTCCAATGGTATGCGAGAGATAGTTTTCACGGCTTCTTCTCTCTTTGAGAGTGTTGTGATCGATCGCTCAGTTTTCTCTGAAATTGAGAGCCTCTGTAAACCTACTCCCCCAGGGAACCGGGTGTGTCGGTTGTCGCTGTCATTCTTTTCACGATTCGCTAGGCTCACAGACTCTGAGCTCGGAAACTTTGTTTTCGGGCGGGATTTTGTTGCCATGGTCAACTGCATTGCTAAGAAAGATTAAAACATGATTGGGATCCAAACATCCACTACATAGAAGTTCTAGGAATGAGACCATCCAAAAAGCGAGGGGGTCGACGGACATCCAACGGCCCCACTAATATTATAGACCATCCAAAAAGAGGTGCCCACTTGGTTTCTGCACACCACTTGGTTTCTGCACACCACTTGGTTTTTACACACTACTTGGTGTTCACACACTTCTCGGTTTTTACACACCACTTGGTTTCTGCACACTACTTGGTGTTCACACACTTCTCGGTTTTTACACACCACTTGGTTTCTGCACACTACTTGGTGTTCACACACTTCTCGGTTTTTACACACCACTTGGTTTCTGCACACTACTTGGTGTTCACACACTTCTCGGTTTTTACACACCACTTGGTTTCTGCACACCACTTGGTGTTCACACACTTTCTCGGTTTTTACACACCACTTGGTTTCTGCACACCACTTGGTGTTCACACACTTCTCGGTTTCTACACACCACTTGGTTTCTGCACACCACTTGGTTTTTACGCACTTCTCGGTTTTTACACACTACTTGGTGTTCACACACCACTTGGTTTTTACGCACTTCTCGGTTTCTACACACTACTTGGTGTTGACCCACTTGGTTTCTGTACAGGATTTCCTTGATATGGAGGGCTCTGACCCAGAGTTCCTTACTACAAGAGAGCAAAGAATTTCGAGAGATAAGCTTGCCAAATACAAGGGCTCAGCTAAAGTATCGATTGCACATTTGGACTTCCCACACCCATGCCGTCAGATTAACAGCAGGGTTATTGAACGATTGAAGAGGGACTTTGAAGGTGAAGGTTGTATTAAAGACAAACAAACTAATCGGATTCCAGCCATTATTGACGATTCGATACTCCAAATAGGGTTAGAGAAGCTGGCGATTAATACCGAGACCTTTAAAGCTGTCTCGAACAGTGATCCACCGAAGCTCCACCTTGAACGCGATGTAAAGCTGGAATGCCTTCACGGACAACATAGGGTCCTCGCCGCCAAAGAAGCCCTCGTTTCATCAGAGAGGTGGTGGGTTGTTGACTTATATAGCACTGGTTAGTATATTCGATCTAGTTCTTACCTATGCTAACAAGTATAAGATCTTGAAAAGGATACCAAACAAGCCTTCCGAGAAGGCTATTCTTATTCTGCGCCATATGCGTCCGGTGAAATATTTCGTTACATACGGCTCTGCCACTACGACAACGACGCGGTAGGGGAGCAACGCTGGCGAGCATGGCTTAGCCCCCATCAAGAAAAATATTTGGAGATAATATCAAACCGGGAGACGCTTATTAAGGCTTTAGACTCTGTCTTGAATATCCAAGGCCTATGGAGAACTTTTTACGTAGGGTCGCTGAACGACTTTGTAAGCCTGGGGTGTGATGATGTGAGTTCGTAGGCCTTCTCAAGCGTGGGTTTTAATGCACTCTAGGAAATAGTCCATTATATCAATTTCATCAAGAAGATCCTCACGCGTATTTTCGGAAACGACATAGTAACAATGATGGCTACCGATCCCTTTAGTATCGAATCTATTCAGTCGAGAGCTCCTGCACTCTCTAAGTCCGACTTCGAATTTATCCAAGAGAATATGCGACACCTTTTTCCAGGAGTAACAGACCCTGCAAAGAGAGCAGATATTTCAGAGCGTCTTCTCACCACCGAGGAGCTTATACCGAGCCTCTGGACATTGATTAGCGATATTAGGTATTTGAAGCAGCCAGCAAAGGTCCTGAATATGCTCCTGCCACCAAAACCTAAGAAGGGAAGGAAACAAAAAAAGGGAACCAAGAACAGCCTGCGTGAGAGGTTTCGCTTCCACTTCCCTAGTGAGCATTTAGATTATTTTGACCTCGCATACCAGCAGATATGGCTCTGCTCCTATCGAGTTTCGAAAAATCTCAACGCATACGGTTCACTGCAACTAGCCACTCTCGCTCACCAGTTAGGCTTCTCAAATGCAGAGATTGAGAAGGAGTTAAAAAAAGACCCTGCTCACGCCGTGATACAAAAGGCTGTCTTCGAGGCACTTAAAGTCCTTCGACCCAACGAGTCCTTTGCCTTCGACGCTAATCAAGCTCGACCTGTTATCACCTCATTCAAAGACTACTTGGACAAGATATTAGGTGCACCTGCAAAGACAATTTCTCCATTTATTACCGTAGAGGGATCAGGCGAGCCTCTAGCTCGCCGATGTGGATATGGCTCTACGGATATCAAGGATCTTAATCACCTCTTTCTCGACAAGGTACATGCTCCCCTCCAAGCATATCAGAGAGCAGGAGACGAGATCAGTTCCTTTTATGTCAAGCGGTCACGACACATAGCTTTCTTCGGGGCAGTAAATCTCACTGGAGATCAAGCAGACCCTCAAATCATGCGAGCGCCTTTCGCGACTGGAGAGCCAGCTAGTTCGACTCCTATTTCTAGTGGACGAGATCTGAACCCCAATGGCAACTCTCAAAGCGTTGAAACGAATCAGACTGTGTCATCGGGCGGACCGGTCGTTGAGTTTATACAGAAAGATGATGGTTCTATTCGGGAAATACCATTCCAAAGGGAGTCCGTAACAAATCAAGCTCGATATTATGCCGATCAGGAAAAGAAGTTATCTCTGCGACAAGGTGGTCACTTCGTTTGGCAAGCCTGTTTTGATATCCTTGTCCGGACTGGCCATTCCACCGTGCTCGTGTCTAATGCTGAACGGCCCATGCCGCCCATCAATGGTAAGCGGCGTAGTGGCCCAGACTCGCCAGATGAATTAGAGCCACGGGCAAGAGACAGCTTTGATTTTTGGAGAATGGATTAGATGAAGAGTAGGGCACGTCTAGCAGATACCTATATTGTCCTAGATTATCTCGAATTGGCTGCTCCATAAGTGCCTAGCTAAAAGGCTTTTAGAGTAATATTACCGTATGCGAGCATCTGCTATGCTCCACGCTGCCCCACCTATTACAGAAGATACGAAATGCATATCTACCACCATCCAAATATTGATGGTTATCGCCCGCTGTGAGACGTTTGATATGGAACCGTCAACTTTCTGATGGCCAAACCCACCACCGGTGATCCATAACATGGGTTGAATGATCTCTCAATCGCGGAAGGATCTTCTTTAATAAGGACATCCATCATAGTCATTGCCTCGGCCGGTCTGATGTCTTCTAAATTTCCTCTCTTTCCCCTAGCCACGACGGCCGTCGAAGCACTGTTAAGTCCTCCAAAGAGTTGCAGCCATATCTAATATATATAATGAGTCAATCTGCCATTCCACACCGTCTGAAGAAGATCAAAACCAGATTTCCCAGTCTTCAAGGTCGTTCCGAAGCACCACCTAAATCTTTAACTGACGTCCATTCGACATCGACGGAGCCGGTCCCGCCCGAAACAGTCCACAGAACTCTCAGGATCTTGCTTGGGGATCCGTGGGATGACTATGACTTCATTCGTTACCTTGGACAGGATATGGTTGCAAGACGAAAAGCCTCGTACTTTAAGCTTGTTAATATCCGACAATGCCAGAGCTCCGACGCCTTGGAGCAGTCTCGTCTTCTTTCTAGCATTCAGCATCCTAATATTGCAACTGTCTGTGGTCTCTACTGCGACGGCGACAAGATCTTTCTAGTTACAGAACATTTTCATATCTCTATATTGCAGTTAGAACTCCAGAAGTACGAGTTAGAGGAATGGGAGATAGCTACAATCATCGTCGAGGTACAAGCAACCTCCCCTTATATAAATGTTATAACTTACAGCCCTAGGTTCTCAAGGGGATAGCTTATATCTCCTCACTGAAACTCTCTTGCAAAAACTTTTCAGGAGCAAATGTCGGATTGACTCTAGCTGGAGAGATAAAACTTGGTGAGCTCATATCAACTCTTTAATGGTCATTAAAACTAACACGTTTCGCTCAGTCCTAGATCTTCCAAAGCTTCAGCATGATCGCCTACATGAGAGTTCAAAAGTGTCGCAGGTTCTCCTAGATTTCCCAATCGTAGCTGAACTCATAGAGGATATGATGCTTTCACGTTATCACCTTACATCTGGTGATGAACAGTGGTCCGAGGACGCTCTCAGTTTTCTATCCTGTACGTTGTCAGGATCCTTGGAGAGCTTGATGAATGTAAGGGCCACCGACCTGTAAACACCGATATAGCAATTAATCTAGACCAGCATCGTTTCCTAAGCCTTGCCGTGTCTCCAAGGAGACTAATTCCCCGGATTCGGTTCGCCTGTGAAATGACACGTGGAGTTTACTACGGGATTAATGAGGATGTTTTGTCAGATGTTCAGTTATATGATTGTGAAGGTGTTAGTGATAAGTGATACATTTATCGTGGATTAATGAATTATGTCTCCTGGCAATCCAAACCCAAGACGTCATTATTGTTGTCAAGAGGATTTTCTGGAGAGGGCGAGAGCAGTTAGATCACACACTCGTTTTGTCTCTATGCACATCATAATGTCAAATGGAAAAGTTGCATATATTTCAAAGTCCATTGCACGTTTCGCTTGAGTGGATACTATATTCGCGAGGATAAAGCAGGACTAGATTGCAGCGGTGAACCAAGTTAGCGCAAGATCGCTCTGGGAATAATTTCTTCTATCAATTTCTTGTTTCATCTCTAAGCAATGAATTGTAGTCTTAGTTTTTGGTCCTCACTTGCTGGATGGTCTCTTCCCTCGTTGGATGGTGCCTCGCTTATTGGATGGTCTTGGATGATCTCCTTGGATGATCCCCAAGATTTTAGATGGTCACACCCAAAGGGTATGCTAGTAGTGAGCCTATGGTCCCTTATTTTCAAAGATCATCCCTGGACCACGCATTTTACCCGATGACTATGGGATGATCCCTAGTAAAAAGGAGGGGAAACTTGTTGACTGTGTTTGCACGGCCCAGACGGTTCAATTTAAAGGTTTGAATGGATGCACTAAGTAGAAATCATGCCACCAGAATAAGGCTATTCGATTGAAATATTTTCGTTCAGATTTCGGTCATGGCACTTTGTTCTAGGTCCCCAGAACGTATACTTCTCAGCCCGGTGACTGCAAAGGAGGCAAAGGTGAGCTAGACATATAGGCCAAAAATAAGCGTCTTCTAACAAATCAATTTTATAGAATACTATGGCGAAGGACTCCTCCGCGACGTTAGATTACTACAGGAAAAGAAGTCCCGGGTCGCAACTTCATTTCGACAAGGTACCATCAGTTACTCCAGTCCTCAAGACGCCTGATGTAGGCCAACGGACTTGGAAGGAACGAAGCGGGGATATACTCCTCTCAACCTTCTCTCTCACTCCCTGCTACATAGGCTGGCATGGTATTATTCATGGCGGGATAACCAGCGGAATCATTGACGACGAGGCTATCGCTGTGGCTAAAGCTGAGGCACTATTTGTCTTATGCAAACAACTTCCCGAACAGCCCAAGATCCGGTCGCTCTTGCCCAGAGACAGAGCATGCAAACGAATACCTCAAGAACTATGGAACATGGTAATTGAATATCTGCCATCTCTTACTGGAAAATATGCAGCTCAAGCATTTGGCTTTAAGCTTGAGGAACAGCACGAAAAGCATGCGGGCGTCTGGGATAGAATTATCCGTGAAGAAGACGCGTGGACGCCAATCGCTATAAGACAAGGCCTCAATCCAGTTTTAATCGGTGACGGTCTGCACACCCTTTTCAACGATCCCACACAGCCGGCCTATATATGCCTTTCAACTGGAGACAAAACTAGAAACATTCGACATGACCAAACGAAACTCTTAGCGTCTTTACGAGAGCATCATTTCAACGAAAATGGTGAGGTCGTATTCCACGACTCGAAGATTATTTTGAATATTGACGAGGCTTTATACAACCCGTTCTTTGTTACTTTAACTCCGAAAAGGCTCTTTTCTTGCCGAAATAACCGTTTGTGTTCCGCCTCTTTATACTGGGCAGACAGCCAGTATGCACTTCGAACAATTGGACCAGACGACATCGTTGGCATTGGAGAGAAAGTCTCTACTTTAAAAGATGTGTCTCATATATGTGGCATTACTCTGACGCACCCAACAGAGATGGCATTGAGGCAAAGGCATCAACAGTGTTTTCAACATCCAAGCTGCCCGCCTACATATCCAGTTTTATCCCTCGAGTACAATGGAGACAACATGCTTGGGTGGGAGTGGGAGGATGGGGTTGAACAGTTTTGGAGGATATCCTGAATCTAGAAAGAATATCGGTGTTTAATATACGTATATACGTCTAACAGGGAGAAAATTTGAGGTGCCTATATCTAGCAAATGACAGAATCCTCTTTCTCATATAGTGGTTATAGATATTTCGAATTACTTTCATTACTAGAAGGTTTATGAAAATTAGCAAGAACTACTAATCAAGCTCAAGCTCCCAATTTATAGTATACTTAAAGAGCAAGAAAGTCTTTTTAAGGCAGACTTTATATAAAACTAAGAGATTTATTAAATTCTCCTTAGTTCCTAAGTCCTTAAACATTTCTTAAGAATATATAATTTCTATTTAAGTAAATAATTAAGTATATCTTATTTATTTCTTTATTTAATAATTAAAAGGCAATTATATAATAATAATTATAATTAAAATATAAATAGCTAATAATAATTTAAAGATTTAAAAGAATAGTAATACAAATTCTTTGGTCTAATATATCTAATAGTTTAATTAATATTATTTAATAGATTTCGGATTTGTTTTATAATTAGAGAATTATTATTTATTTTAAATATTATTTAAAAGAAATTTAAATTATTATATAATATATTTCCTATAATTGGTCTTAAAAGAAGCTCATATTAAAACTAGCTTGTTTCTTTTATTTCTAAGTACTCGTTTTATAAATCTAAACTACTAATCTAGTTTTTACTTCTTTTACTTATTATATTCCCTGAATATTACGGGAAAATAGGGGTTTATTTAATTATATAATTATAAAGAATTAATTTTATTTAATAAGTTTATATTCTTATTTATATAATCTTAATTTAAAAAGAAAATTCCATATTAGCCCTCAACTTGCTGAGGGGCATGGCCCGTATTTTCGACCCACTTCGCCCTAATCATATAAAAGCTCCGCCTTGTCCCCTCTTCACTCTCATCCTAATCCTCCATTCAATCTCCAAAGTGCTATTTTTTTAATAATCAAAACCTAACGGATAAGAGGTATATCTCCAAGCCTCATGCCGCAGTCTTGCCCCCGCTGACTAATGTAGTCGGCCATGTGTCTCGTTATCTTCATTAGCGAGGAGCGATTGGATTGCGCAATAGAAAGGGGTAAAGCATGGTGGTACCGTCATTTCCCCCGAATTATGGCCTGGCGATTCGGAGCCGCAACTCCGCCCCCTCAATATAACGAAGCAACGACTCTAATGGAGGACGCTGCCAAACCTGATTCTCTAATGCATGGAGGCATTCGTAAGACCGTGGCATATCAGATCGAGATAGATAGTTCGTAGAAGGAGATGGATTTTTGTGGTACTTCCCTCAATCTTCCACGGGTGACCATACCGTTCGTGGTGGTACTTGTCTGAGTATTGATTCATGATGGTGTCTGGAGATAAGCAAGAGAGAAGGGCCGTTTATAGACATCTAGTGAGGCATTCTTTACCAAGTACCATCTAGTCAGTCAGATTGCGAATTCTACATACCTAAATTTCCCTCAATCTCCAAATGGTACAGCCAGAAACCCGGGGGATGGGTAGCATTCAATGAGAAAAGGCAGACGCGGAGAACCCCGCGGATGATTCAAGTTGAAATTTTTATGCTCCTTTCCTCGCTTTATTCCTGCACCTTGTTCTGAATGAATGTAATCGGTCCTGAATTGATAAGATATGGAATTGTGGTTTACGTAATCGCCTTGACATCGGTCGTGCTTGCTTACTGCGCTTCAAATGTTAGCATCACTAAGAGAATAATCGGCAGTGATGGGACCATCTGACTATCCAGAGAGCGACCCTAAACAAGTGGCAGGGCATCATTATAATAGGATTATCGAAATGGGACAATCTCATAAGCGGGGGATCATCTCACAAGCGAGCGGATCATCTCACGAGCGAGCGGATCATCTCACGAGCGAGCGGATCATGATATCTACACCAGGAGAAAGATGTTGTGGTGGTACAAGGCCTGCAGGATTTTCTTGATTAAGTAGGGGTTTTAGGTCTGGTTCAACTCTTTAACGTGGCGTGTGCACAGGATCTACCCACCTCATCTCATCGAATTCCCACTTCGCAGCTTCGCCCCTGGACACCACTAACATGCCGGGGGAAAAAGACACTAATAACAGCCTTGTGCTCAATTTCCTAGCTTGAATTATGGATATAAAGACTCCTCACCTCCTCCTTCCCTTTTTACTATAAAGTATTTTCGCTATGCCTTCCGTATTTATTACAACCTGACTAGAAAGAAAATGGCGTTTAAGCATCAATTCCCGCTTCGAGTCTTGCAAATTTTTTTCTCATTAGTTGTTCTTGTTTTCGCAATTCTCAGTATGTCTATTTCAACTCTAATTACTTGAAACGAGTTTTGCTAAAAAGAATAACTAGTAGCGTACTGGGAAAAGCAATACTTGTCAACTTCGATTATCTTTTTTATCTTTGTACCACTCTTCTCTCTTCTAATAAGTTGGTACATTGGACTTGAATTATACTCTGCGGGTATTTTACCCTCGGCCCTTTTTCATATAAATTGCAAACTAAAAATACCTAGTATCTCGACCTTGCGCTGTTCTCTTTACCATCGAAGTTATTACCTCCCTTTTATATATGGCTAGTAGTATTGCTATTATTATTTTCGCCTCATCCTACTACGGGAGCTTGTGTGTGGCATCCGGAGCTAATGGAGCTTTCTCTATTTTGAGCTGCCTGGCATGGGTCACTTCTGCTACTCTTCATGGCATCGAACTCTCGAAGATAAAGAACGAATTAACTTGCATATCTGAGAAGCTAAACGAGGTAATATAAGATGAGTAGCTAGAGTGGCAAGCACTCGAAGATTAAGGAGTCAATTTTCAAAGGAAAAAGTCTTTGAGAAGCTAATTAAGGCGTAACTAGAATAGAGTAATTAAATTATTTCTACTTTTCATTCTTATATAACTTGCATCCGAAAAAGGTTTTAAAAATAAGTTTAGTAAAAAAAACCCTCCAGATTATAAATAGAGATATTTTAAAAGCAAGTAACCTTTATTTTCTTAAAATATTACATATTTTAGAGCAAATAAAATAGCCTAATATTTTAAACAAATATAAAATATATTAATGAATTTACTTATTTTAATAATAATGTTCTAAAGTCTCTTAGTAAACAAACGGAATTATAATTACTAGTAAAACATACTTTAAAAACAGACTTAATATTTGGTTATCGAGATATAAAAAGCCATATACTATTTACTTCTAAAGGAATTTCCGTAATTCCATTATTAAAAGGGTTTGTTTGTTTTTTTCTATTAGATCTATAATAATAGAAATACTAATTAGATAAATATAATTCTATATTATATTTTTAAAAACTCTATTTTTATTTAGCTTAGTTAATATAGATAAACTATAAGTTTATTTTAATAATTTTACTAACTATATTATTACTTTTATTAGATATTATATATTTATTATATAATGTTTTAGTTATTCTTTTTTACTTTAGAATAATATATTATAAAGCTTTATTTCTAAATTCTTTATTTATAATTCTTATTTTCTTATAAAGACTAAATTATAATATCTATATTATTAATTTAGTTATTTATTAGTTAATAAGCTTTGAAATATACTAGAATAAGCTAGCTATAATATTAATATAGAAGCTTTAAATACTTTATAAAATATTATAAGAAATACTAGAAAAATAAAAAATTATTTAAATAATTCAAGTTTAACTTTAAAAATAATATTAGCTTTAATCTCCTAATTATTATTAATATCTTTTATATCTCTAGAAAGCCTATACTTTATATTATTAATAAGGGTACTAGATATTATAAAAGCTATTAGCTTTAAAATATTAGTACTATATATATCTGAAATACTCTAAAAATATATTAGATTAATATCTATTTAGAATCTCTTAATTAGATTATTATAAATACTATAAAGTAATTTACTAGTAAAGTATTTATTTAACTTATAAATATAATAAAAACTAAAGTAAAAATTATTTCTATAAAAGCTTATAACTTTATAGGAATTATTAAATACTACTATAGTCTAATTTAATATATTTATTTAATTATTATAGCTAAAATTAAAGGAATTAGTAAAGAGATAGCCTTATAAATAACCTTTATAAATTAAAGATAGACATTTATACTAAATAAAGTATTTAGGCCTTTAATAAAAGTAATCTAATCTAATTAAAAGAGAATTATCTATTAACTCTATAATTTAAAGTATCTAATAGCCTAAAAGAAAAGATAGCTAGCTTTTACTAATTAATAAGTAATTAGTTATTTAATTATTTATTTAGTTTATTTGATTCTATTTATCTTTTAAAACTAACTTCTTTTAGTACTAAGATTACTTTCTTAATAACTAACTTTCTATTTATATATTACTCTAATCTATTAGAACTCTTCTAGAATTTATATACTCTATATATACCTCTAAAGTTCTTTAAGCTTTTTAGTTCCTGCTTCGATTTTATTATTAAATTAAGCTCTTTTAAGCTTTAGACTATTCTAGAAATTATAATATTTTACTTCCTAAATTTCTTATTATAAATAAAATATTTATAAATCTTAATAAATCTAAATTATCTTACTTTTAAACTTCTTTTACTAAAAACTATATATATATACTAAAAAGAGTTTAGTTCTAGAAGTTCGAAATAGTAAACTAATAAAATAAATACAAGTAAATAAAGAAATAAAAGAAAAGATATTAATCTAGAAACTTCTAATAAAAAAGATATTCTTAATTACTTTAATATTAGATTATTCTAGTATAAGGTAAAAAGATTAACTAATAAGAATCTCTAGAAATTATATAAAAGGAATTTTATTAACTTTAATATTAATATATTTGATCTACTAGATTAATACAATCTATATTAATTACAAGCTATCTTATAATATAATAATATTTATATCTAATATAATTAGAGTTATTTTATTATTATATAGTCCTTAATTAATATTATTTAAAAAAAAGAATAATATATATAGATTATAGATAATATTATTACTTATTAATAAAACTTTAAAGCAGGTTCTATAACTTTATTATAAATATTTTATTAGAATAGTATTATAAGAAATTAATATATTAAACCTATATCTTTTAATTACTATTAATACTTCTATTACTATTACTATTACTATTACTATTACTATTACTATTATAATAAGAAACTAATAACTAACTTCTATTACTTCTATTACTACTTTTATTATTCTTACTATTACTATTTATACTATCTCTAAATAGCCTTTAGTTAAACTCTATTAGAAAAATAATTAGAGAAGCTATTAGAATCTATATAAATAAATAGAAATATAATAGAACTAATAGTAGTTTTAATTACAAACTTATTATTTTCCTTAATATCTATTAATATATAGATCTTTTATAAAAGGTATTTATAAGAGCTTTCTCTATTATACTAAAAAAACTAGTATAAAACTACTTTTATAATAACTAGCTATTTTAATAAACTTATAAAATAGTATATACTAATATTTATAACTTTTTTAAAAGATCTAAATATTAATATCAAAATCTAAATAAATGAAATATTACTAACTTGAATTCTATAATAGCTAAATACTTTAAAAAGTCGATATTTAAGGTTATTTAGATTCTAATTAATAACTTATACTAACTATAATACAAACTTATATCTATTTTATAAAATATTAAATTTCTATATAATAAGATTATTACTATTTATTAAAGCTCTCTAGTATATTAATATATAGTTTTAAATTCTTTTATAGATTTTAGCTAGCTTATTAATAAACTATAATTCTTTATTATTATATATAAGAAGAAGTAATAGTACTAATTAATTAGTATTAGTTTACTAGTAATATATAGAACTATTATATAATTATAGAATACTATTTATATAAGATTAATAAAGTTATATTCTAGAAGTAGAAATTATAATATTAAAGTATTAATATATAATTCTTAAATATACTAAGTCTAATTAGTACTAGTATATAATATATTCTATTATTTATAAATAGAAAAGTAATACAAGTATAAGTTAGTTAAATAACTAGATTAAAGGTAAAAGTATAATAATAAAGATCTTTTAGTTAAAATATAAATAGTTTAATTAAGTCTCTAAGTTAAAAATAGTTAAAGAATTACTTTAAATACTTAAATCTAAATTAAACTATAGTTTTATAGATATAAATAAGATATTAATATAGAGTTTATTAAATTAGATAATTTTCCTTATTTCTTATTATAAAAATTTACTGTTTATATTAAGCTATAAGTGAAATTAAGGAATATATATTTTAAAGTTAAGCTCAAGAATTTAATAAGAGGTTATTATATACTAATTAAGGTATATTATTACTAGGAAATTAGTACGTAATATGAAACTATTTATAAGTATTATATTATAAATCAGGATATAGTAGGTACTAGAACCTGCTGGATTCAAGGGAGGGGGTAAATCACATGATTTACAGTAAGTCATTTGCTACTAGATTATATAAGCTAACAGAGGTTTAGTCGCTCCTTAGATACGAAGACAACGGTATAAAGTATCGGGAATACAGGGCATTGGGAGACTTTCAGGGCTCTCCAGTATACAGATCAAGGTAGCAAACTCGCTATAAGGCCCTATATTTCCAGGCCCTTTCCCTAAAAGCACATTTACGCCTTCGACAAGGGCTACCACACCTTTTCAGGGCTTCTTCCCTGTACTTACGGGGGAGCCTTCACTAAAGGGGCCTATAATAGTTGCTTGTTTAGCGTTCGAGCGCTGTGGTTGCTCTACCAACAGCGCTATAACCCTAGAAGATCTACTTACCCCATGCGAATGTCTTATAGCGCCTCTTTACGTAGATTTAGGGAGCACTACCTAGAGTTATAGGGGCTTGTAGCGAGCTTCTGCCCTAAATTCACACCCTGTAGAGCGCTGAGGGTCAAAATGCCCTGTATTCCCGATACTTTATGCCGTTGTCTTCGTAGTCTCCTTAAGCATTCAAATATACTCTTGTTTCGACCATTACAAGCTCTATTTTAGCCTCCTCGATCACTTGACGTCAAGTCACCTGACCTTTTCCGCAACACAGCGAGCAAACCCATCATCCGAGCAACTTCTCGACGGTTCTGTGGCGGATGAGCAATTCAACAACGATGGATGACTACTCACCTACAGCAACCCCTTCACAGATGAGATGGGAATAGAAGGGGAAGATGGAGTTGTGGAACCAGCAACAGGACTTCTAGGATCCCACTTTGGAAGCTCTGACAGACTCCAGCAAAGTGGTTGGTTCAGCTCAGTCAGATGCCCCCGCGGCACCGGACTTCCTGCACGGCTGGGAGAACCAAATGGTGATGCAGATTGCCAAATATCTCGACATGATCTCGGTTCAAGATGTGCTGTTGGCACAACATCCAATCATTTGGTAATTGATCTCAAGTTCATCCGGATGCCGATGATGGGTTTCCTGGTTCCTACCATCATGTTTGCTCGTGATCATTTCTCACAACAATGCTTAACCTGTGAAGAGGAGTCTAGGCCACCAGAGAGCCCCGTAATCCTGGGCTATGCTAAACGTCTCTGGAGATGGCTTGTGAAGGTGCTGCTGTAGCCCTGTGTGAACTAGCGACAGAACTTCAACGCCGATACAAGTCAGACTCGTCCGTGATCACGGATACGGACGAACTACCTAGCCACGATGTTACGGTCCTCGCAAGACGGCGCAGCGTTCGTCGAGAGATGGCAGTCTATGTATGGGCAAGATTTAGAATGACCTCGTATGAAGATGACAAATCCCACTACAAAGGTTCTTCAAGGTCGCATTCGGAATTAGTTCAGGTACGTTCAAATTGGCAAAGCTTTAAGAGATTACGGACTAACCGGTTCTAGGAAGTTTGATCGTCATGGCAATGTTCATTAACGGGTGGTCTATTGATGAATCTACAGAAGCGTTTGAGAAGTTGGCAAAGGTGGCCTTCAAACGTCGAAAAGTTTTAGATATCCCTTTCCTGTCCCGCATATATGAGCTTTTGAAGTCGTACTTAGCTGATGGACTATACCCAGCAGAAAATATCGAGGCAGCATTGCAGGCAGTCTTCGGAAAGGACAAGAGTATCTTGGATTACTCACATGCAACTTCTATAGGTGCCCGAGTAGGCTTGCCCGTCGCTACTATCCGTGAACCATCGAGCTGCATTTTTACCAACTATAACGGGGTGGGAACCCGAGACGAGGATCATATAGATCAACAGTGCTCTCGTTGCCTACGGGTTGTCGAGGAAGGCACTAAAAGGTCATCTTGTAAACCCGAGCCTCCCAGTCTTGAGGCAACTCGCCCTTAGACCGCCGTCGGCTCTCAAACAGTTGCCATACCGTATCACCATTTCCCCAACAGTCCCCATAATTTGGCCATTCAAATAGAGCCGCTGTCTCGCCGGTATCCGCAATTGTTAAGGGGGGGTTCTAAAACGTCTTCTTGTAAATCGAAGTCCCGCTGGTCTTGTGGAGACTCAGGGAGAGACAGCCATTGGCTAACATCAAACGGTCATCATGTATCGCCATCCCTACAAGAATATCCATCGTTTGCCAATTCATTTGGTGGAGTAGTCGTGCCCTCGTTAACCTCGGTTGTTGAGTCTTTATGGGATGGAGGTATCATGGCCTCTTTTGGCATTATTTCGAAACTGACGAAAGGACGACTCTCCCAACCACGCCGCAGTTTGAACATTGCAAGACGAAGACGAGGTTTTATTTGGTCTTTGATCTAGATGGAGAATATCAACTTGATCTGCACAAATTTTCACGCTTCCGACTTTAGCTCTCCTTGGAATCATCTTTATTGCTTCCCCGGGGTCAGTGGATCGATGCATTTGATATTGTTTTGTACACAAATAAAACACAAACTGATTTCAAGCATTTGACCTTTGCGACGAGATTATCGGATTTTATAGGTCTCTTTGACCACTTGTTCTTAGACTACCATACTCATCCTCCGTGGCAAAGCCTCACATCCTTGTCCAACTTCCAATACTGAATTTATCCCAGTCTTGTAACTGGATAAAGACTCCACATGTGCAGGGTGCGCTTGCCTTTGTGTGGCGAATCTTGATTTTGCAGAAAATCGTGCCTTGTATATTAGTGACTATAATTGACACAATTGCTGAAGGAATCAGGGTGAGGTAGCTTAACCCAATCCAACCCCGACTGTATAACAAGATATTTGTTTGTCCAATCTGTTAGGTGCGAGAAGAATCAGCGTGGTCGTATAGGAGAGTTGATGTGGACGAGGCAACGAGCAGATTGGAAGTTGTGGAGATGATGCTAATGATGCAATAGCAAAACTGGGAAGAGAAGGTGAGATGATGCTGCAGTTGCTAGGCTGTGTTCATCAGAGTCAATGATGACGACACAACTGCTGGATTATAGATAAAGGTTGTGGGCATATTTGCTACAAGGAAGTAGATGATGACGATGCAATACTAAGAGGGAAGGAGGACTTAAGCTTACCAGGCGAGATGATGTTGTTAGGAGACATTGGGAAGGTGGTGGGACACTAGCGTCAAGACTCCCTACCAGCCCGGCTCTTCGACATATCCACCTGATCTGGATGAATAACTCGAAGATGCCGAGTCAATGCATCATTTCTGCTGAACGTCTTCTCTTCGGTGCACAGCGGACAGCGTACCTTCTGCTTCTTGGGGTTGTGAATCGTGTCCTCGTGCCGAGTCAGATCATAGGGCCGAGAGAAAATAGTGTTACAGGGCTTTCCCGTCGAAGGGTTAACTCGTTCGCACTGTTTCAGGTCAGCATGAGTTTCAAAAGGAATGAGCTTTTTGGGGGGGGTTACAGAGGTGTGCGTACCTTGTGAGGCCCCGCTTGAGAATTTTGCTGCCCCTTTAAGGTCATACCCCTTCCATCCCCGTCGTTGTTCGCTAGGGCCGAGTTTCGATGGCCCTCACGTTTGTGTCGTTGAAGCTTCGCAGGCGTGTCGAATCGTAATGTACAGCCGTGGTACGTGCATGTGTAAGTTCCAGTGCCTACAGACGCTCCTAAAGGTTTCTTGCCTTCTAATATTTCGGGTGCATACTCACTGCCGCTCGATTCCATCGAGGCCAAGGTGGCAGGGGAGTCGTTGGTAACACTTGAGAGTTTGCTAGGTTGTCTGCGCTACTGAAGGACAAAGGGATATTGCTGAGGTATTTGTCGAACACTGCCTGCAACCGCAGGAGGCGCGAAACTGAAGTGGCTTGCTGCTGCGTAGCCTGTGGCAATGTTGAGTAGGCCGAAAAGCTTTCCCGTTCCGCAGTTGCCATGCTGCCGTAGCTACGCTGTAATGTATTCTCATTAGACTCTGAAGGTTTTTGGGAGATTGTAGACTGTTGCTGGCATTAGTGGCGTTGTTTTTGCTGCTGTGATGGGACCAGTGATGTATTGGTGTCCTCCTCGCTCTCTCGGTAGGCTAAATCAACATCCTTTGGTGAAATGGTCTTTGGCGTTGTCTGCTCAGAAGAAGTCCGTTCCAGCTGCCTCTGAAGTTCCCGCGCACCATTCTCTGCCCTTTGTTATTCGCACATATATATTGCCGTACCAAACTCCGGAATTGCTCCCTTGCGGCGCAAGAGGGGAGCCTTGGCGAAATAGTGATCGTTCTCGCGAAGGTATCGTCAAGGGAGTTTGGGTACTCTTGGGTGAAGTGGTTGGAGAACTGGCTAGCAGCGGAAGTTTTCAGTGACAAGAAAAGTGATAAGAGACGTTTGATTGCTGCCGGGCTGCGTAAAGTGTTGTGAAGTAGTGATTGGGACGTTGGTTTTCTCTTTGTAACAATCTTGTGACTTCCCTTTCCGGCTCCGATTCTGGAAATCTCGGACTTGCGAGGCACACGGTCGAAGAATGTGAGGCAGGACTAGAGACTTCGTTATCTCAAGCTCGCTGGGCTTGAGCTACCAGATTATTTGAAGCCGAAGACAAGGTATATGAGGAGCAAGATTGACTTCTCCGAGTGGAGAATCAGTTCTTCTTGGATTATTGGGTAAGAATCGCCCGACCGGTCCTTGTGTCCTCAGCGAGTCGATTCCAAATACTCTGGATAACTAGGCTGTGTATAGGGATCGTAGCCTTTTACTTGATCGTCGAGTTGTTCGTGGGCCAAGTCGTACAGGCATGCGCTGATCCGCTTCATGGTGGTAAAAAAAAAATTAAATATTGACTGCTTCTACCATGCAAGACTCTGCCGCATTTGCGCCAATCGGTATGAGGGAATGAGAGTTCTGATCCGTCTTGGTAGTCTTAGAGAGTAAAGAAAGATGTGAGGAACTCAATGTTCTGCCTCGTAAGGGACTCGCGGTGCCCCAGGAAGTGAAAGCCACAACCGCCAATTCTGGTACGTACAGTCGCCGAACCTATCGGGTTGCACCCAGGCCAAGCATCGGGAAACCATAGGTTCGAGAACCAATCTCGGCAGAGGTGCTGTGTCCGAAAATCAGACGTTCCAACCCTGTCCCATGTCCCCCGCTCCTGAGACAGGTGTCGCGAGGCCTGATCAGCTCAAAAGCGAGGCGGGAGGCACAGCACCAGAAGGCCCAGGCGGCACGAGTACGCCGCTCAACGAGGGCCATAATAATGCAAGGTCATGGGTTGGCCTCCAAGACTGAACGCCCGGAATGGGCATCGTGGCTTTTCGGGGGCAGGCAGGTGGTTGATTGTGAGCTCTTCACCAATAGAGGGGTTACTCTACCGGCACGGTTATGTGCGTCGCTGAAACAAGCACCTAGAAAGACGCAAACCAGCTCCCTGATTAGCTAACGTGCAAGCCTAACATTTCCGTCCCCTCAGCGTTCCTCTTCGGCTCGACTTCAGTCGTTTTTTCATCTACGATTTGGACATCTTTCTTGACACAGTTCACCCTTTTCCAACGAGATTCTGTTCTGCACTTGTCGAGACTAACATCTTCCTCCCCAAGCTATATGTATAAGTATTTTAGCAGTCCATTGCTGTCTCTAAAGTCTCTAATCTCGCTTTCTTGTAGGAGCGCATCATCGGGCATTTGGAGACAAAACTTTCTTTTGTCCAAGTGCCTGAAATTTCGATATCGAACACGATGACTAGGTCGAAGAAGCCGAGGAAACAACAACAAGAAGGAGCAAAAAAGAAGAGAGCACGTCGAAAAAAGTCCTCCGTCCCTAAAGATTCCTTCCTCGAGCTTCCCTGCTCCATCTGTAAGGGATTCGATCATGAAAAAGTCCTTCTCCTCTGCGATACATGCGACCACCCATACCATACATACTGCGTTGGTCTTGAAGCTCTTCCTCCTGAAGAAGAGGAGTGGTTTTGCACTCGTTGCAGCAGAGACGTGCCACCACCTGTCACTCGCCCTGAAAAGGTGCTCTCCGCCAATGAATTGTTGCCCCAAAGTTTATTTCCGACAAAGAAAGAGAGCGCGGAGGGCGAGGATCTCGATAATCCCGACGAGATGCAGAAGAAGGAGGCGTTGGCGACCCAGCGCGAGCAGGAGGAGGCTGCTAGGTATGTGTTGGGAATATGCCATTGTAGAAGTACGTTTTGTCTAACTGTTCTGCCAGGCTATTGAAGCAGAATAATACAAATAACACAGCTAGCAATGCCCCAAGTGGGATTGCACAGCTGAGGAAATCTTCGGACCAGGTCCCTACAAATGCTGCAAATACTGGGCAGGTAGGCCATCCAGACAAGACGAACCAAGACGACTTTATATTCTCTGACAACATCTCAACACCAACTGGAATTATGTCGCGTTCTCCAGAGCTCAGCAAGAAAGAGGCCGAGAATTCTGCCAATTTTGTAGCTTCAGCAACTGCCATAAAAATGCGTGAATCACCTACGGACCTCTCCCCCCAAGTACCAACCGTCAACAAGATCATAATGCCCGACGACCCAGATCCTGAGACAGACCTGAACGAATATTCTCTCGATCAACCTCCTGAAATAATTCATTACAAATTTCCCGAGATACCATTTCAACTGGACACATCTAACCTGGAATATGACCCGACAATTACTTGTACAACACCGCATCAGCAGAACTTCCCCTTCTCGCCCACACACTCGCCCCTCGTACAGCACGGCTCCTTTCCCGACATATACAATAACGTCTCGATGCCCTCTTCCTTATTGAATTCAAATGACTGTTGTTCGACTTATCCATCCGCTGTCTCGACACCGCAGCCAATTCCGGAAAATCAGGATGTATACTTCCAGCAGCGCGACATCGATATGCGACATCAAAGGCCTCACACATTCAGCCATGGGCCCTCGAGCTTATCGAATTCTATGGCTCCGCAGTATGTGTATAATGCTAACGGGGGTTCGATATTCACTGCTGTGACGGCAGGCGGACAATCGAACTCGTCCACTGCTGGGTGTTCCGGAATGGCACAGCGTATAAATCCTTGGCAAATATTCCAATTTGATTATCCAGCACGGTTGCCAGGTAACCCCATGGGTAATGAGAATATGTTCAGCTTTGGAGCTAATTCTGACGGGGATGAAGAGGAGGGTGGTGTGTTCGCGGATCGGATAATGAAGCACGAGTCTGTGCTGTCACCAATAGAGAATCCGAGCATGGAGATGGAACCAGGTAGTTTTCAGTGGAATGCCGATTTATTGGGAGAGTTCAACACACAGGCTACGCATTATCGTGGTGGAGGCTCTGCCGATATGGGGTCCGTTGAATGGGACGGCTCAGGTAGCTCTCTGAGCAGAACGCATGCCTCTACACAATCGGTTTCCGACAATCGTTCAAGGAATGGAAATGATAGAAGGCAAAATATCCCACGGACGGCATCGGTGCCAAACACGGCTTTGATGGGACAGCCAGCCGGCATGCTCGAGCAGATGTCGAACCCAAATTCGCCACCCGATCTAAGTAATACGTCTGTTAAATCTGCTGTTTCGAGTCTGCCATCTCCTAGACGATCAAAGCACGGCTCTTCGATGAATCTTGCTGGTGCAGCTGCTCAGGACAAGAATGGTGTTCCAATGACCTGCACGAACTGTGCCACGCAGAAAACACCCCTCTGGCGACGAAACCCGGAAGGCCACTCACTCTGCAATGCCTGTGGACTCTTCCTAAAGCTTCACGGTGTCGTGCGACCCCTTGCAATGAAAACAGATGTCATCAAGAAGCGCAACCGCGGTTGCGGTCCAGGCCGTTCTTTTCCAGCTAAAGGACCCCGTGGAGAATCCCCTGGGCAGCCAACGAGCGCATCGAAGAGAAAGAGAGGCAAGGACCCCATTGCAGCAACAGCCCCAGCGGCTCCCACAACCCAAGCAACAACCCCAACCAGCAAATGCGGAAGGCCCGTAAACGAATGCCACATCCCATCCTCAGTTACAGACTCAGACAGAGCAGGAGGCAGCACATCCAGCACGGCAGGCTCCTCTATCGCTGTATCCATGCCTCAATCCCACGCAGACATGATACCGAAATGCCAGCGTCGACACAGCGAGTCCGTCTCTGCGATCGAGAGCACAGATGTCGACTCCCTTGAGAAGCATACGAGATTTAATGAGGCGGTGAAGAGCGTGGATATGGGTACAGTCAGCAGCAGTAATAGTGGTGTGTGTTTGGGGACTGTGGGCTTGGCAGGTGGCTCCGGGACGGAACCGCAGAATTGGGAGTGGTTGACTATGAGTCTTTGATGGACTTTTCCGTTTACTTACCTTTCATGGGCTTGGCGTTCGAGTGTGTGCGTTCCTTTGCATGGATACATGATGTTGCGCGGGGTTTCCGATCCACGTTTCATCGATTTGGGGTGGGTGGAAGAATTGGGACTTGATACCATGCGGTTTTTTCGTTTTTGTTCTTTTGGGGGGAGGACTACTGGCTTACATGAGCGGGCGAGCTTCTCAATATTGCTATTGATGACTGGATGGGTGGGCTGTTATGATTGCATACTTGATTGATTCGGGTTTTGTTATCATGAACTTCTGCCACCGTTCCTTGCCAGCTTTGCACGTCCGAGCTGGGGCTAAAGTCCCAAGTCCTAACCGGGGCGGTTGTTGTGCTGCAATGGACCTATTTATCTCCATGTTAGCCTCATTCTCTGACTGTGCCTAATATCCATATGCTCAATGCCATGAAATTCTTCCAGAAAACGTTCATCTCCATTGGATTGCCCATTTCTACAAGCTACAGATGCTATAGAAAGGGAGATGGGAGGGGTTGACTCACAGCCCGCTGTGAAAAGGCCCCAACTGTGCACTCTTCATCTGCATCAGGTTCCCTAGATCGGCAAGATTGGCCGAGAGCTGCGCGAGATGGGCATGCAAAATGTTCCATTTCTAACTATCAGCATGTGTTCTCTCTCCTTGCCTTCTCTCTTGAATTATTGCGGGCTGAAAATGTTGTTGCGTGGAGCTGAACGGCTCGGAAAGGGAGAAAGACGAACCAATTGTCGTGGCTTAATGCTTCTGTATCGTGATCGTGTTCTTATTGTCGCGTTCGAGGTTGACTAGCTTTCCTGTGTGGGGTTTTAATGATGGAGGCTTTGGGCAATGAGGGTGCCATGGCCCCGAACAGGTGTACGAGAGGGTGAGGAACCGAAATTGGGGGACTAGTGGAGAGGATGGAGGTACGAGTACAGATTGATAGCCGGGCGCGGGCCAGGTACTCATGACTTCCCCCCTTTTCCTTTCTGTCCTTCAACGTCATTGTCGACATCAACGATCAGCTAAGATTTGAAGAGCAGAGGGTGATTTGAGTACCAAGTTCTAATTCCGTCATTCTTTTAACAGCTCGCTGTAACTCACAACATCTTAGGTGATGAGTTCAATAAGTTCTGGCAGCTTTGCGTGTCTCAGGTGGCTTGGCCTTGCCAGGTCCTACGAGGAAGATGACTGGCTAAGAAATTCCCATATATTGCTTTGATAGCTGTGGTTTTATGCTTGCTCTATGCGGTTGCAGATAATTGGCATTGTTCGAACACGTCAGATACACCAGTTCCCTTCTCAAATCTTCTGTCAAACAAGTTGGAATCGATAGGCTTCAATAGAAAGCCTAGGATTTGAAGCAATTAATGCGGTTTGATAAATCTGGATGTGGGATTCCTTCCAGCCCTTTAGGTAGCCCGGCAGTCTCGGATTTTGACATGTTCTCTTGCCTGTTGAAGGGTTAATAGAGCTTGGCCAGGGACTACGAGTTGAATCTCTGAGTAACTTGATTCCCTCTAAGAAGGGCTTACTGACAAGTTTCTGATTAATACCGAGGAGGCGACAAAGTAACTTACTCCATTTTAACATAATTTGAGGCAAGTTGTTTCCCGACACGGCGCATCTATCCTTTCTGGTGCGTTAAAATTCGGCACTGGATGCCCTTGAAGGAAGTCCTTAGCATAACAAATCGCCTTTCTAGATATTTTACTTCTCAAATACTATAAGCGAGGTATGTAATGCCACTGCAATATCAAAAGTTATCTCGTCATGCGTCATGACCAATCAATCTAATGCTCCTTTCCCAATTCGGTTTAGCAGGAGTTAAGCGAGCCCCTGATACTTTTAAGCAAGCATTTAAAACCCTGCTGAGATCAGAAATACTAGAACTGGCAGTGTCAACATTAGACTTAAAGAAGTCCTAGAAAACAAGGAAGATAAGGGGACCATGGAGTACGGATATCTTGTGATCGAGTGCACTTGTTCCGTCGTCAAGGTGCAAATATCCAACCTAGAAAATATCTCTGTATGGCTAAGTAAGCGAGGGCGTTGAGATCTTCGTGCTGTGTTTTATTGCATGTTGGATCTGCAGTTCTAGTGGCAGTCATAGTGGCAGTCACTTGAATCGAGGGAAAATTGTATATGCACCAGCCGTGTTGGTTATTTTGTCGCAGGGAGGCAATGCATCAAAAAGAGGTGCTGCAGATGAGGAGATATTGGTGGCGGCGATAGGCTCTTGCTATAAAATTCTACTTAAGTCTTTTTAGAGGGACTACCGACGGCCGTTCCGGAGCACTTTAAATAATAACATAACTCTGGGCAGCAGGCTGCGAGTGTGTCGGGGGTTGAGAAGTCTGCCTCGCACATCGCAAATTTACCAGGCGGACCGTTCTTATCTTTCAAATATTTTGCTCCCCCAATTGCCACCTTTCCTCCGAGATATCAGAGTTGCATCTGTGTCAATATAGTCATTACCATATTCATCACGTGTCAATTGCTTGAGAATTCCTCAATTAGCTTAAAGTCTAAACAGCAACATTGCGGATAATCCTGTCATATTATTCAATATCGTGCAGTAGGATATAATCGATGTGAGGGTGGTCTAAAAAGGAGGTATCGTCTGCGATTAAGTTTCTTAATTACTACACCCAGAGCAGCTTTCATCCACCTCATAACGATGAGGCTTCGTTGACATAATGCCCGTAATCTAGCCATCATGGGAGATGTTGAGAATGAAACCGCCTCCACAGCAGTGGCTCCCGGAGGGCTAGCGGGTTATCACCTCGAACGAATCCTTGGAGAAGGATGAATACTGTTTGTGTTTCTTTCATGGGGGCAAGCCCCCAGACCCCCAGGGCTCGCTGCGCTCGGTATAGAGAGGCGTGGAAAGAGACTTAGCAAACTCACCCGGTGAGTTTAAATATGCAGTAATTGCTTACGAGGGATGATAAAGAATCAGGGGTGCCGATCTGCATCACTTGAGTGTATGGCTAGGGATGTGCATGGAGTGTGTCTGCAAAAGTACTTTTCGATGATCAATGATTGACTGTATTCATATTCTTTGGCAGTCTCTTCACTGGATGAATCCTTGATCCGCCTCATCGCTGAAAGATGATTGATGGCGGCAGTAATGACGTTGCTGCAGTTTTGCAGCTGCGGTGGTGGAATGTACCACTACCCGGGCTCCACGGAAGTGGCCCCCGGAGGGCCAGCGGAGGGTCACCCGGGGTAACTATATCATTCAAACGAAAATGAATCATCATATGGATTCAAAGAAGTAACGGAGTATCTTTTGTCTAGTCTGAGAACACCGAACCACAAGCAACGCCAAAACAAACTAGTATATAGAGAAGCAAAAAGTAACTATCTTCTCCTAACCTCTCCACTTGCTGGTCTGCGATCGAGTCTCTTTACCACGGCCCCGAGCACAGCATTAAGAATCCCCTCGCCCGTCAAGCCGATGCCACACTCACTGGAGCTTCTTCCGCCAGTCCAGGTAACAGTGTCGACAATGTCTCTAACACCACCTTCAACCTTCTCGCTAAGTCCGTCGTCGAGCTCCCCGAGTGCCTCCTTAGCACCTTCTTCGTTGCCCACCTGGAAAAACTGAACGCCGACTTGGAAAGGAGGTGCGTCGAGCTTGTCCAGCTTCTTCGCTGCAGATATTAGTACTGACTCGACGTCATCTGAAGGAACACCGTGTGTGAGAACGATAAGGTTCAAAGGCTTGAGCTCCCTGCCCTGCGCCATTTCATTCTCCAACTTCGCCAAGTATGGCTTTAGGATATTGTGAACTCTGATACCTGTTGGTGTTCCGCCCTGAGGTCTTACACTCTCGAATATTTCAGCGACAGTGGTGGCTCTCTTGACGCGCCTGTAACCGCCAGCTGCGACGCCCTCTGACACTGCGCTGAGGTCGCTGGACCATACGCTAAACGCCCTAATAACGATAAATCGAAACCTATTACGATTAAGCCTGTATTCCACAAGACAAACGAAGTATGGCAGCAAAATCGGGCATTGGAAGTGCTTCTTGAGCCTATTTATATATTGCAAAAGATGTCCGAATCGAACGATTTAATACTGGGGAAGGTCTATTTGCGATGGATACAATTGAATGACCATTTTCAGAAGTTCAGGAGACGAGGTACAGGAATATGGGCAGAGGAGATCGATAACTATTGCTCTCGCAAAGGCAGAGGTGGATGGGACGATTCAGTTAATAGATTCTCCCAATCCACTTCGTGGTATATATCCTCCTCCCAAAGAACCACAATGCGTTCTTGACAGACGAATTTCAAAAGCAAGCTGACGATTGGGTAATGGAGAAGACTGGTCCAAAGGGGTTCTATTAATGGTATTAATATTGCAAGAAGCAAGGGAGCTTCGGGCTATTAAACAACTATTGGGTACATTTCGCAGATAATACACCTGCTTTTTGGGAAATCTCAGTAAGTGGTACTTAATTATATCTGCAATTTTTTATTAATTTTTTACAGGCCATACTCTCTCCAGAGCTTTCTAAGCTAGCCCTCGATTTATTCCATACCACTGCGAATTCAGTTGCTTCTTTATATATATTAATTCGCGATCAATTCGTTCAGCTATAAAGTACAAAGATATGAATCAGGAAGCAGAGTTACTCGCGGAATTAATGGCAGAGATGCTATTAAATCAGGAGGACGATATGGTTGCAATAGATGATATTAATGGTGAGATTGATGAGACTGATATATGGATTGATATTGGGATGGAGGAGAATTAATATATCCACTGTTTTTATCTTTATTCTTCGTAATTTTCATACAATCATGCATAAACACGATAAATTCAGTATAAATATTATGCATTTATTACTGGCTAGACCAATATTATTTACATAAATTAAATAAATTCGTCCATCCCTAAGAAGAATGAGGCTCTGTAATTTGAACGGGGTTTATTGCGCTCAAATCGGGAAACGGCGCTTAGCGTAAACTTCCATCCAGGGTAGCTTAACCCAACCAATCTCCTAGAAAAACTGTGGGCTGGTAGCAAAGCTTCCAATCATCCTTTGCCCCTTGATAATTTTACATGTGGGAAGCTTCCCATGCTCACTTGAACAGGGTATGTATCCTTGTCATGCAAGGTTCACTCTGTCGTCAGCCTCACTTTCCTCCTCCAATTCCCAACCTCCCTCACCAGCCACCGCAATTCCCCGCACATCATTTACTGGGGTTAATGACCCGTGTAGTCAATATCATCCTCTGCTCAGCCTCAAAACTCCTGGCCTCTGGCGCCTCGCTTGTCGCTGTTCACTTGACTGGACATCTGGAGAGAAAAAAGAAAGAACTTCCAGCGAAGTCACAACGAAAGAAAACTTACCTGGGCCTAGACTGATCTGAATTGTGAAACAGGTTATCATAGAAATAAGAACGATTTATATCTGCGAAAGGATATCGAGTCACAAACTCATGCCTGCAGCCTCTGGGGAACGATCTGTTTCAATATCAGCCGCATTTTGGGGCGTGGCTGCTGCAGGTGGAAGCACAATGTGGCGTACGATTCCCCATTTTCATCAACTCTGCAAGGGTCGTCCGCATGAGTATCTGCACTCGATAATGCAGCTGGAGTGATGGCGTACTTGTAAAGAGCACAGGACACCGGGGCGCAACCCCTCAGCCAATCAATCGATCGCTTCAATGCTTACACAAAATGTCATGCAAATGCACAGCCCGCAGGCAACAGTCAGAGCGGCCGGGCTCGCGGGGTTGTGTGAAAAGTGCAGGCGAGGGGCGCAAGGGTCAGTATCACAACTGAGCTGGAGGGTGTTGCCTAACCTCTACGAAGGATATTTTGACTCAAATTTCACATATACCCCAAACTGTGAAGTCTCCAGCACAGCTTGACAGACCGTAGTTTCTTCTTTCAAGCCTCATCGACTGCAAACACTTTTCACCTGTACTGTACGGAGTACCACTCCATACATGACTGCACTTTGCCGACAGACCATCATGTCGAGACACATCTACAATCCCTCGACTGCTACGGGGTCGAGGCATATCGCCAGACGCGGCACCAGCACCGCCTTCAGTAGCTCTGCAAATCCAGATGAAGACTGGACCAAGATCTCCGACTTGGCTGAGCGCAGACGGATACAAAACCGCATTGCTCAACGGAACTACCGCGAGTACTTTCAGAATACCCGTTGCAGTTCGCAACTGACCCCCACTAGGCAAGAAGCTCAAGAGACGCCTTGAAGATCTCGAGAGACGCACCGAATCGTCTTCCGTATCACCACCTCAGATGCACGCAGAACCACACCAACAAGAGCGGGAGAATGTCCAGCAATACAAGAGCCCAGAAGTTGTACACAGACAACCATCTCCCGGGAATTTGCAAAACCAGTACACGCCCCCAATGGCGAACGCTCCAATGTTTTCCCACAGTTTTGAGCGCGAAGGATTAAGAACACCTCCTCTTTTCGCCTACCACCAGTACCCAGCTCCAGAAGAGATCGTCTACCCACCGTACCCTCAATCACAACCATGCCACCCTATCTCGAACGCTAGTGACCATCATGACTACCTCACCCCATTCCCAGTCACTCTACCATCACTGATGCACTTTCACGAGGGCATCAAGCCGGGAGACAATACACTGAGCCCGTTCAGTCTCAGCTACCAAGGGCTGCCACCCATGGACTCCCCTCAATCCCACGGCTACGACAACTCCCATATTCATGTAAGTCTCCGAGAAATCTTGTAGAGCTGGAACAGTGCCTAATACGATTCTCCGCAGACTCCTTCTCTCAGTTCAGAATCCGATATTGACTCTATCGACGGTACGAAAATGTGACGAGAAGACTTCAATTCTTGTTTCGGGAACGCGGAAGTAGACACTTGAATTTGTCAAGATTTAATGGATTTCTATATTTTATCATAATCAATTGGCGTTTACTAAAACAAATAACCAATACTTGCTTGACTTTCTCTCGTGTATAAGCCTCTGGATTTTTCTACTCACTTGGGACCGCGAGACACCGAGGAAAGTGCAACCCCTAAACTTTTTGCGAAACGCACAAAGCCGACTCGGTGCCCCAAACTTTTGTTTTGGCGCAGTTCATTTCAAGCACTCCATTAACATTTCTTCAACATTAATAGCACGAACCATTCCAATAGTCATTCCTACCAAACTCACACGGTTTAAGAGTGACTGCGACAGCGCGATGGCAGGAATTACCAATAGAGAGCGGAAGATTTAGCAAGAAATTGGTGCATGAGATGACCGTCAAATCTGGAGGCGGAAATAGCACGACTTGAAGGAGAAGCCTCAACGGTATTCAGAGTTAAAGACTGGTGGAGGGTGGGTTGTGAGTGGCAAGAAGGGCAAGGCTGATAGCGCTTCTTGGAAAAGTGGAATCTGAAAACTTCATACCAAAGTGGAGAGAAGAAGAGGAGGGTGTTCTTTGACAATACTTGTGAGAGCCGGTGCGGATTTTCATGGAAGAAAGTGCCACTGGTGGTGAGATGCGTGCTCGATGGATCACAGGTCTCTGAGTCGAGGTTTCTTGGAATTCTCGCGAGCGAGTTCTCCCATATGTTTTTCTGCTGGATGAGAGGGAGGAAGGAGTGGGAGGTGGAATATCTGGGTGTTGGCGTGCGTGAGTGCTGGTATTCACATGTGCGGCTCAAGGACGGTGGTACTTGGTAGCTTAACAACATGTGGAAGCAGAGCTTGGAGACCCATGATAAGGAGGTCCTACAGGAGGCATGTTCCCTCAGATCCCTTGTCACCTGGATTTGATTTATTTATCCGCTAACCGCAATGCAGTACGGTTTGGACTATGCAACGACCAAAACGGAGACTTTGATAACAAAAAGCACTGAATGGGTTTGGATGGATTTGCCTGAGGTCCTTGGGATGGTGCCGTGCCTGGTATTTCTATATGGGGGGAGCTTTTCATACGAGGACCAGGTCGAAATAGATAAAAGTCTCGAGATGTACGATTGTCCTAAAGGCTCCTCAAAGATCTGTCTGGGAGATGCTGGTAGGGTGCTCGTCATATATCAAGCTCAAGATTCTGGGACAGGGGTTTAATAGCATAGTTATTTGTATTCAATTTTGATTGAGCCAAGATATATCCCGCCAATCCCAGCCTGAGAATTCAAAGTCCTGAATGAATGACTTATCCGATACAGATATTGGCTGCATATTTGACATGTCGGCGATGGATGAACTAGCACCAAAAGGTTCACCTCCACCAGTGAAGATGGCGGAGCCCTCCTGTCGTTGTAGAGCTTCTGGGTGCGGTGGAACCCGCAAGGGTAGTAGTGTATTAGTGCTTGACTGGGTATCGAAAGGGAGTGGTGGGTTCTTGGAGGGCTGCATGCCCGTCTGAGGTATCCTACTAACGGGTTGCGTAGGGGTAGCTACTAAATAGTTAGCCATGATACAACGAAATAATGCATTCCGATATTGTACTGGATCGTGCCCTCTTGCACGACTTCTCCTTTTCCTTTTCCTCAGCCCAGCGATAAAGTCGAGGGAGGGTCTTCGGTGGATTGGGCTAGGCGATCCGATTTCACCTCACGGGTTTGCTCTTCGACAGAGTGCATTCGAAAGCTCCGGGGAGCACTTTGAAAGTCCGTAGGCGGAAGAGGTATAAAATGCGTAAGCCCCGTTCAATTAATCCTTTATTGCCTTGACTTCTTCTTATACAAATCATCATCAAGAATGTCTGGCTCAGGAGGGTACTACAAGTACCGCTGCAAGTACTGGCTGACTTACAACTGTCCAAACTGGGTATGGATGAATAAAGCACCATGTGGTCATTGCCTGGTAAATATTTCTTCCTTTGCTCCTCCTCCTCATTGCTTACTCTATAGGCGGATGGTCGGGATGACGATCCACCTCTGGAAGCGGAAGATCCAGACTCCAATATGCTCGACGCGGGTGAGCACTGGCAACCCAAGAGCCATCCTCCTAGATGGAAACTTAATTGATACAGGAGAAATTTCCGCCTCCAGAGCCCAATGCAGCGATAGTTTTCCAGAAAATGAAGTAGGGATTGGAGTGCAAATTCATAGGCATATCCCTTGGATTGGCGATTCGCAGGCGGGCGGGGGCTAGGAGGCAAAAGCGGAAGAGTTGCAAGTCCCACGTGATTGGATCAGTCGATTCCCTTTCGCGCTCGAAAAATGGGGTCTCTCATGTAACTCAGCACGTGACTGAAGGTACGCCTGAAGAGTCCGCCTTTTGGTTGGGTTAACGGAGAGTTTGAGATGTAAAGTTAGACGGAATAGAAAACATTCTCCTTTCGTTGCATATCTTACAAATTGGCATTTTGCTATACGTACTAAACGCGATTATTCAAACATTTCAGTCACGCTTGTTAGCCTTATCGCAGAAAAATGTGGGGTGATCAAGGGCGAAACGGCTGCCCCTTCAGTATAGGGTGGGATGACGTCTATTGGCAGAGCTGGGTAGAGCTAGTCGGGCAGAGCAACTTGAGTCATCGTTGTCTGGTTCGAGAGGTTGATGAGGCTATTCGAAGAAATTTGTCGCATGCGAGACAAAAGTGGTGGGGCTCGAGTGCCATGTAATTTGTTCAGCAAAATCCGATAGTGACCGAAAGACCCTAGTGCAGTTACGCTGCAACGAATGCCTTCAGGCTGAGGAAAGCACCAACCTTCGATCGCAAAAGTTCCAGAAATTTAACTCTTTGGGATTCTTGCATATCAAATTAAAGGTGTCCAGAATTTGCACAACATACTATGCGCCGCGCCTGGCTCAGGGCGAAAAGGCGATAGATGACTAATAAGTTTTTAAGTAATTAATAAATCCCTGCAAATTCATATCTTTGAGTTATTTAATTAAAATTCTAAGTTAGTTTCTTATAAGTTAAAGGAGAGGTTATTAGATCCGTTTATAAAAAAATTACTAAGATTACTTTAGTATTACGTTTATTTAAGTTATTATTTATAAAGAGTCTTTTGAGCCAAGCTATTACTAAGAGGCAATAAAAGAATTAATAAAGCAGTAAGATAAAGATTAGAAACTATTATTATAAAATAAAACAAAATTCCGTTTATTATATATTAAGTCTTTATATAATATTAAATGTATTTTCTATATTAAATTAACTTCTTTTTTATTGCCTTGCTTGCTTTTACTTTTATAATAGTATTATGAAATTTAAGATATATTCTTTTAAAAAGGTTATATAAAGGTTTTATTATTATTATAAAAGTTATTAATTCTTTTAATAAATTACTTATTTTTAAAAAGTACAAATATTATTAATAAAATTATAAAAGTAATATAATGTACTAAAGTAGAGTACTTAGTAATTCTATAATAGCTTACTAACTATAAATATAATTTACGGTTATTTAATAATTAAATATTTTAGTTTTCTAGTAAGTCTTGCATTCAAGTGGGCCGTGCATTTAAGCGGGAGATCGAGTAATGTACTACTAAGAAGTGGGTCGTCCGGTTTGCAAAACGCTATAAAGCCAGGCTCATCTCCCATTTCCCACTCGCTTTATTCCTAATACCTCCACATTGCTTTTGCCTCTGCTACTACCCTCCCAAATAATTTTTACTATCTTGCCCCTTCCTTATCTCACAATCAAACCATGGCCTCCAGAAATAATGGGCGTCTGCATGAGGACAAGCTGCTGGAGCCTGGGAGGAAACTGATGAAGATCAGCGACGAGACTTGGTCGAAGTATCAGACTTCATTCAACGGATACAGCCTCTAGTAGGCGACCAAAGACTCCGTCGCGAAGAGGGACATGAAGAGGAAGGAAGAAGGCGAGGACGAGGTAATACAGCGAAATAAGATGAAGCCGGATGTCGAGTCGTTGAGGATGATCAATAACGTCAAGGAAGCTCACGAAGCTGTGACTAGGCGAATTTCAAGACTGCTGGTGCATCTCGGGGACGTCTCCGACTTCACCGACTGTCCCAGACTCTCATTGAGGCTCAAGGCGCCTCAACCTGTTGACTATCCCGTGGATAAAGAAAGAGAAGAGAGGAAGAAAATAACTTGGGACTCGGGTTGGACAAGGAATAGGGGTTGGCAAGGTTTGCTTTAGCATCTTGGACTCTAGACTCAATATCTACCCTTCCTCGGACATGGTAATGAGCCAATGGTCTACCGCAATAACAGATCAATCCATAATCAACCCTCTGCTGGTCCCTGCTGTGCCGGCTCGCCCATGTTTCTGGATGACGTGTACAATAGCATAATCACAGCCTCCAAAGTCTCCACCATAAACTTCGCTTTTCTCAGCTCCCCAGAGAGGGCCAGGTTCGCGTTTGACACAAGCTGGCATTGGTTCATCACCTGGCTGCAATCTTGCACAGAGCGCGCCAATGCTGCAATGTACTCATTGATCTGCGATTGAAAGTAGCGTGTCCTTCGCCGTTCTCGTTCGAGCTTGACGCGCTCAATGGAGAGTTCTTGTTCCGCAGCGTTAGCGCGATGCTGCCAGTCGTAGGTATTGGCAACATTTATATTCTTCATTGTTGGCGTTTGGGGGTCTCCTTCCTCCACCGTTGGGATAGACTCTGGCTAGAGCACAGTTAGCAATGATATCGCTCAAGTCTAGAAAGGCCACGTTACCGAGGGCGAAGCCATATTAATGGGGCCGACCGTATCTCCCTATACTACTCAAGTTCCCCTTCAATCAGAGCCAGATCAAATACAATTACTTCATACCGCAGTTTCTGACTTATATGAGCTCAAACCAAATTCGGTAATCACAACTGCACAAGGGCTGAGTCAACCCGTGCGGAGTCAAAAGTGGATGGTCCATCGGCATCAGAATCGCACCGCACTCCTCCGTCCTTCAGGGATCATCGCCCCTCTAAACGCCAAATAGTGCCCTCATATTTTTGCTGCCTGAGATGGTTGAAAACTAGATTGGGTCATCCCTCCCTCACGGCCTTCTGCCGGAAATTGTTTTATATAGCCCACTCGTTTTCAACCAGGTCAGATTGCATTCTAGTAAGAACCAACAGATAATTACAGGTATTATCTCCGTGCTCTCTGGTTATCATTGGATAATCAATTAACAAATGTAGTCGTTCCATCTAAATCATGTGTTTTGTCATCGTACTCGACGAAGAACGCTTCAAGCAGGTTGTGGCGAGATGGAGGCGTAGATGTCCCCGATTAGCTTCTTGGTGGTTCGGACCACAAGCTCCACCTCCTCAATATAATGAAGGAGCCGCTCCTCCACAAAACCAGACTAAACCCAAGAGACCCGACTCTCTCACGCTCCCCGCCTACGCAAGCTATCGCAAGCAAACGACGAGCCCCTCTAAGAAGGAAGTGAAGGATTCAGAAAAATCTGTTGCCTAGTATAGTTGATGGTAGGATTCTGGAATAGCAGAGAGACGTTGCAAATAAAGGAAAAGATTTGTATTTACTACCCAAAAGGAGGACAACCTTGAAGTAAAACAGTATTTATTTTGGAGCGACTAAGTACTCTAGTTGAATGTCTCATACCTCGGACTGCGTAACAATTTGAATATCTTCAATATTGCCATTCAAGCTTAGACTTCAATACAGATTAGAATAAAGAAAGTTCCGTGTTCAAAGAAGGAAAGCATTCAAAAACACACTTATTGAGGATAGCAACTATAATTTTGGCGTTAAAAGACTCTAGTAATCTCGACGTTTAACTACCAGTCAGGATCTCACAAAGCCTCCCTATTACGCAATTCTGTAGTCATATTCGGTTGGGCCCTGTATCCCACGCTTTCCAACTGTTGAATGTAGTCCAGCTCCTTGCCAGTTTGGATCAATTCGCAGCATTGACACAACAGAGGAGTGCAGCACAGGCCGCAAGTTCCTCCTTCAAGTTCTAATAGCAATATTAGTTAACAACCAGTCCCTGTTGTTATGCGTGATTAACGTACTGTGCTTCTTCTGCATATCCTTGCGATCAATAATTTGAAGAACCCACCCCCAGTTGCCACAACAACAAAGACAACACCATGCTATGCACCAAGGGTTGCAAGAAGAATAGTCTTCTCTATTGCCATGAACAATGCGGCTGTGGTTTCGTCCATAAACAACACAAGGACAGCAACATGCTTCCAGAAGACTACCATCAGTGCTGCAAGAAAATAGAGAATTGTGATACGGTCGAGGCATGAAGAAACGTGAGATAAGTTTGTAGAGAAGAGCGATCGGACTGTAGAGAACCTGTGACTTCCTTGTGATATATTATTCTGTTAAATAGCCTCGAGCGAAGCTTTGCAAGGATTCATGGCGTCCGAAATTTGATGGTTGAGTGATCATCTTCAGAAAAACTGGCTCTGGATCCATGACCTCCTTTAGCGTGGGGGATGTCCATCAGGCGCAGACCCACTTTACTGGTTGGATGACCATCGGTAAAAAAAAAAAAAAATAAAGAAAGGATCATCCATCTACCCCAACCACCAAATCATCTCAGCCGTCCAGCATCTTTCGGCCTCCATCAACTTGTGTGATCTCAAGATCCAAATCCCCCCTTCCCTGCTTTAAAATAAGGTTGATCTCCTAGCTTCCACGGCTCCTAGAATGCCTCTTCTCACAACGTTATGGCTCTTTGCGCCCATCAGCAGTGGCTGCGTGTGCATCGAGACGAGAACGGGTTTGTACTGCAGTACGGGAATCGGCTCTACAATATCACGAACTCTCTTCCCCAACCTGCGAGGCAATACCCATCCCTTATTTTCTTCATTGGCAAACAGTCCAAATCGCGAGCGCTGCGAGCTTTATTCCCTGGGAACAGCATATCCAACTGTCGAAAATACGGTATCGCGAATATATGCGCTGATCCAACTACGACAAATGATGCCCATCCAACCCTCATTGCTGATAGCAGTCCTGACCATGCACAAACAAACCTGAGAGGCAAGGTTGTCTGCCACGAGACCACCAATCAGCCAGTAGCCTGGCCAGACGACGAGAGCGGCCCACCTACGCAACAGGGCTTGGTCGATCATCTCCACGCCAGGTTGCTGTCATTGTTTGTTGATGTGCTGTGCATATTCGCACAAGACTGTGGCGGTCTAGACGGGGTAGCGGACAGACTGACCTCTTGGGCAACAATAGGATCTGCGTCAAGCTTGTCAAATAGCATTCGCCCCAGGTTGCTTGTTGTCACTACAATCCCTGGGCATGCCTTTGATTCAGAATCTCTACGTTTTCGTCTGGGAGTGCTGGCTGATCCGAAGTTTGCAGGATCATTCTCATCCTTGAAGGTAGTAAACATTCTAGGGGCAACCCGTCGTCCTTCCCGCTCTCTGTTTAGCGGCCTCAAGGAGATTCTACAAGACGAAACTCGTACGGCGCGCATTGAACGGATTAATACCCACACTCTCTTTTCGATGACTCACATTACAGCATTCTTTGAAATGTCTCTACGCAATTTTGCCACATCACCACGAGATACGTTTGACTTTATCAAGAGCTCGAGAGAAGGGAACCCTGTTTCTCAAAACTTTCAATATCACCTGCAGTCATTCATGAGTTTGTGCTTGAAGCACAGGTTACCTGACAACATTTCCTATGATTTTATCGCCTCGGCAATTGTTCTAGATAGCTTCCCGCCTGGTATGCACAGTAAGTATCGAACCTATTATTCGTGAAACAGGTAAGCTAACTGTAGTTGAGTGTTTAATCCATCAGATGTGTTCCGTACTTTATACCGTTATGAATGCCTCCTTGGACTTCGTGAGTTTGCGAGTGCTCAACAGCTATCGAGAGAGTCGATCTGTGCCGATATCGAGGCACGAATAATATCCTTATTCTCCGAGATGAAATATGGTGGCCAGTCTGCGGCTACCCTCCGTCAGCGAAGCCTAGAACAAAATAGTCAGCACTTGCAGCTGCTTAGATCCAATATCGATTGCTTCATATGCCTGCAAAGAAAGCTAGAACATATAATGGACTGCGGCCATGGCATATGCGATATCTGTATCCGCATCCACGTCTTCAGTAATCCGACAAAGGGCAGGGAGTACTATTACGACATCACCTCCTGTCCCCAATGTCTGACCAAGATCAACTTCCAAGCAAAGACCTTGCCTCCTACATGTCGGGTAAGATTTCTCGCGATTGACGGGGGTGGTTCGAGAGGCATCGTATCACTAGGGTTCATAGAGGAGCTTCGGCAGGCACTTGGCCTGCACTATCCAGTCCAGGAGAACTTCGACTATTCCATTGGAACAAGTTCGGGTATGCTATTCATGCACTACCAGGCTGTGGTACTAACATTAAATAGGCGGTCTTGCAACAATTGGGCTCTTTGGAAAGAACTGGACCCCCAAGCAATGCCTCTCATTCTTCCTTAAGTTTGCGAGGATCATTTTCCCACCCAATGTCCTTATAGGATACTCAATCTGCGCAATAATCCGGCGTATATTTGCATTTTACCTTGAGGATGGCAAGTATAATGCAGCCGTCTTGGAAGACGCTCTCCAGGAGGCTCTTGGACTCGGTCCTATACTTGGTCCAGTCAGGTCGGGACCATCTGGGATGAGATTTGCCGTTACCGCAACTACGATATCCGACGCGACGCTATGCCTGATTTCGAATTATAATGGTGAGGGTCAGCATGGAAAAGATTCAAGTAGGGTGAGACATCTTCAGGTCTATAGTAGGTTAATGATGGGACAGGATATAAACACCTTCGAGCGACGCAGGCAACCGAGGATATTTTGCTCTGGGAAGCGTACGTATAATTGACCATGAACTAATACTTACTGACGGTTGACAGAGCAAGGTGTACGACCGCGGCACCTAGGCAAGATCCAATAGCGAAGGGCATGACGCGTTTGAGGCTGACGAACCCTAGCTACTTTAAACCCAAACACCTCCACTCCTTTGGTACATTTCAGGATGGCGGTCTAAAGTACAACAACCCTGTGCGGCCAGGACTGCGTGAAATCCGCAGAATCTGGAACAATGGTGATTGCGACCTGGTGCTTTCCATCGGGACGGGATTTGAGCAAAAGCTCATGTCGCCAGTAGCTTCAAACGTCCGGAATCTTCTTCAGGATGGGGCAATGGCACGTTTTTATCGGGCTGCTATGGAATCATTATCTCTAAATGGTCAGATCAGCTGGGAAGATCACTGGTCTGGCTTAGAGGAGGATGCTAAGAGACAGCAGTTCCGTCTAAACCTGCCTCTAGAGGGCAAGGAACCGGAGATTGACGACGTGGATAAGATGCAATATCTTCATGACCAGATACGGAATCACCTTGGTGATATCGAGGGCATTGCTCGAGCTTTCAAAGCAGTAACCTTCTTCTTCGAACTCGACGGGCCGTTGGTCGACGAAGGGGGTCGCTATTATTGTCGTGGATCCATCCTCTCTCGGAGCCCGGACAGCCGTGATCTTATCCAGAGCCTCGGCAGCAGCTACCCCTACGCACAATTCTTCAATCATGACCTCTCCCTTGGCTTTCTCAGCGCAAGCGATATCTGCAAGCTATGCGGGCGTTTCCAGAAAGCGGTCACCTTCCACGTACGCCACCCCTCCGATCGGGTCAACCTGCAGCTCGTCTTCAACAGGCTGTTCCGCCGTAGCATCAGTGGCTTCCCGCAACCTATTGAATGGTTTGTCGAAAGACAGAAGTTTAATGCGAGGTTTGGGCGACCCGACCATGAAAGCAGAATTGCTAGGGAACTATCCTGTAGCTGTGAACTTCAACGTCACGGCGAAGTACCGGCCCTTGCTTCAGACAGCAGGAAGCGCTCTCTCCCCATTCGGATGGGGATATGTAGGAAGCGGCGTCGTTTGTGATGGAGAACCGAATGGAATACTGTTTGAAGACGTGCAATGCTAAACTAGCATCCGATCCATTTCTTAGTAATGGTGTTATCGATCTGTTGTATCTTGTTAAGATAAACCGCCTATATATAATATAGGACGAGCTTTGAAGAGGATGTTCTTTGCATTTACGATTCGGCCTTGACCTTTAATAATATCCATTGAGATCGCGAATATACTCGCCGCTATGTGTACGAAGGCCCCAATAAATAAGATCTCATTACCTCGCCTTCTCACCATTAGTATAACGAAAGTCCTTTATATTCGATTTACAAAATCAAAACTGGTACATGTGCTCAGCCCCTTTATTGCTTCTCGGATGGCTTTCGACCATTTATCTCTTTGTGCCCTGACTTCGAAATCCCCTCTCTGACTTTTCCGCTCCCCTTGCGTGTCTCTCTCCCGCCCCCCTTGCCCCAGTTGCTCAGAGACTTTTCAAATCACTCGAGCTCCAGACATTATGTATGCTGACAATTGTATAGAGCAACTCCGAAACCGAGATTCATATAGGGAATCCGTTATGCGAAATGGTTTCGGAGGAGTTTTATAACACAAGGTTTCAAAAGGATCACAGCAGAAAACTGGTGAAGAGGAGGGCAAAATCTTACTGCCTGCGATTCAGCATCTTGAGGCTTGAAAAGTGGAGAGATCGGTGAGAGTTGACGTTAAATTTCAAGAACATCGCAATTGCAGATGTAATATCTCGCCTAATTGCAATGCTACACCAAAACAAGGCAGACTAATTCGATCTATAAATCTCATGGGTCATCTTGAGATCATCTATTCTTATCTTGGTCTTAGCTTTCCGGGGTGGTCTCGGATGATCCCATCGATGGATGGTCCCGCCGATGGATGGTCCCGCCGATGGATGGTCCCGCCGATGGATGGTCCCACCAATGGACGGTCCCTCTCGCTTGCTGAGTAGTCCCTATTGGATCCCCATTAGCCCAAGGTCGGCAGGTGATGACAATATCACAGGATCCCATATTCTAAACCCACGAAATCCAACTCCTCCGTAAGTCACAACTAAGCTGTACATCCCCAAAACAGGTGTGATTATAGCTTTTAATATCTGTCATAGATATTCAGAACGTTAATTGTATTATCAGACTACGCTGGGAAATCATTATGGACCCGCCAAAAATTATCCGCAAGACATTTGCTATCAATAGAAAGACGACATTCTCCCTCCTCATAATTGTCATCGCAATTGCCTTCCTTCCATTGTTGACGTATTGCATTTTCGGACTTTGCACAGCAGAGTGGACCTGCCGTTCAAGGTGGTGGAGGGGGAGGCGGGAGGGAACAGTGGTAGGGGGAGATTCAGCGTAGGGCTACCTATAGCAGGCGGTAATGATTAAAGGGTTGCGTTCATGAGCAAGAGGTTAATAAGTTGGCACACATAATCGCGAGCATTTCATAAAATAGGGGACGTGGTTAATGTAAAAAACCACCTCATTTCCGTTACTTGAAGAGCCCGCCTTAATGAAGAATAAGTTGGAGCAACAATACAAAGAGCCCCCCCACTGTAGATGCCGAGCGGCAATTACACGAGGCACCCCTTGATGCATTATGTGTATGACATAGAGAGTTCGGCGGGCTAACTAATTAGCTCATCCTTTTGGAATTGGATGGTACTGTTAGCAAGGTGCTAGCCCATCTCCTCTACTCCCACCGGGGACGATCACCGATCCGATCTTGAAGGCCGCCCAAACTTGATGGCCTCCCAAACTTGATGGCCTCCAGAAAATTTTCCATTCACATAAAACATATATAAGCAGCACTAGATCCGCAAATGAGACTTTGGTCTCAGACTCAATATTCTCTTTTACCGGTCGCCCGAGATCGACTTTCCAATATCAATGACCTCCAACGGGATTTCCCAAGGCGTTCTTTATCGTAATGACACTGTGAACAGCTTTTCCCTTTGGCCAAAACGAGAAGTCTTGCGAATAAAAGCATTATCAGAGCAGCAGGTGCTTTCAGAACTGCAAGAGATTATGGAAGGACGCAGTTACTCGTGGCACAGCATAAATGAACTATTGCAAGACCAGCTCCACAAAGAAGCCCTTGAATTCACATTCATAGACGGAGATATTCTCTTCGAGTGGAACAACCTCTGCAACGAGAAGAGGAAATGGGAGAGGAAGGGATGCCTCTCGGACGACTGCGCAGAATTCAATAGAGATTGTTTGACCAATCTTAAGGTACTACCATTTCAAGCAGGGCTTGGTCTTGAAAGTAAGTTGACCAATGAGTTTTGGCTGAACTATCCTGACTATGCTAGACTCACAACTCGTAACTACCAATATAGACAAGTCAAACCGCTCGGCGATGGACCTGTGGGTGGGGCTAGAGAATCTGGAGCTTGAGAGTTCTACGGATGGCGACGAGAGCTTATCGGAGGTGGCAGGAGATTGTGGTGACTCTGATGAAGATTCTGAATATTATGAGTGTACTGAATATGCCGATTTTGAAGATAATAATGTTAGTGGGGCCGGGAAAGATGGAGGCAAAGATGAGGAAGCCGAAGTGAATGCAGAGCTGGGGAAGATTTCGAGTCAAATCCTAGATTCTTAGATTTTTGTTCTTATTACAATATACATTGGAGATATTCCCTCTCTCTATTCGAGAAATCTGAACTTGCCTCGACGACAAGGTCTCTGCCCACTCTGGCTGCAATACACGTTATATGTTCAGCTTAGCTTAGCATCAGAGCGGCTTATATATTATTCGTCGTCACCTGATTCCCGGGGTATTATTATATTATACAAATTAGCAGCTCTTATTGTATTCGCATAACCCGAGAACCTTGCTTAGCTTCAGTTTGTTATAACACAGTGCCACAGACAGACGAATGTGGCTCTGGGACGGAAGATCATTTACTGTATAGTCTGCATTTTTTATTTGGAGCTAAGACGTTCTAGCCATCAAACTTTCCATCCCATTCACCCTTAACAACTCTACTTCTCCAAATCACGCGGTAATAGCTTCTCCGGGATTGGGTAGGCAAATTCCTAGATAACATATCTTAGTTGCGTATCCGATTTACATTTATAACACCTACCATTTCTGCCTTTGTTGGCCACCAAGACTCGTGGTCTATCGACTGGTACGTGGTGATTTTACCTTGCTTTCGAATTACCAGAGCTACCTCAAATCCAAAAAACTTCCCCAATTCGTGTGCTTTCTTAATCAAAGTCTTCTTTCTCCTTGTCCCTCGTGTGTTCTGCGTGGAAGCCATCGTGGAAGTGAATTTAAAGGCTATTTCGCTTTCAAAATGGACGCCTCGCGGCAGATTGTGCTAAATATCATCAGGACAAGATTATCCTTTGAGACCTCAGATATTTGATGGCAATAATCATAATTCGAGGAGATAATATTAAATGTCTTTAGATTATCCATCCTCGTCTAATTTTTTGGTCCACCGGATGGTACCATCAGGATATTGACTCCTAGATGGTCAAGGATAACGGACCACTAGTAATCTGAACCGCCCATTAATGCCACGGGAAGTTGAGGTTCGGTAATTGCAATGCATTTTGCAACGTGCCGTTTGGATAGTATTAGACTCAATAACGCTCGCCTTTATATGACCGTTGAAGTCCCCCCTCTTCAAGCCCTTCCAATAACCCTCCAGCCAGTGGAACACCATCTTCTACAAGTCTAAGCGAGGAGTGGGTCACCTCATTACTTGCGTATCGCCTGACTAATGTGAATTAATTGTGGAGCAGCACAAGAGGATGGTCTCGGCCATTCATCCGTTACGGTTTTATACGCCCTCCAAATATTGATGGAGACTACCCATCTGCCCCATCACATAGTTTGTGGCCATAACAATCCCTCTGATCCCACTTCCTCCACATCTGTGCAATTATTTCCTCGCATATCTTTTTTTTTTAACAGCACCGTCTCATTTATTACCCATACACAGTAACTTTCGTAACCACCCCTTTAAGGCACAATACGCCTTCCCTTCTGCCATACTCTGGCTTTCGCCCCAGCACGATGGCATCAATGGAGGATCACATGAGCAAGCCATTCACTGGAACCAGTGGTTTGGATGTCGAACACATTACTGAAGGCGAATCTCAAAGTATGTTATCTTAAGCTACCTTGATATCCCCATCTAATATGATACAGAGACCAGAAACGGCGGCGTCGACAGGCATACCGACAGCGATGATAATGGTGATAATGAATTTCCACCTTTTGAAGAGAGACTCAAACCCAAGACAACCTCGGCCCTCAGCAACCAAGGACGGAAGCGTAATATTTCGGTTAGTAACAGAGCCAGGTCGCCAGCTCGGAAACGTCACTGCGATCGAGCCTCGAGTCTCGCTGCAGCGACTCCACCGCTAATAATTATCGATCTGACCACCAACATCGAGCTTTGCGCTCTCTGCCCCAACGTCCTTAGGAAGGGCGATGGCAGAATGTTCGTTTTAAGACTTTGTGGTTGTGTACGCAATTATCGCAATCAAGACCCTTTCAAACAATTAACTTCAGCTACAGGTTATCTGTGACGAGTGTTTGAGCAACGAGCTCGAACTTCTGCAGAGCTGCAATGATGGGATTACTCTTTATTGGTGTCCGAAGCACGTATTACGAGAACAGAGTGCGACGGAGCTGTTTGCACTAGACTGCAGGATTTGTTGGGGGGATAATGTGGCTGATAACTCAGATCGAGTTTGTACCAAATGTGGTAAGTTCTGGTGAATACTTTGATTACATAGTTGGTTGATATAATGTAGGCCACTCGTTCTGCCGTAGCTGTATTGAAACGTGGATATTGGGACAACACTCAACTTGCCCAACTTGTAGGGCGGTCCTGCCTGAAGGAACTGCTGAGCTCTGCGACTTCAGAACTGTACAGCGTTTCAATATTTATTCTGTAATCGATTAATGCAAAGACAAGGAGAATAAAAATGCATATTATTGTCCTTGCACCTGACTCCTCATCAAAATTGCAAAATCCTGTGAATTTGAAGCAGTTTTTCGATGACCTAGAAGTACTAACCTGTGAGCATAGTGTGGAGCCCTCCTGACAACACATCATATTCGCGCAGCAGTACGTTCCCCTCAAGCTAAAGATCATGAAGCAACTCAACATAGCCGCGCAATATTCTTCATCATGACCGAGTTGGTTACCATGGCCTCTGAGAGAGACAGGGAAAGATGATAAAAATAATCTAACCATCGACGTATTTTCACTACCATGGCGCATATCAATCACTCATACCCCGCCGATGCACACTTGCTACCTTTAATAGGGGAAGGACATCCGAATCACGGTTCTTCGGCTGGCTAATGGGGCGAACGTTTTTGCCGGACAATGCAGTTGGACCACCAATAGGGGTAGCTTGGGGTCTCTTCCGAAACAAAGAAGGGAGGGCTGGCAGACAAGCACAAATAACGCTGACATGAACCTCAATAGTGCTCCAATATCCCACAGGAACATAGTCCCCTGCGTTGCGATTAGTTTTCATTTCCCAACGGTATTGCATATTCTCACATGTTATATTTTGAGTATTTGCGAACTTTACAAGCGACGTAAGCCGGAGTATGGCAACGATAGCAACGCTGTTAATTCTGTTAGTTCGCGGTTTACCTGTCGATTTCTTATATACTCACAAAGATCCCAAGCCAAAAATCATCAAAATATGAATCTTGCGCTCCCACGGCATCACAAGTTTTGCTAACCCTGGCATTGGAAGGACAAGTATAATAACGTCCAAAGCGATATTGATCGCACCGCTTGTCCATCCCAGTGCATTCGCATTGACACATCTGGCCCCAACCGTACCATCCCATCTGGTCCAAGCAGCCCGGACTGGAATACATTGGAATATTGAGATAAGAATAAATACGGTGCCGTATAGGGTATTGCCTACCACGACAGCGTGTACGATTGACTTAAACGTTTTCTGGGGAAATATTCGAAGATAAAGGCACAATATGGACACCCTTACCATCGTCAGACTACCGAGGTAGAGCAATTCATCGAAGTAATATATCTATACAATATTAGGACGATACACAACAGCTTTTACCATCAGCTCACATGGAGGATATATGTAATATTGCCAAACGGGATAGACCAGACATCCTTCCCCAATCCACAATCCGCAACTGGCAAGCACGTCAGTAACCATCGACCCGCCAAAATGCCATTTGACGTACGGACAACAGCCATCGCAGAGAGCGGGATCACAAATCCCTATGCCATGTAAGCCAAAGGACCATGTTACTTCGATTGTCAGCATCCTTACCATTGCTGCAATCATAGCCCAGTCATCCATTCCAAATTGAAGGCTCATTATCCTTGCCAATAGGCGTAGGATAAAGACCGGTAAAGCAAGAGATATCCCAATAACCCCGGGGATTGAAACGGCTTTGCTTCTATTCCGCAGTGGTCGACGACAGATTGATTCAGTCGTGTTTTTGGTTGCTGACCGTATTAGAAGTTTCCTGCAAAAGTAGGTGGTACCAGGACGGACTTAGAAACTCTCTGATTGTGCAGCTTGTACTTACGCACCGTTCAAGACTATCACTTAAGTCTTTATTCGCGCAGAGTTGCGCATCATTCGCGGGCGCGTCGGACGACATTGAAAGCGAATCAGCGATACATTGCGCCTGCTCTCGTTCAGTATCTGAAAAATCGAGGTTCTAGAGGCCAGCTTACAGCACAGGTAGGCAAGCTTCCGTCTGTAAGGAACATGTATGCGTGGGCCACAGTGGTAAACATAGCCATATAGGCCGCAAAAGCCCGAATTTTCTGCATCCCGAGGTGAGCAGATTCAATGGGGATCTGTGAACAAACTTGATGCACCAGAACAGGCCAGAAGCTTCGTATTCAGAAAATGTTCTGGCGGTCATCTGGCAGAGGCTCGTAGAAGAAGATCCCGTTGAGATGGTACCATCTCTGTGGGTCATCTGGCAGGATGATCGACCCACGTCACGGCTCGTAGAAGAAGATCCCGTTGAGGTGGTACCATCTCTGTGGGTCATCTGGCAGGATGATCGACCCAGGTCACGGCTCGTAGAGATGATCCCGTTTAGATGGTACCATCTTGAATCCGTGTTGTAATTGGCTAGCGTCGGGCATTTCTGGGCCGCTCTGGGTGTTCCGCGGCATCTGATTCCTCCGCCTCTCTTCACCGAAACAACCTCACAACGACCGTCACAATCAAGCCGTCTATAAAGTTCGAAAATATGTCACAATATACATTCGCCAGCGTCATTAAACGCAAGGCTTCGTCTGCGACCTCAGCAGACCAACGAAGTTTTAAGGACGCGCGCGCGGCTTCAAGCTGTGTATTGACGTGGGGAGACTGCTTTCATTATGGGCAGGCGATCCGGCGAGTCAAAGAAGAAGGCAGGCCGCACTGCTAAGGCCAAACCAGGATGCTTAACATGCGAGTAAGTTTGTCGGATCTTGTCTTCTATATTGTCTTCAGGATTATCGCTGATCAGTAAACCATAGAGAACGCGGACTGACATGCGACGAAACGCTTCCTACCTGCCAACACTGCCAACAGAGTGGACGAGTATGCAAAGGGCTACGGGGGAGGACTGGGCTGTGGGGAAAGACCTCTACGAGCCCTGGGCCGGCGTTTATGGTCGGGATGGATCACTCGAAGCTATCAAGCAACCCACCCAAACAAACTGCATCGGAAGGTGACCTGGTGGATGGTGCGAACCGAGAGAGTTCCAAAAAGCCCCGTACTGGAAAGGTCATTAATACACCGCCTTTTATATTTGATGCTTGCTGATGTTTCCGCAGAGGACCGCCGATGCAGTGCCGCTGCCAGAGGCTAGGACCACGGGTAGCCCGAAACGAGCTCGGAGTCGCAAGGACGAACAGCAGGACGGAGACTGCATAACTGTGTCTTTTGAGTCAATGGAGAACCACAAGCATCCAAATCGAAGTCCAGCATCTGAGGCTACTATGCCTACTGCGCAATCAGATGTTGTAGAGTGTCAGTCTCATCGTCAGGTTTCGAGCGAGGATAGCAACGCCATGCAGAAGGCACGGTTGGCTTTGTCGGCTGTCGAGACAAGCAGATGGACTAAGCCATCTCAAGGCAATACACCACCTGACTCAAGGACCAAATCGAACAGCGCTTCAACACATTCTCCTACATCCGATAGTCGACCCTTGGAAATTACCGAAATTGACAATACTGGGTTGTCGGGCCAAGCAAGGAACCCTCCAAATGACCCGTCACCCCCAGCTAGAGGGCCGTCAGACCTACATGTTCCTGCGAGTTCCGAACAACAGAGTTTCTCGTCAGTCCCTGTTGAGGCTGAGCAAGACCCGGGTAGACCATGGAACTCCCCTAGGGTTGATACGCACAGTCAGGCAGTGGAAACAGAACGTCGCCCGTTGATGTCAGGATCCTTTGGAGGCTCCTCGGTCGCGGGAACCGGCCGGTCGGCCTCATTCGATAACATTCCACCACCTCCTGACAGCACTCATTACCCAGCATCGATGCAAGATGCTGGAAGTCGGCTGTTTCAACCACAAATGATCACTACGGATCCTGCTAGGGGCAATCGTCCATCAGATTCCCTCAATACTAGCCAGCACCTAGAATCTGTGTCCATTTCATCATCAAATGCAACAACGCCAGCAACTCATCACCACCGGGCCCCACCACCTAGCCAAGCGTCTTCTAACCGACCGGCTCTAACATTTACCATAGACGGCTTGCAAGGCGAGTTGCCTTGGTCTACGATGCGGCCCTTTGTCGAGGTGTTTACAAGAAATGGCGACGTCCTCCTACAATCAAGGACGCTAATCGGATATAAAGTATACCCCATGGAATTCATAATGTGGCCAAAGCTACGGGACTTCCACAGATGGTATATGACGGAGACAGGAACCACCGATGTCTTGCATCTCCGAATTGAGATGTATAACGCCGAATCGAAACTCGAAAATATATTCGTCATCTCCAGAGACAATGCACACCATCTTCCGGTGTTGAGGCAATATATCTGGGACTTCTTCTGGACGGCATCAAGCTTGAACAACACATCTACTTTCAAGGTTGTGGTAAGGGATGCTCGTGATGCTGAGTGTGGTGCTACTGCCCTTGTGCTCCCAGCGGAACGCTCTACGACCTCCAGGGCTAGAACTATCGGGCTGGTAGCTGATTCCCGGCCACCAGCTGCCCAAGTGTGTGGTGGATACCCGCCTCGTCATAATAAAGTCACCGCCCATACAATTTCCTCCGTTGCTCCTCGTGCCCTGGCACCAAAAATTGTCCCCACAGCGGCCCAGATGCACATTCCAGAAATCAAATACCCTGGATCGTCCATGGGTGTTGCTGCGTACGTTCCTCAAAACCAACCAGAGGATGCTCGAGACTTGAGCAGCCGACAAACAGCAATAGCGGCGGTTCTTGCTCCGGAAATCGCTGTCAGGGTTCAAACAGACGGAGCGGGAAAGGTCAGCGCTCGCTACAGCAAGTGGGTTTTGAGACCAGAAATCACGACGGCAGATTTCTTTGCTTGGTTTGCACACCAGACTGGCCGTGGTGGTAGCAATGGGCCGCCATCACTGAGATTCACCCTTAAAGACGCCATGCCAGCCCCAACATCGAGCACGATTGCACAAGCCGACGAGGACCATTTCAATTTAATGAAAAGGGACCTTAAGACGCAATTTGAAAAGGCGGGGGAGCTTGTACCGAACTTGAAAGAATTTCTTGTTTTAGTGACTGATCCAGATTGGGTTTCAGAGGAGGACTGGTAATTTTGACTTTGTTTTGATTTTGATGAGCATTAGGCTTGGGTTCTTTAAAGGCAATTGACGTTTTGTGGTGTGGGATGGGCCATTCTCATGTATTTAGTTGAATAGAGCTATTCAACTTGAATGCTTCATCCTCGAAACTTCTCCTGTAATATACCAAATAACATTTCACTATTGTTGAGCAACACCCCCAGCTAGTACCATTACCCCGAGACGAGACTGAGGAGCAGTGGTTACTTCGTAATATGCAAACCAAAATGGGACAAAAATATAAACCAAATAATGTGATGTCGCCTGTTCTCTCACGTCTCCTACAGCTCAGAGGCGAGAGACTTCTTCAAAGTGAGTACGTTTTCAAACGGCCTCATGCGAGGCTGGGCGTAGGCACATCCTGGGTCTATTAGCCTCGACCTTCTCCGGACTAGTCGGTTAAATTTAGCAAGTTCCCACGAGCATGAGCAGAAGCAGCTATCCACTCAGACACATTTTTGCCTCCTTTTTGCACTGGTAAGAAAGAGACATCCTTTCGGGTAGAAATGGAAGGGAATAAATACATTATTCGCGGAAGCTGTTGCCATACCATTTCTCTCGATGAAGTAGCTCTAAAGGAGTGCATTCCAACACTCCGGCCGCAACGCTAGAAGTCCATGGTGTCACTATTTTGCGGCTGGCTGTCTGCTATCTGTTTCATGGAAGTTACGAGGATGGGAATTGCGGTTGGAAACCAAGGTTAAAAAACAGGAAAAATCGTTTCACAACCAAATAAAAAAATAAAAAGTCCCAACTTCTAAACAATCCTTATTTCCCAGCACCCAGTTCCCACAATGGTGGTTCGCCTGAAATCTGGAGTATCGGACTACCTAACAATATTGGACTGCCCACCAGGCCAGAAATCTGGAGTACTGCCATCACCTTTTGTAAGCAAGTACCTCCAAGGTGTCCCTTCGTTGTTATGAATACAGCAATACTCGGAAGCCCTCAGCTGCGCTTCTGACACCCCAAGTCGTCGCAGTTGCTCGAGATAAAGTTCAACCTGCCACTTTTCCGGACGAAGAAGATCTTTTTGCTTTTTCGCGTTCGATGTGCATATTTCCAACTCCCCTTCGCACATAGTGTGCTTCAGTTCTTTAACTAATCTACTTAGCATTGGAAGTTCCTAAAGATGGCTTAACTTACGATATAACTGGAAATTGAGGGCGATCTGAAAGCCCAGTTGTTGCCCCGCTAAGTTGCGCTGCTTTTTAAAAGGGACTTTCTCTATCGGATAAATTTTCTAGTCAGTTCTAATTACTTTATGTATTAATTCTTGGTGCATACCTTCATCAGTGAAGACTCTGTTACAGTCCATGGCATAAATGCGTCTCGCTCTGCAAACAGGTGGAGCGGAACGTGAATTGCAAAATGATACTGGAGACAGAAGGAATGGCGAGGGAAGCTGGACGTGAGTAGGGAGGATATGAGAATTTGTTGGGGTTTTATATGCATGCTCGACCGCCAGGAAGCCAGAGTGTGAAGGCGCCAATTCACTGGCAGCAAACGTCCCGCAGTTACAAGTATGGGCGTCTTTGACGCAAGTATTTGTCAAATCACCCTGCATGGGGGGGGGGGGGGGGGGGCCTCAGTAACGTGGATGTAAAGCTCGGCATCTTGCTTCGCTGGCAAGTGCCTGCTGTTTACCCCTCCTTGTCTTAGCCTTTATAGACGGCACCAGGCAGCCAGTCCTGACCGAGTATACCAAGGGAAATGGACAAAAGTGAGATGAATGGGTGTTTCCGCATATGCAATAAGCGGCGGTCAAAACTTGCCATCTTCAAGGCAATGGGGGCTCACGGCATGCACACGCCGCACCTTGTTGATCTATTTTCTATAGGGGAGGCTGGTTGACAATGTTGAATAAGCGAGCCTCCGCTCCAGGTACGAATTTGATCAATTGTGCGTCAAATCGTCTTCAAAAGCCTTGAGAATGGATCACGGGATACACATACGCATAATTCCAATCACAAGCGGCGAAAACGATGGCCTATGCTATCAAAACGGAGAGAGCCTTTGATAAGTTCGAGTACGAACGAGGAACGTAACAAGTCACAAACGGAGTTTATCCTCCACCCTATTCTTCACCCGCCTGCCCCTCCTCGACCTGCTCTCGATCTACCTGCTCCCCATCTTCTACCTCATTATTCTTCCCTTTCTTGCGCTCTTGCTCCACCCAATCGCGAAATGTTTTGGATGCATTCTGTGGAGTGCGTGCCGTCAAAAAAAAACCTTGCAATTCAGCATGACTAAACTCAGAATCCTTCAAAAGTGATGCCTGTATAGAAAAGTTTGCTATATGTTCCTTTAACTCGTCTTCAGGCGACTGTAAGTAGGCAGTCTTAAAGAGCTGAATGGCCTCATCAACACTGGCTTTCTTGAATTCGATTGCCAAGTCGACACGCCCTGGTCGGATGAGCTCTTGGGGGAAGTCCTTTGGGCAAAAATTGGTCGTTATAATGAGAAGATGCCCCTCGGGAGTTAAAGGTCCATCGATGGCGCTTTTTAGACCAGAAAGCGAAATCCCGTTCTTCTTCGCAATTCCACTAACGTTATTACTGCGTCTTAGTTGTGTGGGATCAACCTCTTCCAGAATAACAATACAGCGTCTAGGTATTCCAGCGAAGAGCTTCTGAAGAGAGTTGTCTGTTAGCTCAAGCTCCGCTACATTCACCAGATAAAGTCTCAGCCCAGTTCTCAATGCCAAAGCCTTGTAGAGAGACGTCTTGCCAGTTCCCCGAGAGCCGTAAAAGAGGTAGCCTCTGCGGTAGGGAATGCCTGACGCAAAATAACGTTCCTGCATCTTGTAGCTGGTGAAGCTCTGTATATCACCCAGAATTTGGTCCTTTAGCCCCTGGCGCATACAGACTGTGTCCATAGATCTTCCACGACGATAGATTGGTACGGCCCATGCGTCGTCGGGAGAACATTGGCGTATCATGTCCTCGGATTCTGGGTAAACAACTAAGTTGTCGTTGCGATGACGTTCAAAATCTTCTTTCGCGGCCAGTTTCAGAAGATTCTCTATTGGCGTCAGAGATCTGCCGAAGTAGTGAAGGACCAGACCACCAGCTTTTTTTTCTGGCTCACGCGAAACACGCTGAACGCTCACCCCATACTCCATTTTCCAGGTAGAGCCAAAATCTGGTTCGTATTTAGGAGGGGCCTTCCGTTCTTCCAGTTTGAAATTTCGAAACTGTGTAAGAGGTATCTTTATGTCATCCTCCTCCGGCCAAACAGAGGCAGCTGTTAACGATTTCCGGTGCTTTGCGTGATGGGTTTTCGCGCAGTAGCTCAACAGGCTCTGGGCAAGGATATCGCTTTCTGATATTCGAACAGTTGTCATAAAGTAGGACTTGACGAAGTAGAATAGAGAGAGGCTAGCAGAAGTAATGGCGAACAGTTTCACGAGAAGTCCGACATGCTCAGCTTTTAATAAGCTGGGAATAAGTTGGAGGAGTGCGTAAATGATTGATTCCATGAGGAAGAAAATAGAAGACAAGTGTTCAAACGAGGTATTGGCGGAAAGAGTATCTTTCTAGATTTTGAATCAGAGAGTCTTGAGTAGGAGTGCCTCTGAGGATGGAGGAAGTCGAATTTGTGCTTCAGACGGACGAAATGAGGAGACAGCATGTTTCAACTCAGGGGGCTTGAAGTACGGATCCCCGCCCTGACAGAGCAGGTCAGCCAATTCTATGCGCCTTCGTCTCCTTTGACACGGGAAACGTGAGGCGAGTGCGCCTGCGCCATCCCCATTACTTAATTGGGAGTAGCTGCGTCAATCTGGTGACTTTTTGCTGCAACTAACATTGCTGCACCATGCGGTTGGCTTTGTTCGTTGTGTATGCCGGCGAGCCCGTCTATATCACTTAATAATTGGAGTGGAGAGCCTCAAAAGCCTTTGAAGACTGCATATGCAGGCGAACGCCATCTCTTTGCTCGGCTTGGTGGTATGCAGGCGGTGTAGGGGGCATTGCTTGACCAAGAGACGGGTAGCCCTATTAGCTCACCACACGGAATTAAGGAAGTCTGCCGTGATCTTCCCTTTCCGGCCAAAGGAGACGAAGGCGCATAGAAAGGCGAGTCCGTGGCTGATCTGCGCTGTCGAAGCAGGATCCGGTGTGGCCACACCTGCGGTACGCACTCATTTTTCTGCTTAAAACCCCAATAACATGTGCAAAGGGCTGGCCGGGACGTGAAAGGATAAGGATATTCGGGATCAAAGAAGTAAGGCTGTATTGAGATATTGTAGCTAGTATTAGACAGGTAGCAGAAATCCAGCCAGTCGCAAAACGATTACTTTGTCTGATTTGTCTATAGAAGCGAAACTTTTGAAGCCTCCCCGAGCGTAGTTATAATAAGCCACGATTGACCTCATCCCACCCTCATGCGCCACATTACCCCGCAATGTTTGCCACAACCTTATTTGAGCCTCATCAAGATCACAATTTGATTAGGCGCATGCTTTGATCCTCGTATCTGGAACGATTTCAGTAAGATTGTCTCTTCGTTCTCTACACGCCGTACTTAACGCCATAAAAGAACAGTGCTACACCTTGTTCGTGCAAGGACGGCAGGTCCTCAATTTGCAATATTTGCATTCAAAGATGTACTAATGCGGTCCAGAGTGACACACAGAGCACACCCATTGAATCAGAGTAGATTCAGATTTGAGGAGTTTGAAAAGAGTGGTTGCAATAGTCAGGGAGTGCCATTTTGGTATAGTGAGGGAGGCAGGCTGGGAAGTTAGCACAGGTCTGAAGATGGATGGGAAGCTACTAACTTCGTAAGATGGTAATCGCAGGATTGAAGTTGGAGAAGTCTGAAGAGAGAATCAAGGGATGGGTGGGAAATTGTAGTCTATATCCTGCACCAACCCCAGGAAAGGAGAATCCTGTGTCGGAATAGGAAAGTTGCGGTGTGCATTCTGCAGACCTCCTCTGTGAGCTAAGCCTATAATGACAGACTCGCTGCGGCACCAAGTTGAAAGATCACGTGCCTGGCTATAACTTCGCCACACGTGGCATTTTACCTCAAAATATCAGCCACCATGTGGGCATCGCAAGTTCGTCGCAGTTGAGCTTGAGCTGCAATGGCACTTGACCAACAGCAAGCCAGATTAACACAAAAGAACATTCCTGACAATGAACATAGTTGCAAGTGCGGCTTTATTGTGACGCCATGGTCGTGAATAAAGGGCGGCTCAGTAGGAAAAGGCAAAGGGCGTGCCCACTTGGACATCAAAATTGCTATCTAGCTCACGTGGACTGTAAAGAGGTGGCGAGAATAGAAAGACAATTACGCTTGGGAAGCGGAGTGTTTTCGTGGTGTGCTGTGAGGCATGGGCGAAAATCCGAGACCTTTGCGCTAGCTCTTATTGGTACTAGCGTCTTCCGGAGCCTACTTTTCCTGCCCAACGACGCAATCAGAAACGGCCAGTCGACCTGTCGCGATATCCCTCAGAGAAGGACCCAGCGATCCAGAACTACCAACGCTATAGTAAGTCAGTCTTCCAAGCCTTGATGCAATGTTACTAAGCACGTACCTAGATTCCGCATCCGCGCAGCGCTTTGGAAAACCATCCCCCCACCAGAGCGAGCTCGATCTATTCATCTCGACATTTTCGTGGCGCCTAGTCGAAGTCTTGTCATCGGCTGATCAGCATATCATATATAACCTCGTGCTCAATACCAAGGATATACGCCTCTTGTTCGCTGTGGAGACCTGCGGCGACTTGTTGCAGAGACGCCGCTGATTCGGATTTCCCATACAATCCACCCCACCCTCTTTGAGCGGCAACCCCTTTCCATGAGTGAGTCTGGACAGCATTATGAGCCGGAAGAGGAAATCGCCAACCTCATAACCAAGTTTGGTTTATTCACCGTAGAGGCTGCGTTTACTCGAGACGAGAACGGCGTGGAAACATGTACGGACCCTCAGATGAAAGGAAACGTTCGACGTCTTTTTCGAGCCTTGGGGTATGAGAAGGAGGTACCTCCACCCTTGCAATAGGTGTATTGGCTAAAAGCTGACTTCAAACCCAGATTAACTCGAAAAGTATGTCATGTAGCGTAGTCAGAATGCGGCCTGGCACAACGTCCTTGGGTGCTCGTTCTGCAGACCTGTGGCCTGTCTATGTATGGGGAAAGAATCCAAAAGTCAATGGAGCAGAAGTGGTTCCAGGGCAGTCGGCACGCATAAGGGACGGAGGCACAATTCAAGTTGATGAAGGTTCAGCAGTGGATCTTCTTTATCTGGTTGAGAAGAAGGCGACGAAAAAATGAGCATGGAAGGGTACGGTTCCCAGGTCGCAGTCAGCAGGCTTTCAAGGGTCGAGTTACCGGCCCAGGTGATCCTGGGTGCAGAGTAGCGAGGCTTTGGAGATCAAGGTATGGGTCCAGGTCGCAGTTGGCGTATTCTTCGAGGTCGAGATGGGGTTCCAGGTCGCAGTTCGCGTATTCTTCGAGGTCGAGATGGGGTTCCAGGTCGCAATTCGCGTATCTTTCGAGGTCGAGATGGGGGTCCAGGTCGCAGGTAGCGTGTCTTTCAAGATCCACTTCACTTCAATTTAGCATCCTGAATAGTTGAACAGCCACTTTGCACTTACCTCTTTTCCCAACTCCTTGGTGTGCCTGTCCCGAGTCCACCCCAGTTGTGCCAGCTTCAGGTGATGCATGGAAATTGTTGGAAGCAGTGATCGGATCTGCAGCGGGAACTTGGCTCGCTGCACCAGAATAAGTGAGTTAGCAGTAGTCCATCGCTATCACTCTTGGGAAACCAAACTCACTTGTCTTATCTCCAAGTGAAATTCTAATCCAAGCTGTCGACTGGCGGTTTGGCAGCTTCCCTACACTGTTCGTGTTTAGTGCAGGGATAGATGATGCCGGAGGGTTCTGGTAGTCTGCGCCTGCCGGACAGATTCTTTTGTGCTTGACTTTTGTTGTCTCATGTTTGTTTGATGGGCACGCCTGCTCCCACCGAAGCTGAAGGGGCAGTAGCGGGACTCGTTTCTGGAAATCTGTCGGGTGGAGTTGAGCTAATCGAGCCACATGAAGTTTATGGCACAACTCCGAATATCTTCATGTATCGCTTTAGCAACCTCTTACCAATTCTATAAAAGGCAAAATAGTTGTCACTTACTCGATATTCTGCACACAACTAATGAAAAATAAAGGATGAAACACTGTAGTTTCTTCAAGTTCACCAGGCAGCCATTCTCGCGACAGGCCGTTGACAACGGCGGTTGCAACACCACTCCGCGTCTCTTCACTAGCATCTGTTATCCTCCCCAAAATATAGTTCTTTGCTACTTACGCGTTAGCAGCTGCCTTTGTAGAGGGATTACTTACCTTACCAGCAAGAGCTTCGTATACATAAAGGGCGTGAGGTCCCCAATGTTCCCAAAGGCCATTGACAATTGAGTTGATTATGCGAGCCGCATTCATCCACCGCAACTTGGACTTGTCGTTAGTCCTGATGTTGAAGTAGGTGCGCAAACACGAGCAGTAGAACATAATTTTCCAACCATCATCTTCAGTCACTTTGACCTGTTGAACTGTTCTATCCCAAATCCTGTCGATGTAGTGCTCCGCCACTTGCTGGGTTACCGGCTCCATCATGGGTTCGATATGCGTCACATCTTTGGCTTGAGGACTTTCTGGTTGGTTTGTAGAAGTATCAAGCAGGGCCGGCGCAACCTGTCTGTTTCTGATCTGGTCCCTTTTCATCGTGATCCCATTTCGAATTTTGTTCGCGATGATTCGGACTGGGTCGTACGGCTTCTTGGCCACGCTCCGGGTCTTGTTCTTCTGTAATCCTGTCCTGCGTTGCCTCTGCTCGGCAGGGCCTGGATGTTCATCATCGGCCGCACTCTCCTCGGTAGGGTCTCCCTCATCGGCATCTTGATTGTCACTGTCATCGCCACTGCTCAGGTGAGAATCCCCCCGTCTTCGGCGCTTGTTTCGACTTGGAAATTCAATATTTGAATCTCTTGGTGGAGCGGGTATATCTGGATCTTTGATATGGGCGAGGAGTGCCTCTTCTGCCTTCTTAGCACAGGTAATGTCTGCTGCACCGCAGTTCAAACCGCGGGGCTCATGAGTGCCACTGTGAGATCTTAGCACTAACTGAGGAGTGAGGAACTCCAAGACATACCAGGATTTGACTGAAAAGTTCCATGGAGATGGATGAAAGCGAGCATCGTATATTCTTTGTACCACACTGTTGATGAGATCATGTCTCGGGGGAGGATGGCAACACAACGAGTAACGGAAGTGACTTGAGTAAAAAGTTTGACCTGGAAAGGCCGCGAGGGCGAAGGGAGAGATTGAAAGTTGTACAGCCGCCCAATGCTGCTCATACTGCACAACAAAGTGAACATGCGTTGTATGGACAGCTGAGACTGCCTGCCGGGAAGACTTCTCTTGGTCTCTCTCATCCAGCGGTATATAGAAGGAATTGTGATGACAACTCAGTCTGATCTTGCTCTCGTCCATTACGTGAAACGATGGTGGTATGGATTTCGTGGGCGACACGGGGATGTGCACCAAATTTCTGAGCTCGCTTAAAGCGAGCTAGTGGACACACTTTCGAAAGTGTGTCCACTAGCGTGCGCCACAATGAGGATTCCTGAGCAACCACATCTCGTATCTCGCGGCAACCCCATGTGCCATTCTCCATGTCGTCTAGTGTTAGCCCTGATTTGCCCCCTTCCCCGAGTGGGGTTGGAAGGCATCGATCCCATATTGCATAGCGTCTCTTTTAGCTTACCCGGGGAATGCTTCCAGACGGGAAGTCGTTGGTGGAACATCGGGCTTCCTTTTTCGAGCTCCTGGCCGTGTTTATCATGAATTGTTTCTGCGAAATCGAGGGATCGAGGTTCATATGTAAGAAGTCTCAGAACGAGGCAATATGCACACGCTCGCCTCACTTCGTTCGCAATCAATCAAACTCCCTCACCGAGTTACACTTGCAGCCACGCGCCTCCTACAGGGTGCCTGCGCCCTCGCGCCCGGCTTCGGTGAAGTTTTCTCCCCCAGGGTGTCTCTGGCCAGCCAATCTGGATTGACCTCAGCGCATTGTCTATATTATCCCGAGAAAATGGGGCCCATTCCACTTATTGGCTCCTCTTGCGTGGTATTTGTTACTGGATCTACTCTGTTATTTGGCATATGGGCATGCCTACTGATTTGCACATATACCAAGGAATTCGCTGCTTCGCTAGAGCAATGGCTTCATCGACAGAGCAACAGCAAAAAGCCTGCTCTAGCACATTCGGAATCTGATTCTCAGAAGTGTTTAGTGCCGATGAAGGAATTTCCAATTGAGGAAGATATTACATTCCCATCGCTTGCCCATCTGTGGCATCCCCTTGATATTGATTGAAGTACCACGGTATTGAAAGTGCATTAATGGCAGGAGGGAGCCACCACAAGGGAATACATAATTTGAGTCGAGTATACTAATCATTTCAGATACTGGCACTGCACCCGCCGAGATGGAAAGTCTTTCAAGGCCAGGCCTCTGCAATGTAATTACAATCGTTCAGAATCTCCCCCAACTGCCGTAATTGCGGCTCGTGCATTGACCCTAAGCTTGGCTGCCACTTTGTGTACCGAGTTTTCTATATATCCTCTGCTGCATCACTTCTCTGAAAGCTGCTTTCTCATTCCTTCCTTCAACCCCAAGAACATTCCCAATACGGGCATTGCGAATCCTACCTTCTCCAGCAACTTCAAACCATGTGCGACTACACGCAAGTCGAATTCCGCTGCAGTCATGTCCGCTACACGGTTCGAGCATGGTGCACAAACTACGAGAGAACTCACAAACGCTGCCCGCCAAGCGTTGTTGCCATCGAGTTCAGGTATATTGAATTATTCTGCAGTAAAGCTACACCTAACAGAACCACAGGCTAGATGAGCGCTGCGGTGATTGCCGTAACCCAGCGATCCATCCGTCATGGATGACTCGACAACCGAAGAACACTCGCATCCAAACTTAGGCAGGAGCGCAGGGTAGAGGTGTTCGGATTGACAGGCATTGAGCACAATACGTTTCTGGTCTGACGATTTTTGAAGTTTCTTTCAATCAAATCAGATGACTTCCTATTACCTCCCCTCATCTATCTCTCTATCTGTGACATATCTGAAGCTCAAATGAAAGAACAATCCTGACTCGGAGATCTGCGGCATGGGATGCTCTGTGGCGCTCCACAATCCAGCCCATTCACACTCCCTTGTCCATCGTCCCATGCCAACGAAAGTTCCAGCTACACATGCTTGCAGATGCGGCTGCGCCAAGCTATGAATGTATTACTCCGTAAGTGCCTGCATATGGGGGCGCTGTGGGCTGCTGCTCTTCACAACTGCTTCCCATCACAACTGCTTCCCATCACAACTGCTTCCCATCACAACTGCTTCCCATCACAACTGCTTCCCATCACAACTGCTTCCCATCACAACTGCTTCCCATCACAACTGCTAACCCGATCCTCAGGCTCCCGAATCAGACCAGGTAGTCTTTGGAGGTATGGCGCGGCCGATAGGGAGCCGAAAGTCAGGGATGAGTGAAGCTGCCAGTATTTCTGCTTAGCTAGAACAACGTATAAGAATGGCTGGGACCACCGTGGACTAATTACATGAATAATCTCTATGTTCGGATTCAGAGGAACCATTCCCTGATACCCACATGGCGTTAAACTGCAAAGGAAAATATTAAATTCGAGACAGACTTTCTGGAAGGACCTGAAGCTACTAATATTGCGGCTAAGGCTAAATGTATCTCATGTTATGTTACTGTTCCCACGGCTAGGGGGGTTAAGTGTGAAGAGTGTCAAAGTAATGTAATTGAAAATTGGCTTCGGCGGATATGAAAGCTGCGTTGCCACCAATACGCAGGAGCCCAGGCCTAGACTGGCATATGATCAATCAATCCACAGCAGCGGGAGGAAATACGTTCTCCAATCGTTACGGAGGCGTCTTGCAGCGGCCAGGGTTGGACGCCAGGGTTGGACGCCACGGCGCTGAAGTTACAGGCCTCCCAGGGTTCGATGCTAGCGCCTAAGCCCTAGAAACATCGTGCCGATGCTTCTCTTCAGGTACCACAGCGCTGTCGGACAATGCCCCCACAATGCGCCACGGGCCCATGGCCAGATCCGGTTTGGGGTGGTCTCATCTGCACCCCTCCCCGCCAATTGTGTTTGTCGTTAATATTTATATGGGCATGCGCATTCCTGGGGCGATGCCCCGTCTTACAAAGCTGAGAACCAGATTTGAGATGGCTCCAGCCGATGCCACAGAACCTGAATTCCCCAAGTCAACCACGCAAGGGGGCAAGCCTCGAACAAAGACGGGTGAGACCGACTTCCAGGAGTTTTTCGCGCCCTGGCTAATTTTCTTCAGGTTGTTTAACTTGTCGCAAGAGGAAAGTCAAATGTGGCGAGGAAAAGCCTCACTGTCTACGATGCTGCAAACTGCAACGTGAATGCACCTGGGGTGATTTGGCAGTCACCGGATTCTACATCCGGAACCCTGACATTGGACTTCAGGACCTCGACACGGCATCACTACCTTACATTTGTCACTTCACCACATTTTGCTGTCGTTTTCTCGCCTACTCGAATGACGATAACGGGAACCCCTTCCAAGATGAACTAGTCCCACTTGCAGGTTCATCCTCAGCACTACTCCATTCAATGGCTGCGCTTGCTGCGGGCCACTTGGCAAGAAGTCAGCCTCAGCATCAGCATAACATTGCAGCCGATGCCCATTATTCACGGGCTCTTTCTGAATTATCTCGAACGCTCCTCCGAACACTCTCGGATCCTCGAACAGTGCGTTCAGATGCTACATTAGGGGCATGTCTGCTTTTGTGTATATATGAGGTAATAGAAATGAGTTAACCCGTGAAGATATTTAGCTCACTTCTTATAGATATTATATTCGGACAATGGCTGGCTTACCCATCTTCTAGGAGCCAGGGACCTGATTCAGTTCAGAGGCGGCCCAAGGGCCGACTACCTAACTCGATTCTTCTCTCTCCTCGACATATCTGGATCTCTCTCTTCCGGTGCTGGCCCTCTCCTTAGAGGTGACTACTGGCTTGATGATGACGCAAGTCAAGACAGTTCCGAGAACTCGAAGTTTCGCCCTTGGCCATACTATGAGACTGATACTGCTGTGGTAAATTACTCTCACAAATTAATGATTTATATGGCTAAGCTCTCCCACCTTTCATCCGAGTCGATGGGTCAGTCGGAGCAAGATGTCATTGCCGAAAGAGCACAGAAAATTCACGATGAATTACTCGCATGGTGGCAGAGTTGCCCGTCTTCAATACGAGACCAGAGGAACGACTGGCGAAGACAAGGTCACAATCGGAAACTCACCGTGCCAGAAACTCTCAGAGAAGAAGCGTTCTCTAGTATTAGGTCGCGTGTACAAGGATGTATTCTCTATCTAAATCACATGCTCGATCCTCGAGGTCGGGGGCCACAGAAGTTAGAGGACATTGACGCTATCAAAGATATTCTAGAGATTGCGGAAGAGACCCCGGAGGAGTGTGGTCTGGAGATGGGCATTTATTGGGGGTTGTTTATGGCCGGCGTAGCCATTTTTAATAATCATATGGCCGAGGATATAATTCGACGGAAATTGAAAGCTAAAACTACTTCTAGCCTTTGGGTATATACCCCATCTAGTCGATTCTATCGATAAACTGACATGAATTACAGCACGCTGATCGAGCGTTATATTTGCTCGAAGTCTTATGGCAAAAACAGCATCTATCTTTGGTCAAGGACGATTGGAGAGAGGTGCAAAAGCAGATGCAAATCCAGATGTAAATCCCCGGTGCCTATTCTTTGAGGAAATGTTATTAATAGGACCTTACGCAACAGCTTCATTCTTGCCTAGATGTACATTAATATCGCAGAAGTAGAACTCTTGCTTGTCACGCATTTTGAGAAGAAGTGCGTGAGGCAATTGGCACGAATCAAAGCTGAGCCTGTAGTGGGATCAGCCACAGATACCAAGAGCCAACAGGGTAGTGAGTGCTTTTTTATTTATTTTTACGCATTCCAGTTTGTGCTATGAAGAAAGTCTCATCATGTGCCCAGCTGCTAAGTGGAGAGGGGCGCGGGTGATAAGGGGGAAATTTGGCGGCCACCTGTGGACATCTGTGATTCGGGTTCTCTCTTGAAAGAACAATCGAGGGGCATAAATGACAGAAATGGTAGGCATGTTATCATTCTCACCTACTCTTCCAAGCATGGATCAGTGGGGCATTTTCAGTTCAATGCGTGAATAATGCTCAAGAGTTTATTAAAACAAACGTTAAAGAAGGGATAATTACACTCAGATTACGGCATGAGGATGAAGTGGAGGTCACAAATGAAGTGATGGAAACTGAACAATAACCGACCTAGGAAGATGCTTGGAATTTGATGGATGACGAGTGTGGGATGAAGTGACGGGAAGGTGGAGGACAAAGCAGAGAATGAACATTTGGAACCAGAAGAGGGATGTTCAGAATGTTCTCCATGTGCTGGCTTTCTAGTTGTGATTTATATCCAATTGTTTCTGCTAATAGAGGATGACGCTTCCCCCGATCGTTCACGTGACAACCGTTTCCCCATCACCACATTAAGGGTGACTGAATCTTGATCCGAATGAAAACCTCCACGCTTCTGTAAATAGTAATTCACTTACAATTACGTAATTTACAAACCGCTCAATCTAGAGTTACTCAGAAACTAGCATGGTGGGATGGGTTGGGACAATGCCAAACCATATCGTCCAGGTGCTAAAGGCTTCATTTTCAGCCTCTTTCTGCATTATGGATGTGGACGCATATGGGCAAGGACTTACAGCCAATCCCGCCCCACCACCACGGAGGTTGTCACGGGTTCATGCACCAGCCGGGGCATCATATGCATCTACACCCATATGCATCTACACCCATATGCATTCACACCCATATGCATTCAAACCCATATGCATTCACACCCATATGCATTTATATCCATATGCATTTACGTGCATATTTCTCATGATTATTCGCTGCCAGAAAGCTACGCAGAGCCGCACTCCCTGCTGGCGCGGGACAGATGTCTTCGATTTTTCCATATAACAACCCAAGTACCCGCTCGACGTACAAACCACTCAATTAAAAGCATCTCTGAAACTAGATCTCAGCGAGTTTACTGGGCATGAGAAAGGTGTATAGATGCATGTGGAGTGGATGCATATGGAATGGATGCATATGGATGTGATAGATGTGGCAAGGATTCTCGCAGCCCCGCCTCAGAGCCTCCACGGTGGTTCCACGAGTGCATGCATAAGCCGGGGCTTTAGTCATTGTGATTTTCTATATGACTACTCCTGCATCTGCCAATCGTTATTTCTTGTCTGCTTTCCCCACATACTCACTCAAGTAGGACGCTTGTGTATCCTTCCCAAAAAAAATTTTTTAATAAAATTAGTTTGATTTCTTTGCGTCCTAAAAGGGGCAGCCTCTTAAAGAAATTATGAAAGTCGAGCTGATACTACGAGAAGCTAAAGAATCCGATGTTAAAGCGATTAGCGAAATTGCTCTACTATCAATGTCATTAGATCCAGCATGGACTTACCGGTTTCAATTTGCTGAGGACTACCCCGAAGAGCATAAAGAAAATACCCGCAAACGATACGACGAATATTTGGCAGATCAAAGAGAGGGCAGGTTCTGTATTATAGTAGCCGAATTGCATATTGAGGACAAAACAAAAGTAATTGCATTCGCAATATGGCAACTTCCAAGATCCCGCTTAAAGGCTATTGACGAGGCGAAGCCACGTATATATCCTAGACGGAGAGCAGGGTTATGACTTTGCTAACCTAAGATATAGTAAAGCCTACTTCTGATCGCCTCGATCGAAAGGATGCTAGCCCAGCTAGAATGAAAGCTTTTCGAGCATATCGCGAATATAAATGGCACTGGTTCGATAAGAAGTACGGTGAAAAGCACCTGAGCTTAACGACCTTAGCGACTCACCCCGATTATAAAAGGGGGGGTGTTGGAACAGCGCTTTGTTGTTGGGGTATCCAAAGAGCTATTTCCGACAAACTTGAGGCCATAACTCTTTTTGCAAGCCCTCTTGGAAAGCTACTTTATACGAAGTTAAAGTTTATAGAGGTGGGAATAGTGCATATTCAAGTTGAAGGCGAGGCGCAGTTTATTAAACTTTCTGGTATGACTCTTGAACTTGAGGGGAGGGGTCGGAGTGAGTTCCTACTGCCAGAAATCTTTGTATTTGATCAAGAAAGTTTGGGCGAGAAGATAATTTGTACACTCGCTCAGGCATGTTTTGATTAAAGTGTAGAGGCAAACGAATCAGCAAATGCTGGTCTTGGACATAGGATTATGCACGGATGAGCGAAGATGTGGAGCTGCAGGTCAAGGCGCTCATATACAAGCCATGAATCGGCGAGATATTTTTTAGTTCTTGGTACAGTCTTTATAAAAAGCCGAGTCTCATAATGTGCAACATCTAAGTAACAAAATTCCAGTCTCGACAACGCTCCCGTATTTGTCTTCATCGTTCCCATCGCTCCTGGGGGCATAAGCTTCCATATCTTTGTACATGATCTAATGCGATTTGCCATTTTTTCATCGCTTCCGAGAACTGAGACCCGCAATAAGTAACCCGAGCTTCACGCCCTGGTAATGACAACTAGCCACCGCGAAAAACTTGACCCTGCACTGATCTGCCGGGCCGTGTAGACCACGAGGTCAAATTCGAGAATGCTACCCAGGAACAAACCGAAGAGAGAGGATGCACACTAGCTCCATGACGGCGGTACTGGCGCGGGGAAGGATTGTCAATAAAGGAACGGAAAAGTTGGTGAATATTGGTCGTCATTTGTATCTAGGCTTCTAATTGTAGCTTTCATGGACATTCAAATTTCCAGTACGTGGTTGGAAGGATTGCGAGGAGACGGAAGATAATTCGGCACTGCAACGATATCTCTGTGGGTGTTTTATAGCTACGGAGGTAGTGCAGATCCGTCGCCGCTCACGTGATCATAGTCGCGTAAACTTGAAAAAGGGGGGTTGGTCATATGATATATTCTTTCGTTAATAAATGTTCAAAGAACAAAGTCGAACACTACGAACTTGGATTTCTGCATATATCTCTCCTTCTAGTGTTTTTATCTTTCTCATGTCTTAATTCTTCCCATATCCCAAATTTCCCTATGTGTCACTGGACGACGCGTTTTGGACATCATGTGATCTCGATTAAATTATTTCAGCGAGGAATCCCTTCTATCTATACCTTGACCCAAACCTTTACATATGTCCCAAATTCTTCTTACGCTTGGCTTCCATATCACGTGGGAGCAAGTTCACCGGTAGCGGGTATAATAGTTACTACTTCTCTATTAATAACGCCTTTCCGACCTCCAAACCGGGAACTTACAATTTGCTCTTTGTAGCCAAGACTCGAGATTGAGAGAATTATAAGTGAAATATTGACCATCCTTACGGCTGCGGATAATGAGTGCTATGTCTACCTCGCAGAACTCTATATGGTCATATCAAGTTAGTAATCTTAATAATATAGTAGTCACTTGCCTCCTCCGTATAAGGGAACTTCCGCTCTAGGGCCGTGCGGACTATGTCTCTACGCAATACCTTTACTTCCCAGAAATCTTATTATAGAACTCATAATCTCCTAAGAAATTTCTTCTAGCCCGGGGCTTATAGGAAAAAGGTTCTGGCAGATTATAGTTGTGACGGCAGGAACAGAGCAATGGAACGAGGCTCAAAGATCAATGATTTCCAATGTCTTAAGAATTTAAAGCTAAGGAGGACAGGAGTGAGGTGTGGCAGTGGATAAGTAGGTATGGCCAAGACCACTGAAACGCCGAGCTTTGGAAGCGAGCTTGGTTTGAACCATAGCTTGGAACCTTAGCTGAAACCAACCCCTTTGGCTGAAACCACGTCCGTATCAACCATGTGACACCAGCCGTCACAATAGTTTCTAAAAGCCCGGCTATTATAAGAGCTTTCTTCCGGTTATTATAATAACCTGAGAGCTTTTTACTAGTAGTATTCTTAATAAAGTTATATAGAGGCTAGGTTTAAAGAGAAACGATTCTAGCCTTTTATTATATAATTAAACTATAAGGTTAAAATCGGCTTTTATTATCTTATTAGCTACTAATATAAAAATCCTTAAAAATAGCTATTAAAGTAAATAGTCTTTAATAAAATATAGCCCAAAATAATAAATAATTCTCAAGTACCTTAAGCTTAATATTTAAAGTATATTAAAACTAATTTAGATAAATTATTTTTTAAATTAATAAATACTAAACGAAATAATAAAAAGAAGAAAATAAAGGGAAAAATAAGAAAATAAATAAAAGAAAGAATATCTTAATTAAAAAAGCCTATAAATTAGAAAAAGTTAATAATATTAAAATGGCTTTAATTATTTATAAATATAATTATTATATATTAATTCATTTTATTATTTTATTACTTACTAATAAATACCTTATAATTATCTTATTAATAAATAGTAATAATATCTAATTATTAATAATAATTCTATTTAAATTCTAGTAATTAATATATAAATATAGGCTGCTTTTTTTCTTTAGAATAAATATAATTAGAGTATTAGCTAGACTAATAGAATAATAAATTTATTTCTTTTTTAAACTAATATTAAAATATTTTTAAAGAATTTTAAGTTCTTTTTTTAATAAAGTATATATAGAATTAAATAATAATTAAAATCCTGGTTTTAGATTTATATAATATTCTATTATATAATAATTAAATAATATATCTATAGCCTTTATAGAGAATATTTAGAAAAGATTCTAATATTTCCTGAGAAATATTAATTATTCTATTTATAATAATAGTAATAATTCTTTAGCTATTTATAATAAAATAAGTAATTAATAAAAAAAATTTATCTTATACTTTACTATTTTAATAAACTTTCTAGTATTTAAAACTTTAATTTTCTATAATTAAATCTAGTATTTCTATATTATTTTCTTAAAAGAAATTAAAAAATTAATCTAGTAAAATTATAAAAATCCAAGTATTATATATAAATCTAGAAATTATATATTATAGCTATTCTAGTTTCGCAAGAAGGTACATATCTGGAGCCATATTCGGGCTCAGGGAAATGGCCACGAACAGAGGATTAGAAACTTAGCAAGTCAGATTCTCGCGTGTAGCAGAGTGATCTTTTGAACGGGCCGTTCGGGAGATCATTAAACACGACTACCCCACAGCAAAGGGAGAGCCCAAGACTAGGATCAGCTCTGACTACGGCCCCTATTTATTAGCAAAACATTGGAAATATCGCGGAGCTTGATCCGGCTCCCTTTTCCACCGCTATAATTGGAATCAGGTGGGGAACCAAATCGAATCCCGGCTTCCTACCAGTGGTAAGAGCTAGACAGGGGGCAGAGACCGGGGGCAGAAACAGGGGGCAGAGACATGGGGCAAACAAGTAGCGTGAATATATACGCCAATGCTGTCACTATGTGTATACTCTATCCCCAGACCACAAAACTTCTAAGAATCGTACCATGGCACTACCGAGAATCCAAGTACCGGATGACGTTCTCAGGAGAGCTTCAAATGGATCTCGTCGAACCACTTTCACTACGAAGAAGGCTATCGAGAGAAGCCGTCTAGAAAGCGAAGACCGCAAGGCAAAGCTCGAAATTCGCGCCCTCCGAAGAGCAGAGGCTAGATCGCGCTTTCACAAAGAGTTGGAAAAGAGTGACGGTGCGGTCACGGTAGGGGATTTTCTCCTGAGGAAGCTAGCAGCGCAGGAAAACGCCTTGGAGGGATTGTCTGGAGAAGGAAAGAACAGCAAAGAGACGGTGGATCATGGGGAAGGACAGGAGCAGCTCGAGAGGATGAAGCGTGAGACCGTTGAGGCTCTGACATTAATGAGGGACTTGTAGTCACAATAATTAAAAGCGGGGACTAGCTGGCTCCCATATCCTATAATTATTCAATTGAGTGAAGACTTCTCTGGCGAGATTTACCCATATGAACAAGTACAGAAACAAGGTGTTGGCTTGTAGGGTCGGCTCTTGATTCAAGACTTCTTCATTGTATGCCATTATGATCGCCTACAAACCCTCGGCCGCAGATTACTTGACTAGCATCCCTCTCCTCCACGTTAGGTTCGTATATTCGGACTTTGTTCTTTGAATATACACTCTATATATCACGTGCTTATGTAACTCTAGTTCCCGGCCACATCAAACGCCATAAATAAATCTCAGGTAGATTAAGGTCTTAATGACTAAAGAAGGAAGTAGCAAGATAAAAAAATCAATAAGGGAAAACTTTGGGTCGGAGGTCGATCTTGTGGACCGTGGCCACGTGATTCTTGAAATGCATTACGTTATTGAGCACCAACCCCTCAGCCTTGCACACAGGATGGTCGCAAATGATCCGCTGCTCTGCCGGTGCGTGGCGTAAATGAACATCCTCAACATGGTCCCACATGTGCGAAACACGGTTAAAGGTGCGCATTCGTTGCTTGTATGGAAGCCGCTCGTTTCCGATGCAAATGATACATTGGGTCTTCTTGCAGACGACGGGAAATTCATCAGGCGGTGGGAAGGGAGCGGGAGCGGGAGCGGCAGCGGGAGATCCTCTTTTGACCAGATCCTTGGAGGCGGGAGCCGACCGCGGCTTGCGAGTCTGAAACTCTTGTCGAGAGGCGAGCGCGATCATGAGGTTGATGGCAGTGACCTTTCGGGCGACGATGGCTTGAGGGCTCAGGTCTTTGGAGAGATCGCAAAGAACCTCCTGTAGCCGGGTCCGCTCTTCGAGCTGATGTTCAATAATTGGCTCGACATCCTTTGCATCCTCAGGATCCTCTTCGACCGCGGTCTTGTCCAGGTGCCTCTGCAGTTGCCGCTTCATCATTTCATTATGGATCTGAAAGAAGTAATCCTTCCGGTATGCCTCTTCGATCTCGGTTCTCAAGCTCTTCTTCGCATTCGTAAGCTGCTTGCGAAGGTCTTCGTACTCTTTTCGCTTCTCCTTCGGCGCCCGCTTGATGAACTTGTAATCCCACTTGATCTCGGTAGCCAAGGCCTTGAATCGGCACTCGAGGTCTGCAATCTCTGGATCCGCTGCGAAGAGGCGCTCCATTACCCCGTTGGGGACCTCTTTTGGAGCGCCCGGGTTGCAGCGAATACTCATGTGCGTGAAGGCCCGGGTGAGCCCATCATCGGAGATATCACTCTCGAGGAAGGCGTCTTGCACATTGAACCGGACCGTGTGATTGATGTACGCACCGTTAAAGACTCCGGTAAAGGGATCGTGCCTCATGACTTGGTCGCGTACCGCATCCGATGCGACACCTAAGAGAACCATTAGCAGCGAGAGAGAGATGAGATTGAGACGAGATACATACCGTCGATCGCGTTTGCCGTGCCTCGGCGGAAGCAATAGGTGGTGAGCTTGTCTTCGAAGCCCGTGTCCTTCCCCAGGCGGTCGATGTAGGAACAGTAGGTCGCGTAGGTCATGGGCTCCGTCTGCGACTTCACCCAAGTCACGGTCCGGACAGACCTGCGGAAGACTGGCCGCGTAAGCCATTCCGGCTTCCAGTGCACCTTCATCGCCCGCATCCTCTGACCCCCCAGGTTTGTCGCGAAGAAGGGCTCGGCGGACGTGTAGCCGTCGACGAAGATCGCGTCGTCGCGGATCGCGCGAGTCAAGATGTGGGAGATCGGACAGAGGATGGGGAGGGGGTTCTCCCGGAACAGGAACGTCGTGCTGCACGAGTTAGCCTGGGTCTGCTTGCAGGCATTGGGGAGGAGCAACGTACGGTTTGGGCTTGTTATCCACCCCTTTGTGGTGCCGCAAGTGGACCTCCATCGCTAGAAGGTCCCGCTCCCCCTTCTTCGGGTTCTTGACGATCCAGAGGCAGATGTCCTCGTAACAGAGCGCTTTGCACCTCCGCACCGCCTCGCCCGCATCGCGGTTCTGCCGCACCGACCGTCCAGCGCCGTCGACCTTGACCGGGCAGCAGTCGTCGGTGTCCTGCGTCATAGCGACATCGGTCCCGTCGCTGCTGTAGCCGCTGTCGCGGCCGGCGCTCTCGTCCGTGCCTTCGTCGGAGAGGCCATCCTCGTCGGCAGTCTCGTCGTCGTCAGAGTCGAAGAGGATGTCGTCGTCGTACTCAGGACCACCACCAGCAGCATCGCTGTCATCGTCGTACTCCAGGCCATCGTCAGCGTCGGCACCCTTGGCGTCATGTGTATCTCCTTCCTCTCGAGGCCGTCTATGCTCGATCGTCTCTTCTGCTTCCCCAAGAGGGTCTTCGCTGGCTTTGCCCTTCGAGGAGTGGACGAACTCGGCGGGTCGACCGCCCGTATAGGACTGGAATAGCAGGATCGTGGCGACGTCGTGTCGGTCGTCCTCGGTGGGAAAGACGTGCTCATCCCGAGCCCAGTGCTGGACGAGCAAGAGAAGCAGGTCGTCTGGTCCAGCCACGGGCTTGGATTTGGACGTAGTGTCCAGTTCAAACCTGACCTTCAGTGTGCCGTTGATGTACTTCGCGCGGAGGATCAGCATGCGATAGAAGAGCACCGTAGGAAGAGGGCTACATACCTTGACGACCTCGTTTGAATCGTTCGCATCCACAAAGGCGCCATTGATTCGGCGATAGAGCATCTTGAAATCCCGCCAGTACTGGTTGACCGACTTTCTCTTCCCCTTCTTCCGCTTCTTTGCCAGATACGTCTCGCAGATCCAGTGGAGGAACGACATCATCCTTCCCTTGTTACAATTCTGCCCGAGGATGGCTGTACGCCAATGCCCCAGACGACGATGGTCACAGTATCTGCCTGTTGTTAGCCCAACCTGGTCGAGTCACCAAAGATCCAGGTCGCACGAGCATACCTGATAAATTTCTGCCGGATGTAGTAGACGTTGGCCTTGGTATTATCGGAGTCCAGCGGCTGTAAGAACTGCTTCTTGTTCAGATCAACCTCCATACGTTGATAGTCTTCCCCGCTGAGCATCTGCTTCTCCTTCTCCTTCAATATCCGGCTGGTGTCCCTCCGTCGCTCGAGAACATCCTCGATGGTTTTGAGAGTCTCCTCCGCTCGAATTGGGATCATGGGGGCCATGGTCCCGTCGGGAGCCCTGAGGGGGCGGGCAGAGGTGGAGGGTTATTTGCGAGGAGAATCGAGTTCGAGAGGCGTTCGGGATAGCGAGACGTCGACTTCGAGGATGTTAGCCAGAGAGCGAGGCAGTGGGGGGGGGAGTGAGGGCACTAACAATGAGCGTTCAATGATAGATATGATGTTTGTAGAGTGGTGGATCGAGGCCGCGGGAAGCGGAGAGAGAGCGAGCTTCGAGAATCTTTCGCAGAGGGAAGCGCGGCCAAGGGAAGGGTCCAGAACGGCGAGGAAGCAGAAGACAAGTTGAGAGTCCGACGCCTGTGAGAGAGAGAAAATGAAGCGCAGGGTAGAAGCAGCATTCAAAGTTGAATCTGATCGTTGCAGAACTGGAGAGGATGGGCGGAGGCTACAAGAACATATATAGCTCAGAGAGCTATCAAGATACAGGGGGGGGTTGTGCTCCGCCATGGCTGATGAGAGAAGGGGAGCCATTTCGGTCACCTCTGGGATCAGCGAGATGGAATGAAGGTGAAGGACAGCAGGATTGGGAGGGTCGCGGTTTTCTGCGAGGTCGCTTTAGGCCGACGAGGACCGACAAGCGAGCGAAGGCACGTGCGCCGTAGCGGGCTAAGCGAGCGGTCGAGGGTGCGTAAAACAGCGACAAAACCAGCCGAATTCGGGGGCTCAAACCGCCGTACTGAGACTTATAATATTATATTTATTATATTAATTTTAATTATATTAAAAGCTATATTTTAAAATATTTTTCTAATAAAAAAATAAAAATAAAAATTAATAAAGTTATTAATTTAATAATTATTTTTTTAAATTTAGAAATTTAAAACTAATTATTAAATTTTAAATTAATATAAATAGCTTTATTAAATTTTAAAAATTTAAAATTAAATCTTTTTATAAATTTTTAGTTTATAATTTTTTTTTAAAATTAAATAAATAAAAAAAATTTAAAATTAAAATTAATTATTAATTTACTAAAAATATATAATACTATTATATAAATATAGAAATACTATTTATATATAATTAGTAAAATTCTTTTTTAGAAATAAGAATTATAATATTATAATATTAATATATAATTTCTAAATTTATTATATTTAAAAAAATCTAATTTATTAATTAAATTATTAATAAAATATAAAATTATATAATTATATTTTATATTTTATATTTTATTATTTATTATTTATATTTCATATTTTATATTTTATAATTATATATATAATTTTTAGAAAAATATAAAAAATAGTATTTTTTTTAATTATATATTAATTTTCTAATTTAGTTTAATACTAGATTTTCTAAATACTTTATATATTTATATTATTTCTAAGATTTTAGTTATATATTAAAAGCTATAGTTTTTTATATATAATTTCTTTTTTTATAATATTTTTTTATTTTATATATTTATTTTCTATTTTATTTATATTTAATTTATTTCTTTATATCTAATTATATAATATTTATATTAATTAGATATTTAAAAATATTTATTAGTTTTAATTTTATTATAGAATTAGTAAAATTTAATTTTTTTTTAATTTATTTAATTTTTATAATTTTTTATTATTTATATATTTAGTAAAAATATATTATATTAATTATTAAATATTTCTTTTAAATAATACCTAATTTAATAAAGTATTTATATAATAATTTTAAATTTATATAAATAACTAATAATAATTTTATTTCTAGTATTTTATTAATTATAGATTTAATTAGAATATTTATATTAAAACTATAAATTATATTATAGAATTCTAAAACTAGAATACTTTTAGTAATTCTTTTATATTTAGTAAAAAACTAGTAAATAATATTAATATATCTAGTTTTATTTACTAAAACTAAAATATATCTAATTTAGGAAAAAAGATCTTTATTATTTATAAATAAAATATTTATAAAAATAATTAAATATAAGAACTTTTTTATTAGTTTTATAAATCTTAGTTTTCTAGTAATATTCTTAATTTATTATTAAATATATTTATTAAGTATTTTTATATTAGTTTTCGAGAATTTAATAACTTAAATAATAATTAATAAGTTATATAAAGCTTCTAGTTAATAAACTAATATAATATATATTTCTTTTTTATATTAGGTAATATATTAGTTTTTAATAAAAAGATTTTAATAAATAGTATTCTTATTATTTATAATAATAATATTTTTTATAAAAATAATTTAAAGGTTTTTATATTAGTATTTCTATATAAGAATAATTCTAGTAATATTTATATAAATAATACTTTTATTAAATTTGAAATTATAATTAAAAATAAGAAATTTATATTTTTTAATTAAAAATTTAGTTTTATAAAGCTTTAGTTATTTTATTTTTATAAAATTATTAGTTTTAATAAATAAAATATTATTAGTTTAAAAGCTAATAATTCTAAAAAATTACTTATTATAAAATAAGTAAAAGTTATAAATTAATTATTTTATAAAAAGCTTATTAATATAATAGAAATAATAAGTTTTAAACTAGTAGTTTTTAGTTTCTAGTATATTATATAATAATTTTATAATTTTTAGAATAGAATTATTTTTTAGATTTAATTTTCTAATAAACTTATAAAATAAATTAATATAAAAATTATAATTAAATAAGATTATTAATTAAATATAAGCTTATAAAATATTATATAAATATAATTCTATAGTATTTATTATTATAATAAAAATACTAAAAATAATTCTTTAGCTAATATATTAAATAATAAATATTTATATTAATATTATATATTTCTTATTATTATTATAAGCTTAAATAACTAGTCTTAATTTTTTGAGTTTTTTTTTTATATTTTTATTTTTAATTTTATTAATAAATTAAAAATTAAAAATATATATCTTTTTTAATATTTAAAATCTAGAAATAATTTTAAATATATTTTTTTCTAGAAAGCTAATAATTTTAATTTAATAGAAATTCTTATATAATTTATTATTTTATAAAAATATTATAATATTCGGGATTTTATAAGAATATCTTTTTTATATTTTAGTAAAATAATAAAAGAAATTATATTTATATTACTTTTAGTTTTATTATTAGATTTAGAAATAAATTTAAATTTAGGGCTATTAATAATAATCTTAATATTTCCTATATAAAAAAACTTTATAAAAATTAAATAAAAAGTAATATTATTATATAATAAAGCTAATATATAGTTTTTCCTATTAATAATTACTAGCTTATATAATTTATTTTAATTATTAGATTAATTAGTATTTTTTTTATATTAAATAAAAATATTTAAATTTAGTAATAGTTTATAAATATTAGTAATACTAGAACTATTTTAGGTATTTAAACTATTTCTAATTTAATATTTAGTTTAAAGTTTCTAAATTTCTATTATTACTTTTTTAAATATTATTAATTACTATAATATAATAAATAATAAAATATTATATTTAGTTATTTAAAATAAAATACTATAAACTAAAAAAGTTAAAATAATATTATTAGATTTTATAAAATTATTAATAGTTTTAAAAATAATTTAGAATATAATATTTTTATTAATTTTAGTTATAATAATAAAATAAATATATTAGATTAGATTATAATAATATTTTATAATTCTAATAAAATTATAAACTTTTATAAAAATAATCTTAATTTTAGTTTTTATAATATTTATAAATTAAATAAATTTCTTATTAATAAACTACTTTTTAGTATTTATTATAATCTAATTAGAAAAATTTAAATAATTATTAATTTAATATTATTTAAATATATTTTAAATATATATTATATTAATATTCTAAAGCTATTAGCTAGCTTAATATTAAATACTTTTATAAATAATATAAAATATAAATTTACTAGAAATATAGAAAATATTAATAATAATAAAATAATTAAAATTAATATTATTTTTTAGATTAAATTTAAATTATTTAAATAATTAGTTATATTTCTAGTATTATTTATAATATTTTATAAAATATTTAAAGGCTTTTATATTAATATTATAGCTTATTTATTCTAGTATATTTTAAAACTTATTAATAAATAAATAACTAAAATAATAATATAAATATTATAATTTAATTTTTATAAAAAAATAAGAATTATAAATAAAGAATTCGGAAATAAAGCTTTATAATATAATATTCTAAAATAGAAAAAAGTATTTAAAATATTATATTATAAATATATATTTTTTAGTAAAAATAATAAAATAATTAATAAGATTATTAAAATAGATTTCTAGCTTATTTATATTAGCTAAATTAAATAAAAATATAATATAAAATTATACTTATTTAATTAATATACTTATTATTATAAATCTAATAAAAAATATAAATCTAATACTAAATTAGATATTAATTTAAGTTTTAATAATTTTATTAAATTTAATATTATTATTAATTTATTAAAAAGCTTAAAATTAGTTAAAACTAGTAATTAAGTATTTAAAAACTTTAATATTAATTATAATTTTATAAAAATAATAAATATTATATTTTAATATATTATTAATTATAAAAGTCTAAATATTTTTTATTAAGAATTTAATAGGCTTTAAAATATAGTTTTTATTTATTATTTAATATATAAAAAAAAAAGAAATAAGATTATTTATAAAAATATTACTTATAATTATTAATAAAACAGAAATAATAAAAATAGCTAAAAAGCTTTTAATTAAAATAAAATAAAAATCTAGATAATATTTCTTTTTTTTATTTCTTTTTATTAATAAAGTCTTAAAAATATTATTTACTAGTTTATTTTTATTATTTTTATTATTTTTTTTACTTTTAGCTTTAGTAATATATTATATATAAGTATTACTAAAGTATTTATTAAAATTATAAATATTTCAAAATTTAAACTAATAAATATTTCTATTTCTAAATTAAGTTTTTTTAGTTTTCTATTTTTCTAATATATATTTTTATAAATAATATTTAGATTTCTTATATATAAAATATAATTTTAAAAT